AAATAATCAAAAGCTGCCAATCTTGCAACAACATGCCACCAGTGTAGACAAGCTCCCTTTATAGAAAACTTAGGCTAGCTCAGGTCCAGGCCCGATGAACAGGGAGTAAGCTTAACTGGGTCAGAGTTCTACCAGGAGCAGAGCACACCCTGAGTTCTGCCAAAGCAGTCCAGCTCTGCTTTCCCTAGAGGGGTTGGCAGAGGACTACCATATCTCTTTGTTAGAGAAAGATATGGAAGCTCACTGTTGTTGCACACAAAGTCCAACATAATGCCAGGCACTATTTAAAAAGAGGTTGCTATAACTCACTTAGCCCTACAGTTACCTGTATGTTACCATAAGGCTGTATCATCCCAGTAACTAGACAACTCCCTGACTTCAGAATTGTACAGCTAACTGTGGTCCTGACCATGCCAGGAGAGTATTGCTAGCAGCCAAGGCAAACATGACTTTTGCCGGGAGAGTTACTGGCAATGCGCTCCATCGACATGGCAGACATTACTGCTGTACCCAATCCCTGAGCCACAGAGTCATAGTTAAGTGGCTCTTGAGTTGTCCCTTTCAAAGTCAGGTAATTGAAGAACATCTCTTAAGAGGTATGGGAGCCTTCTTGTCTACCCAAAAGCTTACCACAATAAATCAGTTTTCACCCTATAAACAGATGTATTCTCCTATAATCCACATGTTCATCTTACTCCCCTTTTAAGTGTAATTAACCAAGTGTTGTATATTGATAGAATTGAATTAAACCTTCAGAAATACACATCACACACACAAAATGGTGCTGTTGCAGCTTTACGTAGGACTCCATGACTACCACAAGTACTGTTGCAGCATGAAAAAGTGTTCTCTAATGTAATGAGCTTCAATTTAATGAACATAAGCCTCTTCTCAAAAGCTGAAAATAAAGACAGATTTTCATTTATAAACACCAGTTCTTTATGTCCGTCTTGCAGGGTGAAATGGGCATTTGGAGTATAAATGAAAAGCATTCCTCCAAGGGAATAAAAATAAAATAAATCAGTTCTGCAATCAATCAAGGATTCTTTCTTTGAAGTTTTTCTTTCTTTCACTACAGGCCAAGTAACAACAATTATGTGTTGGTTTCAGTTTTGAAAATTTGAGGCTGAAGCTAAGCACATCTGAGCCTGGTCAGTGCTTGGGTGGGTGACTCCCTAGGAAGCATATTCAGTATCTTGAGTTCCGTAACAGAAGAAAAATGTGATATTAAAATAAACATATTTTTATTATCCAGAACATAGGTTTGCAGCTGTAGACATACCTTACCCAATTCCTTCTGTAAGAAAAAACAGGGTGACTGACTGATTTGTTCCATGGGATGGTAGGAGTCATAATACTAGCAGAATGTGGTAAGACTGAATCATTTCAGCATTTGACACATGTTTAATTGAACAGCTATGTTACACACTCCTTGACCTGCTGAGATAGCTTTAATAGCATTTTACCCAACTTCATTCCCTGTTGCAAATCAAACAGCATTTGTAGAAGGTAATTTTCAGTTAATTCTAATAACAGTGGTAGTTAACACGTGTTCACAATTAACTATAGGATTGACACCTTAACATGGTGATGCTAGAAAACAAAATAAATTGCCCAAACCTGTAGTTGCGATATGTAAAAGTTCACAAATGAAGGATTTATAGCCAATTACGTGATTGGAACTCTAGGAAGTGGCTATTTCGTTTGTCTATAAGTAAACTAGCAATTTGCTCAACTGTTTCTATGTGCAGGCCATTGCAGCCATCATTTCAGAACCTCAAAATGTAATCATGAAAGTGAGCAAAAATCTACTAGTTGTCTAAAAATAGTTTCATTTAGCAAACAGCACTATGAATGAGAATTAAAAGTTGTAGTGGCATAGGCTGCAAATACAAGCTGGCTTGAGAGGCACCTGAAATGTTAGGGTAATCAAAGATCATTTAAAAAGAAGCCTAGTGTTACAACGCTATGTAGCTACACAGACACGCTTTAATTAAGCAATTATGATAGTTGGGTTTCTGCTATATAGTATATCGATATTTAATAAATGTTTGCAGTTTAGCAAGACTATACAATGTTCTTGCATTTGTGAATGCCATTTTAGAGTTATAGCAAAACATGGCAGCTTTGAGATTCTGTCTGTTGTGTCCTTCAATGCTGAATGTAGCTAGTGCCCAAGATGTTGAAGCCAGATAGGCTGGTAATGCTTTGTAAAATATTACAAATCTAATGTTCATTGTAGTTGCAACAAAACATTTTGATGTTAGACATTTTAAGACCTTATAGTTCCAGTTTTTGAAGTGCTGTCTTTTTTTTTCTTTTTTAATAAATCTTCACATTGCAAAAATATGTCAGAAGTACAACTGTGATCTAGAGGACCTTCTTGCCTCAAGTTTCAAAAGTAGCTTGATCAGGAGAGTAGGGGAGTTGGAGGAATGCTGTTTAGAAAAGCAGAAATGCTGCTGTGTGAATAAAGGGGTTTACTATATTATGGCTATGGTAATCAGAAACCAAGGGTGCAATCTAGTAAAAGCTGCAGTCTTAGGCATATTTATTCAGAAATGTACCACTGAATTTAATTAAGTAAATTTAAGAATGCAGTTATGCAATCTAATCCAGTAAATGTTTACTCATAACTAAATTCTACTGAGTTCAGTGAGGATTACACGGGAGTAAATTGTGCACAGGACTACAGCCTTGGTGTCAATAAAATCAGTGAGGTTATAGAATAACTTTATGCATATCTACTCAGAAGCTAGCCCCATTGAGTTAAAAGGTGCTTTCTTCCAGCTAAATGTGCGTAGGCTTAAGCATATTTGTTTGGAAGTGAATTAGATTGTGTTCAGTGGGACTTCCTTTCTAGTATGCTTCTGACTAAAAATGCATAATCAGGTTGCATGTCCCATTGATTTCATTAAGAATTAGTTGTGACTAATCTCACCGGATTGTAGCCAAAATGTAATACATAAAATAATCACAGCAGACATGTTCAAAAATTCAGTTTCAGTAGCCTAAAAACAAAAATAGGAAAATGCATTATGCTCAAGCAGAAGAAACTTGAGCTGTTGTTGACTAATATTCCCTGTATTGTATTGTTTCTTGTGTGTAGTGTGTTGTTGTTTTTTAAAACTGGGGTGCATACAATATTTATTTTTCAACAGATATAACTTTGATTTTGGTGGATTTTCCCTCTAACATTCTACTGTATTTAGATGATCTAGTGGTTGAAAAATGAAATGGCAAATACATTTTTATCATTTACCATTATTTTAAGTTACTAATAAATGGGAGGAAAGCACTTCACTATTTCACAATACTTACAGGAAAAAGGATTAAAGCTACTTCATTTCATTGGGTGGGGGAAAATATATTTGAATATTCTCTGCAGACAAGGGAACGCTTACCAGCAGTACTTGAAGACGTAAGTTTTGACTGCATGTTACTTGAAAGATCTTACTAAGCTACTCTTTTTGGTGCACAGCAGTTGTTGTACATTATTTCATGTTTATGTAGCAAGATGCATTTAAATTGTATTGAAACATATGTGTAAAAATTATTGTTGTGGAGATGGTCTGTTCTGGTTTTTTGTTTTTGTTTTTCTTGGTTTTTTTCTTGTATGTGTCATATCTGTTTAAACTTTTAAATGTTCCTTTAAAAATGTCCTAAAAAGGCAAGATAAATTGCTGTCATTGAAAATATATTTTAAATTTTTGTCATGATTTTTTTTCCAAAAAAAAAATATTATTACAAAGTGTATCATTTCTGATAACACAGAACATTGTGGATGGTTTCAAATAAATTTTATACTTCTATTTTGCACTTGATTGTCTTAATTTTTTATTTTCTATATTTCTTGGGCATGTTCTCTTCTGAAGGATAATACACACAGCAAAGGAGCACTTTATCCATTCATACAAATGCATCTTAGTAATAGCTTGAAGCTACAGGTAAGATTGCCCTTTCCCACTTTTATCTGCTCCTGTGCTTTTAACAGCAGTTTCATCTGCAGGCATTAGCAGATGCAACTAAATTCCACCTCAGTGTCTGGAGTGGAAGCTACTCCTAGTGATTTCTGCATCTGAAGCTCCTGTTAAAGGCACAATTACTTTAGGAACTTAAAAACAAAGAATTAAAACATAAGACATAAGAAATAAAGCAAACACAAAATTAGCCTAAAAACAATTTGCAGACTATTTAAAACCTTGGGAAAATTAAGAGGGCTTCATCTGGTGCTGAAATGACACACCAGGCAAGTTCTCCTGGGGAAAGCATGCTGCAGTTAAGGTGCCACCACTAAGTAGGCCTTTACCGCTGTAGTTACCCACCACACCTCAGTTGAGTATCTTGGTATACATGCAAACAAATGTGAAAACAAGCAGTGTTAAAGTATCCTGGAACCAAGCTTTTGAAAATCAAAACCAGCACGTATGCTTTCCAGGTATAATGTATTATAGCCTAATTGCAGTTTCCAAAGAGTCTTCAAAGGGAGCCCAATATATTACAGCACATTAATCTGTTATTAGCAGGTAATCAAGTTACTAGGGCATGGATTGCTGAGGTCAGGGTATCTCTGTCCATGTAAGCGGCTACAATAGAGGTGTCCTGATATTGTTATCGTTCCAAACTGTGCCACAGAGGCAGTGTGTACCTCCAAAAACACAGATGGGTCAAGGAGTACCCCAGACTCTAGCTTGTTTCTTTGAGGGAGTGAAGCCCAGTCTAGTGAGGTATTACTAGTATTAGTAAAATATTACTCATCCAGGCAGTTTTCTACATTTCTAAATAGAGATGAGTGTCATCTGTATTTGAAGTCACCTCAAAACATGTTGGGAGACATGGCAGAACAGTGCAAGGTCCCATAGCAATAGATGGCAATAAGTGGAACTGTAGCTCTCTAGCACCATCTTCTTTCCAATCTCTGACCCATCCAGCCTGTCCAGAAGGACGTCAAAAGCCAATGCAAAGTTAAGGAGAATCAACAGGATTATTGCATAGTACGCCACTCTTTAAATATTTTAATTTAAATTGCTTTTTAGCTTTGGAAAGATAAGACAGGGTATGGTTTCACTGTTGGAAGTTTGTGATTAACAATGTTCTCTTCTGTCTTAATTGCTTAATTAATTTTCACACTTGCACTATTCCATTGCACAGAAGCTAAACACAATTGATCAGTTATTTTGGATTATTTTAGGGGAGGAAACCACAAATTGAAGCCTTGTTGATTCCCTAAGGGTGACTTCTGTGACAGATGAACCAGCTGCTTGTCTTGATAAGCTGTACAGTCGTACCTCAGGTTACATATGCTTCAGGTTACAGACTCCGCTAACCCAGAAATAGTGCTTCAGGTTAAGAACTTTGCTTCAGGATGAGAACAGAAATCGTGCTCCGGCGGCAAAGCGGCAGCAGGAGGCCCCATTAACCAAAATTTGTGCTTCAGGTTAAGAACAGTTTCAGGTTAAGTACGGACCTCCGGAACGAATTAAGTACTTAAACTGAGGTACCACTGTACTACTATTATGCTTTGTGGCATTTATATTGCTGAGATTTTTTCTTCATCAGGTACAGCTCCTCTGCCGTTAAAGAGTTAAATAGCTGGCAAAAATAAGCACGTTTCACAACTAATGCTTGTTTTGGGGAAAGCATATGTGCCTCTTGTAGCTAAGTGCTTTCAAAATAAAAAAAAACCGTATTCCTGTTGCTGATACAGTAATTAATATTGTGGCAGTAATCAGTGTGGTTTGTTCTTTTGTTGTCGTCTTGTGGCATTTAGTTCTGCTTATTTAGTCCACGGAACGCTCAACACTGGATAACCCACCAGCTTTCATTTAAAGTGACATTTCTAACTGTACCTGAAATAATTAAACAACAGTATTGACGGTTGGAGAGAAAATGTGAAGTATTCCTTTGGCGTGACACTGCGCATTTGAGCACTGGAAATTTATAAGGTTAGTCCAAACATATAAATATTAAAGCAGTAACATTTCGTTTTCTATTTTGGGCTCGTGATTTTTCAACGCTTGGGGTGCATTCTGAGCTTCAGGTAGGCAGCGGGCGTCAGGAAGCGTTTCTGTTTGCCTCATAGCAGCGCAGAATCTGAGGCGCTTCTTTAGGCCCGGACCTTTCAACCTCGACATTCCCTCTACAGTAAGATGGCGCCGCTGTTATGACCCGCCAAGCAAAGTGGCGACGGAATACGACGTAATGCAAATGAAAGACGGCTTTCCTCATAGGATTCTTCGCTTCTCGTTCGTTAGGGGAGGGGGGGGTGCTTCCCTTGACGCATGCGCGCCGTTACTTCCCTTCCTTGTTTTGGAGACGGCGACCCCATCCTCCCGGAGCACGTGTGCGAGGGAGGGGCGGAGAAATCTCACTTCGAGACGTCACCGAGGTGCGCGGCGCCCGAGTGAATCGCCCCCTCCGACCCGTCCGCGCTCGCGCTCCACTTCGACGCATGCGCCGTGCCTCGATTATCCGTGTGCGCGGGGTGTCGGAGGGGGTGGGGAATGTGCCGGAGGAGTTTGAAATGGCCCCTGTGAGTCCCTATTCGGCCCGCGCCAGGTAAAGGGTCGTCGGGGTTGAGGCGCGTCAAAGGCGCCGAGGCCGGGTTGGCCGTTTCAGAAGTGACGAGCCTTGAGGTTTCCGACAGCGGCCCTTGGGCGGGCTGGGCAATGCGAGAGAGGGAGGCTCTTCTCTCGGGCGGCAGGCAGGCCTCTGCCCCTCATTGTTGTTGCGGGAGAGGAGGAGGAGGAGGAGGCGCGTCTCCCGCTCTGCTTTCTCCTCAGGCCCCTGTCCCTCCACCTGAGGAGGAGGAAGAGCGAGCGAGCTGGCTGGCAGTTTCGCCCTCAAAGGCCTCTTGTCTGTGTCCCCGCCCGCCCTCCATCCACCTCTTCTCAACCCCCACCCCGCGTGCCTCGCATGCATGGGGAGCGCGAGAGCCACGCAATAGTTACTTCTTTGTTTCCCTCCGTGAATTTCCTCCACTCGCATTCTCGTTCCTCATTCGTAGGCCTTGTTTGTGTCGCCCCCCCCCCACGTATCCCATTAAATACAATATATCTTCCATCCTGCTGGTGAGGTTTTCTTTGCAAGTGGTTCACGCAGGACAACTGGACGTGTGATTGCTAAGAAGCGAGTCGGACTGAGCTCAGTTAAGCTGGCTGTCAGGTGCTCGCGACCTCGGTCTGCCTACGTGCAGGTTTCTAGTGGACATTGCTTTTTCTCTCGCCCGCGCTAACTTCTCGGGAAACTTCCGTTTTCAAGAGATTGCTTTTCATCTTTATTCTCCGAATACATATTGCTTTGGAATGCAGTCTCCGTTTCTGTCTCAGGCTAAGTGTTTCAGTATACCTGGTATTTCCCCCTGCTCTTTCGCGCAGCAGCTCCAGTCGTTGGACTCCCCTAGGTTCACAATCGCTGATATTTACAGTGCAAAGACCTGTTCTTTAACTGCGGTGCCATTTTAAAGTCTGCAAGTCAGTTAAACTTCTGTGAACAAAGCGATAGCGCTGCTCTTGGTAAGGTGCCATATTATGTTGCAGATGCATCCACACCTTGAAAGATGAGCTTCTAGAAGTCTTGGTTACAGCTGCGTATTGAACTTTTGTCACAAACCAGGTTTCTTTATGCATTTACTTAGAACATCCAGGTGTTTATTTGCCTGTGACTTTTGTGCAATCCTCCCCAACCAAAGGTTAGTTTAATAATTGTACTATTGTTAATTTACTTTAAGACGTTATTTGCCACATCACGCATTGAAAACCAGTCTGTCTAATTTGGAATAGACTTGCATTAAAATATTTTAAGTGTAGGGGTGGCTTTCATAAAGTTATTTATTTTGATAGGTCACAGTTGTAGAAGACTAAAACAGCAAAAGAATTTTGTCGCTCGCCATGGCTCAATTTGGAGGACAGAAGAATCCCCCTTGGGCTACCCAGTTTACAGCCACTGCAGTATCTCAGCCAGGTCAGCGTTTATATTTCTTTTTAACCAGTAACTTCTGCCTTAGCTTCAATCTGACATTCTGCAAGGTTTCATACTTTTTGTCAGAGGAAACCAAAATAAAATGAATAGTTCAAAAGGTTTTAATTGATAAATTGGATTGATTAAAATGCTTTTTCCAGCCAACAAGGTGATCCTGTTTAATTAGCAGAACTACTTTTTTAAAAAATATTTTTTAATAAGTTCATTAAAAATGCATTCCATCAAACACCTTAAATGAATAATTTATTCTGATGTGACAGATGAGGAAAGCTTCTTCTAAGATTTTGCCACACACATATGTATTATCATAAAGATGGTGTGCTTTTTTCTTTAGTAGTATTTATTTTTCATATGCCTATATATGTGGATTTAATAATTTTATCTAGGTGACATCCCTAAAACTCAGCAGTTCTTAAATGTAGCATTGTGTTTATATGAAAAGGGCAAGAAATTTGCTTTGAATACATCATGTATTAACATATTGGTGCCCCTGTTATGCAGAGACTGGATTTAGCTTGAATAGTAAGTAGCATATTTTGTTAGTTGTTGAGCCAACTATGCTTTGCAGTATACCACATTCAAGCAATTTATTAAAACAGGAATGCTACATTTCTTCAGAAGCATGGTTTTCTTCCTTGTTCCTATGGTGGTTTTTTGCTGCTTCAAAGGGAAGAACCTGATAATTTTTACAGACTTGGGCCTTCAGCTGGTATTTTTCCAACTCTGTTTTCAAAGTTTCTATAAGTGTTAAGAGTTTGGAGCATGAAGTTCAAGGCCAAGAATGCTTAGCTGAACACATCAGAGTTGGTCTAATATATGGTCACTTTACAAATGATACGTTGCTTTCTGTTGGTACCCTTAGGTAAGATGGAAATAAAATTGAATGAGATCTAAATTACAGAAGCTTGAAGGACCAGTAAAATTTGAGAATGAGCAGTTTTAACTGTGAGGCCTGAAATGAAATGAAATTGTTAATTGCATAATTATTTCTGGGCTTTCCCCTCTAAGCATGTGCAGCTTCTCTTCCATGATCATGATGAGGCCTAGATGCTGATACTAAGCCCAATTAATATACCATGTTATTTACCATGTTATAGTTTCTCTTCTTCCCTCCCCTGCTGCATCTATCAGCTGGCAATAGCAGGTGCTTGCATACTCTTATGGTGCATCAGTTTTCAGCTCCATTTTTATTCTACATACATTTTGCAACAATCGTTTGAATAAATGCAGAATGATTTATATCATATACTGTTTTGTTAATTGTTAAGTAGCACATTATATCTTTAAATGGTTAAGTTACAGTTTGATACATCAGCCAGTATTGCATTTATTTTCCTCAAAATTTTCTTCCATGGCTTCAAAAGATCCAGAATTCATCTATATTTAGCATCAGATCATTAAGTCTGCAATGTGGTTTGAAAATGGCCTGTGATCTGGCACACCAAGAAGTCTTGGCATAAAGCATACTCCATCCTTAATTTCCTATAACTGAATATACCTATTAGTTTTAAGGCTAGGTTTTTATTATTGCTCTCAGTTTTATGTTCCAAGTGAAGAGTTGCTGAAGACTCCATTGCTTTGTTGCTTTGGATCTATCCTGCCAACTGTGTGTGTTCAGCCACATGTAGTAAACATGAGCTATAATATTCTTTGGCTCTAAACTAAAGTAAAGTTGAACCTTTTCTGCATTTGAACAGTAGCTCCTATATAAAAAGTGCATGTGCTGTATATTGGGGTGCAAGGAAGAGCCATTTCCCCACAAGCTCTGACTTACAGGAGGAAATCCTTAGTGCTGTTAAACCCCATGTTTGACCATGATAAGACTGTACTACCCACCCACCCCAAACTAAGATGTCCTAATGCTTAAATCCTACATTTTCAGCTGCTCTTGGTGTTCAGCAACCATCCTTACTTGGAGCATCTCCTACAATATATACACAACAAACTGCATTAGCAGCAGCAGGCCTCAGTACTCAGACACCAACAAACTATCAACTCAGTCAAACAGCTGCTTTACAACAGCAAGCTGCAGCCGCAGCAGCCGCATTACAGCAGGTAAATGGAACTGCATCTGCTGACTCCTATTTTTGTGCAGCCAGTGAGTGGCAACTTCAGTAAAACAAGCCGAGGTTCAGATAAACTTTATAATCTGCTTTGAGATTTTTATTTGTGAAATGACTTTACTATTGTTTAGATACTGAATGTTATATAGTTTTTATGTAGTCTGTCGTGTCTAGGGCTTTCTTGTAGTCATTACACTTGAGCCTCTGTTTGGTGTTCTCAAAATATCACATACCCTCAGAAATAGGGAAATCTGTTTAGTAGGGACAAATGTTATTTGTTAGTGTCTTTCTCTAACAATGGGTACCCAAAAAGACGTTGGAAAAGCTAATAAAACACTAAATCACAATTCTGTAAACTAGAGTAAAAACTAGTGATGCGTCAAATTTTAATGCTTAAAACATTTTTGGAGAAAGGTAGGTTTTCAAGGAATTTGGCAAGTACCTAAACACATTCACATACCCCTTAGTGGCTTTCCCTAGTTCTTAAGTATGTTCATGGTTATTATTATTATTTGTTAGTCACTTTATACAAAACTCTCAAACATGAAATGCTGCTGCTATAGCATAATTTCGTTCTTCACAGTATGATCTTCACTATAGCAACGTGATTGGATTTGGCTACATGATGATGTCACTGAAAGTACCACAGCCCTCACATTGCTTTTATTCTTGAGGAAAAGAAGAAACATTTGCCTGTTGCAAAAGCAATTAGTCTGATGTTCCCAGCCAAACGATGCTGGTGATTTCTTGATGCATAGTACTGGCAAGCAATGACTTGTGTCCTGATCCAGTTCTATTTATATATTAAATTTGTACTCCACCTTTCATAGTTATGTGTGACCAGTTGCAACAGAATATAGATGAGATGAGAATGTGCATCATATTGATAATGTAGTGTAGATCAACTGCAGCTGTATGCAGATGTTGTCCTTGCCACTGTTTTCAATGGGATATATTTCCAAATGTGTGGACATTCTTTTATAACTAGCAAACTGCAACTAGATTTGAGTGAAAGAGTGTTGGCCTAATTCACCTTCACATATTTGCAAAATGGTGTGAAAAATGGCAGAAAAGTAGGGGGTGCTCTTCACAGGGGGTGAAAAGGTTCATGCAGGGCTCCTTTTGCTTGCCACTAGTAAAATAATTACAGCATATCTGTCCCCTGTGGTACACAAATTAGGTCAAACTAGTATGTGTTGATGAACTAGAATATTTATTCTGCAGCTGGCATAACTGGGTGTTGTGATCTTGCGAAGCTCCTGTTCATTTCATTAAGGCTTGCTTATGGATATTTCATAGCAGATTGTACTCGGCATATGTTAAATTAGTTCATGTTGTAATATCTAGACTGATTTTTAAAAAACAATAAATGCTTTTCAGAGAAGATACAATACTGTTTTGTTCAGCTGATGAAATAATAGAAATGCAAGTATCATCTTTTTTGTCTTAAACTTTATTTCTGCAGTTTGGTTTTGCCATATATTTCTCTGAGATTGTAGTATACAGAAATATCTTTTTGGAGTACTGTCTAGTTATCAATTCTGATTCTGTTTTTCAGCAATATTCACAACCACAGCAGACCCTCTATAGTGTACAACAGCAGGTTTGTTCACCTCTTTGTGTGCATATTGTCAGCCTCTTATTTGCTCTGTCTGAATTGGTCCATAGACTTCCAGTTCTGGATGATAGCCCAAAAATGTATTTTAGTTTTATGTCGTTAAATACAGAAATGATTGAAATGTTCACATTAAATGACATGTAAAACCGTTTGTCCCCCAATATACCTCCCTACTTAACGTAGCCTCACTTTAACATATCCTCCAACACTCATAACGTGGTGGGGGATTCAACAATGAAGTCTTATATTCCTCCCCCCAGTGTCACATCAGACTGAGCAATTTCAATATATGCTAACAAATTGTAAGACCATGTACCTTTTTAAAAACACTCTCTCTCTCTCTCTCTCTCTCTCTCTCTCTCCAGTGTATGTTCCCCACCCAAATAGCTACCTTCTCATGGTGGGTTGTATTCAACACTGCTGTTCTGCTAGCACAGCAGACTTCTGCTTGCTCAATGGAACTTTCCCCTCTTATCTCTTTCAGCCTCCCCAGCCCACAACCTCAGAATCTGCTCCAGAGGGTTGGAAGACAATTCAGAGCAGATTCTGAGGACATGTGGGGAGAGGAAGAGGAAGGGAAAGTCTCACTGTGTGAGCAGATCTCTGCAAATGCAGTGTGATATGCAACCCTGTGTGTGCAAATTGCTGTGCCCTTACATTTGAATCTCTACAGAACCGTAGTGACTTAACTAAGGAATCTTGGAAACTGTTTTTCTGCTGTGATGAAACTGATCTATATTGTTGTCAAAAAAAGCTTCATTTGCTGGGTTCTTTGAGAAGAGTAATGAAGAGACAGAAGTTGGTCTGAGTATGGCAATGAGGGAAGTGGATGTACCCCAACTCTCATATATTGTCCTGGATACTAAGAAGGGGGAGGATTGGTCTTGCCTTATCCTTTGTATCACATCTTCCCCCTGAACCTCAGCCACTGGGGCAATTCACAATGGGCCACAAAATAGAGGCACATTATAATCTAGAATTTGTGGATGGGATAACTATATTGGTAGTGTTGGAAAATGTGCTTTCAAGGACTCATCTTTGGACAATAGACATCTGCTGTTGATACATGGCAATCTTGCCCTGCCACTGCCATTTTTAGTCTTGATTCATCCTGTATTACATAAAAGGGAAAATCCCAAACTCCAGCGACTGTTCTGTGTGGTTTTATGGAGTTGTGGAGCCACTGCTGTATCCACAGCCCTACCATTCCAGGGCAAAAGTTGTGGGGGTAGGGTGATAGCTGCAGGAGCCTGAACTTGACGCAGCCTGATGCCATCACACAATGGTAATGATATCTGCTCAGGATCCAACATATTCTGGGCCAGCTCAGCCCACCCCACCTCCAGAATACTCCATTTTGGAACCTTCGGCTGTCTCCTGCTGGTGGGGGTCATGCTAGTAAAAGGTAAAGGTACCCCTAACCGCTAGGTCCAGTCGCGGACGACTCTTGAGTTGTGCACTCGTCTTGCTCTATAGGCCGAGGGAGCTGGCCTTAGTCCGCAGGCAGCTTCCGGGTCATGTTGCCAGCATGACTAAGCTGCTTCTGGTGAACCAGAGCAGCGCACGGAAACGCCGTTCCTTCCATACACCCATTCTGGCAGCAAAGTGATGCTTCTGTCCTCCTGGTGGTGGCAGCTGGTGGAAGACCAGTATTGCTGAGCAGAGGGACACCACCTAATTCATCCCCTCTGAGTCTAGCACAAGGGGAGTTTGGACTACTCTGCAAGAGCGGAAAGCTAAGTGTTGGCCAAAACTACATAAAGAGCAGCTATTGTATGGATAAATAATATGCTAGAATGCAGGTATAGGCAATCATGAAAACATTTTGCAGCTGTTTCTCAAAGCTAAATATGGCTAAAGAGGAAGCTGGACTTGCCCAAAGCATTATAACTAATTCATGGTCTTGTATTTTTTAAGTTGCAGCAACCTCAGCAAACTCTTCTAACCCAGGTTAGTTTTATTAAAGCTTTCATCACTGTATAATAAATTTGCCTGTGCACTTGTCAGCTCTGCTTTTGTTTAAAGTTTTAAACAATAATGGTACCTTTATTACGTCTCATGTAATACAGACAACTGGTAGTTCAGTCCAATGTGTTCTTTATCCCTTTGATTACCTCCCCTTCCCAAACCAAAATATAAGTGCCCTTGTAGTTCTACTGTTATAGAGAGATATTAATTTCATGTCATTAGAAGGGGTATTTCTAATGCATATTTTCTCTTAGACTTCTGTTGATGCTTTTAAGTTTTTAGATATTTACACCAATGGTTAAGACTAGAAACTTAGGCTGCCATTCTGTGCACACAATTACTAGGAAGTAATCTCTATTGAATATGATGAAATTTACTTCTAAGTAAACCTGCATAGGATTGTGCTGTAAGTAGTATACAGATATTTGAAGAGACTTTTCTTAGGACAGGAAAGTAATTATTTTATGTTCATAAAAAGTAGTGGACAAAAGGTACATACAGTCCCCGCCCCGGCAAGGCAGCCTATATTGCACTTGAAAATTCTGAAACATTTTGCAGCAATGTAAGATATTCATTCATATTTTTGTCTGTGTGCTAGTCTTTCAGAAAACATTTTAAACATATGTTTCAATGTGCATAACCACTTTAGGGAGGTCAAAATATAGCATAGGAAAGAATAGGTTGCCGAAAAGATCATTGACACAAATTAAATAATAGAAGCAAAATTCAAAATCTGGAAATGTTCTTGGGAAACATCGATTACGTAGCAACTGAAAAACAATCTCTGCTTCCACATCATGGTTGGTGCTAGTCTGAAGGCATTTCTGTGTTCTGATGTGCATTTACAGTTTTCATGTTTGAGGTTATTTTTATAGAAATACAAATAAGCCTACAGTTTGAGGAAATGATTTGGAAGAAATGGCTACCATAATAAGCAGGTGGGGTTTTGATATATTGGTTGAACCAGCTTGTGCAACTGCAGTTTGATAGGAGAAAAATCAAGGTTTATCTGTTTTTTTTCTCCCCCAATGTAAAAAGGCATAGTTTTTTGCACTTCGTACAATGCAACTTTAGTTCAAAATAATTTTTCAGAGTGTGTGGCCTTTGACACCTGAGACATGTTTTCAGAACCCACCCTATTCCTATGGATGTAATTTTAAAAAAACATTTTAAATATTGAATTTTAAATTGTTGGGACCTGATGGTGAAGAATGGGTAATAAATTGAATAAATACAAATTATTATTATCATTATTCCAGCTATACTATTTAGAAGATTGTCAATGCTTACATAATTTCATGTTTAATTTTGCACGCAGCCAGCTGTGGCACTGCCAACAAGCCTTAGCCTGTCTACTCCTCAGCCAGCAGCACAGATAACTGTTTCTTATCCTGCACCTCGGTCAAGTCAGCAGCAGAGCCAGCCACAGAAGCAGCGTGTCTTCACTGGAGTAGTTACCAAGCTACATGACACGTTTGGTTTTGTGGATGAAGATGTATTCTTCCAGCTCAGGTAACTTAATTCTACCATACGTGCACAAGTGGTGATACTAATAAAATGCATGAGAAATAATATAGAGAAATAAGTTTATCGAGAATTATGGTAGTGTGATGTCTAATCATGTGACTCTTTTCATTTTGCAGTGCTGTGAAAGGGAAGAGTCCTCAAGTAGGAGACAGAGTTTTGGTAGAAGCAACATATAACCCTAATATGCCTTTCAAATGGAATGCGCAGAGAATTCAGACTCTACCAAATCAGGTATATACAGCCACTCAGTCTGACTCTTGTTGGCGCCTTTAGTGTAAAGCTGATTCACAAGTTGTTCCCTTTTTCCTCCTCATTAGAACCAGACTCAAACCCAGCCTTTACTCAAGACTCCTCCACCTGTACTTCAGCCTATTGCACAGCAGACTGCATTCAGTGTGCAGCCACAGCCGCAGCCGCAGTCGCTGTTACAGGCACAGATATCAGCGGCTTCTATTACACCTTTGCTTCAGACACAACCACAGCCTTTGTTACAACAGCCACAGCAGAAAGGTATTTCTTCAGAACTTGACATATATTGGATGTTTTCTTTTTCCAAAAAAAATGTAGAAGAATATAACTGACTGAATAGTAGCAAGACTATATGGTCTTCAGTTTACCTTGTAGCTGTAGTGCAATAGAGATGCTGCATTCTGAAGTCAGAACAAACCATGATTTGTTGTGATGGGAACTTCAGGCTTACATATTCCCACACACACAGGGTATAGACGTTAAAGGTTCCAATTGCTGTTTGTAACCACAATTTCCAATTTTATCCCAGTATGGAAAACTGCTTATACAAACCATGGTTATTTAACCAAGTTCAATTCTCATTTAACTAGCTGTGATATGTATAAACCACACATTCCCATATTCAGATGAAATGGGAAACTGCCTTGTTGCAAACTGCAACAGGAAGCCTTGTGTGCAAAAGGTGGGAATGTAGCTCATAAACCTGACATTCACCATAGCACATTCTCATAATGTTAAACTGGTTTATTATAGCATTGGAATGTAGAACCCAGCCACACATTTTGTAATCCAGGTTCTCTGTGGATATGCTATTTGTTTATAACCATGGTCTAAACTTTGTGTTGCCTGTTAGTATCCATAATATATATGCATTTTAACATCAGCTGTAGAATACCATGCTTCATCCTTCTAAAGAATAAAAGTGAGCCCCTCCACGGGCCTCCATTAAGAACAAGGTACCTCTAAAAAACGTTGTAGCACCAGAATTCTTAATCACTTTGCAGTTACTTCTTGCATAAAATAGGTTGGCAGTAGGGCTGGTAAATTGACTAGTTCTGTGGTTTCTGAAGAGGTAAATAAAAAAGATGGGTGTCATTCATATAGAGCCTTAACCTTCAAGAGAACCTGTTTAGTGTCTACATAGAAACTGTTGATGTTTTGGACTTTACTTGAGCAATCTGAACTAAGGAGAAGTTACCTTGTTTGGTTTGGTTTTAAATCTGCTTTGCCCTCATGTTCTTTCTTAGGCCGCCTCCTGCTCTGTGGACTTTGTATTTGCTTGCACTATTTCTGAGGTTCATCCTGTTGTGTGACATCTGGCACAATTGCATGCTGTTATATGCTCTGGTAGACATTTTCTTGAGTACTGTTGCTCAGTCTTCTTTCCTACAGCTTGAGTCTAATCTAGACCTCTTTTCCTTTGCTGCAGAGAACTGTGGATTGCCCAGTTGATGAGAGTAACCGCTATCTGTTGTACATGTTGTAGTTTATGGCATTGCCCTCTCACAGTGCTTAATGAGGCAATCATTGCGGAGTTATAGCAACAGAAATGATAGATTGTTGATGATTTGAGGGCCAGTTCAGACTACTTGGCAATTATTTGTGACCCTTTCCCCCCATCTTGTGTGTTCTTGTGAACAACTGTCATGCTTGAGGGCAAGCTGCATGTCTCTGGATGCTTACTGATTAGCAGTGACTCTCCAGCATGTAGTCACTGCCTGATTACGTGCACTTGCTTCCCTATCAGATATTGAGAAGTGTTAAGCAGGGGGGATGTGATGAACAAACAGCCTCAAAGTGAGGAGTGGTCTTCAGAATAAACAGCAAGAGCAGTATTTTGTTGAAATGGACACTGATTTACACCCCACATTGCTGGAAACTGAATGGTTGAGTCAAAATCTTCCAGCATGTTAATATTTTCTGAGTAATGTAGGTTTAAAGCATTCAATCAATATAATGTTCTCTTGAACCATTTTGTTCAGAGTTGTGTCCCTCCCCTTGAATTCTGTTAAAGTGAAACTAGCTGCAGTATGATGAGGCTTGCATTGAGGAAGAAAAATTCATCATCTTGCCTATATAATTTGAAGAGTTAAATGAATGCATCCCATTGGATTAAATATGAGAAACCTTATGTTGCTTATACCTATTGTTATTAGCTGATTGTTGGATTGCTGCCACATTCATTTCAGCAAAACAAATAAGCAAATGTTCTATGCTATTAAAAAAGCATGAAAACGGATAGTCCAACAAATAAGCTACATTTTTTTGTTATAATTTGCTTACTGATATGAAATTCTTAAGAACTTGTGGGATTTTCCCCCCCTCCTAGCTGGTTTGCTGCAGCCCCCTGTTCGAATAGTTTCACAGCCTCAGCCAGCACGGAGATTAGATCCACCACCCAGATTTTCGGGGCGAAATGACAGAGGAGACCCCATGGCTAACAGAAAAGATGACAGAAGGTGTGATACAAAAATTCCTCTCAATTTTCTGTACATATTACAGACAGCAAATAATTTAAGTATTTGAGGTTTGAATGTAAGTACTGTTCAGTTTTGTTAATGATGATTTGAGAATGGAAGTTCTGTATGTTTTGATGTTTGTTGCTGTTGGTTCTAGAGTTATAGGCATGTGAGCTCTGCGTTCATAATGGTAGACGCTAAAACAAGACATTTATATTTCACACATGGTTAAGTCGTGAAAGGGAGCGTGAGAGACGTAGGTCACGGGAAAGATCACCCCAGAGAAAACGCTCTAGAGAAAGATCACCTCGGCGAGAGAGGGAACGATCACCCCGAAGACCCCGACGTGTTGTACCCCGTTACACGGTCCAGTTTTCCAAGTTCTCATTAGACTGGTATGTTATCTTGGTGTCAAATTGCGATTTCATATTTTTCTGTGGAAGGTATCTTACTGCCATAAAATAAGGATGTATTAAATAAACCCAAGAAATTGAAACATAGCTTCATTTTTGTTGACTTTAAAGTTACTTAATGTAACTCAGTTTTACTTGAATGTTGTTCTTTCCTCACCCACCTCCATCCACTGTAGACAGAATATTTTGTGCAAATTAAGGAGATGTGCTTTTTAAACTTTCAGCTGCACAATGACCCTCTTTGTATTACACATTTTTACAAGCGTGTGGGGTGGCTGTGGACATTGTACAGGAATTTTGGAGCCAGATATGTTGCAAAGTGGAGAGCTGAAACAGTTTACCTGGCAATAAAGCATTAGCTAATATGTAAGATGTTGCAAGTTGGGTGCAGAATTCAGTGCTTTCAGAATCTCAACTTTAATTTGAAAGAACATGTTTCTAACTCTTAAAGGGGTGAACAAAGGCTTGAAAATGTGAAGGGAATGCAATATTTGCATGACTGGTATAGGCTATAGAATTTTGAGAAATCTATGGTACCTTATTATATGATACATTAAGGGTATACACCTTAATAGTGTACTTTCAGATTATCATGATAAAACAGGAGGGAGTTTCTGCCCAACCTGTCTGTACCTTGGCTAAAGCCTGATCAGGGCTGGACTGTAGAGATTTCCATTTACTCTGACAGTTGCCTAACTGTTCAACAGCTTCTGGAGAAGCAACTTACCCTAAAAATGGTGTTGGTTGGGTTTATTTGTTTGTTTGTTGACTGATTAAAACATTTTTTTATATTTCTGATACTTGATAAAAGTTTAATGGCTATGACAAAAAGTACCTTAGCTTCCACAAAGGGCTGAACCAAACTTTTGTGAGTCTTGATTTTTGTTTCAAAATTTGCATGTTCTGTTTCAGAGAACGTTTCAACAAGCAAATTTAAAAAAAAAAAAAAATTACCCAAAATAAAGTTACTGTATTTTTCTTCCAAGATGTGGACACTAATGGCTCTGAGCTGCTTTTCAGTAATGTCAAAAGTAGAAGCAAAACTATAAAAAGAGTGTTTGAGCTCAGTTCTCATTCTGCATCTTGCTACAAATTTGCTTTTAAGCCCCAGCTCTTTTTATTGTTGTAAAATATATTTTCTTACTGCTTAAAGCCTTAGCTGTGATATGATGGAACTGAGACGGCGATATCAGAACTTGTACATCCCAAGTGACTTCTTTGATGCTCAGTTTACATGGGTGGATGCATTTCCTATGTCAAGACCATTTCAGCTAGGAAACTACTGCAATTTCTATGTAATGCATAGAGAGGTAGATCCTTTGGATAAGAACACTTCTGTACTGGATCCACCAGATGCTGATCATCTTTACAGTGCAAAGGTATGTCTAACAACCTAAATCATTCCTGCTTGCATAGAAATGTTTGGAAATGCTTCTTTGAAGGGATTCCCATTGTCTTCTGTGCATAGGTTTTCAGTGATGTTACCTTTGTTGCAACCTTTGTTGACTGAACAGTAAGCTCAGTTGGACCAGATTCGGTTTCAACTATTTTTTTCCAGAGTGGGTGACATCTTCCCAGGGATTCTTTAGATGGGCCCTTGATTCATGTTGTTTGTCCATAAAATCTTGGCAAGATTGCAACGAACTGTATGTGGCAGTTCAAGAAGCTTTGGATTTGCAGGCTACTTGCTAATTTACACAAGTCTTATTTTGTGCTTTGGACATGTTAGATGCTGTTAGGAATTTAAAATCAAGTGATGATTTCATTGATATTTTTGGATATTTAACCCTTCAAGATAGGTGTATTTTTTTTGACTTTATGCATTATTCTAGTCCTATTGAGTTTAGCAGTTAAGTGTAAGATACCAAGCTTTGAATCATAGCTTCATTACGTTGTCTTGTCTTGTCTTTTTTTTTTTGGTCATATTACTTTAACAGGTGATGCTCATGGCCAGTCCTAGCATGGAAGATCTCTATCACAAATCATGTGCTCTTGCTGAAGATCCACAAGAGCTCCGGGATGGTTTTCAACATCCCGCTAGACTCATAAAGGTAAAAATATGCGTTTCTAGCAAACAAACATAAACTTAAAAATTTTGCTGGAAAATTGATGCAAGTACAAGCTTTCCACATAGTTTTCTTTAGGTTGGGGACATAGAATTCCTATATGGACACAAATAATTACTTTTGAAATGTGTTTTATATATTATTCTTACAGGAGGCCCCCTGTAGTCTCCCATCCAAATTATTAACATGGTTTGCATGTTTTTTGCTTTCAGCACTGCTGAAGCATGTGGTCTTCCAAACCATTCACAGAACTAGTTTCATTTTTAAAAATGGACTTAGATCTGTTGCATTTGAGAAAGCCCTTTCCTTGTGCGTGAGCAGGAGGAGAGAAGGTTATTGCCAATTCCCCCTGCTCCCAAACTGCTCTGGATCTTCCGTGAGACTTTGTTCACACAACAGAATCTTTAGATCCAAGCTAGTAAGGTGTGTTTTGTGTCTTGAAAGCAAATAACATCACCTTGAGAGAAATGGGAGGGGGGTTTCCCATAGACACCGTGAAACCATCAGTATAATCCTATGCATATTTACTGTGAAGCAAGTTCTCCTTTTCTCCATTGGAACCTACTTCCAAGAAAATACCTTCTTATGTTTCTGGCTAAAATACTTTTAAACTCTCAAGGTTATGTCAGTGAACAATTCTATAAGCCCCTGATTTTACAGTACAGAATATTATTTTAATCTGTTGTTTATAGCATTTTTATATGATGACAAACTGTTCCGAAGTCTTGCAGAATGAATGAGTAATGATGTTTAAACCTATTCCATTACTGAAATGCAATGTGGAAAAACAAAACTGAACTCATTCTTGAGCAAGACTTAGGCTGCAAAACTGTATTCACTTACCTGGGATTATGCCCATGGTAGTCATGTATAGAATTGTGCTGTCATTCTTGCAGATTAGGGATAACTGCTTGTGATGGCATGTAAACTGACAAACAGGTATGTGTAATTTTAATGGGTTATATCCAATGCAGAGTGGACTTCATCACTCTTCAGGGTTTTGGGAGACTGTAGGGCAGGCTTCCTTAACTTCGGCCCTCCAGATGTTTTGAGACTACAGTTCCCATCATCCCTGACCGCTGGTCCTTCTAGCTAGGGATCATGGGAGTTGTAGGCCAAAAACATCTGGAGGGCCGAGGTTGAGGAAGCCTGCTGTAGGGCATTCAGAAGAAGAAAGTGGAGTCCAGTTGAACAGTTGGAAATCATTGCAGCATAGGATTCTACCCTTTTTTTTTGCAGTTTGGATAATCTTTTTTTTCTTGGAAGGGAAGTGCTAAGTAGCCTTTTCTTCTCTAGTTTTTAGTGGGTATGAAAGGTAAAGATGAAGCCATGGCTATTGGTGGACACTGGTCTCCCTCACTGGATGGACCTGAGCCAGAGAAGGACCCATCTGTGCTGATTAAAACTGCCATCCGTTGTTGCAGGGCTCTAACAGGGATTGATTTAAGTGTATGCACACAATGGTAAGTACTACATTCTTTAAAACATTTTGATGAAATAGCAGCATGCTTAAAATCCTCATGGAAATGATTTGGGCAAAATCAACCACTTCTTTATCAGCAGCTGGTAGTAGCTGTGCAAGCAAACTACTCAAAGTGATATCCTAGTTGACAACGCAAATGTGATTTTGGTGCCAAAAGGTTTGAAGAACAATGAACTTTAAATAATGTGTTTGTATTTGTTGTTTGAACTTTGCAATGCTTGTATGTTAAAATATTCTTTCATTTCACGCATAGCTGGAGGAGATCGCCAAGGAAACTTCATTTCATTATTCTCGTGTTTATAAATAATTAGATGTTTGGGGCAGCCATATTTTCTCTTGGTCAATTTACTACTTGTGTTAATCAGCTGTCGATCGCTTTGTGAATAAGTACCTTCCAACAATAAATACAAAAAAAAAGAGTTCAACTTTTATCTTTTATTTCCTCCCAAGTCAGATGAAATGGCACATTTTAGTGCCAAGTGCAAAAACAATTGCCTCCAGCTTTTTTAAATTTATTCCCTAGCAGATGTCTTATAATGCATTGTACACAAGTTTTTCAAAGAGAACATATGGCTTTCATATTTTTTTTCTTTAGAAAAAATTCAGGTTGTCGCAGCAAAGTTGCTTTACTTGATGTGCTACAGTGATCTAGGCTCTGTAAAATGTATTGTAGAATTTTTTTTCCAACATGCTTCTTCCCTTGCAACAGGTACCGTTTTGCAGAGATTCGCTACCATCGCCCTGAGGAGACCCACAAGGGGCGTACGGTTCCAGCTCATGTGGAGACAGTGGTTTTATTTTTCCCGGATGTTTGGCATTGCCTTCCCACCCGCTCAGAGTGGGAAACCCTCTCCCGAGGATACAAGCAGCAGCTGGTCGAGAAGCTTCAGGGTGAACGCAAGGAGGCTGATGGAGAACAGGCACTGAACGCTAATCCCTTTTTCTATTTCTGCTTCTCACAGGCGCAGGAACACAGGCACAAAATGCACACCACATGCTACACCGCAAACATACCTAGGAGGAACATAATTGGTAACAATGACTGGTAAACCAGCTTTCAGCAGTGTAGAACTTACTTGTGTTTAATTACAGCTAGTGTACCAACTTAAGTGTATACTGATGCAACAAGTGGAATTTAAGCTGTGCACTCCATGCACAAATCTTTGTAATCTTAGAACTAGTTGCTGGAATCTGGGACCAGTTATTGAGTTAAGATTTCAGTTTTAAAAGTTGTGTTAAGCATTTTGCTGTTCTACCAAAAAACAAAAAACTTTTATTTTTTCTCCCATGTGTTAGCCTTTTAAAAAATAATATTAATAATGGTACTTTGAAATAGGCAAGACATTGAAATAACATAGCCTAAAAGAATCTTATCTGGCTGATTGGCAACTTGGTAAATGTAAAAAGGTCTAACAAAATGAGGAGTATTTTGGGTGGTTTGAAAATTGGGGGATATCATACACTGTGTGGTTGGTGGTGACCAGCAGTGTCTGTGTGTCCCCGGTGATTTTTGTGTTGTTGTTCTTTATCACCCTTTTGTGTTTCACAGAGATGGCTCTTATTGGCTGATGAGAGAGGCACTGTTATAAACTAGTAGAATGTGTGTATGTGGCTTTGTTGAAATGGTAACTTTAGGAGAAGACTGTCTGATGAAACAGTTGTGGCCTTGCCCAGGTCAGCTGCAGAATTTAAGAAAGAATCATATTCATTTTGAAGCTTTCTGAAGGATGATGACTTTATTTCATTTTTTAGGATGAAGAGGAGAAGGATGATGGGGAAGCAAAAGAGATTTCTACTCCTACTCATTGGTCCAAACTTGACCCAAAGGCAATGAAGGTAACCATAGCTGAAGACTTCAGCATTACATTACATTACAAAGTCTAGTAAATATTGCAGTATTGTTTTTTTTCTGAAGGTAGTACAGTTATTGAGAATTTGTGTTGCTTTGATCTTTTTAAATGAGTGAAATCTATTAAAATTACTGATACAGATCACTGGGGAAAATCTATCATGAATTTATAAAAAATGAAGCTTTGTGATTTTTGCCAAGTTTTGCTTGCCTTATATTTCAGTAATTTGAGATGTGCTTTTCTCTGAATAGGTTTGATTATATAAATACTAAATTGTGAATTGAATGCTCACTGTAATATTTATCAACTAGGTTAATGACTTACGCAAAGAATTAGAAAGCCGAACTCTTAGCTCAAAGGGCTTGAAATCCCAGCTGATAGCCCGACTAACAAAGCAACTCAAAGTGGAAGAGCAGAAGGAAGAACAGAAAGAATTGGAGAAGTCTGAAAAGGAAGATGAAGAGGAGGAAGAGAGGAAGTCTGAAGATGACAAAGAGGTAGAAGTCTAGTGGATTTACTTAGGTAGAAAATGTTCATTAGTAAACGTTTAGTTCATTATTAAGCTGAACTTCAGGTGTGTTTGTGTGTGATAGGAAGATCTTCATAATAAGAGTAAGGACTGATCTTACGCATGCATATTGTAGTTGTTGGGGGCTGCTTTCTCATAACTTACTGCCATATCAATCCAAAAGCTACAGGGTCTTGTCCCCAGTGTTACCTAGCCCCTGAGGAAAGGTGGCAGTAGCATGGGAAGGAGCTGCTAAGCCATTTATGTCTACATCTCTATTTGTATGTGCATCTTCCTTGTTGCAATAAACATTGCTAGTGCTAAGAACACTAAATAACAGGGCTTGTTAAGTTACATTAGAGTTAAATAAATTTCCAGCCACAACGTAGTGCTGGTTAGGCCTTCGCTTCGTAGAGAAGAAATATGCTCTCCTTTTCCTCAAATGCAGAATACATAATCTCTCATCTCCTTAATCTTAGGTGTCTTAGGGTAAGAGAAATTGACCCGAGGATCTTGATCACTGAGTGAAAATTTGAACCTGGGTCTCGCCAGTCACTTCCATACTAGGCTGACTCTCCAGGTTCTGTCATGGAGTGTCCTCGCTAGCATGCATATAACATTCACATAGGGAAAGGGAATAGAAGTGTCCAGTAAACAACTGAGTATGTGGCTCTCCCCACTCCCCCTGCCTTTTCACCCTCCTCAAGAAGTATATATTTGAAGTTCATACTCTGACGTCTCCACTCCAAATTCCTTTTTTCAAATCTTTAGGAAGAAGAAAGGAAACGCTTAGAGGAAGTGGAACGCCAACGTCGAGAGAGGCGATACATCTTGCCTGATGAGCCAGCAATCATTGTGCATCCTAACTGGGCAGCCAAAAGCGGAAAGTTTGACTGCAGTATTATGTCTCTTAGTGTTCTTCTGGATTACAGGCTGGAGGATAACAAAGAGCATTCTTTTGAGGTCATCTCTTCACCTAACTTTCTCCCCTCACTATTTCTGAATAACTGCTTGCGTGATCACCCTTCTGATCACACGACATTGGATACAATTAATAAAGGTTCCCCTGTTCTCTTAGGAGTGCAGCCTCTCTGGCTTCAAGCTTTTGATTTTATGCCCTCATCTTGGTTCTGTGATGAGACAGGGCCAGCTCAATTACTTACGTCAGATTAAGAAAAAAGGACACTGTTTACCAGCAGTACAGCTGTGAAGCCTCCATTCATTTGAATTGGATTTGCACGAAGCTAGACTTCTGTGCTCCTGTTACAGTAAATAAATTATGACAATTATATCCCTCTCTTCTACTGTAGCATGGCACCATACATGTGGTGGCTTAGTGATCTTCAAGTGGGGCCTACTTTATAAGAAAATTGAACTTTGCCATGGAATCAGGGGATATAGTTGGGCAACTCCATATTTTGTAACTTCAGCCTGCCTTTCTGTAAAATGAGGATATGGTGAATTTCCTCACTAGAATTTTGTTTAAGCAAAAGAAAAGATTGCAAAACTGCAGAATTTCAAGTGCAAGGTTAATTTTTTATTTCTGCATTCTTTTAACGAACAGGGATTTTGATATTATTGCTTGTATTGAAGTTGAATATTATGTAACTTTTCTCAGGTGTTAATCACTTCTAGCAAAACCAGCAAAAAGTCTTGTGGCATGTTAAAAACTAATTTATTATGGCATGAGGTTTCATGGACCGTAGTCCATTTTTTCAGATGTATAAAGTGTTATCCTGAGTTGTAGGTATATTGAGGGTGGGGCATAGTACACAGTGAGGTAGAAGGAAATGAAATGCACGAAAGTACAAACAGAGTGTACTGTTAATTACATTTTAACAAGATTATGCAAGTGTACTGTTTGTAATTCTGTTTCGGTGCTTTGTTAATTCTAGTTTGTTGCTTCCTGTGCAGGTTTCATTATTTGCTGAACTTTTCAATGAAATGCTTCAAAGGGACTTTGGTGTCCGAATATACAGATCCCTCTTGTCGCTTCCAGATAAGGAAGATAAAAAAGATAAAAAGAACAAAAAAGATGAGAAGAAAGAGAAAAAGGAAGAACGAGATGATGAAAATGATGACCCAAAGCCTAAAAGAAGAAAATCTGGAGATGAGAGAGAAAGAAAAGATGAGAGGGATGACAGGAAGGTTAGTGGCCATTAGAAGAAAGAACTAATCAGCTGATGGATTAAGAACGGTTTGTGGAGGAAGGGCTTGTTACTACATTTCATCAGTTTTAATTTTATTTATCATGCTGCTTAATTTTATCAGATCTTGCCTGATAGGAATTCTATAACTGATTTCTTCCCCTTACAAGGAGTCCAAATTGTTACATGAAAAGAATAAATCCTCCCCTACCCCAGACAGTGACAACAACTGGAGCACTGCTTCAGCTTAATAATTTTCTGATATTGTTGGTTCACTCTTCAGGGCAAATAGGAAATACAGAAACGTAAGCAATATCATCATCCGTTTTCACATCCTCTTGCTAGGGGAATGGGATTGAATCCCAGATCTCTGTGATTTGTTTTAGAAACTTTTGCACCAAGGGTGAGATCCAGTGTTTTATGAATGGACTCCCCCTTCCTCTCCTCTCTGTGAACTCCAGAATCTGCTCCAGAGGGCTAAGGGTTCTTCTAGAGTGGATTTAGAGATATACAAAGGAGAACAGGGTAGAGGAGAAGAAGGGACATTACACAAGCAGAAACGGATTACTCAGTCGGGCAGACACAGTTGGATATCACCCCCAATTTGTGTGGTTGAAGGTTTTTTAATTACTGCTGCCAATAGTTGGATTGTGTTAATATTTGTGAACTAATTACAGAGAGAAGATAAGAGGAAGGATGATGCTAAAGATGAAGATGAAATGGAAGATGACAATAACCAGGAAGAATACGATCCAATGGAAGCAGAGGATGCTGAAGATGAAGATGATGGTATATGGGGATGATTACTCTAATTAAAAGGTGGCAGGTGCAGACAAAGGCAAAACTGTAGAGCCCTCAGTTATGTGTGTTGATTTACACTAGTGAATTTGCAGTGAGTAACAGACTGTGTACAATACTTCTATACCTTTTGATGTGAAGATCCAATCTATAAAACTACAATTATTACTTAAGATTATTGAACCAAAGTGGTCCAGAAGAGAAATAATATCTTTGGCACACGCGTGTTAACAGAACTGCTGCTGTTTCTTTCTATGTTGTAAGATGCCCTTAGCATCACGTGAGCTATGTGCATCTTCATTCTAAGATACAGTGGTGCCTCGCAAGACGAAATTAATCCGTTCCGCGAGTCTCTTCGTCTTGCGGTTTTTTCGTCTTGCGAAGCACGGCTATTAGCGGCTTAGCGGCTATTAACGGCTTAGCGGCTTTAAGAAAAAAGGAAACAAACTCGCAAGAACTCGCAAGACGTTTCGTCTTGCAAAGCAAGCCCATAGGGAAATTCGTCTTGAGGAACGACTCAAAAAACGGAAAACTCTTTCGTCTAGCGAGTTTTTCGTCTTGCGAGGCATTTGTCTTGCGGGGCACCACTGTATGTATAATAGCAGTATAAAGCGCTAATGTAATATGAATATGCTGAAGGTAATGTTTGTTTCCATAGATAGGGATGATGAGGAAATGAACAGACGAGATGACAGAAGAGAGGGAAACCGGCATTGCAAAGAGAGAGCTTCTAAAGATAAGGTATTTAGTGCTGTGAGTTTCTAACTGTGAATCGATGAAGATGCTAGAGAACTGGGAAGGAATAGCCTATCTGCCAAAACTGTCTTCATCAGTCTTAAGTTCTGTTTCCTGAAGGGTTTGTTTACTGGAGATAGTGTCAAAAACCAATTGAGGTGAAAACTCTCTCCATATTATGTAATATACTAGTAGCTCTGACCTGTAATCAGTGTGGGAACTAACTTCTGGAAACAACTTCTGTCAGATCCTGCTGCTCCTATCTCTTGTCCTCATAAATTGTATAACCATCTATGAAAGTACTTAGTGTTGTAGCGCTTTAGAAAATTTATATATATGCACATGCCTTTAAGGAAGCTGTACTGTACATATTTTCTAATACTGAAATAACTAATGGATAATAAAAAAGGGGGGAAAGCCTTATTGTTATAAAATGTGTTTTTTAGGAAAGAGACAAAACACAGATGATAACTGTTAACCGCGATCTTCTGATGGCTTTCGTTTATTTTGATCAATGCCATTGTGGATACCTTCTAGAAAAGGATTTGGAAGAGATACTGTACACACTTGGACTGCATCTCTCACGAGCTCAGGTTTGTTGCTAAAGCTGTATGGGAATGAAGAAAAGGGAAGGCCTTGCAGCGCTCAGTCTGCATCACTCTGGGTTTTTTTCCTCTGATTAACTGCAGTATAATAAAGAGAAATAAGACTTGTCCAGTCACTTTTTATACATCTGTATTTTCTTTGCTAGAGAAAAGGGAGGAAACAAGGGGGTGTTCATGACGAAAAAAATGATAAATGATTGAAGTCCACATGCATACAGAAGAATTTTATTGTCAATAATTTACGTAAAATTACTCTCTTGCTGTAAAATATTTCAAGCTTTGAGATTTGATTTTTTATGGCCTTTTTAAGGTATTGTAAAAATGTATTGCTTATATTATGCATGAGAATCATGCCTTTGTTGAGCAAACCATTAATGTGAATTTGGTCTCCTGCTATCTTAGGTTAAGAAGCTGCTTAATAAGGTGGTGCTTCGTGAATCTTGCTTTTATAGAAAACTGACGGATACTTCTAAAGATGAAGAAAATCAAGAAGAAATTGAAACTCCACAGGAAGAAATGCTAGGTGACACAATTTTGTTAGCTATGAAGACATGTCTACTATTATGTATGGTGAAATATCTTCTACCTGTGTCACTTTAATAGCATGTACTCTTTCTTCAACGTGGTAGGTAGTAAAGGCTGCAGCAGTGAAATTCAGAGAGGGGACCATTTTGAATGAGCAGAAGTCTGTGTGTGCTTGCACACGGCACATTTGGATCCCATCCTGTTTTTTCCATATTTTGCCAACATGACGATCTCAACACTATGGACAATCTGAAAGTTTTTTGAGTGGGAATTTTGCTCCTTATGTTGGGACTGAGGATGTGGGGGAGGGAAACATTTGTTTCACTCTTGGAATATGCGAGTACACTGGAATTCTTGAGAAAACGTGGGACTTTGCTAATTTTCTACTGTAGGAGTCTTGAAACTCACCAGACATGTCTGGTGGTGATGTTGATTTTAATGATATTTCTTAACCCCCTATAGGAAACAGGCTGCTGCTACCATCACCTGCTATTAAACAAGAACCAAGAAGCTCAGAAGAAAACGTTGGCCTCATTGTTTACAATGGAGCTATGGTGGATGTAGGGAGTCTCTTGCAGAAACTAGAGAAGAGTGAAAAAGCCCGAGCTGAGATGGAACAAAAGCTTCAGTCACTAGAAGAAAAGACAGGTGAGAGAGTGAGATTTGAATTATTGCTTCACACATTCAGAAAGGTTTATTATTAAAACAGAAAAATACTTTAAAGCTGAACAATTACAATTCCTATGAATTGGGTGGAGTGTATGAATACTCAGGTCTTCTGGCCTGAATAAAGAGGACACATCTTACCAAATCACATTACTAGCCCTGCTAGGTGATACAGCTGAATAATTAGGTACATGGCATCTTTAACGCTGCTTGTTCTGTAATGATTGAAGGAATATAGAAAAACTGAAAGTAAAAGATTAAGTGTTTTAAAATCTTTTTTTGGGGTTTTCAGATGAAGATGAAAAGACTATATTGAATTTGGAGAATCTGAATAAAGGTCTGTCTGCAGAACTTAAAGAAGTCAAAAAAGATGCAGGCCAGCTACAAGAGAATTTGAAGGCATCAGAAGATACAAATTTGCAGTTTGAGGGACAGCTGAATAAGACAATCAAAAGTTTGGCTACAGTTATGGATGAAATACACAGCGTTCTTAAAAAGGTAAAGGTTTTTCTAATTCTGGTCGGGATTCAACTAATCTGTTGGGTGGGCAAAGCGAGGCCTGCTTGTGCAACCAGACAAACTGCACTTTATTAAACTTTGCCTAACCATGGAGGGGCTGTGGCCTGGAGGGTGTTATGAAGGCCACACAGAGGCCTGTATTTGGATCCTGGGCCTGAGGTTCCCCATCCCTGTGAAAGAGGTGTATAAGATTAGGCATTGCATGGAGAAACTGGGTTGGGAGAAGTTTTTTCTTCCCCTGTTGTAATATTAGAACTCTTGGGTTCTAATGAAGCCGAATGTTGGAAGATTCAGGACAAACACAAAGAAAGTACTTCACACAGTGCATGGAACTCTCTTCCCCCAAGAGGTAGTGATGGCCACCAACTCAGATGACTTTAAACAAGGATTAGAAAAATACAGTACATGAAAAATAGAGCTGTTGATGGCTTATGTTCCCCTCCACTATTAAGAGGCAGCATGCCTCCAAATTCCAACTGCTGGGAATCAGAAGCGGAGAGAGTGCTGTTGTACTCAGATCTTGCTTTTAGATTTTCCTTAGGCATCTGGTTGGTCACTGTGCAAATAAGATGCTGGACTGTGGCCTGATCCAGCAGGGCTCTTCATATGTTTATATGATGAATACCCACTTCCATCAAAAAACAAGCCTTAAAGAGACACCGACTGTTTACTTGGAGACCCCACTGTGGTTCTTTAGTCAAGCCACATTGCAAGAGGAACAATATAGTCAATATCCTTTGGAGCCAATGGATACTGTCACACATTTGGAAGATAACACCCAAAATAACTTCAAGAAATTGAAATATTGCTTCAGTTATATTATTTTCTTGCCAGCCCTGGCATTGAAAGTGTGTATGTGGGAGGGAGAGGGGAGGGGAGGAAGAGGGAGAAAGAGTAGTAGGTTTGGTTTTTGTCTCCTAGCATATTAAAAATGTGCAAATATCTGTGATTTCACATTATGTAAAAGAGTAGTATTTGAAATTGTACTAGTATTTGCAACTATTGAAATCTGGTTTTCCTAGGTATTCAGGTATTCATTTTAAGTGTATAGTGTCATAGTTTGGCGCTTCAAGCACAAGACACAAAGATCCATGCTTATTAATCACTAAGTGGCTGATGACAGGTGATTAAAAAATAGTACCTGCTGTTAGCATGGGAATAATGCTGTATATGAATTTATACGTTACTTAGGGCTTCATTTGATATAACCCTTCATTAGTGTATTTCCTTCTTTTCTACAGGATATTGTGAAGATTGAAGATCAGAAATCCAAAGAAAATGGAGCAAATGTATGACAAACTTGCTGCTGCTGTGGGGAATATGGTGTCACATAATGTAATATAAATCATGAAACTGGAGTGTATGAAAGTGGTGCATGTTTGATTTGAGTAGTATAAATACCTTAGTCCAAGCAAAGGATGTAAAAAGTTTTATAAATGTGCGAGCCTGCTTCAAAGCATTGCTTGTAATTCATAGCTCTCAATTTATTAGACACTCCTTGAGTGAAAATAATTTTGCATTGCAAATATGTTTTAGGGCAAACTTCGTTATAGTTTGAATGCTAATAAAGTTCATCAATTTAATGGAAAGTAGCAAGTATTTAATTACCAAATGTTTTCCTTTTAAAGTCTAGTGGAGACTTTCCCCCCATTATTTATAGAAATGCCATTCTTAGGTTTTTATTTTAGTCTAATTAGCCTTTTTAAGTTCAGGTATAAATCATAGCATGCTGCTTAATTTTGCAAGTAAAGATTTTTAAAGAAAATTTTGAATTTCTTGTCACAGTTTCTTCCCTTTAAATCAAACCTTCTCACTTGGAAGTTGTTCTTATTACTGTTTTGGTGCCCAGTGATTAAGAAAAATAGTAAGGAACTTAGCAGAATGGTAAATTGGGATTTATATGAAAATACAGATTGGTTTTGTTATACATTTTTTATTATTACTGCGTTAATATACCAAACCCTTAAGTATGAAAATGTACAATTGCATAACTGGCCAGTAGATGTCACTATAATTCTTTATGGGGGTGGGCGTGGGGATTGCTACTACTTTTTTATTGGCTCTCATTAAACTGGTTGTTTATTTTCCAGTGTTAATTCATTAAGATTTCAAAAAGTCCAAGTGAGTAAAGTATTACGTGCCTTTCACACAACTTCTTAAAAGATCTAAATTTAAGAAGTGACATAGCATTTTTATTTAAGAGAGAGAGTATTTAAGAGAGAGAGTGTAGGTACATGAGCTTTACTCAAGTTAAGCAGGAACATGACCTTGGGGTTGTAATGGGCTACTCAGTGAAGATGTTGACCCAAGTGTGTGGCAGCTGTGGAGAAAAAGGCAAATTCTGCGCTAGGGAACCTTGGGGAAAGCACTGAAAATAAAGCTGCACCTGAAATAATAGGTATAGTTCTGGTTGCTGCACCTCACAAAGGATACCATAGAGCTGGAAAAGGTTCAGGAAATGGCAACCAAAATTTTAAAGTAGGTGGAGCAACTCCCCGATGAGGAAAAGGTTGCAGCAGTTGGGCTTTCTACCAGTGCAGTAGCAAGGTCTACACACGGATCGTTACATGGTGTACCGTCACTGCTTTCCTAAGCTCTGATCAAACCAAGTTAAGTGTGTAGAATTTAATGGTAATTTAATGCCTTGGATTTTGATTTGTAGAATATGGGAGTTTTTCTTTATGTGCCCGGTATTTTGAAAGCTGAGAGCACCATGCAGTTAAAACATACACAGAATGGAGAAAACTGGGGCACCGCAATGCTCAAAGCTTTTGTTGGTCGTTTGTTTAAATACAAGTCTTGTTGCTTAGTTGCTACCTATTTAGTTTCATGGTTCATGAAGACCTGTTGCAACCCATGAAGAGGAAAACATAAAAAGCAGTCCGCTTAGAGCACTCCCCTTTATTATTCATCCCTTTAACTGTACAGAATTAACTGTATTCGTTGGCCTAATTTCTTACCCATAACTCTATCTCAGTACTGTAGTAACGTTGGCAGCTTTTGTGATTGACCTAAATAAAAGGTCTGGTACATCTGCAGCAAACAATATGTGATTGGGGGTGGGGGTGGAAGTAAGGAGTCTATAGTCCGCAACCTTGCATAATTATTTTGCTGCCTCTGGTCCTCCTTGTTTTTCCTCGGGATTAACATTTTTTACATGCAGTTTTAATGTCTGGTTTCTGTAAGCCTGAGCCTATGAAATGTAAATGTCTTTTAGTGAGATTTGGGTTGTTGCTTCCCTCCTTTTACTCACGTGTTTGCATATTTGCCTTCCTGTTTCCTGTGACATTTAAAAATGGGAAAGCCCCCTTTGTAGGTTGACATTCTGAATTTTAAAGGATTATCCGGAGGACAGGGGAGAGAGACTACTGTCAAAGCCTTGAATGCTCCTTCACATGGACATATGTGATGATTTGTAAGTGTGAAATAACCGCTGCAGATCAAACACCACAAAGTTTGCGCATTTCCTTTAAAAAAAAACCACACACACTACAGTGAAGACTATTCACATCTTGGAGGTGTTGCGTGCTCTGTTCTTAATGTGGTATTTAATTTGCTTTGATTGCATTCTTTCATTTCAGATTTACTTTGGGTGACATCTAATGGTATTGGGTGACATCTAATGGTATTTCAGCTTGCACAGTAGAACTTTCCCTTCTTCCCCTTGTAGTCCCCCAAGGTGGGGAGAGCCTTTGAAGCAAATTTGGGGGTTGTGTGAGAGGCTTGGGGGAGGGAAGTATTGTCATGTTCATTTGCACAACACTGGATATCATGCATTGCTTTTTACTGTACATGGCCCAGAGATCTTTGTTTTATAGGGTGGCATATAAATGCCAAAAACAATGCGTTTGATGCTTATGCTATAGCAGTGCTCCAAATTAGTTGGCTCTGTCATGGAATTCATATCAGAATTGCAAATCCAGGGCTATAGCAAGGTGCATACCTGTCTTGTAGCGTGTACCTTCTTTTCCAAGATGCTGCAGCTAACTGCTTCCCCCCTTCTTGTAACAGCTGCTGCAGTTAGTGTCTTTTTCAGTATTATAAGTTTATTATGCTAAATTTGTTTTCTAAACAGATGGAAAACCCAGTTCATTTTGCTTGTCCTTAAGTTGTGTTTCTATTGCACATGCAAGGAGGTACATCATATCTTCATATAAAGAAGTTACCTGTTTTGATAGAGGAAGTTTGTTTTAGGCTTGCTAGCCCGCCCGCCCACTCTTAGCAATCTCTGTTGAGGATAGGACTGTTAAATTATTAAATCTATTCTGATTATTATTAAATTCACAGACCAATAATAGTTGGTGCAAATAGCCTCAGTGGCGAGAAGTGCCTTTTACCAGCTGCACCTGCTGTGATCATTCCTGGACCCAGAGAATTTGACCACCGTGGTTCAGGCGACTTCAATATTGTATTACTGTGGGGTTTCTCTTGTGCTTGGCCTGGAAACTAGTTAGTGCAAAATGCTGCAGCACAGTTGCTGACAGGAAAGGCACCTTTGCTCACAGATCTGCACTGGTTGCAGATTTGTTACCAGGCCAAGTCCAAGGTATAAAAAGACCTTAACTGGTACTGTTACTAGTGCCACAAAATACTTGCTCAGCAATTGTAAATATTCAGTCTTTTAGTGTGGCAGCACCTACACTTTGGAACGCTCGACATCAGGTAGAAACCTTCGCTCTACTCTTTGTTTTTGCAGGACTATCCAGACATGTAGATGCTGACATACTTTTAATTTTTTTTGGTTAATTTTAATTATTTTAAAATGCTTCATTGTTTCAGCTGTTTATTGATACTTTGTGTATTTCTTATGAAGAGTTTAGAAGTTTTCCTACAACAAAGTGTATATAAATTTTATTTTAAAAATTACACAATGAAAATAATGATCATCACAGAGGATCCAAAGAGTTCCTTACCATTTGCTTCCTAATTTGTGTTCAAAGTTTAAAATTGAATTTTTCGGTGGCATAGGAGGGTGATCCCTTAAACAGAAAGATGGTTTTGTAGGTATTCCAGGCTGTGTTCTTAATAAAAGGAAAAGTCAGCTTCTAAGGCCTCCTTTATACAATTTACAATATAAAAGGACATAACCCATGGATTCTACCTTTCTAGTTCCACATTGACATTCATTAGGTGCAATTGTATTAAATCAGCTGATAGAAAAACAGAGGGCAGACCATTAAGATGAATAAGCGTAAATGCCTCTCGTAAATTGCATTAAGAATGAAAGGAAAGAAAGGCACATACTGATGTCCCAACTTTGAAACTGAATCCCGATTACAAGAAAAAGAAAAGTCTTAAAAGGATCACTACTTACTCAATCACTACAAATAGTATAGAGAGAGAGAAGTCTGGATTTCAGGGAGGAATTGTTTGCTGCATATTCTTGTTCTGAGTGCTTTGCTATCATACATAAATAGCAATGTGAGAGACTTCTACTTTAAATTAAAATTAGTTCCCTCTTCGCCTTTCTTTTTTTATTAACTTGACTCCTTTGAGGGGCAGCCAAACACAGAAAAACTACTTTCTAAGAACCTGGTTAGAATAAGTATTAATTTGCAAAATTTTGCCACTTTTCTTTGATAATGAGTGTTTTGAAGTGTTGGGTCCTTCGTGTGAAAGAGAGTCCTTTTGGTTTAGCAATATTTACTGGCAGTTAACATTTCAGATGGGACGCGGGTGGCGCTGTGGGTTAAACCACAGAGCCTAGGACTTGCCGATCAGAAGGTCAGTGGTTCGAATCCCCACGACGGGGTGAGCTCCTGTTGCTCGGTCCCTGCTCCTGCCAACCGAGCAGTTCGAAAGCACGTCAAAAGTGCAAGTAGATCAATAGGTACCGCTCTGGCGGGAAGGTAAACGGCGTTTCCATGTGCTGCTCTGGTTCGCCAGAAGCGGCTTAGTCATGCTGGCCACATGACCCGGAAGCTCCTTTGGCCTATAGAGTGAGATGAGCGCACAACCCCAGAGTCGGTCACGACTGGACCTAATGGTCAGGGGTACCTTTACCTTTTAACATTTCAGAATTATCTTATTTTGCTTTTGGATAAGGAAAACTGTCTGGTTTATCATACTTTACACATTAGTTTTTCGATTAACTATTTTATTTGATCCAAGCACCATAAAATTATATAAAAAACACGTAAGCGTATATTCAGATTGTGTTCCATATGGCTGGGGTGAAACTTCTGGATTAAAATTAAAGGAAAGAAGTAGAGAACCGCCGGAGCATGATTTCTGTTCTCATCCTGAAGCAAAATTCTTAACCCGAGGTACTATTTCTGGGTTAGCCGAATCTGTAACCTGAAGCGTATGTAACCCGAGGCACCACTGTATTTGGATCCACCTGTATATCCAATTTACCTTCAGATTCTTTAAAGTGCGAGAAGGCATTCAGGGTACAGAACTGATGGTCCTTCAGATGTTGCTGGACTGTAACTTCCATTATCTCTGACCATTGGCCATAGGGCTGATGAAAGTTAGAGGACAAAAACATACGCAAGACCACAGATTCCCGACCTGTGAAGGAACAGCCCCCTTACAAGTTAAAGGGTGGCTGGAAGAGGGAAAGTTGGACTATGAACTCAATTGCTCCTTCATGAGACTCTGGGTGGCATCACTAATATGCGTTCATGCTTCTGCACTACTCTGTTGTAAGTGTTCCCCACAATCCTAGAGCAGTGTGTGTGAGTGTGTGTGTGTGCCCTTGATCTCTGCCAGGTGGAGGCATCTTTGGGTAGTCGGGGCTCTTCCCCCTGTGCCCCTTTCATCCCTCAGGTATTTGTATGCATATTCACCGCTTCACATTTTGGCACCTAGTACAGTGTTTCCCGGGTGGCGCTGTGGGTTAAACCACAGAGCCTAGGACTTGCCGATCAGAAGGTTGGCAGTTTGAATCCCCGTGACAGGGTGAGCTCCTGTTGTTCGGTCCCAGCTCCTGCCAACCTAGCAGTTCGAAAGCACGTCAAAGTGCAAGTAGATAAATAGGTACCGCTCCGGTGGGAAGGTAAACGGCGTTTCCATGCGCTGCTCTGGTTCGCCAGAAGCGGCTTAGTCATGCTGGCCACATGACCCGGAAGCTGTACGCCGGCTCCCTAGGCCAATAAAGCGAGATGAGCGCCGCAACCCCAGAGTCGGCCACGACTGGACCTAATGGTCAGGGGTCCCTTTACCTTAACCTTTTACAGTGTTTCCCAAACTTGGGTCATAATCTGTTTTTTGACTACAACTTCCATCATTCCTAGTTAACAGGAACAGTGGTCAGGGATGATGGGAATTGTAGTCCAAAAAAACAACAACAGATGGAGACCTAAGTTTGGGAAGCACTGATCTAGTGCATTTGCATGTAGGACACACCAGTAGAAGGAGTGATTTGAATAGGCTTTCTTGTCATCTGAAGAACAGAAAAGCCTACAGAATAATTATCCCATTTTCTCAGCTACACTTGAGAAGGAATTGGCTAACAGCCAGCCATATTTGCATAAAAAAGCCAAATGTGTTGCCCACAAATTCAACTTCTATATCATTGGAGACCAAAGTGCCAGATAGTGCAGGCTTAGATTATTAAAATTATTTTTTAATTAAAGGATTGGAAGATGGGAGGTGGCTCGATTGCTATGTTTCAAAATAAGTATCATCATTGTATTTAACTATAAGAGGAAAAGAACCAAACACGTGTATAAAAAAATTACCTTTCTACCGTTTTGTGCTAAGTCCTGATTAGAACAGAAATACTTGGGTTGGTCCTTTTTCTTATTCTTCCAATTGTAATACTTGGCAAGTATCATTAAATATAGGGACATATCTGACCCATATAAGCGTCTATCCATAACAAATGTGGAGTGTGCCATAATTGGAAAGCCTCCCCGTTCCCTTTGTTGGAAGCTAAAATCTATCTGGATACTTTTACTGAACAGATAAGCTTAGGGCTGAGACTTCAGCTTTTTAGGAGGACATATGACCACCCACTTGACAAATGGGGCACAAACACAAGATACTGGCTCAGCGCCCAATGCTGAGTCTTTAACCCTTCAGCAGCAGTATTTATGCCAACTGCTTTGTTAGCACAATGTGCCATAGGATTGGCCTTTTCTCAGTTTAAAATCCTGTTTAGATGTAATAATACAGCTTTACAAATAAGATACTTCATTTCACAAAATTTATACACTGCCTGATTGTAAAAAAAAAAGCCCTCAAAGTGGTTTGCAAAAAGAATAAAACATCTGAACAACTTCCAGCACAATCTAACCACAGCACCATCTTATTACATCTAACTTTACATTCTTCTAACTATGCCTATTCAGAAGTGAGTCCTATTGAATCCACTGGTGCTTACTCCTGAGTAAGCAGGTTTAAGATTGTGGTTTTCACAGTGGGATCATTATCTCTTAACATTTTGATCCTAAGCATATTTTTGTCTTAGTAACGGCTACTGACAGCCACAGAGCTTGTTTGAAACTATGGGTTGTACCCAATGCTAGTCCTACTCAGAGTAGATCCATTGAAATTAATGAACATGAGTACATAACTGACTTAGGCCCATTGGTTTGCTTTGAGTAAACCTAGTTGGATATCACCATAAGTGCATTTAGGACTGGAACATGTAAGGACCAATTCATTTTATGTGCAGGCAGTTGTAGTTGCTACTTAAGACACTGGTGCTTGTGGTGACACCTTACATTATGCAGCGGACATGTGCTAGGATGTACAAGGTGGTGTACAATATATACAATAAAAACAAAAATCCTCAAAACCAATACAATTATTAACATTTTTGGATAATCAAGAAAATATTTAAACAGCTGTATTAAAAGCTTGCTTCCAGAGCTCACGGTGGTGAAAGCCCCAAAAACCTTCAGTTGCCAAACCTGGAAATAAATCCTACTGAGTTTAATGGCGCTTACTCCCTAGTAAATCTGGTTAAGATTACAGCGCAATTCTATACAGTACATGTTTACTCAGAAATAAATCTCACTTCACAGTTCACTGGGATTTATTCCCATAGGACTATAGTTTTAATTAACTGTCAACTTAGGCAAAGATGCCCTGCTTCTCCCCCACCCCCCAAGTGTTAACTGGGTCTGTTCTGCTTGAGTTGCATTATTATTTTAAAATTGGGGGGGGGGACAGGGACAAATAACAATGCACCCATTCTAACACTTCTCCCAGCATATTATCATATATAGTTTTGATGTTAAAAGTAGGTAGAAAAATAATAAATGAAGTAGGAATGGTTGAGTAACACATCACTACTTACCCTTATGCCACTAAGTATATCCTGCAACTAAACAGCTATTAAAGCTTCTTATTGTGTAAGAAAATGTGAGCAATTTCATATAAAGATCCTTTTAAAATCCTAATGTACTATGTCGATAGCTTCCTAAATGGACGGGATTAATTTAATGTAAGTGCAGATGTAATAAAGTACAAAAGCTTTGGAGCGTAAGATGTGCATGCTGGTTTTTCAAGAATGTAATCTTCCAGCTGGATATAAAAATATGAATGACAGCAACACAAAGTTTCTATTATGGTCATCATCACAAAACACTTCTTTCTCAATCTCAACTGTAAAAATCTCAACTAAATATATATAAATATAAATATATATACACACTTTAAAAAACCAACATGGTGGAAGGACGCTCACAGAACCCAAACAACTAAATTGAAGTTCAGCTCAGAATGCTGAAGTATTCTGCAAATCAGCCGAACACTTTAAAAACAATTCCCAGTTCCAAAAATCACACAGAAATAAAAAAGGAGCCAATAACATGCAATTATCTCGTCATGACGAAGGTACATAAACATTTCTGTTCTCAGCATTAGCCCATTCTGCATCACTTGTGTTTTGTGCATGTCTGATGTGTCAAAGTATTGTGACGAGGACACTTTCTACTCTAGCAGCACCTTTGGTCTTTGAACAGCTAAAAATTGGCTGATGGTGCTGCATGTTTTTAAAGCATGATATATACTGGCGCACAAGGTCCTGGATGGTTTTGGGTCCCAAGTGCTGAGAACCTCCCTCAAGAAGCCCTACCAACCCGACCCTGGTGAGGACCTGCCCTTTGGCAGCCTGGCAAGAAAACGTGCGCGCGACCTCATTTGCCTACGGCCCTTCGAGGATGTTCAACGCAACTTAACGAGCCGTGTTCCCGCCGCGGCTTCGGCGGCGTTTGTTCCCAGGCAGGCGCGCGCGCGCTCGTAGGGTCGGAGCCTGACTGAAGGGGAGCAGGACCTGCCATTTCCAGAGGCGGGCAGGGGGGTCGGGCCGCAGCAGCGGCTCTCCGGCAGGCCCTGCCCACCGTGTGGAGACAGGCCCGCTCTTTCCCCGCCCCCTGCCAGCAAGGGCTCGGTTCGCTTGGTAGCGACCGCAGTAGCGGCGGGAATAACGGGCAGAGCCTGAGGCACCTCCAGGATGTCGCGGCCGCCTCGGCGCGCCGTGCAGCTGGCGCCGAGCTCTCTGGCCCTGGTGTTGCGCCGCCTGCAGCAGCACCAGCAGCACGAGGAGGAGGGAGAAGAGGCGGCGGCGGCTGCTGCCCCGGGCGAGCCCGAGGCGGAGAGCTGCAGCGACGAGGCGAGCGGCGCGGCCGTCTTCCAGGCGTTCCGGCGCGCCAACGCCGCCTGCTACTGGAACGGCGGTCTGGCGCGCGCCGTGTCGCGGGTGTGGCTGCAGGGCTGGCTGCGGGGCGGCGTGCTCTTGCTGCAGGGCCCCGCCGCCCCGCTGCAGCTCCTCCGCGACGCCTGGCTTCGCAGGGCGCTGCGCCCGCCCAAGGGCTTCCTCATCAGGGCTGTGGGTAAGCGAGCGAGCGAGCGCGCAAAGCAAGCCGGTTGGCCAAGCCAGGGGCGCAGCTTCACCAGATCACCTGCGCAGCTGGGGCTCCGAAAAGAAGCCAGCGCGCGTGCCCAGCTCCGTCAGATTCTCTCTTGGTTCCTCCCTTTACCTTGCGGGTCCGATCCTGGCTCCGTTCCTTTCTCTGCCGGATTCAACTAGAACCGACTCCTGGACTCTTTATTTGCCAGGTTTTGCTTTAAGCTGATTCTGGGCCCTTCAGGATTTTTGTTTGTTTAAGGATGCTCTGAGTCCTAAAGCACGTGTGATAGTAAGGAAGTGCGTCTTGAGCACATGCTGAGTGTTTTTCCCCAGCTCCAGACTCATGTACAGCCAGTTTTCTCGTCTCAGGGCTTCTGATGCTAGACCAACATACCCAAGCTAAGGAGTTTGGATCTGCCCAGGGCTTGGTTGAGAGACTACTTATGTTCCAGCTACATGTGGGGTTGTATACCTCACTGCTGTTTTGCTTGTGCAGAAGGCTTCCACTTCTGTGATGGAATGTTCCTCTCCCTAGAGGACCCTCTGGAGCAGATTCTGAGGGTGTGCATGCAGAGAAAAGGGAAGTCCCACTGCAAGAGTGGGACCCCATGCACAGTGTTGGTGATAAGCATTAGGGGTTGTTTTAAAAAGCCTGGTTGTGCCTTCTGCATGTGTAATGAACAGTTAATGTGTGAAGGGTGAACACAGACCTTATATAACATTTGGGAATGCAACATCAAGGGATGCTGGCTGGAACTGATGAACCTGATACAGCTACCAGGTGGAATTTGCTCTACGTGGGGACTATCCCTATGTGATGCATTGTGGTGTGGAATACTTTCTCTGGTACTAAAAACTCGCTCTCTTGTGTATGTTTGTGGTAGTGTAGACTGAATGGCCCTAATGAGGCACTGCATGTTAACGGTTCACTATGTAAATTCTTTTAAAGCAGCCTCCAAGCATACATCTGGGGTCTGCATGCATTCAGAAAAGGTTGCTTCCTTTCTCTCTCTTTCAACCCCTTCGTTCCATAATTCCAAACTCCTGTCCTTCTGTGTGGTGGGAAGCCCTTGACTACAGTAACTCTGGCAAAGAAACATAGGGCAAGAAGTAAGCTGTTATCCCTTAGAGGACCAAGGTTTTATTAAATAAAGAAACCAGTGGAAAGGAGCACCTGGACTAGGCATTTCTTCTTAGGCTTAAGTGATCTGAAGCAAAAAAAACCCAAACCAAACAAAAATCCTCCAATGTTTCCTGTCAGCTGGGGATGCCATTTTGACTGTAATCTCTTCATTGCCTAATACCTAATGGGTTCCTTAGCTCACAGAAAGAACCTTGCGGTCATGCTATTGTATGTAGGGTGGGGAGAGGGTAAACAAGGATTTGTCACACAATGTAGGCGCTCCGAAGGTTAATCTGTTCTTTTCTTGCTGTCTCTGTGGAGCTAGGGAGAGCATACTGCTTTTTAATTGAAAAAGAGGAAGGGTCTTTTATTTCAGAGAGAAATATGCTCCTCCGGGGGCACTCATGTGCCCTCTTGATAAACAACTAACTTCTTTAAAGAAAAGGGAAAAAAGGCATTCAAGCAGGATGAAAATATTCTTGTTTTAGCCACTGAGATGTTAGCAATCTTTTGCCTCGCCTCAGTAAAAGAATTTTTTAAAGACTTCCTACATAAACCTAGACACTTAAATATTTATATTTGTGTGGTTTCGCTTTGGTGAATATTAATCTCCCTTGGCCCTGCAAAATGGGGAGCTTGTGTGAGTTTGGTGACACCTGTGTGCATAGTAAACCCAGTATTGTAGAGAAAACATTGCTGTTGTCATAAATGTAGCAATATTCTGCCATACCCTCTGGTGTGGTACTCTTGGTGCCATATTAAGTAAAGGCAACATATAAAGGAAATGGTTACAAATGCAGAATTCTATAAACATTGTTTTAAGTTTTCACTTAACAGCTATCTCCTTGATCCTGCAATTGGATCCATATGGGAGACTCTGGTGCCCATACAGAGTCCTGCTGAAGTTAACCGCCAAGTAATACAATTCCTTCAGTGTTAGCTGTTCAGGAATTTCTTGCAAGTGGTCTCATATTCAAGTGCTGAAAATCCATTGAGAAGACGACTGCACAGCATCCTTTGTTTTAAAAAAACTTTCCCCATTAAAGTAGCTGAAAGTTAGTATTTCCAGGTTTCTTGCCTAATTCTACAACTCTGTTTATCTTAGTTTATTAATGTAGAATGAATGAGTTTCAAGAACTGTACTCGTGATGCTCTTATGTGACTTCTTATGTCCAGATGAAACAGGATGAGGCAAAAGTGCCTGATTATTTGGGAGTTATTCTCCTTCTTACTTCCTTGCTTCAGCCTCTGATTACCATCTTAATAAGGCTGGGATTGATATTGGTAGAATCTCTGGCTAATCATATCTGTAGGGGTTTCCTAATATTGTACTAACATCACGAACATTCTTAAGAAAAATGCCAAATATTAAGTGCTTCACATTTATCATTCTGTGCAACAAGTATGTAAGAATGGCCAGTTCTTGAGTCAGACTAGAAGGTGGCAAGGTCAGTGGGCATAATTTAGTTTGTTGTTGAACCCCTATATATAAAATGATGAGGTGAGACAACTTAAAGCACAACAGAGGCACCTATACTTTTCCACTACAAGGTTTCATTTTTAAATGAACAATCTCCTTAAGAATTACACTGATTTCTTCCCCGTGTCACTTGAGAAAGATTTACCTATCTTCTTGCCTGTGTGCTGGAATATTTTCTCTTTTTCTTTATCTGTTACATGCAAGAAACAGCTACCCTTTTACCCTTTGTGGTGTTTGTCATTAGTCGATAGGTATTTTATTGCAAGGGATGCGGGTGGCGCTATAGGTTAAACCACAGAGCCTAGGACTTGCCGATCAGAAGGTCAGCGGTTCGAATCCCCGCGATGGGGTCAGCTCCCGTTGCTTGGTCCCTGCTCCTGCCAACCTAGCAGTTTGAAAGCACATCAAAGTGCAAGTAGATAAATAGGTACCGCTCCGGCGAGAAGGTAAACGGCGTTTCCGTGCACTGCTCTGGTTCGCCAGAAGCGGCTTAGTCATGCTGGCCACATGACCCGGAAGCTGTACGTCAGCTCCCTCGGCCAATAAAGCGAGATGAGCACTGCAACCCCAGAGTCGGTCACGACTGGACCTAATGGTCAGGGGTCCCTTTACCTTTTATTTTATTGCAACATCAGTATTTTCACACATGCATGTCCATAACAAATGACAGTTGGATTATAGCAGGCGTAGGCAACCTAAGGCCCATGGGCCGGAAGTGGCCCATGGAGGCCGTTTAACCGGCTCACGAGCCACCCCCAAACCGAGCCGCCTGCTCGGCAAGTCCCCGCGCGCTGCGCTAAACCAGTGCAATGTGGGGACTCTCTTCCATGGCTCCAGATTTTCGGCATCTGGGTATGCATAGAAGCGATTTCTGGCGCCATGGACATGCGCAGATGTGATTTCTGGTATCACGCCGCACCGGTCTGGTCCATGGAGTATCTCCGCGGGAGTGATCCGGCCCATGCCCAGTAAGCCTTGCCGACCCCTAGATTACATTACTATACTGAGGCTTCCCTTAACAAAGCACAGAGAAGGGTGCTTTGGAGTTTGGATTACTGATTATCTTGGATCACTTTTGACATGGTAATGTGGCAGTCCGTAGAGTGGTCTTAGAAAAAGGTAACAGATGTGTTATGCACAGCAGTTAATCATTAAGCAATATCCTAGTTTTATGTCAATTTACAGGCTTGTTTGAGCCTGTGGATCTGAGGTGTATACATATTACAACAAACTACCTCAGCTTATAAAGTGGTAATTATTAACACTCGCACAGGAAAAATCGGAACAATAACTTTCTACAGAAGTGAAAGCTGAGAGCTGTTTATCCAGTGAGAGTCCTTTCAGGGCCCTTCCAGACGATAGTGTGCCCCCCTCCCTGTTTTATTCTTCATATCCCCATCTTGGTCCAGTGCCAGTGGCATGATAGCCAGCACCTGCGTAATGTACTGGGAGTGTAGCTTTGCACAGAAGGATAATATTTCTACTTCTCCCTCCCTTTTAAAAGGGGAAGATATGAAGTTCTGCACTAGAAAGGCAGAGTGCATAGCTTCCAGAAAGTTAAGGAAAAAGAAACCACAAGGACCTCAAAATTGCAGAGCCCTACTGGCAATACCTTTGTTTCAGTGTTAGAAACTCAGATAGATAAGCTAATTGCCAAATTGCACCTTAAACCTGGGTTATTGTTTAGGCACCATTTCCCCAATGCTGCTGCTGCTTCCTCTTCTTCTTCTTCTTCTTCTTCTTCTTCTTCTTCTATTAACAATGATGATAATAATAAATTTCTATATCGCTTTGTAATTTAAAGACAAAATCTCAAAGTGGTTTACAGCACATTAAAACATCAAATAAAACAATACAGAATAAAACAAATTCAAGCTTCAAAGAAAATATTTCAGACCCTTCTCTAAGTGACATGTTGCTTTCCCCATGTTTATTTACTACATAATTTATATCTGCCCCATAGCAGAAGTACCCTAGGAAGCAAGTGTGGTGTAGTGGTTAGAGTGCAGGACTAGGACCTGGGAGATCAGGGTTCAAATCCCCACTCAGTCATTAAGCTCTCTGAGTGACCTTGGGCCAATCACAGCCTATTAAGATACAACACAGGGTCGTTGTAGGGATTAACTGAGAAGAGGGGGTGAGCCATGTACTCTTTGGAGGAAAAGCGGGATATAAATGCAATAAATAAGCTCTTCTGCTAACCTGCTTAAGAAAGCTGGAGGAGCCAGCCAGATGGAGATGTCAACCTGGCATCCAGAGATCTCCACATGGTTGCAATTGGACCCGCACCAGTCGCAAAACGTGCCTGGCACCTGGTGCCTGGCTTATTTCTAATACTGCTTTGTTTTTTATGTTTTGTGGGCCATGGTGATATCCACAGAGTTCTCCTGTGCAAGCCTCATTACGATGCTCTTGTGGCATTCCTGTCTACAAGAATAGGATTTGTGCAGGACATTCCGCCGCTGTCCAGGCAAGCCAAGCCAAGGTGCTTTTCCCACACTTTTAATTTTACAACAGTTGAAAATATTGTGCTTTCAAAGCACAGGACTAACATTAGAGCTACATACCAAGCTACACAGGACAGACTCCTTTGGCCCAGTAAGCCATCTCCTCCTCTTACATCTGTTCCTTTGTGTTTTCCCGCTCCCTGTGATGTCTTTCATTCCTGCCTCATTCCATAAAAACATCCAGTTGCCTGTTGAACACGTTCCTGTGACTTGCCCCTGTGGCTTTTACCTTATAACGTGTTCCATATGTTTGCTGGGCTTTGAGTGAAATGGTTTCAATTTAAACCTGTGGTTCCTTTCACTAACCACCCCCACCCCAAATATATCCTTAAGGGCAAGAACAAGGCCTATGTTATATAGGAGCTTCAGGAACACAATCGTTTGCCGCTGACTTTTGTGCCTCATATTTTGATTGCTGAGCCCAAATAATCCTTCCTTCCTTCCTCGTTTTAGCTATTGCTTGGTATCGTGTTCTAGGTATTCCTGCGTATCCTCTGGAGTATTTTGGTTTTAGGTTTCTTCAAAAATCAATGGCCCCTTTCTGTTGCTGACACAGTAATTTAAAAGATATCAGTCCTGTGAGATGGCTTGTGCTTCATTTTCCTATTCTGCTACGCTTTCTTAGTCCTATTCAGAATTAGGACTGGTTCATATGATCACTAACCACACACACAGTTCCTTTGCCTTGCCCAGGACAATTTACTTGTGCCAAACTGAGGGCTCCAGCAGAGCCACAGAACAATGTGCCTAAGCATACTTTGTGTGTGTGTGGTGGAGCTCTCTTAAAATATTTGACATGGAACAATAGAAGTAGGGGTCCCCACAGAAAAGCAACCAGTAATGTGCTTAGTGGTTACATAAGCCAGCCATCTTTTGATACAACCTTAGTGGCACCAGATAACCTTTTTTGAGTTGAGGGGAAAACAGTGAGTTATGTAGCATGGCCTCTCATTCTCCTTTGTTTTCTTGGAATGAAAGTACAGCAGTAATTAGGGAGGCCCAAGTGCAACTCTCCACTTGGCCATGAAGCTCACCGGGTGACCATGGGCCATTCATCACCTCTCAGGGTAGCCTTTCTTACAGGGCTGCTATGAGGATAAAATGGTAATGGGGAGGAGGAAACCGTGTGTGCCATTTCCAGCTTCTTGGAGGAGAGGAATATAAATTAAAACAAGAAATTAATTAGCCTAAAAAGAGAGAAAGATTGTGCAACACACTGTTTCCTGCAGTACAGGCATCCCCCCACTTATGTGGGGGTTATGTTCTGGGCCCCTGCATGCAAAAGTGAAAATTGTGTAAGTGGGGGAGCATCCTCTAAACATAATTTAAATGCCCTCTCTGCATTTAAATCCAGCTTCCCTTTTTGACTGCAGCCCATTGTGTTGCACTGAACTTTTGAGGGTCCCCCAACTTTCAGTTTGTTTTGGGGGAGCACGAGAACCAAGGTTGGAAGGAGTGCCAGAAGATACCCTATCCCATAACACTTTAGATCCTAGCCACTATTTGTGGGGAATATTTATATGTTCATGAACCAGTTCTTTGCCCTTCTGTTAAAGGAACTGAGAAAATTTTCACCTGGTTAAGAATTAACCAACTTTTAATTGTCTGGTCTTGAAATTAAACCTTTATCTACAGAGGATAATAATTAAAAGGCAGAAAATTAACGGATATCAACTAGTGACCCTGTAATTAGTACTGGATTTAGGTTATTGATGATAGATGATGTTTGTGGTATGTTATGCTTAATAGTGAAATTGGTTCTATATGCCACAAAGGCTTGTTGTTAGTAAACAACTGTAATGCTGTCTTGGTTTGGTTTCAAAGTTGGGAACAGGTTTAGAAACGGCCCCCTCCCTGGTCCAAGTAGCACTCAATTTCAGTGACAGTTTTTTAATATTCATCTTTCATAATTTCTGTTTGAAATAAGATTTTGCCAGTGGCCATTTAAAAAAACCACCATAAAACAAGTAATAGGGGGGTAACGAGGGGGGGTAAGAAAGAAGTAATTGATAATGAGGGAAAGTGACAGCTTTGGTAATGGGAAATTAAAAAGTGTATCATCATTTTGAATATTTGGGCAGCATGTGCAGTCAGGAGCATTACAATGGGATGTTAAAATGCAAGGGAAACGTGTGTTTTGTTAGCACACCTGAGCTTTGCTTAAATGCCGAAATATTCATGAAACTTGTTCTAGCCACTTGTTCTGTGGGACGTGTCGTCTACCAATACCGCATGAGCTTAATGAGGGATGGCAAATGAGCAGACGGTTGTGTGTTTTTGTGCTGCTTGGATTCCTTCCATGACTGCCTGCCTTTCATCCGTGTTTTGAACCCACCTGGCAAACGAGCATAGGTTTGAAAACTCATGGCCCATTAATGCTGGACTTAAGAAGTCCTGTTTTGTTTTGAAAATCATTCATAATCATTTCATGCATTCGTACGTTTTAATGATACTCCTATGAAAAACATCGTCTGAAATCCACAGAATATCCTTGTAATGGATCAAATAGTTGCTGAAACAGTCTTTCAAATACTTTTGCTAATGCTGGTTGCTTCTGCCTCATTAAAAGGCTAGCCAGGGAAGGCCTGCAAGCAGGTCAAAATGGAAACAACCAACCCTGTTTGTTCGCACCATGTGGAACTTAAGAGGTATACTACATCGTAACATACTGTCTAAGCTCCTGAATTGATCTGAGCCTTCTCTTTATGCTGTTGGCAAGAACAACATCCTGTGACAATTAACAGAGTAGGGAGTTTGTTTTAAATCTGTGCTTCTTGGTTTGAAATAAAACAAAACTAACCAGTTTTGGCCACAGGGAGAGGTGGCGGGGGGGGGGCGGGAGGATGGGGATGAAAGCCATGGTCTTTAAAAAGTAGGTGGGGGTTGGTTGGTTGGAAATTAACTTTGAGCATCAGTCATTATTCACCTATTTAAATCCTGAGTTAATCCTATACTCCTGTTAATGGAGGATAAGGATTTATTTGATCCATTTGACTGGTGAGGCAAGAGAAAGCCAGTCACCTAATAAATCGCCTATCACTGCCAGACAGATCTGTGAATACTCTCATTGCACCTTTTCTCTCTCTCCCTTTTAATTAGCAGATGAGTTAATAGAGGACTAAGTGTGTGTTGCAATCTGCAGCACGATGACATACCATCATATGTTGATGTAATCTAAAAATGTGGAATTAAGCATAAATACATTCAAGCAAGCAATTGAACAGTGGTCAAGGTAGTTGTTTAACTGAGCAGAGATGCCCAAGTACAGTCATACCTCGGGATGAATACACTTCAGCTTAAATATTTTCGGGTTGCGCTCTGCGGCGACCCGGAAGTAACGAAGCACGTTACTTCTGGGTTTCGCCACTCACGCATGCACAAACGCTCAAAATTATGTCACGCGCATGCGCGGAAGCGGCAAAACGCGGCACGCGCAGATGCACAGTCCCGTCCTATGCTCGCTTCAGGATGCGAATGGGGCTCTGGAATGGATCCCATTCGCATCCAGCGGTACCACTGTAATCGATTAGGCTTTGTTCTCATACTTCTTTTATCACAACTTTAATAAGTGAAATGATTGCAAAAGCATCCTTATCTAATACATGGTGCTTTATAAGTCATCAAATCCAGTTACATCATGGTACAGTAGAAGGTTTTGGTTATTTTAATTTACTTGGATGATCTGGTGCCAATTTAAAAAAAAATTAATTAACAAGCTTTATATACCACTTAATCATGAAAACTAAGCGGTTTACATGAAACTGAAGTCAAACCTAACTTATGTAGCAGCTAACCAAACACTGCAGCATTGAAGAGAATATAGTAGGAAGGAAGCTCATAAGCAGGAATTTTGGGGTTTGCCATTTATCCTAAGCAAATGGACTCTACAAAGTTGAAGTCCAAGGCAGCAGTTAAGCAGTAGAATAAGGGACAGGCAGAGCAGGAAGGAGGGCAAGGTTGCAGTGAATCGGTCCAGCAAGTTGCTGCAGGAAAGTCCTAACAGTGATCACCAATGGTCCTAAACTGGCCTGGAAGAATTTACAGCTTCATTTAAAACTCCTAGCCAATTGGGAGACTTGGAGCTTCTATTTAATATGATTCCTCATTCATGAAGCTCTTTGAGTTACAAATTCAAATGAAGACTTGCTACATTATTAAAATACTAATTAAATGTGGCCCAAATCCAAAGAAAGCTTAATATACAATTGAAATCAGGAGGACCTGTTACTTGCTGCTATTAAATGTCCCATTAAGTTCAATGGGACCTCATAGTGTGAGTTTCTTTGGATCTGAGTTCAATGCAAAACATTGTGTTAGAAGAACTGGGGCAGTGGAAGTACTAGAGGCAAAAGGGCAGAGGTCTTATGTAGAATGGAGCATTTTTAGAAGAAAGGAGGACATTGTCAAGTTTGTGCTCCATCCTGATCTTCAGTTGTAACCCCCCACCCCAGGAAGCTGGTCCTGTAAGGAATAAATTATTAATTCAGATGTCCAGATATAAATAAATAGAAGCACCAGCTCCTCAAAAGATACAATGCACAAAACGCAATTTCACAAAGTTATACAAATGTCTACAGCCAATCTAAAAACAAGAAAGAGGAAGCTACACTTTACAGAGCCATCCTTTCCCTAAGATTCAAAGATTGCTGGAGAGTGTTAGGATAAGGCAGAAATGCCTCTCCACTGGTGGAAAGGAGCTTTGCCCAGGAGGGCAAGGGACATCTACTACACCCACGAAAAGCTCCTCTGGCATTGCCTGCAGTAGCTAACATGAGGGCCTGAAATGACATTCTGTGGGCTGGAATCAAAGGAGTCTCTTCATTCCTCCAAGAGGCTTCAGGATTGGGCTCATCAACTACACCACATTGACGCTGTCATAGTCAATTCTCCCTCACTGCTTTCAGTGGGGTAGACGGCTTTACAAAATATGGATTATCTGGGCCAAAAAAAGAAAGACACCCCCTCGCAACATGTCTTGCTTTGTAATTGGTTGACAATCTCCCACTTCACTCCCACCACCACCACATATTTATTATATATTTATTTTATTTGCCACTTTCTACCCAAGTCCGAGTGATTTGCAGCAGTAAAATTAACACAAATACGGTTCATGCAAGTACAAAAGTTAAGATCAATAGCGGCACACTAAAAGTGACCATTCACTAAAATCATCCTGCCCTTTTAACAGGGAGTGCTCCACCTTTCAGCTTATAATGTCAAGTTGCCACTGATGCTTCCAGTTACCATCTGGCAGGAGCTTATATTTCTCTAAGCATTTATTGTTTTGCAGTGGTCCAAATGACATAATTAGCAACCCGTTCTGTTATGTGACTTGGAAATCTCACCACCACATTTCAAAACCTGTTAGAATTCGCCTTTAGTTTCTAACGGCTAGGGCTATATTTATTCCTCACACATACAATCTAGCTGTGGCTCTCTGGTAGTGTCAGCTTGCTTCCTTTTCTTTTTCGAGAAAAGTTGCTTGTCCTCATTACCACTCAGTGCATAAGGGAGGTGCTCCAAAAGGATCTCTTAAAATTGGGTAAATGGGTATTAAAATGGAAAATATGATTCAATTAAAAGTGATGTACCTGGGACAAGAAATCCTAACTTCACTTATGCATTAATAGAGTCTGGACTGGTAGTTCCTGGCCAGGAAATAGATGTTGGAGTCGTGATAGCTCAGGCTTCCTCAACTTCGGCCCTCCAGATGTTTTTGGCCTACAACTCCCATGATCCCTAGCTAGCAGGACCAGTGGTCAGGGATGATCGGAATTGTAGTCTCAAAACATCTGGAGGGCTGAAGTTGAAGAAGCCTGTGATAGCTGAATGAAAATGACCTATTTATCTTTGTGCTGCTGATGAAAACTGATTTAGACTGCACACTTACCTGGAAGTAAGCCTTATTTAAAACAATGGTACTTACTTCTGAGAAGACGTGTATACTGTTTGCTGGGCGCAAACACAGCAGCTGCTTTTTTGGAGGAGGATAATTTAGTGCAAGGGAAGCGAACAAACAAAAACCTTTATCAATAAATAAATAAATTTCACACACACCACCTCTGTGGCTGCTATAAAGTAAAAAACAAACTGTTGTGAGATGCAGTTTTAGATCTTCCAAGTCTCCTGTAATTTACTCCTAAGCATAATCAGTATTGTGAACTACCAAGTATGTTCAGCTTTAATAACCTTAAGTTAAAGTTGAGCTCTAGTGTACAGCAGATCTGTTGACCATAACAGATATGCGCCGACTCGCTCTACATCTGAATCGGAATGTTGAAGGGAAGACAGAAATGTGCTACCTGCCCAGTGGAGGCACCATTAATCCAGCAACACTCAAGTTACAAGGACAGAACAAAACATCTTTTTATGTTGGTGAAGCGTATCTGGAGACTTTTTGTTCCCTATGTTTTGTTATCTGACTCTTGTATTGCAGATGACTTTCCCACATTGAGTTTCGGTATATGCTCTGAAAATGCGTTCTCGGATTTCGCATGTGTAAACAATTATCTGTGTTTGAGTAGACTGGTAAAATCATTTGAGGGTCAATAATACATGAATTTTTGGCAGGTTGCCTAGGCTGGAGTTTGTGAAGTTCTTTTTTTTTTTTTTAAGTTACTTTGCTCACTGTAGAAGTTGAGCTGTATTTTTGCAATCAGTGGGGCTTGCATTTGCTGTACCTGATGGGTGCCAGGTTCCTTTGTTCTGGGCCAAAACAAATATTTTTGTTAAGCTTTAAATATATTGTTATGAGAAGTGCCATGCCAGGAGGTGTGTTTCATTTCTGCCACCACAGAATGGTAAGCACTATATTCCTGTTGGTAACCAACCAATAATTGCTAGGTGCATGGGTTTCTGGTGCCAGGTCAACATATTTATAGAATTGTTGAAGCAGATATATGACTTTATGTTCCCATTTGTACAGACACCAAACTAGATGTGTGGATACACCAGTGAGTGGAATACTTTCTAAGTAAAGATGGTACTTCTGAAAGCTGATGGTACAGACTTGTGCAAACAGAAGTCCTCATGCAGGGCTTCTGCTGATGGGACTTGTTAGGTGCATCCTGCTCAAAGTGTTTGCAATCCAAAATAGCTATGGATATGAACAATGACCCCAACTGTTGTGATGTGTGTGTTTATCCCCTATACAATTCATTTGTGTAGATTAACCTTTATAAACAGATAATCTTGATCTTTCAAGATGCCCTTTCATGATGGGTCCTGCTGTGTTTGTTAAGCTGAAAAAAAAGAGGGCTTGAGCAATGTGTTAACAATAGCCCGAGAAGTGTCATTGGGAAGAAATTATGCCACCACACATGCTGATGCTGGTCTACCTTTTGTCTGGAACCTTGGCTTTTCCTGGAAAACTAACTTTGTAATACTGTCAAAGATAGAAAATAGCCATTTTAAGGTGTGCTTTGCAATAAACTGTGAAACCAGCTTTTCCATTTACAGTAACTAGCACCAATGTTATACTATTCACAGTGTTTTTTTCTTGAATTCCCATTCCACACAAAGCAAGCTGACACTGATTTATACACCTGCTGGTAGTAGCTTAGCAACGTCATAGAGGAAATTCTTAGGAACTTCTCTAAACACATTCTGTTAAACAGAACCATTGCCAGTTGTAAAACAGAGGTCAAGAAGTGTTTAACAACTTCTTCAAAAGGGACTGTTGTTTATTTTGTTGACTTAAAGAGAAAATAATCCTAAAGAGACCTTTTCTTGCCCTAGCTGTAACACAACACAGCTGTTTTGAGTAGGCTACATTTAATTTAAACCTCAATTATATAGCATTACTCATTGAATTGCATAAATGTCTTGGGAAGAGTCCTGTAACACCTTCTAAAATGTTTAAACAGACTGTTTCACATAGTTCCAAGGAAAACTTGGTGTTTTCACTTCATATGGTATGTATTTGGGGAGAAACCAGAGAACTTAAGTGATGGTCTAAGCATCCGAAGACACATATCTGCCTGCAGTATCTGCTTAACATGCTTCAAGATGTTTGTTTTTGAGCTAATAATTGCTAAAATGGCTTTTATTTCTTTAGAACTATGATCATTTATCCATCATGCTGAAGCTAAAAGAAGCCAACGGTTTGAAAGGGCAATGGGGGGGCGGAGAGAAATACTGTATTCCAGAGTAGAAAGGAAGTTCATTTCTTTTCCCCCCACCCCTCTCTATTCCTTTTAGGAGATGTATCTCCAGTGCACATGAATCCCATTTCACAGTCCCAGTTCGTTCCTTTGGCAGAAGTCTTGTGTTGTGCTATATCTGATATGAATGCAGCTCAAATTACCGTTACACAGGAAACCTTACTGGATCAGCTGGGGAAACATTACCCAGGTAATCTGTTAAATCATGGGTTGTTGACACTTCACATAAACATTGGACTCAAGGGGGTTTGCAGCTAGCAGAGTGAAAGAATGCATGTTGTCTGGGACCAGAAAAGCAATTAGAATTCCCTTTGTAAATCAGCAGATGAAAAACAAAACACAGGATCTAAGTGTTCTAACTCACACTGCATTACAAATCCAGGCTGCCAGCTTGCAGTCATCAAAATTCATGGGGGTTGGGGGGAATTAAATATCAGGAGCATAAAGATGGTTGTGTGAAAAGAATGTGGGCAAAGAATATACCAGATGAGCAAACCTACATGATACATGTGTTTGTCACAGTAACACTTTCCATTTTCAGTATATTATATTTACATCCAAAAACTTTTAAGTAGTCTTTAGTGTGTGTATTTATTTTTTTTAAAAGATCCCTCATTAGGCAGCACCCAGGTGCCTAATAATATAATATCCAACTTTCCTTCACACTTGAGCACAGGAATGAGAAGCCTGCGTCCCTCCATACTTTGTTGGATTTCATCTCCTATCAGCTGCAGCCAGGACAGCCAATGGTCAGAGATGGGAGCTGTAGTTTAACAACATCTGGGGGGCCACAGGTTGTGTTCCCCTACCCCAGCCTTAGCATGAGTGAGAAACAGAACCCAGGATGAAGCAGTGCAGATATGAGATGGGTTGATTCTCAGCGGCTGAAACCACTAGAGATGGAGCAGATCCATACACCTCTTTTTACTTCCCCCTCATCAGAATGAATGGCAGCCATTCTGTGTGGCAAAAGTAGCATGCTGGAGACAGCTGTAAATACTGGCACTGAATGGCCTGGCCCTTGTACACTTTGTGTCTGCAGCATGGAGAGCATGCAGGAACCTCCCCGCAAGAGACTCCTGTGTCAGTCTTCCTTCCATGTATGTCCCACACATCATAACTGCAGGCAGTTTGCTGATTTACAAATAAATGGATGTTATGAGGCTTCACCTTTACAAATCACCCTTTGCTGAACTGGAGCGGTAAACTTGCCTTTTGCTTAGTCTAATTGAGGGAAATGAAGTTGTGGGAGGTGGCTGAATGAGTTTAGCTACATCTGTGCAGAATGTGCCTTTCCCTCCTGGACTGTGGCAGAAATCAGAACCTGACTGCACTTCCACTTTTGGGTCCAAGCACTTTTCTTGGCTGCAAATATATTGGCAAACTGCCAATTCTGCACTTTGCTTTGCTTTGTTGTACTGCAATGTACTGCTCACACTCTTGAGTCAAAATTTGCTACTAATCTGAAGGGAATTGTAGGATGTCAATGCTGAGTAAGCCTCCTTTGCCCTACTAAGTGTGTTTGCTTCTTAATCCTAAAAATGGCTCAGTAATTTGTGTGGGAGGGGTTTCACTAGCCATGCTGGGGACTCGAATGAGCCTGTAAGGATTGATGAAGGATTTTGTCTGCAGGTCACGCATTTGAAAACCCTTCTGTTTGGAAGCATTCTAAATGAGTATTTTATTGTTCATGTTTTAAAGCAACCCCTTTAGTGTGTATTTGCTGCCCCCTCTTGTCCAACCGGGAGAAGGCATATTGCCTTTAGCATTAAAGGAAGACAATTGTTCCATATAAAAATCTATGGTGCATCCATATGAATAAGTTAAAGTCAGAAATCAGTTAGCTGTAAGCAATCCTCCCCCCCTTTTCCATTTGGAGAAAGATTGGGGCTGCAGTTGTATGTGCACTTACTCAGGAACAATTCCCATGAAACACAACAGTAATTTATTCTGAGAAAGCACACACAGGAGCAGGCTATAACAGTGGTTTACAGCATAAATTTGTTCTGACCCAGAAATGTGGTAAGAGTTATAAACTATTTTTCATATTGACTGCCACAGAAATGACTAATATTATACTATCATCCCTTTTATTCTAGGTATTGCAACTCCCACACATGATATTCTATATAGTACACTTGGGATGCTAATTAAAGAACGGAAGATATATCACACTGGGGAAGGATATTTCATAGTGACCCCAAATACCTATTTTATCTGTAATAATGCTATGAAAAACAACAAGAGGGTCCTTTTGGAAGATAATTGCCCTCAAGAGCCTTCTGTTACATACCTTGTAAGCGTGGAAGATGCTGCAGAACTTCTACAAAATAATTTCCCTATTGCATCCCATTGCAGATCCTGCCATTGTTTCCCTGGGCAGACTGCAGTCAGTGAGCAACATGTCAGCCCTCAGCCTAATGGGAAAAGTCAAAAAGGGTCTTGTGAATCCAGATTTTCAGTTCAGAATCAGGCCACCAATACACTTGTTGAGAACCGTTCCTGTGAAGCTGCTCACTATATGCAGTCGGGGAAAGAGAAGGAGAAGATTAAGAAGTTTGGTCTTAGCCTTTTCTGGCGCAACACTTCCAAGAAAGAAAAACCAAAAAAAGTGCACACTTCATTTTCCGCCCAGTTTCCTCCTGAAGAATGGCCAGTCAGGGATGAAGATAATTTGGATAATATCCCACGTGATGTTGAACATGAAATTATCAAACGCATTAACCCTGTGCTGACTGTGGACAACTTAACCAAGCACACTGCACTGATGCAGAAAATAGAGGAGCAGAAAAAATATATCAGTAAAGGAACCTCTACAGAAGTGTTGACAATGAAGCACAAACATCTTCCCAAAGGGTTCACTCAGAAAAAACAAAGTAAAGCTGCAAAGCATCGCAGGAAACTGCAGTCCAACAAAGAAAAGCACGTTAATAAGTCATCAAGGGAGTTTAAAAGTGATGACCAAATACCAGCTAATAGCAAACTGGAAAACTGTATTGAACACCCATCATCTTGTATTACAAATGAAACTATAGTTTGCAATCAGCAGTTGTGTGAGGATGCAATGAATGTTGAATCTCACTTTATATACAAAAAAGAAGTTACTAATCCATTTAAAGATATTTCTTGTAAAGGGAATAGGTCAGCGAAAGGACATAGGAGTCAGAAAAACTATGATGTAAAGTTCGGAGCTCCAAGATCAGAGAAGAATTTCCCACAGTCCTGGTCTCTGGATTCCTCAAGAACTGTGGACTGTAAAGCTAAGCAGTCAGCCAGCATCAAATGTGATGCTGAAGTCGACAAAATGAAACAGTTAAATTACCTACAATGCAAGGTTTTACAAAAAGAAGTCAAATATAGTTGTCTGGAGGAAAGTGCAGCTTGCAAAGGTAATTTGCATAGAAGGGCAACCCCAAAAAGTATGGAGATGCAGGCAGTGTCTAACACCTCTGCTGCATTTGTGGATGAAGTAGTAGTGGAGAAAACGCATCCTCAGAACTCCAGTCAAACTCACCAGTGTGATCAAACTGGCTTGCTGGGTCAAACAGCACACCAACTAACTGATACCCATCTTCCCAGTGAGGCAGATGCTCAACAATTTAAACAATCTGAAAATATTGTTGCTCACAGACAAAATGACAATTTAAAGAGTGAGTGTACTAACATGAACAAATGGCTTGAGTCTGTTAACCCACAAAATGAAAGATTCACTTATGATAAACCGACTCCGTATCAAGAATTGGATGATGCTAACACTTGTAGTTCTCTATATCATGGTGATGAAGAGCAACATGATGTGGATTTGTCCAAGCTGCAATCCAGCCAACTCCCATATAATTCTTCCGATACAGGGAAGTGGAACAGCATACAACAAGATCTGGGCTCAACTGTGTTGGGAAATGGAAGTGTTAATTCTCACTTCTCAAGGTACAGAATTGACACAGATGGCGTTGGTCCCTGTGAGTGTGAAGAAAATGAATTCCTTGGTTTTTCTAGATCTAAGGATAGCTTAAAAGAGTATCAGAAGATGAGCCTAGAAGGAGGAAGTTGTGTGTGCCACCAGCTATCTCAGTTTGCCTACAAAAGCAATGAAGAGCGAGAGGATGTTTATGAACATGGGCAGACACCTGATACTGCTGAACCCTGTTTGTTTGATTTCTATGATGTGCATGAGGCAGAGACCAGAGTTTGGCAGAAGTCAGTAAATGAAGTGGGTGGAAAATTAGCATCCTTGATGCTGCCACCAAAAGGCTGGGAAATTAAGACAAATGATACGAGAAAGCAACAGTTGTTGGATAAAACAGATGCTGCAGTTCTAGATCAGTGTGTCCAGTATGAGCAAAACCACTTGGAAGGGATGGGAAACCACAGCATAACAGGAGACAGCGGAATAGATTCTCCAAGGTAAGAACAACTGTTACAAGTGACTTTCTTAAACACAAAGAATGTTAATGGTATTTCTTGTACACATATGTGAATCGTACTTTAAGGGGTTTTTTAACAGGGCCTTCAGCTCTGCACTGGAAAAATGCAGATTGCCTATTGGCATAGATAACTCTCAACTCTGTTCACATGGGCCTTTCAGGACCTTGCAAGGCTGGGAAAGCACAGTCCTATAATGAAACATGGCATTTTCCTTGTCCTTGAAGGCAAGGAGTCCTCATGAATGCTTGGATAACTTTGCCCACTTAAACAACCTTTTAAATACAATGCTATAATTGTCACGTGTGTATGAATGGTCAAATCATGTATACCACTACCAAATTCTGAATGGCAAAGGTAGGCCATTGTATTCAGTCAATTCTGATGTAAGGGACCTTACGAAATGCCCAAGTGTCTGCAGGGGATGGCAGGTGGTAGTACAGAGTACTCTTACTGCAGCACAGCAGGTGGAAGAAGTCCTCTTCTCAGTACTGTCACTGTACACTTGCTTCTGTTGCTCAGGAACAGCACTGATAAAGAAAAGCGGAAATCGGGAAGGCAAGAAAAGGCCAGGCAAGATATCCCAGTAAGTGGGTCTGGGTAAACTGTCGAGTTAAATGATGTATACTATCCTTCACCAACCTGGTGCCCTCCAGATGTTTTTGGCTGTGGCTGATGGGAGTTGTAGTCCAAAACATCAGGAGGGCATCAGGTTGGTGAAGGATGATGTATAAGGAACACTTGCTGGCTGCATCATATTATGACTCCATATTCCTTACCCTTCAATTGAAATAAATACTATAATTTCCATAATATTCTTGAGCTGATTCAAAATAAAGATGACTTTTTTGTACTTGTGTGCCACCCAGTATTTCTTTTAGTAATTTATGGAGAAATAAGTCACTCTGAATGTTTGAATATGGAAAAATAGGTTTCTTATTTAATCTTCTGTTTTACAAAATAATAATTTTTAGAACACAAAGTCTGGCATCTGCGAATTCTGCCATCTTAGATGGACTGAAGAAAAGACGAAGTTTTCTCATGAACTTGGAAGGCATAGAGAAGACTATACATAATGGAAAGACTCTGACACGAAGCTCCTTGCTTCAGTTAACTCCAGTCATGAACGTTTAATTTTTCTTATCAGGTTTTGATAATTCCTTTGTAAATATGTTAATATTTACAATATATGTTTACTGTAAATTCTTTGAACTGTCATATACATTAAAGTAGGTAAGATCATTATATTCTCGTAATAAGATGTATTAAAACTTTGTAATAAGCATTTTTCCCCCAGTGACTTTTTCTAATGTTTTATTTCTAGTAATAAATTATATTGCAGAATTGATGATCTCGTTGCACTTCATTCCGATTGTCTCCACAAACCATTTAGGATGCCAACTTGTTCCAAGAGTCCCATGACTGTGCTAGATCAGTCCAAGCAATGATCCTAAGGGTATTTACTGATGCACCTCAAACCAGGAGTTAGTGCGCACACACATACGCATTCACACAAACACACACCCTTAGCTGTGCAGTGACTCCAGTGAATTTGGTGGTCAGGATAGTAGTCCCATCTTCACATAACACAAGTTTATTTCAATTTGCTGCTACAAGGTGAGATGATGGCCACTGGCTCAGATGCGTTTTAAAGGGAATTAGGCAAATTCACAGAGTACAAGTCTAGCTGATTTTAGCCATAACAGTTAACTAGAATATCTGTGTTCAGAGGCAGTGTGTCTGAATACCAGCTGCTGAGGACATACAATATAGAAGAGAGCTGTTGCCTGGTTGGTTACTGTGGGAAGCAGTAGAATGCTGGATTAGATGTGTCTGAGAAATTCTTGGAAACTTAAGGTATCATTAGAATCAAGTCAGCTTAGGAAATACATGATCCTAAAAAAGGAAGCTGCCTCTCTGCCATAGGAGCCAACTCCAAGGGGCGGAGGGGTCTTTGCCCCCCAAATATAATATTTGAGAGGACCAGGCCCCCTCCAAAGTTGATGGGCATTGCCATTCAAACTGTATGTGTGTGTGTGCCTCATCCTGTGATTCAATTATGCGGGGAAGGCTTACCTGGGCCCTCTCCATATTTTATTCAAGTTGCCCCCCCCTGCTCTGGGCATATGCAGAGTGCAAATTCTTCAGCGAAGGGCGGGGGCGTTTCCTTACCAAAACCCTACTCATTTTAAAGTTTTGACTTTCGGCTACTTTAAAGGGTGGGAAGTGGGGTGGCGGCTGCAGCACATAATCAAGAAGGGGGGGGGGTGCCAACCCAGTTTGATTCAGCCAAGTTGCCACATATCTCTGCAAATTCTTTTCACCGCTGGGATTTACTGCTCGGCCTCCGGCGGCAGCGACAGGACTCGGGCCAGAGGGAAACGGTGCGGAACGGTACGGAAACCTTTCGGCTTCACCCTCGAGGCCGCCCTCTTGCCTGCCACCTAGTGCGGCGGCGACAGCAGAGCCAACGCGGAGAAAGACGGCGATGACTCACCGAGGGGGGGAGTGTCCGTTTACCGCGCTTCACCTCAGGGGAGGCGGAGCAGCGGGAGCTGCTAGCCGGGGACAGTCGCACTCGCCGCCTGGGAATGGGCTGCCTCGGCCGCTGCCTCACGCAGCACTGCGCCCGCTCGCCGGCCCTGCAGGTTTTGGGCCTCGTCCGCTCCCGGGCTTTGCCCTCCTCCCGCGCCACCAGCGACCGCTCGGCTTCCTCAGCCCCGGGCCTCCCCACGTTTCGCACCCCCTGTTGGGGCTGGGCCTGGCCAAGAGCCGCCTCCCGCAGCCAAGCGCCGCCTCGCTTCCTCGTCAGCAGCGCCGCCGGGGCGGGGCTCTTTCCTTTTACCCCGGCGTCGGCCTTGAGCAGCCGCTTGTGCCACCACCTCAGCGGAGAAGAGTCCCAGGAAATGCCCGCAGCCCCCCGGCCAGACTACGAGAGCGAGGACGAGATGGAGCCCCGCACCCCGATGGACGCCGAGGCCGCCCTGGAGGGCAGCGGCAAGAAGCGCAAGGTATCCGGGGAGAGGGAGAAGGGGAGAAGACGCCGGGCCGGCTGGGCCTCGTGGCCGCGAGTGGAGAGGCGAGCCGGGAGGAGGAGGAGCCAAAGGCGGCTTCTCTTCCTCAGCCGCGGCCTTCGGCGGCCGCGTAGTCGAATTCTCCCTTCTCGGAAGCGCTAGAGCGCGTGGGGCAAGCCGCTGCCACGCGGCTGCCTTTAACAACGTGGGCCTCGCCAGTCTTGCTTCGCTCCTCCAACTCCCCCCCCCCACGCCGAAATTATTTATTTTTTAAAAAACCAAGCACTCCTAATCTTATTTATTTATTTTTTTAAAAGGGGAAGTGCTTCTTCACGCAGCGCATAGTTTGTAACTGCGGGGCTCGCGCTCTCAGGAGGCAGTGAGGATGGCCGCCAACTTGGATGGCTTTCTGAGAGGATTATGCAACGGGAGGATAAAGCTATCCATGGCTACTGGGCATGAGGGCCAAGCTCGGCCTCCCCAGTTGGAGGCAGCGGCGTTTCTGAAGGCCGGTTGCTGGAAACCACGGGAGGAGAGAGCGCCCTTCTTGTGCTCCTGCTCTGTTCCCTGGTTTCCCGGGGGTGTTTCCTTGGCCACTGTGTGAGCAGGATCCTGGACTAGATGGGCCATTGGCCTCATCCAGCAGGCTCTTTATGCTCTTAGTTACTTGCGTGTAATTCGAAAGATGCATGGTTGAGCTGCATTGTAGTGTAAGCAGTACGTTATTATTGTTCATTAAGTTTGTTATTCACTTTATCTTGCCAAACAAGCAAACAACCCCCCCACATAGATACATTAAAGCCAGGGTGAGGGTTACATAATAGAAAATCCCATCTACTTCTAAAAGGCAACAGAAGTATGCCTCACTGATCACAGTGGGACTTTACATAAGGATGTAATGCATACAAACACAATGAACTGCATGGCTTCGAATAATATTGGGGGAAATGTGTTTTCCATGTTTCCATGCCGGGGAGGGGTAGTTATGCCTGTGCATATTAATTTGAGGTTGTTTGTTTATTGTAGAAGGATAAAAAAGATAAATCTAAAAAGCATAAAATGAAAATTAAAGAAACACCAACAGAGGAGAATGAACTGTCTGATACGGAATTGGAACCACCCAAACCAAAGAAAAGTAAGAAAAAGAAAGAAGTTTTTGATGACATTGAAGTCATAATTGCGGAACACAATACAACATCCTCCGCCACTAATGGGGTTGGCAAGTCAAAAAAGCAGGGTAATGCTGAAGAATCAAATACGGAATGTGAGAGTGACCAAGATCAGGTGAGATGATACCTTCAGACCTACCTTTCATTTTGTATACTTAATTTCAATGGAATTTCAGTGCAGAAGTTGGGAAAGGTAAGTGTATCAACCCATGTACTGAGACAAGGTGTAGTCATAATTCCTTTTCCAAGCACAATTCAAAGTGTTGATACTTAATTTTTGAATCCTTAACATGGTTTGGGACTTGAATACATGAAGGAATTCCTTTCTGTGTTTCCATGCCCGGGGGCTTAGGTTATCTGTTATCATTGTGCCATCACCTGAAATGTAGATTGCATTGAGAAAAAGTACCTCCTTGGTGTGACAGAACTTTATAATCATTTTGTCACCAGATGAAGACTTTTTAAACTTCTCCCAGACTCTTTAGGTTCCAAGTTTCAACTGTTTCAATTACTTATATCAATTGCTGGTTTTAATTGTCATGTTTCATTTTTTGTTATTGTAAAGACTTTACGGTGGTGTTTTGTTGTGGGTCACCTTGGGAAACAGCATTTATTTAAGATATTGCCTGAAGGGAAGTATAGATGAAATAATAATAATTAAAAGTAGAATGTTTCCCAGTCTAGTCCACACATCTGTTTTCCAGCATTGGAAAGTTCTGTCCAAATATTCCATACATTGGAGATGCAAGGGCATTTTGTTAATCTTGGGACTTCCAAGTGCACAGACCCAAGGATTTGGGTAAACAGGCTGAAGGTGTCCATTTTCTGGGTTCAGTTTGAGGATAAAGGGCCTTGTTCTTGTAGATGCTATGGCAAAAAATACTCTAACGTAGGGGTGGCTAACTCCTAAATTGACTGAAATTACAGTAAAACACCACAGTAGGAAAAACAGTAACATCAAGATGAGTAGCACCAGACTCATTTAAAAAGAGCTCATCTGATGTTTAAAAGGTTGACAATGAAAAGACATAAGAGTAAATGTTTGGGGAGCATCCGTAGCAAAAGTCCCACAATTGAGGTGATGCAGTCAAAATGTCTGTGGTTGCTTTAGAAGGTGGGGTACCCAGAAGAATGTCTCTAACACAGAACGCTGCTGTCAATCCATGTAAATACTGAGATAGATGGACCAGTGCTCTGATTCGCAATGATGTAGCTTCTGATGTTCATAACATACATCAAGTTTGGAGGCTACCAGACTTTGTATGAGGAACTTAAAATAATTTCCTTTCACTTGGTTCCCATTCAAGTATGTAATGCAGTCTCTGAGCCACATCATCAGTGTTTTGCCCTTGTTTAGCTGTTCTGTTGATAAATTATGTCTGTTGACAATGTAATTTCAATATAATAGGCTTGCTGTAAGTGTTTTGTACTGAGGTTTCTGTTCTTTTCTTGTTTATCTATACTACAAGTTTATGAGAGCCTTATGTACAGGATATCTTTGTCCTTATTTCCCCCCAAGATGTTTGAATCTGTGAAAACATTTACCAGATATATTAAACATTTTTCCTTCCGGCACTTCTATCACTTTTTGGAATATTTTAAATTGATTTTCTATAACTAATCTTTTGCATTAAAAAAATCCCAACAGGAATTGACTGAAGAGCAAAAGGAAGGAGACTTTGCCAACTTTAATCTCTCTAAAGCAACAATTGACCTCCTCAAAGGTATGTTCTTTAAATGTTTACAGTCTGAAGCAGAACACTCCTCTTCCCCCCCCTCCCTGCCCATTTTCATCTTGCTCTCACCAGGACTGGTTATTTCATTATGTCTTAGAATAGTGGCTGAGCAATAGTAGATGAGATTCCATGTAAGTACAGAATGATGCACATTGGAACAATAGTCAAAATTTACAAATACCCTGATGCATTCTAATTTGGCTGTGAACACCAAGGAGAGAGATCTCAGAATCATAGCTGAAAACAGCTTGGTATACAGTGACAATGAAAAAAAAAGCATATTTGATACTGAGACTAGAAAATAAAATGGGAATGAAAATTTCAATATAATAACCAAACCGTTTGTCTAAAATGCCAGTTCTAGTAATTCTATGTGTTTTTCTTTAAAAAGAAGTTGACTTAATGCATACAAACCTTTCACACCTTTTTATGGTGGCTATGCAGTGGTAAAGCCTCACAAAATCTAACACAAATAAATTATATATATACAACTGTAATGTCATTTAATTATGGAAACCTTAACACACCTGATGAAAATGACAAATCAGACAGCTTCTAAACATTTTAGACCCATTTTTAGATCATAATTATTCTCTCCAAACTGCAGCTCCACCTGAGAATTACCAAACTCTTCTAAATTAAGTGATTAGATTACAGTTTTGTAATATTTCTTGTATACTTCTCTGTGTGGTTCTTCCCCACCCTGATCATTCTTGTTTCTATCTTTCAGTATTTGAAAATATTTTAAAATTCTGTTTGGAATTCTTTACATGATTAAATTTTTTGTATGAGAATTTCTCTGTGTTAATTCTTGAGCATCCAGTGCAAGTTGACTGACTAGATTCAATTAAGAGAAAAAGAGAAAATTTCTTACACGACTCAAAATGCATGACATTCATTGCTTAAATTACTAATTTAGATAACTTTGAAGAGAGGTTAGACAAATTCATAGGTGGCCATCAGCTACAATAATTAAATGCAGCCTCCATTTTAAAGAGGCAATAAACCCCTGATTACTAAATAATAAAGATAAACAAAGCAGTCATCACATTTGCGTATAGCAAAAGCTTCTGGCTAGGGAAGTACTATTAGACAAAATGCTTGACTAGTAGTACCTTGATCTACATTGGAAATGTAATTAGCAACATATTCAATGAAGCTTCACATCTGTTTCCTCCAATTTTTAAATAAAAACACTTGAATTACTTTCATGCTATGAATTGGGTTATTTTCATATAAGCAATTGTCAGCTGTTGAATAATGATGATTTTACATCTTTCTATATAAAAGCCTTAACTGTATTCTTCCACAGCCCGTGGAGTTACCTACCTGTTTCCAGTTCAAGTAAAGACTTACAAGCATATTTCTGATGGCAAAGATGTGATAGCCCAAGCTCGGACTGGAACTGGGAAAACCTTCTCTTTTGCCATTCCTTTAATTGAAAAACTTCAGGGAGATCCCCAGGAAAGAAAAAGAGGCCGCACACCAAAGGTGAGTGAAACTGACTTATGCTTCTTCCCCCTTCCCTTCTGCCACCCCCACATGCCCCCAGATGTGCTCCACAAAGTTGGGAGACCCTCCAGAGCAGATTGGGCAGGTAGGAGGAGGAGATTTTCACCTATGCAGCTCTGAATATCTCCCACCATGTATAATAGTGTATGTTCAAGTAAAAATAAACTTGCAAAAATTCTGAAGATTTAAATAAAAGGATATTTCAGCCCATACTTTTACAACACTCAAATAACACTAACTGCATTTCAACCAAATTGTTTAGGTTTTGGTCCTCACTCCAACCAGAGAGTTGGCAATGCAAGTAGCCAGAGACTTCAAAGATGTCACAAGAAAACTCACTGTGGCTTGCTTCTATGGAGGAACAGCATACAATGGACAACGTAAGAAATCACAACAGTGTTTTTTTTGCGGTAGTAGCACTTTAAAAAAAGAAAGAAAGAAGGTTATCTGTGTGATTGAGGAGAAAACAATTAAAATGTGAAGAAATAGTGTTACCTTTAGATTAGGCTCTATTATTGCTTGTTACATAAATGTTAGCATTGGTGGTGTGTTATTAGGTGCTAAAGACACATTCACTCTATATCCCTGCTTTTAAAAAGTACTTTTTTAAAAAAACGAAGTGGTACTGGTCCCCCTTTCAAACAAAACAGAACACAACAGTCTGAAGTAAAGTCAAACCTCGGCTCCCGAATGCCTCCGTTACCATACATTTCGGCTCCCGAACACTGAAAACCTGGAAGTAAGTGTTCTGGTTTTCAGACGTCTTTTGGAAGCTGAATGTCCAATGCCAATCAAAAGCTGTGCCTTGGTTTTTGGATGGTTTTGAGAGTCGAACAGGCTGCCGAAACTGATTACGTTCGACAACCGAGGTTTGACTGTACTTCACTGTTTCACTTTTCTTGTGTTCAAAGGTGTGTGGTGAAACTTGAAAGTTACCTATAGGAAATCAGTGTTGCTTAATAGCTAGGAAGGGATATCAAAAACTGAAGAAAATACAGTGGTGCCCCGCAAGACGAATGCCTCGCAAGACGAAAAACTCGCTAGACGAAAGGGTTTTTCGTTTTTTGAGCTGCTTTGCAAGACGATTTTCCCTATGGGCTTGCTTCAAGTTTGTTTCCTTTTTCTTAACACCATTAATACAGTTGCGACTTGACTTGGAGGAGCAACTCATAGAACGCGGTGTGGTAGCCTTTTTTGAGGTTTTTAAAGACTTTGGTGATTTTTGAAGCTTTTCCAAAACTTTCCTGACACCGTGCTTCGCAAGACGACAAAACTCGCGGAACGAATTAATTTCGTCTTGCGAGGCACCACTGTAATTACAGCTCCATCCTATGTATTTTTACTTAGGTGGAACTAACTTCCACTGTATTCAGTGCAGCTCATTCTAAGGTTAAGTAAGCATAGGATGGCTGCCTTAGATTATATCTTAAAGCAAAGGGATTAATGGAAGCACTGCCAAATGTATATTAAAGTTACACATTTTGGAGAGTAGCATGCATGAAGATTTGGGGCGCTACCAAAGTAGTTCCTGCAAACTTTAGAACATTGTCGTAGATATAATCATGTGTCACAGGAAACTGTTTTTGTAGAAATGTGCTGCAGAGCTGTTTCATCTTCACATGGCACTTTTGTCACAATTCGTGAAACTAATTCTTCAGCAATTTAATACATAATCAACATTAACTTTCCTTCTCAGTTGATCTTATGCGTAATGGCATTGACATCCTGGTTGGGACTCCAGGTCGAATTAAAGACCATCTTCAAAATAACAAATTGGACATTTCCAATCTAAAGCATGTTGTCCTGGATGAAGTTGACCAGATGTTGGACATGGGATTTGCGGAACAAGTAGAGGAAATTTTAGCATATGCGTATAAAAAAGGTAACTACTTCATCTGTTCACCTGTAATGGCAAGCCATAGAGCTCTTTTGTATCTGGATCTGTTTGCTCAGCAGACATTGTGCTGTCCACATTAGTCTCTCACCTGAATTGAAAGTACTGTGGAGGATTGGTCAATCTGTAGTGGAGGATTAAATTTGAAAGCAATTTAGTCTTACTCTCTTTCAGTGTCAGAGGACTTTAAATATAATTTGAGCCCAGTGCATAATATAGCATATAAATGAAAAAAATGAGCTATATGTACATTGGGTTAAAATTATTATGATACTTTAGTTTTAGATTTAAAAGTTATTTTTAAGTATTTTGAAATACCCAGTGTCACACATTGCTTCTAAAAGGGAATGATGCTCTATAAAGGTTTGGTATGGGGTTGTGTTCCTAATGGCATTTCAATAATTTTTTTAATTGGAGCTTATTAAAACTAGAACAGGAAAATGCTCACAAGTAAAGCATGAGACACTGGATATACAAGAGATGTGCATTCATTTGGGTTTCTATTTTATACTCTACATCTGCTTCTGTTGAATAGTAATACCTTGAGTGCACATGTTGAGAATTATCAGGAAGTAAGAGTGCACAAATGTTAATGTAATTTCTTCTCTTATTCTGAGTGGCGTTTTGCCTCTATTATGGATACGATGATTATAGATTTTCCTGTATTTTTAATCATGGAATTTAGTTTAATTGCTTTAACTTTGTATGACACAATATTTGTTTTGTGTTAAAGATTCTGAAGACAATCCACAGACGTTACTCTTTTCTGCAACTTGCCCACATTGGGTTTATGATGTAGCAAAGAAATACATGAAATCTAGATATGAGCAAATTGATCTTATTGGAAAGAAGACTCAAAAGACTGCAATGAATGTAGAAGTAAGTAATTTCTTCCAGTGAAACAAGATTAAATTTGTGTGTACCAAGTGTAATTCTTTTCTTTAAAAAGCAAGCAAACCCACAGTAAAGATAATTGGGTTGGATCCAAAGTTGGTTATACTTCGGTCATACTGAAATCAATTTCATTTAAGTCATAACTTATGGCCCACTCCTAGGCATGTCAACTTAGAAGCAAGTCCTATTGAATTCACTGGGGCTTACTCCCAGGTAAACAGGGCTAAGATTCCAGCCTAACTTGTACCATTGATTTCAGTGGGAGGAATGTTCAACTAATTTAGCCTTTAGTCATAGCTTCTTTTATTGCTAACCAGCATTAATTTCATTTTCTGACAGCATTTGGCTATTGAATGTCATTGGTCCCAGAGAGCTGCAGTCATTGGAGACGTTATTCAAGTCTACAGTGGTAGTCATGGACGTACCATCATATTTTGTGAGACCAAAAAAGAAGCAACTGAACTGGCCCTGAATGCCTCAATAAAACAGGTGCAATGACCCTCATTTCTGTAAAGGATTGCTACAAATTCAACTTAGCTTGAGCTGACTGTGGGAAAGGGTGTCTTGCTTAAGTGGATGCCATTTTGGCAGTCTCACAGTGCAAGTATCCTGTTTTCTGCATGAATGTATTCATGCAGCTATGGATATTTTAGACATCACACTTTTCATGCAAAGGGGGGAAAAATAGAAAATGGGTATGTCAGAATTCAGGGAAAATATTCTCTTGCATCCAAGATCTGTCAGAGCTCATTTAAATTGCTTTTGGGGTGGGAAGGAAACTGATCCTTGTCATTTGTCACTTCTGCCAATAATCTCCCATTAACTCTGTTTTATGTACTTAGGATGCACAGTCTTTACATGGTGATATTCCACAAAAGCAGAGAGAAGTTACACTGAAAGGCTTTCGCAATGGATCATTTGGAGTTCTGGTTGCAACCAATGTAGCTGCCCGAGGTTTAGATATCCCAGAGGTTGATCTGGTAATACAAAGTTCACCACCAAAGGTAAATTACTAGTTCCTAGTGGAAAGGAGAGAACCCCCTTTAATTGTATGTTCATGTTGCAGGCCAGAGGTAGCTTACTTAAAGTGACAGATAACATTGGAGACCACATGTAGTGTTTTGTGCAATCTGTCTTTCATTTTGCATAACTAAACGCTCTTGCATGTCAGTAAACGTGAATGTTTGGCTTCTCTGTAGCTTTTTCATAAGATTAATATAAGCATTTCCCACAACTTTTCATTTGTGAAGGATGTAGAGTCCTATATTCATCGTTCTGGGCGCACAGGTCGAGCTGGCCGAACTGGGATGTGCATCTGTTTCTATCAGCGCAAGGAAGATTATCAGCTGAGACAAGTAGAACAGAAAGCGGTAATTATCTTCTTCCAACATTTTTGTGTCATTTATACGTTGGATATCTAAGCCGTTGGCATGTGTCTCCAAGGGTGGCTTTTCACTTGAATAATATACATATTCTTATTCTTAACTTCAGGGGATTACATTTAAACGCGTGGGTGTTCCTACAGCAACGGATATTATTAAGGCTTCCAGTAAAGATGCTCTCAGGTACTTCATTCTTTGTTTATATTTTGAACTTAATGCAGTGTCCAGCGCATGTCACGAGTTTCCATTAACCATATCTGTCCAAGATCAGATCAGGATATTGACTTAATGAAGACAGATTACAGATTCTGCTTCACAGCCTTCTATTTTAGCTCACAAGAACAGTAGCACTGTTGCACATTTTTGTTTCTTTGCAGCATGATAATCAGCACTTTTGTCAGCTGTGGAGAGTATGTATGTGGGTGTGTACTGATTTGATCTGAATTTGTCAGGAAAAACAAAAAAACAAATTACTGGAGGCATACGGGGAAGTTTGGGTGATAATCTAGGGGTTGCATCCAGCTGGTCTTCCCCCTCTGTGTTCTCCATGCTCCTCAAAAGGCTGACGCAGAGTTTTGGGGAGTGAGGGGACTCGCCTGAACAACATGGGGAGAGGAAAATGATTTATCTACCCACTTCTGTTGTAGTCCAGCATATACTGTTGAATGGAGCTCCGTAAACCTCTGGAGAATCTTTTTGTAGAAGGCAAAGTGAGAAGAGGAGGAGATTATGCAGGTCACCTTCTGTCAGCCATTGGATACAACCCTAGAATTCCAAAGCTGCAATCCTGTACATGTTCTGAAGTAAGCCCCAAAATAGTGGGGTTTGCTCTCCAGTAAGTGTATTCAGGATTGCAGCCTTGTTTAAGCTTCAGTATCTCCTGTGTTATAAAATGTACACTTCTCATTTCAGCAGTTTACATGACACTGACTAATCTTTTGCTCAGATCTTTGGATTCCGTTCCTCCATCTGCCATTGACCACTTCAGACAGGCAGCTGAACGGCTGATAGAGGAAAAGGGGGCAGTGGAAGCTCTGGCTGCCGCACTGGCTCATATTTCTGGAGCTACTTCCATTGAACAGCGTTCTTTGCTCAACTCGGATGCGGTAAATATGGCATGCAGTTGCATAACATTTATATAGTCTAAGATCTATTTTAAGGATAATCCTAGTCAAACTTTCCTGAAAGGACTCTCCATTATTTGGGTGAGAACACAGCAAAACTGCCACACCCAAAAGGTCACACACACACACCCCAACATACTGAATGTACCAATACATTTTCTTTTTGACAAAGGACTAGCCAGTGTGGTATAATGGTTAGAGTGTTGGACTGGGACCTGGGAGGCTTCAAGTCCCCACTCGGCCATACAGTTCACTCAGCCTAGCCTACCTCACAGGGTTGTTGTGGGGATTAAATGGGAGAGGACCACATACGCCACCTTGAATTGGAGAAAAAGGTGGGATATAAATGCAACAAACTTAAGTAAATGAACAAATAATATTTGAGCCATAATTAAGTGATTGTGCATGGGCCCTGTAATTCCTTCTTTGGCAGGGAATCTTTTCCTCCTACCGCCAAGGATAAATTGTATAACTGGCCTCCCAATGAGGATGTATTAAGGATATTAAATATAGATTGGTTTTATAAAAGCTAAACAGACTATTTGGTAGTTTCACTGAATTATTGTGGAACCCTTTTTGTACCCTATGTTGTTGTTTTTATTATTATTAATAATAATAATCAAATTCTTATACCTCACCCTTTATCTGTGGATATTAGGGCGGTTCACAGCATAAAAATACAAGATAAAAACACATAATAAAAACAAGGAACAAAACAATAACCCCAGCGCCCTCTCAAAAACACAATATATAGGATGTCAGTCAGCCAAAAGCCGGTTGAATGGGAATGTTTTCACTTGGTGCCTAAAGTTGTATAATGAAGGTGCCAGGAGAATCTTCCACAAACAGAGATTCGACAAATCTTCCCAGTATAAAGGCCCTGTCATGCATCACCCCCTATCAGATAGCCCCCGTTGACAACAACAACAACAAGGCCTTGCCTTATTGTAAGGTCCAAATATGGTTGATATTGGGGAAGGTACTCTATTAGATACTTGGGCCCCAAGCCACTTGGGGCTTTATATAGGCTAGTACTCTACTAACACCTTGAATTTGGCCTGGTAGTTCACTGACAGCCAGTGTGGTTCTTTCAGGACTGGTAGCACATGTTCTTATCAGGCTGCCCCACTTACAACCTAGCAGCCATTAGTTGTAATGTAAAGACCTTTATCAAAAGCTCTTAACAATTAACCGGTTATATCCCTCTGGTGTTACTGTAAATGTCTATTGCTGCTTGCTTTTTAAAAGGGTTTTGTGACCATGACACTTCAGTGTTCAGTAGAAATGCACACCATTGGCTATGCTTGGCGAGGTCTGAAAGAACAGCTGGGTGAGGACATTGACAGCAAAGTGTCCCGAATGCGCTTTCTTAAGGGGAAGACGGTAAGAAATATTGACCTAGACATTTTGTAGGTATTTGCTAGTTGAGCATTTTATAGTATTTGTTTTTCCTCATCTGTTCTGATAACATGCAAAGCACAGGTTTTGCACTTGAAAACCAAAATGGTATTGGTTAAATGATATGAGGATGAATTTTATAATTAGAGTTAGTGTTGTCGTAGGATAGAACATATTATGTTGGAAATATGCAGAGTTGAATCATCACTTTTATGTGGCTGTGAATAAGGATTACAGAGCATGTTCTAACATTCATAAAATGTTAGGTAGTAAGGGTTATTTGATCTGCTTTATAAGTGATGGAATAAAATACAATCACTTCTTTGTGTAGACTTCATATTTTTGCAGGGAATTTTTCAAGTACTGTACAGTTATTACTTCTGGTTAATGTTAATGGCTGACAAATCCTTTTCTCCTTCTTCATTTGACTTGTGTTTAGTTATTAAAAAACCAGCCATCTGTGTTTATCCTCATCAAACTAGTAGCCTTTTCTGGTTCTTAATGCTGGTCTGTAAAATACTTGGCCTTCGCCGGTACCTGAACTATTCACTTAGACGCTGCTCTATAATTTTTTTGTACAAATCAAATGCCGGCACTTTGTCAGGCACTTACTGTTGCATCTTAATATGTGAACTAATAAGTTTGCCTTCTTCAAAGTGTTGCAGATTTCTTTGTTTAATGCCTGACGGTCAGTGTCTCTCTCTTGTATTCAGGGTGTGTGCTTTGATATTCCTGTTGCTGAACTAAATAAAGTACAGGTGAGAAATTGCTACTTAATGGATTTTTAAGTTTTTTCCACTTTATTATTAATACATAAATGAAGAAATACGACCTGCTATCACTATAAACACATTAAATTGGAAATGTTGCATTTTAGGAAGGAAGAAATTGGTTTTAAGAAATTTAATCAAGGGGTGAAATGGAACCTGATAGTTTCTACTCTTTTTTATCATTAAATACTTGTCTGAGATTCCATTCCATTCAGAGCAACACCATCATGTGGTTAAAACATGTATTTTATCAGATTATTTCAGTGGCTGAATAACATTTATAAAGTGTTATCTAAACCATTGTTTCCCAAACTTGTGTTTCCAGCTGTTTTTGATCTAAAGTTCCCATCATCCCTGGCCACTGGTCTTGCTTGCTAGGGATGATGGGAGTTGTAGTTCAAAAGCAGCTGGAAACAAGTTTGGGAAACTGATCTAAACACTAGTTAAAGTAAGAAACATGGCTTCTTTTTTTACAGAAATGCTCGCTTTTGGAAGTTTTGTTACCTTGAGGTGTCAAGAGGCAATATAACAATACTTTTCTTAACTTACTTTGATGCCGGGGGGGTGTGTGGAATCTTCCATGTAGCTCAGAAAACTTCTATCCCTTTATTTTATGTGATGTTTGCAAATACTGGTTTGTAAATTCAGTGCCGATTGTAGAGATAACATATATATATATATATTTATTAAATCTGCATTAGCATACAGCCATAGCAAAATAAGACAATACAAAAAATGTTGGGGACAAGCAACCAAGCAAAATTCAAAGCGATATTGCTGGCGTAATGACATTTAAAACACCCTAAGACAATAATACAAAGATTTGGTTGCCAGCACCAAAAACTAGTATGCGGATATAAATAAAGCATAAAATGGCCCCAAAATAGGCTCAGCACATTGAGTTAAAAAGGTAATAAAAGAATTAAACAGGTCCAGGACTAGGGCACACTACCCTGTCAGAGTAGCCCTGAGTTTCAGAGCCTGCACTATGAAGATTGCCACCCCACGTGAAATTTGGGGATTTGCGTCCACAAGAAGTGCTTTCAGACAGTCTTCCTTAGATGAAATGGAGGACGGGATCAAGAGGAGGAGCTTAGGTCTTATTGGGTCATAAATAGGGCAGTAGAAAAAGAAATGTATGAAGTCCTCTACTTCATTCATTGTGCATGGACATAGACGCTGAGTAATAGGGGTCTTAGAGTAGGTCCCCTGCAAGAAGGCCGTGGGTATAGAATGAAAACGGGCCATTGTAAACGCTCTTCTCAAATTGGGCTCCGTCAGGTCTATCAAGTAGTTGGCAAGTGATCTTACCACTTTCACTTTAGGGAGCCACATGGAGAGGCGAGCTGAGGTGGACTGTGCCCGGTCCATGGCCTCATCTCTTATAAGAATCCAGTCCCGGATTTTATGTTGGTCCCAAGATGACAACGTGTCGAATTCTGGGAGGGAGTAGCGTACAGTAATAGTCTCCATGGCCTTGGACCATTTGTTGGAGTGAGAACAAGTTAAAAAGGCTTGCCTGGCTAGTAGGGAACCTGGGGCATTGATTAATTTGCAATAAAAACTAATAATTCTAATATGGGCTCTCGCAACAATGGAGGGGAGGCCCAGTTCTGTTCTTAACTGAGCAGCAACCGAGCCCTTGGGGAGACCCAGTATCTTTCGTGCAAAAGAGTTTTGTAGAATCTCCAGCCGTTGAAGTGTTTTTAAATTCCACCCCCAGATTTCAACCCCATACAGTAGCATCGGGAGGACTTTGCTAATAAATGCTTTTCTGATTGGTGGAACCAACTGGCCGCCTTTTGCATAGAAGAATTTCTCCAAGGCTTTGATGGTTCTACGGGCAGCCAGGATGGTCATATTTAGGTGAGCTGACCAGCTAAGCCCATGCTGAAAAGTGATTCCCAAATACTTGAAAGCTGAGCAATATTCAATAGAGTGGCCCTCAAAGTTCCAGAATGACTTCCGAGTTTTCGTGCCAAAAGTAAGAATTTTGGTTTTGGCGAAATTGATTTTGAGGGAATTGGTATCACAATATGTCATGAGCCCTCTGAGCATGTTGTTTAAGCCCTGCTTGGTTAAAGACAGTATCACCATGTCGTCCGCATAGAGTAATATGGGGATCTTGAGCTGTTGTAGAGAGGGGGCAGATTGATTTAGGGCCTGCATAGTTGTAACGATGTCGTTGATATAGAAATTGAATAGAAAAGGGGCCAAGAGGCAGCCCTGTTTGACCCCTTTATTCAGAGGGAAAGAATCAGAAAGAGCTCCCAGGGGGCCGAATTTTACTCTGGCCGATATGTCATTGTGAATTTCCATAAGAAGAAGGAGGAGTCTCTTATCTATGTTGGTGTAACTAAGCTTCTGCCATAGCCTATCTCTGGGAATGGAGTCAAAAGCGGCGGTCAGGTCCACAAAAGCCGCGTGTAGTTTGCAGTTAAACCTGTTTAGGTATTTATCAATCAGGGTAAATAGAACAAGACATTGGCCAGATGTACTGTGACCTTTACGGAAGCCAGCCTGTTCCGGGTGGAATAGCTTTGTTTCTTCTGCCCACTCGATTAATTTCTCTAGCAAGAATCTAGAGTAAACCTTGTATGATATGTCTAGCAGGCTGATGGGTCGATAGTTACGCGGATCTTGTGGGTCCCCCTTTGTATGTATTGGGATGACTATGCTCTGTTTCCAATTTGGCGGGATCTTAAGAGTGGCATTAATAGTGGTAAAGAGAGATGCAAAAATAGGGGCCCACCACATCTGGTTCGATAAGAATACCTCGGGTGGAATCATATCCTCCCCCGGGGATTTATCCCCTGATAACATGCTAATTAGTTGTACACATCTCTCTGGGGAGACTGGCTCCCAGGTGGGCAAGGGAGATGCAGGAAGAGTGGAAACTGCGTTTACGTCGGAATCTGGGGCAGAATACAGCTGAGCAAAGTGAGAGTGCCAACTGGCTGCTGTGATGTTATTAACGATGAATGAGGGGGGTCTTAAACCTGCATTAATTAAATTCCAGAATTTCTTGTCGTCACGGGTTTTAATGGCCACTGACAATGCCGTCCAGCGTTCTTTCGCAAAGATCAATTTCTTATGTTGGAGCAACTTCTTGTAGTAAGAACGGAATTGGGCTAACTCCCTGATTTTGCTCTGGGTGCTGTCTGATTTCATATCAGACTGAAGAAATCTAAGCCTACTTCTGCACTGTTTGCATTCTTGGTCGAACCAAGTTTGGTTCTTCCAGGTTAGACTCGCACGGGAGGGTTTCGTAAGTGTTGGGAGCAAGTAGGCTAGAATTTGTTGGAAACTTGAGAAATGATTCACATTCATTGTTACCAGCTGAGCTTTCAGGGCTAGGATCTCAGGGGAATTTAGGAGGACTTTTATGTCTTGCTCCAAATAGATATCCCACTTCTTACGACCGGGGCTAAGGTCAGTGAATCCTGGTGGGGAGTGAGCTGGGGAGCCCCAGCTGTGTGTGGTGGAAGGAGATGGCAATAGGAAGGTGGTCACTTTCGGTTCTGTTGAACACATTGAAACAATATGCCTTATCATTAAGTGCCGAAAAGGACCAGATATAATCTATAACGCTTGCCCCTCTAGATCCTAGAAAAGTATAGTATCCCCGGACCAGTCTTTGGGTGTACCATGCAAGCTGTGCAGCCCGCAGTTAATGGTAAACTCCAACAGTATGATGCCAGCCCTATTAATGGTCTTGTCATGTGAATTCCACGTAGGAAACCACTCCTCTTCTATGAATAGTTGCGACTTATCGGTGAATGAGCTTATATCTGCTCCGATTCTGGCATTAAAGTCCCCCATTATGAGGATCTCTGACTTTGGGAATTCAGCCACAGATTTATCAAGGATAAATCTTAGATCCTCCCAAAACCGATTTGTATGGGAAGAGGAGTAGGTAGATGGATTGTACAAATTAACACATATGAAGTCCCCAACCGGGCTGTTAGTGATGTGCAAAGTTTGAATACAATTACTCTCTAACCAAAGGAGAGGAGAGATATTAAGATGAAGCTCCTGCGAAACAAATGTTACCAGGCCTCCACTAGGGCGCCCATACAAATGTGTTTTGGTCGCAGGAATCACAAAAGCATCATAGCCCAGTAGGGAAGGGGGGGGTGACGATTCTAAGCACCAGGTCTCTTGTATACCCATAATCTGGAATTTCGCTAAAAACTCTATCATATCCCCGCCATCCTGTTTGGACGTCCATCCCGCCACGTTCCAGGATAGCACATTGAAGCAGTTTGGGGAGGGACTATGTGCTAGTCAGATACTCTGGTTGCTGGTGGAAGAAGCATTGCCAAGGGTCTGAGACCGCGCCAGGCGTGATACAGCCGAAGGTATCGAAGGGGTGGTAATTTGATTGATGTGGCCAGCAGGGTCTTCAATAAAGCCTGAGCTGTCTCTTTGCACAGTGGCTTCCTTAACGTTTATATATTGGCTTGAAGAGGTTACGGATACAAGAGGATCTACCAAGCGAGGTTGACTGACAGAGGACGAGGATATACAGTCATCTGCCTGGACCGCACTGAATGAGGACTCCAGGTCAGGCATGGAAGAATAGGACATTGACAGATTACCTGGATGAATGGTGTTTGGCATATTGCTCTTTAAGGCGAGGGACGAGGTAGTTGATTGCAAATCTATTAGTAGAGGTGAAGAGGATCTGCGTTGCGACGGTGTATGAGGAGCTTCCGCCAGACAGACTGCCATATCATCCGTTATTGGAGTCCCAGTGATTGGCAGGGGTTTCTGGGGTGTTAGCCCCTTCATGACTGCGTTCCTTTGATTTAATAGGTTGCTATGACCAGGTTTTGAAGAGATTTTCTCTTGAAGTACATGTGTAAGTTGCTGCTTGAGTGTATCAAGCCTGTTTATAACTTCCTGCTGTTCTACTAATGGCAACTCGCCGTAGGATGAAATAAGGTCCCTCTCCTCTGAGGAAGCCAGATGACTGGGTCCGCTTTGGTCATGCTTCTCTGTTGCTGGAGTAGATAAACCAGGAAGCTTGGGCTGAGAGGGAGGGTGAGGTTCCTGGGTGGACGGCTTGAGTTTCAAGACTATGTCGCGCCTGTCTGGCGAGCGGATACCTTTTTGTACGATGCTACGGAAAAGAGGTTTAGTCCTGGTATCATTAAAGACTCTCGTTGGGAAGATGCCCCAGGAGGCCAATAACGCTTTGCGCCTAACCAGTATGGAGGGAATTTTTGGTGACTGGAAGGAGAGCAGTACTTTTTGGAACCGATGGTGGTAGTATAAAGGTTTCACTGTACTGAGATCTATTAGCGGAGGCCTAATCTGAAGGAGTTGCCTTAGATGATCTTTGACCTCTCTCGGGTTAATCCACCTTGGGGCCCTGGGGTCACTGCTGCGTATAGTTAGACATATTTTGTTTGGTTGTAAGATCAGAGATTGAAAGTCCAGTTGAGATTTTAGGAGATGAACACCAGTACCACTTTCATGTCTAACAGGGAGGTACACCACTGTCTCTTTAAATCCCTCGGAGGCAGAGTGAGGTTGTGCTGCAGCTCCAGCAAATGGGCCTCAAGCTTTTGGTGGAGATTATTCACCTGCATGGAGATCCCATTTATGCTCTTAAAGATGCAGCGCAGGGTCCTGGTTATTAATTGGAAGTGCTCGAATCCCAAACCATCGCCCAGGGCCAACTCGGACTCTCCCCTCGAGGCGACTCCCACTTCTCCGCCATCATCATTAGCATTCCTCGTTGCCCTCGATTACAACCCCTCATCCTCTACATAGGGGTCGAGTTCAATCAAAGGATCAAAACGATTGTGAGTTTCAACCGTGTAGCTATCTTCCTTGTTATTTCTGCTACAGTTAAGAAAGAAGGAATCAATCTTAGACTGTTTGGGCCTCGGGGGAGGCATTGCCTCATCCAGGTCCCTTGGCCGCTTGCCATGGCCCATAGTGGAGATTAGGAGAGATATCCGCAATAATTGGAATTGTCTTAATGCACCTTAGAGAGTATTGCGGGAGGCAGAGGAGTGGTGAGCGAAGAAAATAAGATAAAGTTCGTTGCTTACTTACAATTCTCAATCAATTGTCCACAAGTACATGAAGATACAATCCTAATTTGAAGCGTTCAAGGAAGTTCTGGTGAAGGCTTCTCTGCCTTCCTCCCAGGGAGCGACAATTGTAGCCAGTAGACAAAACTGCAAGTCAGTCACAGAGGCAGGCTTCAACGGGCGTCCATTGTTGGGGTAAATCAGGTTGAGCAGTAAAACAATAAAACAATAAACCAAAAACAAGGAGAGGTGGTAAGGCAGCCAGGAAGGTGTTAAAAATGTGAGATTAGAATCAGGATGTGGCTAAAACTACTTAAAAACTACTTAAAAACTACTTAAAAGCTTAACTGAAGGCAGGAGCTCTAACTATGCTGCTGTCTCAGTCGCCATCTTGGCTATTCAATCGTAGAGATAACAAAAAAATTGTTTTTTATTAGCAAACATGGCAGGATACAAGACGCTGGCAACTTTCTGTGGCAACGGAATTGCCCGAGCTTGAAGAATCACGTGACAGCGGCCGAAGTGGTGGCTCGGATTTCAGGAATGGAAGGCGAGGTGGCGGCTCCAACAGGCATGACCGATTCAGAAACAGGGGCCAAAAAAGAAGCCATAGCCGGGCTTTTTGATCATTTGTTAATATGTCATACACAACTGGGACTAAATCACTTGTTTTATCAGAAGTAAAGTTGGTTACACTTTCCTATGTGCTTTTTATTGCTTTCTTAGATTTGTCTCATTCATACAATTGGGTCCAGAGTTTGCTTAATTCCCCCTGAAAAAAATTGCTGGGGGCGGGGCGGGTTAGAGGATCCTCTAGAACAATATGTGGCTCTAGGGGACTGCACAGGGAGTGGGGAATTTGACAAATGTTGCCTCCTTCTCTCCTCTCCCCCATTCCACTAGCAGGATTTCATCACTCGATAAAAAAGCTGTGGACAGAAGGAGCTGTTGTTTGCAGAATGCAAAGTCCAGATCCAACCCAAGGGCTGCTATGCCATCCCTTTGTGCTGGTTAGTGTGAGTGGATGGTGGTGTAGGATCAGGAGCCAGCTGTACTAAATGCAGTGGTGCTAAACCCCAATCTTCTACATTTTTCTTAAGGCCATAATCATGATCGCTTTGCTTGGCTGCTGACAGATGGCACCACAACCTACAGCTTTCTGAGAGCTGTCAGTCCATTGTAGTAGCCTTGGAGGGAGGTGGCAGTGGGTGGTCCAGGCAAGCTTTGGATAAAGTTACAACTAGTCAGGGCAGCTGCTCATCAGCTGTCCTGCTCCGCTGCCCACTTTACCCACTATGTTGTTTCAGCTTTGGTGGCAGAAGGCAAAGAGGTGGGAAGTGACAGGAGAGCAGTACGGTTGCTAGGGAGCTATCCTATCATGAGTGTCCTTCCACATCTCACCTGAGCCGTTGTCTTCTGCTTGCAAAAGGTGTGGGAGCTCAGCGGTGTGGGAGACTTGGTGAGGCCTGGAGGGAAGCGGGAGCTTTGTGGGGAAGAGGTGGGGTTGGTCGCCTTGGCACTGTTTTGTACCTCTTGACATGGGGTGGGGAGCAGGAGGATGGACTGAAGAACATTGAAGCTATCGGCCTGGGGCAGGCTTGGGAATCTCCGTTTGATATTTCAGATCAAGATGTGTTAGTGGGACAATCACATTTCAGTTATGGACATTGCAATTATGTCATGTGATGGGTTGCCCTGCCCATATGTCAAAGTAGGCCCACAGGGTTGGAGCCAAACAGGTTCCTCACTCCTGGTCTAATGGATAAGTGTGTGGGGTTGGTGAGGGGAAGAGTTGTTGTGGGTCACGGTTGTAGGTGGGTTTGGCAAGCAGCACAAGCTGTGGTGGACACCTAGTGTTGAGAGTGGGAGAGGTAGGCCGCAATGCAACCCACCCCACCCCACCCACTCAGAGCCAATCACATTATCACAACCCTGTGAATCTGAAATAGCATTGAAAATGGTAGCCTTGGTTCACCCAACAGCCCACAAAGGGCAGGTTTATATCACTAAACTCCAGAACAAGCTATTAGCTGCACATATTTTTTAATAATATAATAATTTATTATTTATACCCTGCCCATCTGGCTGGGTTTCCCCAGCCACACTGGGTGTGGGTGGCTTTTAATGTTTTGATGTTTGGTTTTAGACTGTTGTAACCCATTTTGGGACCTGCTGGTGAAGGGTAGGTAATAAAATAACAACAATGCACATTAATAATACACTAAATAACAACAATGCACATTAATAATACATTATTATTATTATTATTATTATTATTATTACTGCTACTACTGCTACATACTGGTTTTTTGCCCAAAGCCCTCTAAAAGCATGAAAATGCATCATACAGAGGAGTATAAGAAGGGAAGTGCCATTAATCAGTAAATAAAGCAACACAAGATTGCAAAATCACAACATTCGAGTGTGGGGGAAAAATCCTTCCCAAGTTAATTGGCCAGTCTGGTAAATACTTTATATTTAAATATTAAACCATGGGGATTCTCCTGGGTTTGCTTCCTCTTTTGGGGGGTTTTGTGTTCCACGTTAGGAAGCACTGTAAATCTCGGCTATGAAAAATCATTTTTAGAGCCAGTACTCAACCAAAGAGGAGAGTGTCGTGACACCCTTAAGGACACTTTAAACAACAGTCGTGGCTCCCCCCCCCCCCCCCGCAAATTATCCTTCCAAAGCGATAGCTTGTAGGGTGCTAAGAGTTACTGGGAGACCCCTATTCCGCCTCACGGAGATAATCTCAAAACTACGCTTCAGCCCAGTTTCCTCTGCGGCCTTGTTCTTTTCGCGCGCGTGGCCCTTGGCGCCCACCGCGGCCTCTGCTCGTTGCTTCTCCGTCCCTCGTTCGCCTGTGACGTCACCCGCTCCCCGCGACTCCATTTTAACTGAGGGAACGAGGTTGACGCGCATGCGGACTACCCTTCGGGAGGGTTCTGGGCGGGCATAAAGCCAACTGATCGGGAGAGAGAGAGCGAGTGGAGGAGGCGAGAGACGAGCGAGGAAAGCGCAGCAGCCCGTTCAGTGGGAAGATGGCGACCCCCGCCGAGTGGGCCTCGCTGTGCGAGAAGTTCCGCAGCGCCGTCAACCTCTCCTACGTGGAGTCCAAGAAAGACCCGGAGACGGAGCCGTACCGCTCCAAGTACAGCGCCCGGGAGCTGCTGGAAGGCATCAAGCAGCAGCTGGGCTCCGAGGAGGCGGAAGGCAGCCCGGGAGGCGCCGGCGGAGGCGCGGCCGGGGCCGACGAGCGGGAGCGGCAGCGCGCCGTGGCTCTGGCCGCCGTGGAGTACGAGCTCGGGGTGAACCACACCGACACGCAGGAGTACTCGGCCGGCGAGGAGCACCTGGTGAAGTGCGCGCAGCTGCTGGAGCCTCACCGCCTCTCCCGGGAGTGCGTCTCCCTCTACATCCAGGCCCAGGTGGGGCAAGGAAGGAGGGGTCGTCGGTCGCTCCCCTCCCCCCCCGCAATAGCTCACCCCAAAAGGGGGCTCAGACCCACAACTGCGAGGAGCGGTGGATAAGAAACAGGGTGCATGAACGCGTGCCCTCCCCTCCCCCCCGCACACGCGCGTCAAACCTCTTTGCGTCGCTCGCGCTGTTTGGGATAATGCAGGTTCCTAAACCTCAGAGTGCCGCATACTTGCCGGGGCATTTAAACATCAACCGGTGCACGTGGCGCAATGTGTACATTCATCGCCCACCCGTCTTAACAGCAAAGGTTTTCTTGGGCCTGGGCAGTCACCGTTTGTCCTGGGGGATGGCATGATTTGGAAGTCAGAAATCAACTGGGGAGATGGAGCTTTCCTGACCTGTGCAATTTTCCTTACGGAAATGGCTGAGTTTTTAGTTTTGTTGGCCTAATCGATTCTGCGGCATCTCTCCTCATTATGAAATCTAGTCGATGCATAATAGGCATCTAAGACGAATAATATGTTGGCTTGGATCCAGAGTCGGATCTAATGGCTCGCGGAAGAGAGCAGGCAACGTTTGCTGATTCTCTCATCCTCCTGCACCTCTTCCCACACTTCCGGTGTTCGTCCATATTGGGGGGGGGGAGGAAAGGGGAAATCAGCAAAAAACATTCTTTCCTTTTCTTTGAGCAGAGATTTTTGTCAGTAGCTTAACTCACAGGATCTCAAGATCCAAGTTATTTGATTTGGCACTTTGGAACTCTTGTTAAAGTATTGGATGATGCCCCCAAAAGATGTGTGAAATGTTACATAACAAACATTAACTGTCCACACTTTTTTAATCCATCAATGAATGAAGTTGTTTCCTCCCCACTCTTCTCATTGTTTTGCCTTTTTGTAAGAATAACCTTTGAACTGTTACCCATTCTATAGAAGTATTGTTGAAACTGCATATCGGAGTTGGAAATCCAGAAGGCTTTGTGTTCTGTTGCTGCTGCAGCCATGTGTCTATTCTTCTTGTTTTAGTGCAAGGGGGTGGCATGTGTCAAATTGGAGAAATGCAGTGCTGCGGTGCAAAGTATTAAGGAAGGGTTGAGCTGGTGGTGATGGCAGACCATCCTCTGGAATATTGGTTTGCAAGGCAGTAACGCAGTTACTTCAAGAAATGAAAAACAAATTTGCAGTTCATGTGCTTACAGTGATTATTTACTATTGCAGTTTGAGAGCTGAGTAGCTCCACTCAAGAGAGTTTGTGGATCAAAATAATTTGTGTGCCAGTAGCAGGCTGCGTGTACACAACATGTTTAAGGCTTCCCCCAAAAATTCTTCCAACAGTAATTTGTTAAGGGTGCTAGGAATGGTAGTTCTGTGAGAGGTAAACTACAATTCCCAGAATTATTTGGGGAAAGGCATGTGGTTTAAATGTATGGGGTGTACATGGCTGTAGTAGCAAGGAAGGAATGATGACATTTAGTCCAGATGGCTTTTGTTCGCAAACTACAATGGTGTTAGAACTAGACCACTGTGGCTCCCAGTGACCAATAATAACATGATTTGAGTTTTAGAATTGTAACCTTTTGGACTAGCTTGAAGCTTCTTCTGTTTCTTGCATGTTCATACTAATTGTTTTATTGCTTGCATGTTTCCCATCCTGGGCTCCTTTAGGAGGAATGTCAGGATACAAAATTCAAGAAATAAATATTAGGCACTGGAAAGGATAGCTTATATTGAGGTAATGTGCTGCACATTCCTGGCCTGGCTCCCCAATATGTGTCTTTAAGGTGGAATAAGTATAGTATAAGTCTGGTTCTTGTATAATATGTAAGGGGGTGACCCCTCTTCCCTATTCATTGATGGTGGATTTGTGCCATTCATAGCTTTACAAAAAAATGTTTCAATTTCCCTCTTCTTTTGTAGAATAACCTGGGCATCCTGTGGTCAGAAAGAGATAACATTAAAACAGCTCAGACTTACTTGGAATCTGCAGAGGCTTTATATAATCAGTACATGAAAGAGGTAATGTGTTGTATGAGCACGTCTTATGTTTCTGTAATGTGGTGGCACCTCAAGCCGTAATCAAAATTGCAAGTTCTAATATCAATGAGTTGCAATCATTAAATAATAAACAGGCTTTCTGGATTAATTGTTACTGAGCTTTGCAAGTTGAGAGGCCTGTTTTCTCATGTTATAAAATGAGACATTTTGATACAATATATGTGTTGTCAGGAGTTTTGATGCCTGAATTCTGAAAAATGATTATAGTACTAAGTGAAAAATATACCTACTGTTCAGATAACATTTTTAGATAGCTTCGAAATGGTTGGCATTTATGCAGAGTGTTCTGTGCAAACAGCTGACTGGAAAATCAGTGTCAACTCACAATTGCAGCTGTGCTTTCATCCCTCTGTAACCACATAAAGCATCTATAAAACAGCTTAGGGATACTTCCATTATTAGTTATAATAACTGGAAAATTCTAAAAACACTTTGACTTATTGCTGTATGGCTAAAATGCAGTGCAGAATTAGTTTTCTAAAAAAGAGCTTTTCTGTATATCAGGAGGACTTATAACAAGCTAAACTCCCTATGCATAACAAGCAGCCTTCTAAGTTGTTGACTCTGCCGTGCCATAGCATTAGCACAATGGAGCCTTTGTTATACCCTCGGGGGCGCTATTTATGCACTGCACTGCCTTTCTGCATTTCCAGTGTTTGTTCATTCTCTGACATGGCTTCTATGAAACCAGTGGAGTGCTGCACTTTGGCAAATTCTAAAAAGTGATGCTGAAAATATTTCACTTGTTTCATATCTACGCTCTTGTCTTATTTTGCTGAATTTACTTTTGACTAGAGATGATGATGCTTTGGAGAAAGGCCTGAGAAGAACAAGCCTGCCTTCTTGTTTAATCCAGTGCAGTTCCTCTGTTTCTTAACAACCTACCTGTCACATTTAGAGTATTCTTCCTGGATTGTTGAATCTAGGTACCAGTGGCTTAACTTCCTGTGTGCCGGTTTATGTTCATGCTAAACCTGTCATCTCCCTAGTGTCAAAACCCTGCCTTGGGAGGTGTGTCCAGTCCCACTTGATCATCCTTGATTTGAGGTTAAATGTCTCACACCCTGTCAACTCATTTCCCTTAGTTTTACTTGGTTGAAAATAAGAATTATTGCCTTCTTCCAAATATGATGGGTGACCTTTCCCCCTTGCAAGTGCATTTAAGATACCATTGTGATATTGTATGTCATAGGTTATTCAGAGAGGAAGCTGCTTTTATTTCTTTATGAAACTGTCTCTCCCCTCCCCCTTTTTTCTCTGTCCCTGATCTTAATAAAGCTTCTTAATTCCGAACCTGTTATTTAACCAGATACTTTGACAGTGCAAGGAGCAGCTGTCCCTCTGTGCTTGGCCAGTGGTTAATGCCACACATGCAGACATAGGGCAACAAAACGATTGATGAATTGACAGGTTGAATGCTGCAACTCAGTGACAGGGAGATAAAGGTGACTGTAGGCAGCTGCCCTGGTCTGAGTTTCACTTGAAAGCGCTTCCAGTTCTCCCTGCCGAAGAGGTGAGGTAGTAGTCAGGTAGTGGTGGCAAAAGAAATCTGGGAGTCCAGACTTGTTAATCACACCTATAACGATGGAAGGGTTTGCAGCTCCAGAAAGACCTAAAATGAAATGGAGCTAGAGGAACCAGATTTGTATTCAGAACATATTTCCAGAAACCATTTGTTGGATTTGTTAACTATACATATGGGTCTTATTTATTGCTATTTAAAAAATTATCTTGCTTTTCAGTAATTATGCTCTCAAAGTGACTTATTAAAGGTAGAAATGTGGTGAAACATTTAAAGGGGTATGTGGGGGCCAGTTGCTGCCCTCTCCCTGATTTTGCAGACTCCTGCAAAGCTGGGGCTAACTCAAAATGGCATCTGCCACTATCCCACCAGTTCCCAAGCAGAAAAAAGAAGAAGCCTTAGTGATTTGCAAAGAGAATAAAAGCAGCTACAAATTAAGCTTGAGAAATAAATTTATAACAGGACATGTGACTACTTTGTGCTCTAGAGTTGTTCAAGAGCTTGAACTAATAACTGGATCTCAATATTAAATATGCTGTTCATTCAGGGATATATTTCTCTTGTGTTGTTTTTACCTCTGTGTGATGTCTTGTATCTAGTTGCAACCACTTTTGTCTTGAGTGCATTGAGTAGCACATAAAGCAAAAATTTCTGAAAGCATATTCTTCCAGAGTTTCTGGTTTGTTCATTGAGGTAAACGTTCTTTTTTTCTATATTGTTACATTTACTGAAACTCTTGTTTAAAAGCATCACATTCTTTCTGTCAGTGCTGCAGAGCTCAGGAGAAGTAACTGTTCAAGAGAATAGAACAGGTTTTTAGAAGAATGTGCAGTTAGAGATGCATGATTACAGGTTCTACAACACAATAGGGAAGAACGGATTTTTAAGAAAGAGATATGTCTTCTGGTTGGACGTCTTGATACTTAGATGTTTTGTGCAATAAGAACATATTTCTGGATGCATCTTAACTTAATATTCTCTGCAGTACCAAAGTGCAGCCTGTAGAGAGCACAAATCCACTGAATGTATTTATTAAGTTCGTATATGTTATGTTTTGCAGAATGGGAATCCCCCGCTTGATTCCAGTGAACATTTTATGGATGAAGAAGAGAAACTTACTGACCAAGAAAGATCAAAAAGGTATATGTTGAATTGTAAAGTCAGAGATTGGGAGGGGTGTTTCTGTCTTAAAATTAAATCTAAACCCTCTGTTTCCCCAGATTTGAGAAAGTCTATACTCATACGTTATATTATCTGGCCCAAGTCTACCAGCACCTGGAGATGATTGAGAAGGCTGCACAGTATTGCCATACCACCCTTAAACGGCAGCTTGAATATAGTGGCTACTATCCAGTAGAATGGGCTCTCAATGCAGCTACTTTGTCTCAGTATTATCTCACAAAGGTAGTCACTTCAATGTTTTCTTCAGTGTACCTAATTTGTTAAGGTGCTACCAATGTCAGAGGTGCTATTTGACCAGCTTTCGAAAAGCTATTGTTATCTGTGGTATGAGTCTTATTGGCAGGCATTGGGTTGCATCATCTTCCACACTAAGTTAATTGCACTTAAGTTCCCTTTGAAAACCATGGGACTGAAAGTCACGACTAACTTGCCTCTTTCATTTTGTAAGTCAATGTTCTTTCTAGCTTTGTTGGCATTTACAGATGTCAAACTCACAGCCAAAAACATGAATAACAAAAAGGTCATGTTTCAGGAGAAGTGCATTAGAGAAATTTATTCCTCAAATTTGTTATGATATGAGTGTGTATGTAAGGGTGGGGAGACTCCATAGAAGACCTTTACCTGTTTGTCCTCAGCTTTCTTACTATACAGCGTTGCCAGATTATATCCCCAGATCCTTCAAAGATCACGCATTTGGGCAAACAATTGGGCAACTGAATTATTTCATTCTTAAATATTAAGAGAAAAATATCTTACTGTGTACCAGGAACAAACACCACCATGTCTTCTTTTTACAGCAATGTTTCATGGAGTCCAGGCATTGTTTAGCAGCTGCCAGTGTCATCTTTGGCCAAGCTGGACAGGTGCCATCTGCAGAGGACAGTAAGTCATCTCATTTTAATCCTCACTGTAGTGGCTTTGAGTTATATGGGTTAGCAAAAATGTTGAATTCTCTGCTTGCTGTCAGTTTCAGTGCTGCATTGATTTTGTGGGACTGGAGGAAGAGGTTGCAATGTGAGAGGGTGAAGAGGTGCCCTTCAGCAAGGCTACACTTCTCTATTGGGCTTGTACAGCTTTGAAACTAACGGTGCAGACTTGGGGCATAGTGGTGGTGCCGAGGAAATAGCTTTCGATATTTCAACTTTAGAGAGGGAGAGAAGATGTATAGTTTTCCTCTGTTCATAGAATTGTTGAAAGGGACCCCGACTCACCTAGTCCAACCTCCTGCAATGCAAGAATCTCAACTAGATCATGCATGACAGATGGCCATCCATCCTGTGCTTAAAAACCTATAAGGAAGCAGAGTCCACTGCCTCTTGTGGGAGTCCGTTCCACTGTCAAACAGCTCTGACTCTCAGAAAGTCCTTCCTGATGTTTAGTCAGAATCTTCTTTCTTGTGACTTGAATCCATTGGTTCGGGTCCTGCCCTCTACAGCAGAAGAAAACAAGCTTGCTCCATCTTCCATGTTACAGCCCTTTTAGATATTTGAAGATGGCTATCATATATCTAAATCTCTTCTTTACATGGTTAAACATACCCAATTCCCTCAACCATTCCTCATAAAGCTTGGTTTCCAGAACCTTGATCATCTTGGCTGCCTTCCTCCAGATGTTCCAGCTTGTCAATATCCTTCTTAAATTGTGGTGCCCAGACGTGGACACAGTACCCCAGGTGTGGTTTGACCAGGGAAGAACAGAGTGGTACTATGACTTCCCTTGAAAGGAACACTAGACTTCTGTTGATGCAGCCTAGAATAGCATTAGCTTTTTTTACTGCTGCATCATACTGTTGACTCCTGTTAAGCTTGTCTACTAAGACCCTTAGATCCTTTTCACATGTATTATTGGCAGTCCAGGTGTCCCACTTCTTACATTTTTGCAGCTGCCTATAACCTGCTATAAGTTGTATTGGTAGTATACCTCGCTGTTTCATTTTTTACTTTTTAGGACTGTTAATGCTAGAAATGCTTAAACTATTTTAACGATGTTATGAAAACTGTTTTCTAAGATGTTCTTTACACCCTGTTTTCCTGAATAGAAATTAAATGTCTCCCTCCATTTCCAGTAGAAGTGTCTTGAAGCTGTTTGATCCCCGTTACATTATGGAAAAGCTTCAGGATTAGAAAATATTAGGACCAAAAGTTAAACCTTCCTCCTTATAACCATTTAATAGATTCCAGTAGTATTAGTTACTTGAATTCTGTGTAGTCCTTCAGGTAATTTTAAGTGGCTAACTTATCCCCCCCCCCCCCGGAGATGGCTTTTCAAAATCTAACTGTCAACTAGCCTAATGAATATTGTAATATTTTAAATCAGATGAAACAGAACAAGATCAGCAAGACCTTCGACAGAGAAGAGCTGAAATTGCAAGGTGTTGGATTAAGTACTGCTTGAACTTGTTGCAGGGAGCCAGGAAATTGCTTGAGGTAATCAAGAAACGGAGTGCAAATAACCTTTTTAACATTTGCAGGAGTAACTAAACACAGTAGTCGCAACAGCTGCTAGTGGTGCTGAGACTCGAGGGTATAGTGAATGTAAGTCACAAGGTTGCTGTGTATACAGAGATAGGAACCAAAATCAGTTGAGTGCTGGAATCTCTGCTTAATTTTTAAACCTTCAAGCAATATTCTGCTTGGGCAGTAGAACACTTAATCTTGTGTTTGCCAGTTTTGACCATATCACCTTGATTTCATCATGGGCCTTGATGCTTTACTGATAGTATCCAAATGGGTTCAGTAGGAGCTAGCTGAAATGGGTTCAGTAGGAGCTAGAAAGCAGAGTTTTCTTTGTTAAAGCTAGTCTGCAATTGGTGCATACTCTGTGTTTACACAGTTTTACACTTCAACTTCTTCAGTAATTTTCTACTTGCCTATTATTGTCCTGTCAGAGTGGATATTTAGCAGCTGAGATAGGCAAGCAGGCAGGTATTCCCATATGTCCCAGTGGCCGTGAAGATGTCAGCATCTCATCTATTAAAAAATCAGCTGTGTAATTTCCACTGCCTTGTTAGGTTTTCCTTAAATTGTTGTGGTGCTTATATACTGCTTTTGTCCCAAGTGACCCCAAAGCAATTAAAAAAATAAATAAGAAAATATCATTATGAATCACAAAACACCATTAAGATAACAGTAAAATATTAGCAGCATACGTAAGCTGTTAAGATTTTCAATTTGGGAAAGCAGTTCCTACTGTCTGATAACACAATACAGTCATACCTCATGTTACAGCTGCTTCAGATTACGTGCTTTCGGGTTGAGGACCACAGGAAACCCAGAAGTACTGGAATGGGTTACTTCCAGGTTTCGCTGCTCGCGCATGTGGAGAAGCGCCAAATCGCACCGGCACAGACACAGTGCTTCAGGATGCGAAAGCTGCGGGTTGCAGATGTGCCTCCGTTACGGATTATGTCCGCTACCCGAGGTTCCACTGTAGTACTAACAATGGATAGGAAAGGAAAAAGAGAACCCTACAAGATGTCAGATATATTGGGAGTGGTTTAACGAAAATTTCAAGTATGACAACCACTTGCTGTGAAATAAGTCAAGGAAAATATCTCAAGAGTTACTGCTTGGAGAATTGTTGAAAACTCTTTAATATGCCTCCTCCACTAAGTTGCTGCTATAAGCTCAGCTTGTGTTTCCATTGAATTATCAAAATAAATAAGAATCATATATGGAAGTACTAAATAATTTCTAGAAATCCAAAACATGTATTTTTCTGTCATGCAAACATAGGAGTAACAGAAGTTGCTACTGTGAACGTGATTAATTTATCAAATTGGTGGTATCTAGTTTTTTGACATCTCGTGGCGAAGTATTTCACACTCTGCGTTCTTGTTTTAGGACAACATTGGGGAGCTGGATCCAGACAGGCAGTCGGAGCTTAAAGCCCAGCAGAAGAAAGAGGAGGATGAGAAGGAAGAGGACAGGAAGAAAGCTGTTCTGTTTGGAACTAGTGATCTGTGTGACTCTATTTTGGCCATGGAAGAAAAAGTGAGCTGTGTGTTTCCACTAGACTTCAAAGAAGCCAGAGAAGTCTTCTTAGTGGGTCAGAATTATGTCAATGAAGCAAAAGATTTCTTTCAGGTAGATGGGTATGTCACTGACCACATTGAAATTCTTCAGGATCACAGTGCCTTGTTCAAGGTGCTGGCATTCTTTGAAGAAGATTATGAGAGGCGTTGCAAGATGCACAAGCGTAGGATAGATATGCTGGAGCCCATATATGCTGGCTTAAACCCTCAGTATTACCTTCTGCTCAGTAGGCAGCTTCAGTTTGAATTAGCTGACACCTATTACGAGATGATGGATTTAAAAGTGGCCATTGGAAATAAGCTAGAGGAACTTGACTCCCACACAATAAAGAAAATAAATTCTCTTGCTCAGATGGCCATGAAATACTATGAACTCTTTTTGGATTCATTGAGGAACCCTGATAAGATTTTCCCCGAGACCCTAGAGGAGGATGTCCTGCGCCCTGCCATGGTGGCCAAGTTCCATATTGCCCGCCTTTATGGCAAGCTTATTACTTCAGATGGCAAGAAACAGTTGGAGAACATGCAGACCTCGTTGGAATATTACTCGTTTTTGGTAGACTACTGCGAGAAGCACACAGATGCCATCCAGGCCATTGAAACTGAGCTCGAGCTCAGTAGAGAGATGGTTGGGCTTCTCCCAACAAGAATGGAAAGGCTAAGAGCCAAGCTTTCTACTTTCACTTAAACTCCTTCCTCCCGTGGAAATGTGCAATATTAACACAATTGCTGTCCAAAGAGGCAGTTTCCCTTATGGCAGTTGCCTTGTAGTCATCCGACATCTGTTGTGTGCTCCCACTGTGACAGGCAGCATAGAACCCGTATAAAATGGAAAACTTGTCAAGTGTAGTAATTCTCCCACACTTCAATATTAAGTATACAGTGAATGGTCAACTGGTGCTCTGTATTGCTTGCTCCGTACTGACATGCACACCTTCCTGCCTTATTTTTCTCCTTCCACTACGTGGTCCAGTTTCCAACTGTAGTGCTGCTCTCCAACTGTTTCTTCCAAAAGGGAACTTTTTGAGTACGTTGTATTTACAGCCCAATCCATCCCCACAAAATAGAGACTTAGGTAGGTGGAATTTATTTTCCTCATTAACAGTCCCTGAAAAAAACCTTAACATATCTCTAATTTAATGGCGTCATATTTATTTTTGTATATGTTAGCTGTCCTCCTTTTGAATCCTGTTAAATAGGATCAATAAACAAACATGCCTGATTGCACATTCTCTTGCCGTCATTTTGTGTGTGTGTGTTGTGACCTGTTTGGCAGTAGAAACCTGTTCCAGTTTTTCTCCACAAGTTACAGCCTGAGTCTTAAATACATTCCAGCTATTACCAAATCATAGGCCAGGACTCTTGTTAGTCCCGTCCTATAACTGAAGTTCATATTCCCATCTGTAAGGACCAGAGTTGAACATTTAAAGACAATAAAAGCAAAGATTCTCTGGCAGCTCACATCTATGTTCAATGGCATATTCTCTTATTAATAGTGGTTTTTGAAAGGGAGAGGTGAAAATTAAGAAATGCCCACCATCCTATTCTCACAGTGGCCAGTCAGATATTTATGGGAAACTAGCATGTAAGACATGAATACAACAGCATTCTTCCGCTTGTGACCCCCAGAAACTGGTATTCAGAGGCATACTGCCTCCAGCAGTGAAGTTAGAATCTAAGCATCATGGCTAGCAGCCACTCCTCCATGAATTTGCCTATGCCTCTTATGTGAAGGAGTACTTTATTTTGTCTGTCCTGAATCTTCCAACATGGAGCTCCATGGGACGCCCATGAATTCTAGTGTTATGAGAGAGAAAAACTTTTTCTTACCCACTTTCTCCAAACCATACATACTTTTAAACACTTCTGTCATGTTCTCCCCCACCCACATACTTGCCATTTTCCAGACTAAAAAGCCCCAAATGTAATCTTTCCTCTTTGGAGAATTGCTGCAGTCCCTTGATCATTTCTGGTTCTTTCCTGAATATTTTCCAGCTCTACAATGTCTCTTTTGAAGTGTGACCAGAACTGTACATAATATTCCCAGTGTGGTCACACCATAGATTTGTCTAGCGGCCTAATGACATTGGCAGTTACATTTTCAACCTCTTTCCTAATGCTGCCTTATATGAACTTTGCCATTTTCACAGCTGCTGCACATGCGAGTCAACATCTCCATCAAGCTGTCTTCTGCAACCCCAAGGTCTTGTTCCTGGTCAGTCAACAGCAGCTGAGACTCCCATTAGCTTATATATGAAGTTGGGGGTTGGTTTGTTGGTTTGTTTTTGCCCCAGTGTGCATCACTTAAACTAAAATGCACCTGCTATTTTACTATCATTCACCCAGTTTACTATCATTCACTCCCTTTGGAGATCTTTTCAATCACTTTTTGTTTTAAACATCCAAAGCAATTTGGCCACCTCACTGCTTACCTTGACTTCTAGATAATTAAATAAAAAGCACAGGTCCCACCCAATACTAATCATTTAGGGACTCCACTTTCCCCATCCCCTGCATTAGGAGAAAAGTCCCATTTATTACTGCTCTCTGCTTCCTGTTTCTTAACCGGCCATTGATCCTCAAGAGGGCCTGTCCTCTTACTTCATGACTGTTAAGCTTACTCAGGAGTCTTTGGTGAGGTACTTCATCAGCAGCTTTTTGACAATCTTTAAGTACACAATATCTGATGGATCAACTGTGTCAATATGATTGTTGGCACTCAAGGAACAAGGTTTACTCTTGCGGAAGCCATGCTGGTTCTGCTTCGGTAAGACCTGTTCTATACCCTTAGTAATTCTGCCTTTACAGTCTTTCCTTTAGCTTCCCAGCACATATGCTAAGGTAAGTTGCCTGTAACTTCCTGGATCCCATCTGGGTTCCTGGTTAGGAGCTGAATCCTGGCTTGTTCAGCTATTTGCACAAGAGGAGCAAAGCAGCTGCAAAGGGGCTCCATTCACCTGCATGCAAGTCACCACAAGCCCACCACAAGACAAGAATGAGCAACATGTTTGCTGCAGCTTGGGCTGGATGTTTTTGATTTCGCAGTTCTGCCAGCAACTCATTTTTTGTGTTACTAAATACAGTACCCTTAGGGAAATAGAATGGGGGGAGGCAAGGGCTGCCATCTTCAGTGTTCCTTGCATCTTGTTGAGGGTGGGAGAGCTATGGGTAGATTTGAAGATCACATTACACTTCCATTCATCTGTCCATCTTGTACGCAGTACATTAACCATTTGAAAAAAATAACTATTCAAGAGAAACACCATAGCAGCAGGATGCTAAAACTGTAAGTTAATTGCAAGCTCATCGTGGGTAAATATTGGTTGTAACAAGGCAGTGAGGTATAATTGGGAAAACTATATATTTGATTTAGCTTGCCTACAAACCCCCTCTCCCCTCTGTGCTCCTTCTGGTGCTGCTACAATGACTGATGCACTGTGGAATTCTTCAATGATAGGTCAAGTACCATAAGCAGTTACTCTGGAATTAGAAGGGTCTGTTATTTGTTTGATGCAGTCTGGAATACTTTTTCATGAACTAGGCAAATTTATGTTTTGCCATTTTTAGCTCTTATCAGGAAAGAGGGAAGAGTTGCCAGGCAGCGCCCACAGAGCAACCGTTGCTGAGAGCTTACGCCGCCTCCTCTTGCCCTAGTGAGAGACTGATCACATCACAAAGGCCAGCTGGGTTGCTGTGGGCAGCTGCTTAAGGGTCTGGCTATTCGGGACATTCTGTGGAACATCGAGAGAGGTTGCTCATTGTTCTCTTCCGTTGTACAATTGCAAATTGTTTTGAAAGCCACTGAGAGCCCTAAGCAAAGGACAAGATATGTAATCTGCAGGGTGCTGCCTTTGTAGATGGTCTGAAGACTGCAGCTTGTTCAGAGTGCTGTGTTCAGGCTAGTGTCAGTGACTAACTGTTTGGAGCGTATTCCTTTATTGCTCAGTCTTAGGAAGCTGCCTTATGCCTGGGCACATTATTTGTACATCTAGGCCACTATTGCTTGTTGTGTGTGGCAGCAGTTCAGCTGCACATAATCTAAATTGTCTTGGTCAATGTTGGCACACAAGAACATTGCTTAGTGAATGTAATTACCTCCTCTTCCAATCACAAATTATCCTGTATTAATATTTATTTAATATTTTTGTTGTGGGGAGGGGAAAAGAAGCTACTGTGCTCACTAAGGGCCCCATCTCCAAGCAGCAGAGATCTTATTCAGTAACACCTCTGGCTATTGAGGGCTAGAAACTATTATTACTACTGATTTTCAGAAAGCTGAATTCTGTACTTTTCCTATGTGCTTACAAAAGAACAGGATCACTTTGGCTGTAAAGAGAAGCTGGACTCAAGGCATAGCAGCCCCTCAGCCTGGGGTTTGTTTTTTTTTGCAACATTGTGTGGACTTCTGAAACCATAACTGCTATGTGAACATCCAGTGGGCTAACCTGTGTTGAAAAGTTATGGAGCAACTTTCCCAATTTCTTGTTGCACTGTAACAGTGTAACAGCGCAGATGCATGCATGTAATTTTCTTAGAAGCAAGCCTCACCAGTGGTCAATGGGACTTACTCTCTAGTGAGCATTTTTAGGTTTGGAGTCTAATAAGACCGTTGTCAGTTGAGCTGACTGCAAAAGTTAGGCATGGATGGCTGTAACGCTCCATAGCTTCCCAGGCAACCTGTTCGTTGAAAAACTTTGTGAGCACTTGAGTGGTTGGTGTGTTTGTTTATGTAAAATCTATCAATGAAGATAATGGTTTTATGTCCTTGGTCTGTTGTTCGGAGAATATTAGCAACAACAGCTGCACATCCCAACCGCACAATTTCCTCTTCCAACTGGTAGCGATGTCAGTAAATGTTAGGTTTTGGTATGGAAATGCAATGCTGATAATCAAGTTTAATCTATTCACCGTGACCGCTGGCATACACATAGTTTTGCTGCTCTGAAGGAAAGGCTTTGTTTAATCAGGGCACAAGCCAGCCAAAGGTTATTTACCAATTAGTTGTATCAATTTCAATGAGAGAGTTATGGAGAAGAGGCTTTCTCAGTGACAGAGCACAAGGTCCCAGGTGTTCATCCCTGAAATCTTTAGGTAGGACTATGAAAGTTTTTCATTTGAAACCATGGTGAGATACTGCCAGTCAGTGTAGAGAATACACTGGTTTAACTTGGTATGGCAGCCTCCAACATTTCTAGTATGCACATTTTTAGTATGCACCATTGAAATATAAAAAAGGATGCTTAGCTTTGGGTGGATGGTGTCGTAGATCTAATTATCTTATCAGAAAATAAGGCAAGGTTTCCTGGAGCATACCTCATCACATATCACCAAAAAACACCCACTGCAAGTTACATGAAAGTTACAGCAAGAAGGTGGGGTTGGGGAGAGATAAGCGTGTTTGTTGATTAATGATCCCCGCTCTCCTTAATTGCCCCATTCTCCTAAATATGATGCAGTAATTTATAGGATCATGGTGTCTCCCCAACACAGCAGGAGTCATTGCTATGCTGGCATGTTCTATGTACAATTGCTGACGAGTAAGACCTGTTGCAAACATGCATAAGAGTGGGCTGCAAGTAGTTAAATTTGGTAGGGGTTCATATTGCATGGCTTTGCAACATACCTGCTCAACGTCTGTTGTAGCCTCAACATGAAGCAATTGCTGTGAGAAACCAGTAACTTGCACAAAAATCTCCCTCTAAGCCACAAAGCGACAAGAAGCATAGCCTATAACTACGGCCTTGTTCTTGGAAACAGCAGATGAGGTGATAACAGTTATCATGCCAGAACTGCAAATGGGGCTCACATGACTAAATGATACTGCATACGATAAAAATCGGGGTCAGGCCAAGATGTTTTGTGACCTGAGGCATAGGAGAAGCTGGCATCCTCCAACATGCAGAAGTTGGCCAGATTGGCAGTTGACTCTTTCTTCAACACTGACAATGAGACGGCAACATCCACCACCGCAGCCTGGATTGGTACACACAATTCTGTCATCAAACACTTGGGCAACACTCCCCACCTCCAGCTGCTGCCACCAGAGGCACCTGCCTCACCCTGCCTAGCAGAAGGACCCTGGAAGACATTATTCCTGCACACAGAAAACTTGATATTGAGGGGAAAGCTTGGCCTTCTCCCTATCACAACCAGCTTTTTCCATGCAGAATTGTGTTTGCAGGAAAGAGCATTCCTTCACATAGTCAGGTGGGTGGACTGGGGGAAGAGCGAGTTCCTTACACAATATGTGTTATGTTCACTATGCATAGGATTGCCAGGACTTTAAACGGAAAAAAAGCTGGTAGCATGACGGGAGAGTACTACTCAGGATGTAAGGCCCAGAACAGGCCCAGTGCTGGAGTCTAGTGCAAATTTCTTGTCACAGGACAGAGCTCAGTGTTTAGGGGTGGGTCTGAGGGAGGCAGAGTCTCTCTCTCCCCCCCCCATCCCATTTATTTTGTTATCCCATTCATTTTTGCTATTAAAGACCACTGGTGGATGCCATTTTGCCACCATGACTATATGAACACAGTGCCTTGGAAACAATGCAAAGTCCCTTGGCAGTCTGGGTAAATAAAATGAAGGCCACCCTGTAACAGTTGTTGAGAGAAGAAGCTCTGCCACTGCTGGAGAAAGATGATCCCTCCTGCCCGCAAATGGTCAATAATAAAAAGTCAGTGTGGTGTGGTGTCATGCAAAGTGTTAAGACTAGGACTCAGGAGACTCAGGTTCAAATTGGCTAAAAAGCTCATTGGGTGACTTGGGCCTGTCCCTGCCTCTCAGCCTGACCTACCTCACAGGGTTGTTGTGGGGGATAAAAAGGGGAGGGGAGAACAATGCACATCTCCTTGAGGAACGTGGAAGAAAGGTGGAGTATTAATGTAATAATAAATAATAAAAGTATTGACTTTGCTAGAGGGGCATGGGGTTGTTGGTTTGTGTTGCTTTTCTTCTTGTTTTTCGTGTTTTTATTTTGTATTTTTATACTGTGCACCACCCTGAGATCTACAGATGAAAGGCAGTGTAAGAATTTAATATTAATAAATTTGAGTAATAATAATAATAATTGATGTGTATGTTTTAAAATGGTCCCATTGTTGACGACAGATTTTCATTCATTTTGAAATGAATACTGACTGCACCCCTAGGATTTTTGGTTGTGTGGGTAGAATCTAGTAGTAGAGAGCAGAGGAAAAAGTTGTCTGTTCACCTAAATACTTTTGTTTGAACCATTAGAAGGCTTTTCTTTTTTTAACTGCTGCTGCTGCTGTTGGTGAAATGTGAACTTTGTCTTTTCTTTTCTTGGCAGCTGGGCAGAAAACTGAAATGTTATGGCTTGGTAAATTGATTGATTGATTGACTGAATGATTGCTGGGTAGTTAGTTAGGCTTCTATAATGTGAATAAATTCTTAGAGGGAAAAATCTATCTGTCAATATATTAATGCTGGAGGAAGCAGGTGGGAATATGTTGACAACTTTTGGCATCTCCCATGACAGTTTAACAGTTATACAATCAAGACATGCAACTGAGGTAGCCTGTGTCCTCTGTCAGAAGGACATCTGTTCTATGATGTTTCATAGATTGGAACTGTGTGGAACAGCTGTTTGCTGTTGATTTTACAAATATTTCCTAATTCATCTTACTTGTGGTTTTTATATTTGCAGCTTTTTGAACTTTCTGCTTAAAGCAATGTTGAGATCCCCCCACCCCCAGTCATAGAGGATCATATGCTAAATTTCTGTTTAATATCTATAAGATAAGAGGGTAACAGTATGTATAGGCAGAATGGACGAATCTGTCTATTTCATTTTGTCTCTGTTTTTCATTCTTGCAATTATAAATTCAGTTTCCCACATTTCCACAGCAGCTTAATTCCCCCCCCCCCAGTAAGTGCAAAGGACCACTCTGCAACCAGTTTGCACGAAAGATCGCAAGAATCTGGCATCATGTATATGGAACTTTTTCTCCAAGACCCAAGTGTAGTGCAGGTAATTTTTTCTACATTTTTATTCCTCTGTGACCTCGTTCTCTGACCACCCGCAAGACTCCAACACAACAAGAAGCGTGCGTGCCCACCCACCCACTCACTCAATAATGAGCATTTGGTTCAAACCTTTTTTTGCTTGGGTTTGCTAGGGGTGATATTGTAAGGGGCCACCGGTTTGTGTCTTTGCCTTGGGTCAGGCTTAGCAGGATTGTAATGGGACACAGGACACACTGTTGTGCTGTGTTGGAAATGCAGTAGTTGACCTGCTTTTGACTGCAGATCAATAACACTGATTCTAGCAAGGGAAGGGCCTCAATCTGCTGTTCATCCCTGCTTGTTCTAAATAACTTCAGCCTTTCCTTCTATTATCTGACAGACATTTCTGTGCTACACTGTAAGAATCATTGATCCGGATAATTTTGATGAACTTAGTCCGGAAGCAGGGGGAGTGTTGGATTTTATAAATCTCAGATGCTACCGCGACATTATCTATGGCTTTATGAAATACATAATACCCTTTGGCAACTCTTTACCCCCACCGTGCATGCAGTGACTACAGAATGCCTTTGTGTTATATCTGGCATATTTAACCATCTGTATATAAATCATGGCAAACAAAATAAACCAAATAATTTTGTAAGCAGGGACCTGGATATTATTTCATAGGCAGGCAAACATTTTGAATCCGCAAATGCTTATTTGCTCATTATCAGCTACTTGCGAAATAACCCCAAGTATGCAACAATAAGCCACATGTGCCTGCTTGGATAGGCAGACTCAAAAGTATTCACAGGAAAGAAATCTCTCTCCCAATTTTAATGCCTTGGAAGAATGCAAAGCTCTTAATCTACTTTCCATGTGGCTTACAAATAGTGTATGCATGTTGGTCCAAAGTGTAAGAAAAAGTTAAGGAAAAAAGTAGTATATTGGGCTAACCCAAATGTTGTGTTTCTCCTAGTAGGATACTGTATACTACTAGATGATAATGAAGGTGGTAATTTAGGAAAGATTATGAATATCTGGTTAGTTTCAATGCAACTTTAAGAAAAACAAAACAGCCAGTAGACGCATGTGCTCATAGTTTGTAGACAGTATAATTTGAATTTGATATGACTGTTGATATTTAATAAGAATAAGAATAGATAAAGCCATTTGATTAGGTGTGCCTTCCCCCAATGGGGAATGAAGTTAGTATGTAAATGACTTTGTCACTGAATAGTTGTGATTTGGGCCTCATTCTGTTCCAGGGATTTCCAGCCTCACACCCACAGGTGCCATGGAGCCTCATGCAGATGTCCCATACACTGAACGTTTCTTCTTCTTTTTCTTTAAAAAAGGTAAGCCTCTAGCCATCCTAGAAAGAAAGTCACCCTTCTAAGCAATTTATGTGAAATGCGCAAGTCTGCCTTTTTTTTTAGCCAATGCGGGAAGTCAACACTGTGACTGATGAGTTGTTTGGACCCCAGTCAATAGGAACTCCTAGAGACCTAAAGAGTTGCTGTTTCCCCTTCCACTTTAATGTTCTTTTTTCCTGATTCCGCCTTATTTTCTATGCAGAAATTGAACATGTTAAGCCTTTTACTGGATGGCGATACAACTGAGTGAGACAATAAAGACAACCAGTTTATACCAAGTGGTTGAATATATACATCATGGTAATAATGAGTTAAAATTGCAAATGACCAAGCCATGTTTTGTTCTACAGATGAAACAGACCTTCTTTTCTTTTGGTCATCATAATTATGACCTACATACATGATATAATGTGATAGCTCAGTTGGAAGAGCATGAGACTTTTAATCTCAGGGTCATGGGTTTGAGTCCCATATTGGGCAAAATATGACCCTCGTGGTCCCTTCTGACTCTATGAATATACGTGTGCTTACGTTTTGGTCTCTGAAGAAAGAGTTAAAGACAGGGAGGCAGTTTATCCTTATGAAAAGATTACTGCTGTAGTGCAAGATAAGTTGTGAGGGATTTATCAACATCTTTGAGAAGAAGGCACCACTTTGAGGGAAGTGTTAAGATTAGATTTTGTTTGAGTGGCTATTTTGAACACACCTCCACCAATCTTTCACTAAACGAACCAGGAGCCTACTGTAGTACAGTGGTACCTCAGGTTACATACGCTTCAGGTTAAAGACTCCGCTAACCCAGAAATAGTGCTTCAGGTTAAGAACTTTGCTTCAGGATGAGAACAGAAATCGGGCTTCGGCAGTGCAGCAGCAGCGGGAGGCCCCATTAGCTAAAGTGGTCTTCAGGTTAAGAACAGTTTCAGGTTAAGTACGGACCTCTAGAACAAATTAAGTACTTAACCTGAGGTACCACTGTACACATTTACAACTCATTTTTAAACTCTCTTTCTCCAAATTGAGGACTATCTCATACATGACAGTTATGACTCTGGCTTAAATTAGTATTCAGGAAAAATGTGCAACTTACATTGGCAATCGTGCATATTAAATCTCTCTCCCACATCCTGGCCTGCTTGAACGACTTTTGCATTTGACCAAAGCAAAGCACAAGACATCTGGAAGCCCTTTTTAGGGCCAAATGACAAGATACTACTCAAATGTTTAGGATTGAAGTCTTGTGCCATAAAAGCTTTGAAACTGATGCTGTGTGTGTGTGTGTGTGTGTGTGTGTGTGAGAGAGAGAGAGAGAGAGAGAGAGAGAGAGAGAGAGGGAGGGAGGGAATTTGGGGTAACAAAAGAATGAGTGGGAAAGCCCCCTGCCACTTCTCTGTTCCCACTCACCTCCTCCTGAGGTGGCTTTTCCTGTGAAGTAAGAGCTACTTATTACACAAGTTTATGCTTAATGTACAGTTTGGCGCTTAGTGTCTCATGTGAAAATGACCGTAGATTGGTCAGCAACCTTCTCTAACCTTGCTAGACCCTTTATTGAGAATAGGGCCGTCAATGGCTACTATCCATGATTGATGTTCTCCTTTCACTGTCAGACAGTATATGGTTGCTGGGGGGTCACAAGTGGGGAGAGTGCAGTTGTGCTCATGTCATGCTTCTGTTCTGTTCTGATGTACTTGCAGCTCTGCCTCCTTATGAACAGTCTCTCTAATGGCTTCTTAATCGTTTTCTCTCTCATTTGCCTTTCTGTCAAGATTATGTTCATCTACCCTTTGTACATGGGCATACAAACCCATGCTGCACTTTTGCATCCTATCAATGAGAGCACCTACGTAAGTGTAATTCCTGATGCATTTCCTGGTGACATGAAATTTATTGAAGACATTGTCATAACTTTATCGCTGCCCGCAAACATGTCATTCTGGTTGTTGTTGTTGTTGTCGTCGTCGTCGTCATCATCATTATTTTAAAAGCCTTGTTTTGTTTCCCTCATTTGACTACTTATATCTATGTTGAGAATTAATGGCTAAATAGAAAAAGGGGGCCAAGTTTTTAAACAATGGGACTTAGGTTGTGTGCACACTGTACATTTAAAGCACATTTGAAGCATATTTCTCCCCTCAAAGCAATCTGGGCACTGTAGATGGGTGACTGAGGGAAGGAATGAAAGGCAAACAAAGCACAACCCAGTCTGTCATACTCTGCTCACTATTGTGAATGACCGCCAGAAGCAGAATAGCAATGAATATCCACTATGACTGAAAAAAACAGGAAAGTGTGCAAGCTAAAGTGTCGAATGTACAGAGACAGAAAAACCAGATCTTTATGACCCATTCACAATATAAAGCCTCCATATGGAAGCACCTTAAGAGTAGGTAATAGGGGGCTTCATAGTCATACACAGGATAAGGCAGCTTCCTATGTGGTCATGATTTTGTGCCATTCTGTCTGACCAACCGGGACGTCCACAGCATGCCCACTCCATTTTGAACCTTGGCTTCCTCTATTTTCAGCATTGCTTCTCCATTTGTTGGTTCCCATTCAGCCAACGCTTTAAGGTCTTCAGTACCTCACGGGGGAAGATTTCTGGCACCCACTTATTTGTATTAGGTGTAAGTGGGATAGAATATATGAGATGGAATGTGGAGGTAGCTGTGAATTTGTTGTGTGACCTCATACTGGCCCAGAATATCACTCACATTTCCATATGCTGTAATGGAACACTGAGGATTTCAACTCTTCCCATCTCCTTGGGAATGTTCCTGTCCTCAGAATCAATGTGAAAGACTGTCAGTCTTGTTCCGTATTGTCTACACTGGCAGACAGTGGCTCTTGAGGGTTTGAGGCAGCGGACATTGTTTGGATGGAGTGACCAGCTTATTATTGTTGGGAAAGTTCTGTGCGGATTTTATTTCTTCAGTCATTTCAAAAGCTTCCATGGAAAGTTTGATAGTGATACAGTTAAAACACTTTCTGTGACATAAAGGAAGTTGCAGTAGATTGTGTCCTAAGTGCTCAGCCACAAAGTGATTCCATCAAACTAGCTACCCACTTAGGCTGATTATCGTGTTGTAACACGAAAGAACACCGTAAAAATAGGAAACAGCAGGCACTCTTAACTGCTGAATGTATGGCCTGCCATTTCCTTGAGGTGTATCTGCTTGGTATTAATGCCACTTGTTAGAGGTTTTGACCATGATGCATGTTAAAATGTTTAGGAATCCAGATAAATGTGAAATTGCTTGGTGTGCAAAAGCATAATAGAATCATAGAGTTGGAAGGGACCACAAGGGTCATGTAGTCCAATGCCCTACAATGCACGAATCTTTCACCCAACATGGGGATTGAACCCATGACCCTGAGATTAAGAGTCTCATGTTCTACCAACTGAGCTATCCAGCTATCCCTTCACTCTCCTTAGAGTTTAATCTCTTAATCTTTACTGGAAAAGTTTGAAAAGAAGGAGGGGAGGTGGGAAGGTATTGATCACAGAGAAAACTCTTGAAATAAATGGTTGCTCCCATTCACATGTTCCTTGTGGCTTGCCAAAGAGTTGCTACGGTTTCTAATAATGGCTCGGTCTGGCTTTAACCCCCACCCTACAAAAAGAATGTTCCAGTTCATCTTATTCAGCTATCCGGCAAGAGGTTTGTGCAGATAATTTGATTTGCTGCAGAAAGAATGACTGAAATTACTATGTGCTTCTGATGCTCTCTAAAAAGCTAAAAGTATCTGTGAGGGAACAAATAGCTTTATACACCACTTTGAGGGGTTTTTTCCTACAATCAAGCAGCATATAAATTTTATGAAATAAATAAATGCAACCAAAGATGGGTATTGTCAGACTTAATGAACAGTTTCCCTGCGCAATCATTGGATTCCCCACTCCCGCAAGCAGTGTTAGTACTGCATTCTGTTTTCCCAGTGTTTCCTTACCCAATAATTTTCCCGTCTTATGTGATCTTTTACACAAAGTAAACACCACTTCTATAAATGTGGGATCTAGTGCATGTCTAATGCTCATATCTGTTTTAATTGCTTCCAGACAAAACTCCATTGGCAACCCCGATAACCCCAGAAAATTGTGGGATGGAATTGGGGGACGTATCCTGGTTTTCTGCTCTTTCCCACTGTTTTTGTTGGTGAATAATGGGGAAACAAAACATATGTACATGTGCTTAAAGGGTGGGGAGTGGTGTATGATGATGTCACACCGTGTCCACCAGTATGAATGAAATTTAGTGTCATATATAATTTAGTGAGGGGACGCGGGTGGCGCTGTGGGTTAAACCACAGAGCCAAGGACTTGCCGATCAGAAGGTCGGCGGTTCGAATCCCCGCAGCGGGGTGAGCTCCCGTTGCTCGGTCCCTGCTCATTGCCAACCTAGCAGTTCGAAAGCATGTCAAAGTGCAAGTAGATAAATAGGTACCGCTCTGGCAGGAAGGTAAACAGCGTTTCCATGCGCTGCTCTGGTTCGCCAGAAGCGGCTTAGTCATGCTGGCCACAAGACCCCAGAAGCTGTACACTGGCTCCCTCGGCCAATAAAGCGAGATGAGTGCCGCAACCCCAGAGTCGGCCACGACTGGACCTAATGGTCAGGGGTCCCTTTACCTTTACCTTATAATTTAGTGACATGGTCATATATCCATCAAAAAGCCACAGTTTCATAATGTGACAGGAACATTTGAAAGTGGGACAGATGAGCTGGCATTACAACTGTGCTAGCTCCCACCCTTAGATACAGTACTTGGACTCTCAGCTCAGGGAAACCAGAGAGCTTTATTCAAGAAATCAGTATATGGTATCAGCATTAGTTCAAAGTGCAGGACACATGATTCACAAGTCTATAAGCTTCTAAGATTCATGGCTAGGCAGCAGCTAAAATATTATCTCAACATTTGACATTTTCCTCCTGCTCAACTTTTGAAGTGGGGCAGGACGAGTAATTTGCATGGTTCTTGTCCCAGGCAAAAAAGACTACACTTGGAAGCATGCACTTCTGTGGGTGTGCTGGGTCTGTTCACACCAACACAGTCATTGGCACATCTTTGACAATGGGGCCTGAGTTGGTTTCTCCAACTCAACCTCTGCCTCTGATTTAGCTGGCCCTATTCATTGGCCAGCAGCCTCCTTGGTTACCATGGGAACTTCACTCTTAAGGGGTTGGTTAAGATTGACTTAGACAGTTTCCACTCCCCATCTCTGATGTCCAGTAACAAAGGGGTCAATCAATCAACTCACTGCTTGGCCTCTCCCCATCTCTGAACTCTGTATCCTTCTAATTCTCTGCTACATCCTGCCCCAGTTAATGCCACAGGACCTATGACACTAACCTGGAAAACTAAAGTAATAAGATCCGTATGGTGCCAATATGGCCTGAGCTGCTTCTTGGAGCTTTGGTTAGGTGTGTCTGCCCTATGGACAGTGCAGTAAATAGTGCAATACTATATATTTCTGTTCAGAAGCAGGCTCTATTGACTTTAATGGGACTTACTCTCAGGTAAGTGTTTATTGGATTGCAGATTAAATTACTGAAAAGATATACTCTCCCCTGTGATGGAAACCAACCCTAGGAAGTTTTAGTAAGAAATACTGGTAACTACTGCTCAGAAAAAAAGAGAGAAGGATTTTAAAATATTTCTTTCTTTCTTTAAACCACCCATCATCTGAAACTCTTGTAGCCGCTTACAATATTTAAAACAAGCAACAAGATACTAATATTTAGTATTATTTATTATAGCTATATTATAGTATAGTTATGGTATATAGTCATTTAAAACAATATTATTATTTGGTATTATTTAAATATAATACTATAATTATTTTTAAATTATTTTAAAAAGCATTTGGGTTGGTAGAAAACTGGTTGGTAGATACCCTTATCATTATAAAACTGCACCCTTAACTATATTGTATTGATTTGCTGTGTGCATAGATTCTGAGAATTATTTTTTTAAGGCTGCAATCCTTAATGCTAAAAACCCCCTGTAAGTTTTCTAAGAATGAAGCCTGCAATCTAGCAACTCCCGCTGAATTTGGTGGGACTTTACTTCTGGGTAGCCATGCACTGGATTGCGCTGTAACCTGTCAGTCTTGTTTGGGCAACTTCCTTCTTGTGCTGAGTGGTTTGAGAGCTGTAGAATTAGGGCTCCAGGTTTTGATGTTAGATGCGTCACTTTTCTGTGCTCAGGAAGTTGTGACGCAAGTCATGGGTTGGGTTTGAGGTTTTGGAAACCTTTTGTAAAGGCAAATCACTCTCCTTGCCCTGTTGCATTTGCAAAGTAGCTGTGACAGTTGGAGGATAACGGAGGCACGCAGGCCAAAATGCAGATGCTTGTCAGACATAACGGGAGGATTTTCGTGGCGCTTTGTGTAATCCTCTTTATGGGATGCACAGTACAAGGTAAAACCGCAAGTGGCTGTTTTCTCTTTCTTCTTTTTCTGTAATCTTCTTGTTGTGCTACGCAGCCTGATATAGGAAAAACAAGGCTAGTTAGTTGTGCAATCCTACACCTGTCTACTCGGAAACAAGTCCTACTAAATTCAGTGGGACTTAACTCCCAAGTAACTGTGCAGAGGACTGCTGTCTAAAACAGAGCTGCTCCATGTCCTTCTCATGTGGATTTTAAGATTAGTATTATCTACAACACCAGTCATGTGTTACTCCAACCCCACATATGAATGTGGAGGTAGCCTTGCTACAGCAGAGCAATCTCTTTGCATGGGTGGCTACCCTGATGTGTTGCTTTTATTCTTTTGAAAAAGGAGAGGTGTCTGCTCCTGCTCCACAAACACAAGAGTACACTGCCTCTAAAGTCTTAAATTAGAAAGGGCAGGGGGAAGGAAAATAAATGTGACCTAAAGAAGGCTGACTGAGTTACTGGGCATTGCTAAAAAAAAGGGAAAAGGTTGTCTTCTTAATGCTCAATACTCCTTGTTTTGTTTTCAGTAGGCATGATGTGCTCTCCTATGCGTGAGTAGTGCAGTTGAGGCGCACGTATATGTGGGGAGGGGGGGAATATGGTCACTGAATGACATTGGTATGGTCTGTGGGGGGAAGTGTGTAACTTGTTTCCAGTGATATCACAGACGCTAAAAAGTTCAACTATCCTCTACCCAGCACCTTACAGTTGCAACAGCTATATGAGCTGTGTGCCTATGTGCATGAGTCAGTGAAGGGAATTCCATTTTTCACAACAATATATTATGGTTCAAGCACCTGGAAAATGCATTTGGTGTACTAGCTGGGAAAGCTGCTGTACTTGCACTTTTGTTATGCAGCAGCTGGTCATTAGGAACGTGGAACCTATTATAATTCGGCTATAAAGTAATCATAAGAAATACTTTCAACATCAACAAGTTCCAGTCTCTGTAATGGTAGCAGAATAAGACACATATATTTGGAAATAAGTTTCATAAGTAAAGCTTAATAGTTTCCACCCTTACTTTAAAATGCTATTATAATTTTCAAATGATTGATGGTACAGTGGTACCTTGGTAGTTCAACGCCTTAGTTGTTGAACAAATCAGCTCCCAAACCCGGAAGTGAGTGTTCCGATTTGAGAACGTTTTTCGGAAGCCGAATGTCTGACGCTGCTTACGCGACTTGCCTTTGTTTTCGAACCGTTTCTGGAGTTGAACGGAATAAATTTGAGAACCAAGGTACAAGTGTAATTTAAAGCAACGTTTCCCAGGCTGTGGGTTGTGAGGCCTGTGCAAGTGGGCTTTAGAATCCTAAACGAGTATGATGAATGCCACTTACAACTTGTAACCAATCATGGGAAAGCCTCAAGTCTTACATTTGAACACTTGGGAAATGTTCTCTACTGGTTGGCAACAGTTGTGGTGACGGTTCACCACAAAGTGGTCATACAGGGAGTTGTTTTGAGTGACTATTACAGTTCCCCTCTGATGTGCAGGAAGATTCCCCCAATTAGGTGATATTGCAGTTAAAATACATGAAACTGACAGCTGCCAAATACCTAAGACCCAAAATTCATGTGACAGTAAATGGATGAGTCACCATACCAAGTACATTTGGACTTATGGGTTTAAAATTTGCTGTATTTGGTAAGTTATAGAAAATAATAATTAAAAATGATATCTTATTATTACTTTATTAATCAAATATTACCTTAGGTGTGTTTCACCTATGTTCTCTATATTATAATAACCAAATATGCACCAGGGAACCCAATTCTATCCAGGTCTATTCAGAAAAAAAGTCCCTCTGAGTTTAATGGGGCTTACTCTCAACCCTAAGGCTGCAACCATAAAGGGACTTAACCCAAGCAAACTTATTAAGGATTAAACTGTCAGTTCCACATACTCATTTTTTAAGTCCTCTGAGCTGTTTCTAGTAACCTATTGTTATAGAGTTAGGGTGGAATCCAACCCTGTGTTTGGTCCATCAGCACAAGGATTTCTGCTTGTGTAATAGAATATTCTTCCTTCTGATCCCCCATGTACCCTCTAAAATCTGTTTGAGGAGTCCCACTAACTACCTGCACCAGATTTGGGGGGCACAATTGGGAGGAACGAGAGAAGGGGAAATTCTATTGTAGAAATGGAAAGTTTCTGCTGACAGGATGAGTTAGTATACTACCCTCGGCTGGAAAATGTAGACACTGTTTTTCTCTCAGCCAATTTCTAGGCGCCTTGTTGATTTTGTTTGATTGGTGTGTGGTATGAAAGAAAAAAAACAAGCTGTTTGAAAAGGCATTCAGCTTCCTCTGTCAGGGCTTCAGGTTGTCTTCTGGTACAAGAGGAAATTTGTGTAAGTGTGAAGAAATTGAGGGCTCTGTACCTCAGGAGTTACCACACAGGATACATGAACAGCTAAAAAGAAATGCAATTCACAGCCCAACGATCTGGACGTATTTATCCTCCCCCCACACCATACATTTAAAGCACATGGCCTCCCCCAAAGATCCCTGGGAACTATAGTTCTCAGGGTGCTGGGAATTGTAGCTCAGTGGGGGGGGGTAAACTCTAGTTTCTAGGATTCTTTGGGAGAAGCCATGTGCCTTAAGTGTAGAATGTAGATGTATAGCAAACTCATTCTATGAGTGATGGTGCTTATGTAGCCAACGGGGCACCATCCACACACAAGAGGGGAGGTATCAGCACTTAGGGGCACCTTAAGGTTGGCAGAAATAAAAAAATACCCCAAATCTTCAGATTAAAAATCCCTAAGGGTGGATCCCTCACAAATGACTGACTGATGACTGAGCATGCTCTGTAGGCACAGAACACCGGCTGACTAGCTGACTTTTGGCAGGGAGAGGAAATGGAAATGGTGCAGAATGGAATAGAGTATTGCAAAGTACCATGTTCTGGAAGATGTCCTGAACAATGAGCACTTTACACTGCATCATTATGCTGAAGGTCTGACTTGTGAGACCTCTCATTTTCAAGTTTCCTTGGGATAATAACATAGTGCCACATGTCGAACTGTGGCTCATCTTTTGGCGTTTCACAGTAAGCATAGATGGCAATATGCCCTCTTTGTATTCAAACCGTTAAGCTCTCCATAGAAATGGCTAAATCTGTCAAATTCAGTTTATTCTCTGTTTCTCATTTCCCTCATCATGAATTCAATTCTCCACATTTCCACATCCATTTGTGGGAGAAATTGTCCTACTGAAAATTCACCAGCATTTTAGTGTGAATTTCTCCTAATTGACACCATTGTGCATGCAATTTTGCATAATATACACCTTTTTGAAAAGCATTTCTCTCTATATATTATTGTATGATATTTTCATCAATATATACTTTTTAATGCACACTTTACATGACTAAACGACTAAACAACAACAAACCCCAGTCCAGTCCAGTATATGTCTTTTTTCTTTTCAACACATTGCTTGATTGGAGAATCAATTCAGGAAAGTGTGATCTTTGAAGGATGCAGAAGGATACAGTTCATGTATTGTTTCGGAAAGGTTGAATTAGGTAGATTTGCCTTTAATGTGAATTTCTTCCACATTCCTAGCTCTGGCATCCAAAGAACTGATTTGGTTTACATAAGGACACTAGCCCAGCGGATGTTTTGATTCCTCCCTTCCCTTTGAATGGCAGGCAGCATGCCATACACACAAGCCGCTTTTGTAACACTCCTAGATTTAAAAACTGGCTGCTGTTTGAGCAAAAGAAGTGTGGAATCCCGCTTGGGCTGATGAAAAACAGTTTTCACGATTTTTTTATCTCCTTGTTAAACTGCTGCCTATGGCACTTTTTTAAAAATAGCTCAATAAAATGCTGTTTGAAACTACTATACACAGGCTAAAGATAGCAATCCAAAAGTGTCAACAGGAAACAACTTTCAATAGCTACCCCCCCCCAAAAAAAATTCCTTAATAAAACCAGTCTGTGCTTTTCAGAAGGCTAGGAAAATAACTTAGGCAAATTTTAAAGCAAGTATAACAGGAAAGACACTGCCATAACTTTAACTTAAGTTAAAAAGCAACAAAGGATGGACACAACTATAAAGCTTGCTATGTAATCAGTTAATACTATTAAAGAACAGGATGAAAGTTTAATTCCGCAAATTGAAATGCTTATTTCTGCTTCTTTGATCTTTGGGTTGTGGGGAGGCCTGCACTGGAATGTGGTTAAGCTAAAAAGGAAGGAGTTAAAGTCAGAAAGTATCTAGGAAACATCTGCAGTAACTATTTATCACAAGTGGTAAACAGGCCTTTATGAGGATTTACCGTAATCTATCCTTATTGCCTTTATCCAAACCACTTTCCGATCCTTTGTATTAATATACCTGTTCCATTTTGGAACATTTTGGCTTCCAAACACCGAAAACCCAGAAGTAAATGCTTCGGTTTTCAAATGTTTTTCGGAAGCCAAATGTCCGAAGCGGCTTCTGCTTGAGTGCAGGAGGCTCTTGCAGCCAATCGGACGCCACACCTTGGTTGTCGGACATTTTGGAAGTCGAACGGGCTTCCGGAATGGATTATGTTCGACAACCGAGGTTTGACTGTATTCAGGCCCAGCTTACTAAGATTATTTTCAAACTGGTAAGTATGAGATTGTACCTGCCAATTCAAATATACTGAGGAAGAGGCTATGGAATTTTAAGGCTGATCTCTCTGTGTCTTCCATCAGCCACCAACTCTGCTTTGGTTACTCCCTGACTCGGAGCCTCCATATTTTTAAATGTTACTGTGCATATATGTTCAGAGGTGCCCATTTTAAAATGAAGTTACTTATGGTTTTCCCATGAAGTGATATTTGTGAGAAGCTACTCATCCAGAGCAGGTTGCTAACCTTCAGACCTTGGCAAAAGACAACCCTGTTTGGAACTTGAATATTGAATTTTCTGTTCTGTTTTCCATAAAGTACAGTGGTTGCATTAAATGTGAGGAGTCTGTATTAGTATTTAATGCAGGGTTATCTGTTGATATTTAATTGTTAAGGGTTATGAATACACCTGATTCTAACAAATGTACATTTTCACCAGGGGCTCCTGTTCAGTCCGGCCACTATGCGTGGGTCAGGTGCAGACCTGGTGCCAGTTCTGCAAATTGCATTGAAGAGCGAGGGCTAAGCTTTGTGATTCCTGATGGAAGTGCTAACATGATCCTCCCTCCCATGGCTGATCCAATGCTGTAAGGAAAAAACAACAACTTTTGTCTTTAGTACTTATTATGAGTTTTCACTAAGCAATGTTTACTAAGCAGTGTTTACAGGATGATGGTGCAAAATGCAATAGATTTTAGGCAGCTTTACTGATGCCATGAAATATTTTTCATTTAACCACTATACATCTGCATCACCATTACCTGGATTCCAGAAAACAACAGGCAAATAGAATTGCTGCTCCTTTTTTTTCTAGCAGGGTTCCTGTGCATTTTACAGCAGCCTGACAGGTTACCCTCTGCTTTCTTTTCCAAGCTCCTTTCACAGAGGTGTGTGTGGAGTGGGGACCTATTCTTTGCTAGTGAAGCTCTGCAAAACACCATCTATTTTATTTCTTTATATCCTGCCTTTCTCCCATTATAGGAGCAAAGGTGACTCACAACATGAACGAAAACAGCTACAGCTAAAAATATACAATCAATATAAATATTTTAAGAAAATAAATAAAAACAAGGAGCCATATTAAGAACAGCACTGAAAATACTATAGCTATTTTAAAGCAAACACAAACACAAAAAGAATATTCAACACCCACCCTGCCTAACCACAGCCAGTTAGTGGCCAAAGGTTTGTCTGAACATAAAACCCTTTGCCTACCAGTGAAAGGAAAGCAGAGAGGGTGCCAACTTAGCCACCCGTGAGAGTTCCACAATCTGGAAGCAGCCACTGAGAAGGCCCTCTCTTGTTTTCACCAAACATGCCTGGGAAGGGACTAAGAGAAAGTCTTTCTCAAGATCTCAAAGCCTGGGAAGGCTCATATAGGGAGATACATCATATCTACTAGGGATGGGCAGGCATTAGACTTGTAGGATCTGCTTAATCTGCTTAATTTTAGAAGCCTGAGGTCAACTAAATAGAGGTGCAGCACAGTGTCTTGGATGTTATATGCAAGGAATAAAGGTTGCCTCTGGGTGTATGCTCTGCCTAGGACAAAAAACCCTAGTTTCCCCCAGCTTTGTTCCAACAGCCCAACTTAGAGTATGGAGGGGGAAAGTTGCTTTTAGTTGTTGCTATGTTTGGACTACTGGAAGTCAAACTCTAGCTGATATTCTGCAAACCACCCAGCAATCTTTCAGTAGATCCCGATCTACATTCTGCTCATACTTTATCTGCGTATTGGCGGGGCTGTAAAGACCCCTGACCATTAGGTCTAGTCATGGCCGACTCTGGGGCCGACTCGCTTTATTGGCTGAGGGAGCAGACATACAGCTTCCAGGTCATGTGGCCAGCGTGACTAAGCCGCTTCTGGCGAACCAGAGCAGCGCACGGAAACGCCGTTTACCTTCCCGCCGGAGCAGTACCTATTTATCTACTTGCACTTTGACGTGCTTTCGAACTGCTAGGTTGGCAGGAGCAGGGACCGAGCAATGGGAGCTCACCCCGTCACGGGGATTCGAACCGCCAACCTTCTGATCGGCAAGCCCTAGGCTCTGATGCGCCACCCGCATCCCTTTGCGGGGCTGTATATGTAAACAATGAAGCAACCATGCCTCTCATTTATTACACCAACCCTGTCAAGTTGCTTGGGCTCTGCCCTTAAGATTTTAACTCAAATCCTCCAAAGTCTATGTTTCATCAATTCCATTTTCACATTTACTCCACCTTTCTATCAGAATCGACAACACCTTGGAGTCCACCTCTCAGTTTCTTGGAAGAATACGACTCTCATCAGACTCTCCCTGATGTCTGGCTGTAAAAGGACACTCATCCCTAGATACACAGCATATATTTCTGATGTAAATGGTCCAGTCTCAGGGTTGGCCCACCCATGAGGCTAGGCCAGATGACTGCCTCAGATGGCAGGATGCGCTGGGGCAACAGATCCAGATGTAGATCTTTATTCTCCCCTTGTTGCCGATTTAGATCTTCACTCACCACTTCTTTCCTACTGGGGAGGGAGCACATCATTTTGTGCTTTGCCTCAGGTGCCAGAATGGCTTGGGCCAGCCCTGTCCTATCCTTCATTTCAACATAATTAAATTGGTTCAGTTCATTCCCAAGCTTAGTTCGGAGAATGAGGATTTCAAAGTTATATCCAAGGTTTAGAATAACTTTTTAAAATTAATATTATTTTTTGGCTATTTTTCAGAATGAAGAAATTTCAAGACCACCCTGAACACTTTCTAGTTTCTGGAGATGAGTATGGATCAGGAAATGAAATTGAAGAAGAATATGGGTCAGGCATCGAATTTGACACAGATGATGCCACTATTTCTGACCAGATCACACCTGATCCAAATCTGAAGTTTAAACTAAAAGATGAAGCTTTGTTTTTCCAAGATAACAGACTGTAATCTGTTATGGCAATTGCAATCTAATTTCTTGCATGCTTTTGTGTTTTATGATTAAGTGAAATGACACCCATTCAAAAGTGTTATAAAAACTATCAAACAAACTATAAATGCCTTAATTTTTTAGTGCTTCTCTTTGGTATAAAATGTGCTGAATGCAAGTGTTCTCTTTTTAAAAGATGTAAACTCGCCTTCCAAAATTTGGAATTTCTTTTTAGTTGTCGGAAAATAGAATCTGAACATATCAGTCATTTGTTCAAATAGCACTTGAGTTAGGGGGAAATACAATTTTTTAAAAGCAGCAACTTTGGTCACATCCACAACATATGTTTAAAGCACATGACTATTCCCCAAAGATTCTTGGGACCTATAGTTTTGTGAAGAGTGTTGAGAATTGCTGCTCTGTGAGGGGTAAACGACAGTTACCAGGATTCTTTGGGAAGCCTTGTGCTCTAAATGTCTGGTATGAATGTGAAACTGAATTAGGTAATGGAATGTGAGGTAAATTTCTTCCGAATACCTCACTTCCTTTTACTTGGCTCTTGACTTAGGGATGGCTCACTCTTTTTAGCAGCCCAAGGCAAGCCAGCAAGAGTGTGCCCCATAGCCCTTGTGTGATTCTCAATGATCTGGAGACACATTCTACATTTAGCCATGGAGTTGGCCATGTAAGAAGCAGTGAAAGAACCCAGACGTTTCCACTGCTTCGGGTTTGGTGGACATCCTTTGAATTATACCATGCTATACAGTTTCCTAGTCTGTATAACACTTTTCAAAAGTTTCATTAATTTGCTATTCTTTAAAAAAAATTGACATTCCGGATAGTGATGGAGAAATCTGTCAGTTTCTCATTCTTCCCATCTTAAATTCAGACCACCAAAATTCTGCATCAGTTTGCATTAAAAAAGGGGAAAAACACTGTTAAAAAAATTGTATGCATTTGCCCTAATGTGGTGTAAACGCTTTTTCTAATATACACATTTTTGCAAGCAATTTCACCTAATATAATGCATTTTGTATGCTAATTTCACTAATAAAATGTATACATTTTGGGGTACACCTTCCCTGGATATACACATTTTAAACATATTTTCGAGTTGGAGAACTGCATTGAAACATTTGGAGAAGTGGATAGGAAGTGAAGGATGGCTGTGTCTTCGCGTATTGTTTCAGGAAATACAAATTAGGTCGGTTCACATTCAAATGCAAACCAAACCAGATTTCTTCCCCATCCCTAATGCCAGACCACAAAATACATATACTTATGTTCTATCCCTTCTGGAATTTGTTATTTGCAGTCTGAGAAACTATACTGCTCTAATCACCCAAGTGTTCTTGTCCTGTTTCAGTTATATCATCATAATGTGGCCTTGTGTTTGCAAATCTGCACATCCTGAATCTTTTATTCATCTTAAAAGCAGCTACAGAACTTTTTATAGTATACTTTAAACTGCTTTCTAACTTTGCCCTGATACTTGCATTTATTCAACTATTATTCTATTAAAATCTAGATGCAATGAAAGACTCTTTTATTTCTTCAGTAATAATCTAAATATTCTTGGTTATACTGCCATAAATATGGTGCTAATGTTATCTAAGCTACAAGACTTGTGAAAATGTTAGTGTAAAAGACACAAGAAAATCCACAAGTTGGAGAATATACATATAAAATGCATATTTCAGCAATGCTTTACACGAGAGAGGGGAAGGTTAGATTGTTAGATTATTATATGATATAATGTTCTCTAGACAGTGTTACCACCCACCACTGCCCATTGCTCTGATTACCATTTGCTCTGTTTACCATAGGCGTATGGAGAACCTAAAAGCTTGCACACCGTTTTTTGATGTTCTGGTTGGCCTGATAAATATGGCTGCTGCAGAAGTGAAGAGTGATACTGGCTTAGTTTGAATATTTTTGCTATCCAAGACCTCTCTGATCTGGTCTGCCTCCCCCTTCAATGGTAGTGGCAGAGAAGCACTAACACTTGTGCTAACCTAGAACTGTTCTAAGGAGCTGCAGCATGTACATACAATCTAGTGCCAATTTAGTGACTGTGGGTCCCTCCTCCAGCCACTTGACTGTAAGTAGGGCAGTATATTTTGGAACCTTGTTTTGTTGCAGAAGTGCTGCCTGAGGCGAGACTTTCAGTACACACACACTCTATCCCCACTTCCACCCATTCACTAGATGCCCAGAACTGATGGCTTTTTACTGAAGAATAGGGATGCCCACTGTGCAGGAGGTATATACTCTTTTCCATATCATTGTACAGTGGTACCTCGGGTTACATACGCTTCAGGTTACACACTCTGCTAACCCAGAAATAGTGCTTCAGGTTAAGAACAGAAATCTGTCTCCGGCAGCGCGGCGGCAGCAGGAGGCCCCATTAGCTAAAGTGGTGCTTCAGGTTAAGAACAGTTTCAGGTTAAGAACGGACCTCCGGAACGAATTAAGTACTTAACCTGAGGTACCACTGTACAGCCATACCTTGGAAGGCGAACAGAATCCATTCCGGAAGTCCGTTTTACTTCCAAAATGTTCGGAAACCAAAGAGTGGCTTCTGATTGGCTGCAGGAAGCCGCATCAGACATTCGGGTTCCAAAGAACATTTGCAAACCAGAACAGTCACTTCCAGGTTTGCAACGTTCAGGAGCCAAAACATATGAGTACCAAGGCGTTCGGGATCCAAGGTAAGACTGTACAGTGGCACCTTGGTTCTCGAATTTAATCCATTCTGGGAGTCCGTTTTACTCCCGAAACCATTCGAAAACCAAGGCACGGCTTCCGATTGGCTGCAGGAGCTTCCTGCACTCATAATAACTAGGGAAAGGGCCATAGTGCAGTGGCACAGTGTCTGCTCTGGCTGCAAAAGGTCCCAGGTTTGATTTCTGGCATCTCCAAACTGCCTTTTTGAATCTCTGGAGAGCTACTGCCAGTCAATGTAGAAAATACTGAGTTAGATGCGCAAATGGTGTGACCCAGCACAAGGCAGCTTCCATATTGCAAAAAAAAATTAATGGGAGATCCAGGTAGAGCTTCCATCATGCAGTGGAGAAAACAGGTGAGAAATGCTTTAGTTTAGAGAGGAGAAAGAGGAGAAAGGAAAAATGGAGGGGAGGCAGGGCAGAGGCAGGGATAAATGGCTTCCCTGAAATAATCTTGGGAACTGTAGTTTGTTAAGAGTGCTGGAAATTGCAGCTCTGTAAACTACCATTTCCCAGGATTATTTTGGGGGAACCCATGTGTTTTAAATTTTCTTCATATGTTCTGTGTGGATATTGCAGCCAGGCCTCATCTGCTGCATCCTTCTGATCAGGAATAAGAAACACAAGTTTCCCAAGCATAGTAAGTAATATTTCTCAGTGCCCTCCTTTTGGCTACACCATCTTGAGTTCAAGGTTAGGAGGAGCAATAACATGGATGGGGTAGAGATTGGGTTTCTGGCCCAAGGTCACCCAGACGTCCAGAACAACTCTGTATTGTTATGTAATGTGGATAGCAAGCTCTTCTTCCCCTTCTCCTCCAAATCAGTGCGTTCCCACACTTTACCTTCTCCCAATCCAGATTTTTTCATACCCTTTCCTTTTTGAAATATACCCAGCATGCCCCCCAACGTTTCTCTGATGAAAATAGGGACGCCCCATTCCATAATGATAATTTTATTCTTTATACCCCACACATCTGACTGGGTTGCCCCAGCCACTCTGGGCGGCATCCAACATATATAAAAACATAAGAAAACATGAAACGTTTAAAGCAACCCTTTACTGTACAGGATTGCCTTCGGACGGCTCGGGAGTCGGATAACTCCATACCCCCCAACATTTCTCCACTGAAAATAGGGAGACCCTACCGAAAAGAGATTGATAGTCATCCTTCTGGTTGGTTGCTTGGTTTGGCTAGGAGTTGGCTAATTGGTTAATTGGTGAGCTATGAGATGAAGGGGAGGGGCAGATGCCTTGTCAATCAAAGAATGCCTTGTCAACCAATCAGAGGCAGCTTTGTCAATCCCAGAATGCCTTGTCAACCAATCAGAGGCAGCTTAGTCAATCCCAGCAGCAGGTATAAAAAAGGACGACCAGGCCATAGGCCTGCCCAGGCCTTCTCCCCCCACACCTATTCTCAGGATATATATATAAAGGTAAAGGTAAAGGTACCCCTGCCCATACGGGCCAGTCTTGACAGACTCTAGGGTTGTGCGCTCATCTCACTCTAGAGGCCGGGAGCCAGCGCTGTCCGCAGACACTTCCGGGTCACGTGGCCAGTGTGACATCGCTGCTCTGGCGAGCCAGCACCAGAGCAGCACACGGAAACACCGTTTACCTTCCCGCTATAAAGCGGTACCTATTTATCTACTTGCACTTAATTGTGCTTTCGAACTGCTAGGTGGGCAGGAGCTGGGACCGAAAGACGGGAGCTCACCCCGCCATGGGGATTCGAACCGCCGACCATGCGATCGGCAAGTCCTAGGCGCTGAGGTTTTACCCACAGCGCCACCCACGTCCTCCTTCTCCTTTATATATATATGATTGTGCAATATATATATGATTGTGCAAAGTGTCCTCTTTCCTTCCAGCTCCTTTTGTCTCATGCTTTTACAATTGTGAGCCCAAAAGGAGAAGGAGGATTTCTATATGGTAAGTGCTTCAAAGTGGGGACGTCATCTGTGGTAAATCACAAATGGGACCTGCAGCCAAATGTTGCAGTGCATTCTGCTGCTTCTGTTTAGAGTTCCAGCCAGCTATTCCCTCCAAGTGCATTACAGTGGTACCTCGCAAGACGAATGCCTCGCAAGACAAAAAACTCGCTAGACGAAAGGGTTTTTTGTTTTTTGAGCTGCTTCGCAAGACAATGTTCGCATGGGCTTGCTTCGCAAGACGGAAATGTCTTGCAAGTTTGTTTCCTTTTTCTTAACACCGTTAATACAGTTGCGACTTGACTTGGAGGAGCAACTCATAGAACGCGGTGTGGTAGCCTTTTTTGAGGTTTTTAAAGACTTTGGTGATTTTTGAAGCTTTTCCAAAACTTTCCCGACACCGTGCTTCGCAAGACGAAAAAAATCGCAAGACGACAAAACTCGCGGAACGAATTAATTTCGTCATGCGAGGCACCACTGTACACACAAACACACACACACACATCAAGTGCCAATCTATATTCCATGGTTTATTTAGCATTCTCAGTTGAATCATTATAGCTCTTGTCCCAGTTTCTCCCCGCCCCAAACATTTCTCTATGGAGGGCCTCAGCAGAGAGGAGAAAGGAAAAATGGAGGGGAGGCAGGGCAGAGGCAGGGACTCATGGCTTCCCTGAAATAATCTTGGGAACTGTAGTTTGTCAAGCATAGTAAGTAATATTTCTCAGTGCCCTCCTTTTGGCTACAATTGAGGTGCACTGTATGTTTTTGACATGTGCCATAATATTGTTTCCACCTACCAAAATATATTTAATGGTATACATATTTTATTTATGTTGTTAAACTGTCTACAACGGGTGCCAGCCAAAAAAGCAGGCAACGGGGAAGACGCTCGCGGCTACAACCCTTTATAAAAGTAGTTGGGAAGAAGCGCCATTGAACTCGGCGGGCCTTTCCCTCCCAAATAAAGATGCCTCGGATTGGGCGGCATGGTTAGCTCATTTGCAGAACGGAAGACGTCAGGAGGGGGCGGGCCCAAACTTTCTGCTTCCGTGTGTGTTTTTCAGCCTCGTTGCGAGAAGTAGCGCCCCCTAGCGACCACTGCCTCCCTGCCTGCCGGCGCCGTTCGCCTAGCCCGGCTTTCTCCGTCGCCGCCCGAGGGAGGGCTGGTCACGTGCTGGGGGCGTGGATCCGAACGGCGGCCTCTAAGGGTCACATGACAGGGGCGCGGGCCGGGGTTGCTACTGTTGCTTGGGGAGGGGGGCCGGAGTCCGACTGACCATGGTAAGTGAGCGGCTGCCGGGCTTCAGGCGGCGGCGGCGGGGTGCGGGGAGGAGAGAAGCGGGGCTGTTCATGGCGGTGCGTCGCCTCGCCTGTCCGAGGCCTGCAGGACCGTTGTAGTATGAGCGGCGGCGCCGGCGCCGCCTTCCTCCTTCCTTCTCCTTGTGAGGCGGGTTGGGCCTTGGGGGGCTTTTGAGGCGAGGGAGGCCGGGCGAGCCGTTGGCCGTTCCCATGGATATGGCACTCTCGGCGCGAGGGGCTTCCATTCGATGCCGCCGCCCCGCTTCCACCACGCGCTCCACCCCGCCTTTCTGGGTGACGCGGGCGGCGTGTGTTCCGCTGCTTCTTGAGGAGAAGGCGAAGTACGCGGGGAGGGGCGCTCTTGCCGCCGGTGCCCCGGGAAGATCAGGGTCTAGGTTTCTTACGGCGGGCTAAGCGAGCAAGGCGGGGTGGAGGGAGGGAGGGAAGTGGCTGGGATTTTCGTGGAGTGCGGGACACGTCAGAGTCACCTGGGCTGTCTCTGGTGGCAGTCCCGGGTTTGGCTTCTAAGAGGAGGAAATGTGGGGTGGGGGCGTAAACGTGTCTGCGGGTTTATATTCTCGGGGGATTTATGCACCTCTTCGCGTAGGGAGAGGAGACCCTCACCACACAGTTACTTACAGTGCGCTGTTACTTCACGTGTTGCCCAGCAGCACTGGCATGCAAAACCTAACCAGCCTAATTGGGTTGTTGTAGTTGTAAGGTTTAATTTGAAGAATGCTGTTAGTAATTACCAGTAGGGATGAAAGGTGTATAGGGAACCCAAGAAGGAGAACTGGGAGCAGGTTGTAAGGACTGGACTGTGAATGCTTCTTTGCTGATTGTTTTTTTATTGGCTTTATGTCCTGCATTTCTGCCAAGATACTTGAAGTGGTTTACAAATTTAAAATACTATAATATAAAATGAAGAGTTGATAGAGCCCTTTCAGGCCGACTGGGAGTTGGTGGCGCAAACTCCCTGACCACCTACTCTCCCTCAGGGCACACAGGTATTCCTGAAGCAACCCTAGGAAAGGTGTAGCAGACGCTATCCCAAATCTCTCAGGCCGCTGATGGTTCTGTGAAGAACTGGGTGGTATGAAGACTTTGTCTGCACAACTGGTTGCAAGTGGTCAGGCTGAACCTGGAGTCTGCAGTACTCTAGGCATCACACTTTGAAGAAGGGCACTGACAAATGAGCATGTCCAGAGGAGGAGGGCATCTGAGATGGTGAGAGCTGTTGAAACAAAGTTCTCTGAGGAATAGTTGAATGAAAAGGTAAAGGACCCCCGGACGGTTCAGTCCAGTAAAAGGCGACTATGGGGTTGCAGTGCTCATCTTGCTTTCAGTTCGGGGGAGCCTGTATTTGTCCTCAGACAGGTTTCCAGGTCATGTGACCAGCATGACTAAACAGCTTCTGGTGCAGCGGAACACTGTGACAGAAGCCAGAACGCATGGAAACTCTGTTTACCTTCCTGCCACAGCAGTACCTATTTATCTACTTGCACTGGTGTGCTTTTGAACTGCTAGGTTGACAGGAGCTGGGACAGAGCAACGGGAGCTCACTCCGTCGTGAGGATTCGAACCTTCCGATTGCCAAGACCAAGAGGCTCAGTGGTTTAGACCACAGCGAGCCTATGTTTGGCTCGCCAAAAGATTAAAGGGAGACATGAGAGTGGTCTTCAGATTTCTGACAGGTTTAATGAAGAAGATGGAGCAGGCTTGTTTTTTGTTTCTCCAAAGGGCAGGACTAGAACCAGTAGGTGGAAAGTGTAGGGAAGCAGATTTCAGCTAGGTTTAAGGAGAATATTCCTAATGCTAAGTACCATTTGACAGTGGAATAGACCACCTGAGGAGGTGGTGATGGACCCTCCTTTGCCAGAGGTAGAAATCCTGTAGTTACTCCTTGCACTGGGCAGAGAGGGGGTTGGATTAGATTACCTCAAGGGTACTTTCCAAATTGCTAGTCATTTCATTCTAGCTAGTCATTTCATTCTAACATTTTTAAAAATCTTGGCAGGGTGCACTTTGTTCAGTGATTCCATCCAGGTGTGTACTGATAGATAAGTAGCTTAATGGAACAGGTTGGGTATACTATATAGAATCCTTAGGAATTCTAGAACTGGTTTAAGACCTTCTTTATTACATATCCATCCATAACAATGCCTCAAAGAATCTGCATGTGGTCTTACACTCATGTAATAAAATGTAAATTGTTCAGGCAATATACTCTTGAGTCACTAGCAAAATAATATTTATATGAATCCTTAAGGTCAATTGATTAGAAGTGACTTATGTCTGTAAAAAGCCTATGGCGGTATTAGTGAGCTTTCAGGCAGGGGCTTAATATTGCAAATGGATCATTCAGATCTGGTTTTCTGTGAGCATGATTGGTATGAGTGTTGACACATATTTTCATAGGCATTATGTTTTTCCCCATCAGTACTAGTGGGTGTTGGTGCCAGAATATTTCCCTGCTGTGTTTTCTTGTTCCTCCGCTGTATTAGTACTGCTTTGCTCTTCTACCTTTTCCAGTTTTAAATAGGTGCACAAGTATTTCTGTACCTGGGTACACACCTTTAATCCCCCTACTTGTAAATTCACAAAAGCAAACTTAAAAACCCTTAGTTATCATGTTTTATGACCTGTAAAATGGAGACTTTTGATTCTACAGGGTGACTCATTTCCATATTTTTTTTAAAATATAATAAGTCTTGTGCAAGACCACAGAGGAAAGTGGGAAGGTCTTGTGCAAGAAAGGTATTGCATAAGACCTTTATTTTTTAAAAGTCTCAATGCATGTACTACAGTTTGTCTCTGAGATATACCCTACATATAATGTGTGAAGATGTCTACCTTCTCTGAAGTGGTTGGCTGAAATTTGAAGGTGTTCAGTGTATGGCAGTTGGTGGAAATAGGTAAATAGGCTGAGATTGTTTGGGTCACCAGAAACAAAGTGACTAGGCTGTGTGCAGTTGAGGAAAAAATGGAAGTAGGGGTGGCAGTAGAGACCACTCATCAAAACGTCACAACACATATGACAAACTGCTTACCAAAAACAACAACATGGTAATAAGCGTCTGCACCAGGTGTGCCTGTAGCTGTATAATAGGTTGTTTTTACTTTCTTTTCTTTGCATAGTAAGGTGAAATTCAGATTAAACAGATTAAAAAGTCTTGTATTATGATACAGATGTCTTGTGGATGCTGTCAAATCTTGCATCCATGAACAACACCTACTCCAGTCTGGAAGCACCCCGAGTCATTTACTTTGATATTTTAAGGTGGCGTGACAGTGCCTACAAGAATTATATACAGGGATTTCCTCAGTCTTCATAAGCTGTAGAAATCTTTGGTGTAGTTTGTAGGTCATAAAATAACTTTCAGGCATGGCTGGCTACCATTAGTAACACTTGGTCTGGACGAGCTGCTGTGAATTTAAACCCCATGACATGCCAAACCAACTCCCTCCCTCCCGGCCCCACATGCTGAACTTCTGCTTTGCATGCGGCTGTTAAAGGCAAATGAAGTCTGTCAGACCCAAAGGTTGACAATGCTAATTTACCTTTGCTTTACTAGCCTACTTATATTAATAAATTAATTCTTGGATGGGTGGCAGATACTACCAGTACCTCTAGATGTTGAAATACTGAGGAGACATTTGCCATATATGCTCATCACTTGATGTCTGCAACATCAATAATGTGTTGTGCACTCTTACGAGTGTGCCAAGAGCCCATACAGATAGATGTCTGAATAACTCTTCAAATACAGCCTTTACTCTGGGGGCCTTGCGCATATTCAGCTGACAGTCATTGAGATGGCTCAGATTTAATGCTAAGGTTTTCTCTTAACGGGAATGAGCCTCCTAGGACCCTTGGGCTTACATGTTTCTTCCTCCCAGCACATGCTGTGATCCCCTTCCTCTTGGTATATGACAAATTTGCCATCTTGTCTAAAGTGACAAACTATGCTTTGTGATTGACCGCATCATGTTCAGTGCCTGGCTAATTTTGAACACTGCTGTACAAGCTGAATGGCCTCTGCGTTCCAAAGCAAGACAGGATAAACAAATTGTAGTTAGACTTAAAGTATGTGTGTGTGTGCAAACATAACAACAGTGTGTTGCAAACACACTCATTTTAGGATTTGAAGGTCCCCCCCCCAAAAAAATTAATTCCTTTTATTGTAGATTAGTTATGTAGTGTGTTAAGGCACTCAACAATGTTTTCCAATTCAGTCAGAAAGTTCAGTTTGTTTTGCCTTTAATGGTGGCTTATTAAATTCTTGTAGGGCTCCTTTGAAGTCTGGACTTCCATTGTGCATATTGTTTGGATAGCTTGGTGTTTGCTTATTAGCAAGAATTGAATGCCATCTAGGTTTTCTTTTTTTACAATGCTTTGAGGCACTGAGACAGGATACAGGTGGTCTGTTTTGCTTCTGTTCCTCCACAAGTCTCCTGGCCCACTCTCCTTCCCTGTTTGCTTTGGGGCCAAATTAAAGAGTCCTGCTGATTCCTGAAAGAAGGAAATAGGACAAAAGGGATCAGTTAAGGAATGGGACAGAGGGCTTTCAGCTGAATCAGGCCTTTTAAGTACTTCAAGTATAGCCCAGGTGTGGGGACTGGGAACCTTTTGCCCTTGCTGTACTTAAGTTCCCATCAGATTCAACAAGCATGTTGATGGCTAGGGATGTTGGGAGTTGTAGTTCAGCAACGTCTGACAGGCCGAAGGTTTCCTGCACCTGGTAGGCAGAGAGTAGCTAACGTCTACTTGGAGTAGGCCCATTGAAGTTAAGAAATATGTGATCCATTAATTTCAGTGGGTCTGCTCTGAGTAAAACTTGGTTGAACGCCCCCCCCAATAGCCTCCGGACAATTCATTAGCAACTGAAATGCATCAAGCACTTTTTAAATGTTCTTTGGATACCCGAAACCACTATTTCTAATAGTCTAATCCAGGCATGTCCAACTGGTCGCTTGCGGGGTGGGCGATCATGGGTTCCTGATCGATAGAAGTTGGATGTGCTTGGTCTAATCTTTCCCTGAGTAGTGGTGCTTTTCTTAGATGAGGCACAAAAGATAGATGAGCAGCATCTGGAGCAATGGGACTAGGCTGCAGACTATTTGGGGGTTTAGGGCATGGGGCCTTAGCCTGTCATTTCCCCATTTTGTTCAAGTGGCCCTCAGACAAAACTAGTTGCTGATTAGATTTCTGTAATGTAGTTTTAATGTATTTTTAGTATTTTTCCCTTCCATCAATGCAGAAACATATATGTAAGAATTGTTTTAAGTTGCTTAAATTAGTTATCTGTCACTTCACCCTTAAAATATTTTGATTTATAATTGTTATGGGGTAGCATGTGTGGTGGTGGTGGTGGGGGGCTACACTGGCACATAAGACATGGTGAACCTGTATTTCTGTTCTAGCATGATGCTTGCTTTTCCACAAATGCGACAATTCGTAACAGTGTTCTGTTGCTATCTCACACCAGTTCAGTTTCTACAGCTTATAATTTTGGTAGAATTAATTTTTTTATATATGTTTAAAGGAGCAATTAAAACAAGAGCCATAGAACTTTTTCTTCATTATTTAGCTACACTTTGTGGCTGCTATATTGAACTTGATAAAGTTGCTGTTTATTTTATCTAAGACTAAGTGAATTTGCTTTTTATTGCAGAGTTTTCTGGGAGGCTTGTTTGGTCCCATTTGTGAGATTGATGTTGTTCTTAATGACGCAGAATCACGAAAAACAGCTGAAATAAAAACAGAAGATGGTAAAATAGAAAAACATTATCTTTTCTATGATGGAGAATCGGTTTCAGGAAAGGTAATTTTTTTTTTTTTAAAGAAGTTTGCACTTTATGTATGATATAGGGCAGAAATTGTATTAATGATATAGCTGTTCCAGATAATCTCGTAATAGAATCTAGGTTCTAGTGTATATGTCATATTGAGGTTTGGTAGTAAACAAATTGTTAATCAAGTCAATATGTATATGTCAAGGAAGGACCAACTCATTTATTTTGTTTCGGAGGAACTTCTTTCAGTGTTGGCACAGGAGATAATACAGTCATCCTATTAATTTTTATTACACAAATGTTTGATAATGTCATATTAATGATCTATGGTGTTAACTGATAATTTGTGGGTTTTTGCAAATTTTAAAAATGTTAGATTAACTATCCAAATATTTAAGTTGTTGACATTCTTATTTTTATAAGTGGTTTCTCTTCATACAGATTCCCCCCCCCCCCTAAAACTACTCTATATCTACATCTTCTAGTTCACAAGCTTGTCTTCTGTGGAGCTTGGTTTCAACACTACTTTTTTGCTTCTCAATTTTATATTGAAAGAATGGAAGAAAATAATATATTCTAATGGTTCAAGTAATAATACAAGCAAATGTTGCTGCACTTGGGTCATATTTAAGGTGTTCTGTTTTCACAAATGTTATACAGGGGAACTGATAGTTCTCCAGATGTTGTTGGACTACAACTCCTGTTATCTCTGCCTAATGTTCTAAGAAGAGCCTTCTAGGATTAGGCCAAAGGCCTGTCTAGTCCAGCATTCTGTGGCACGGTTGTATTGAACTGTTTTATTCAGAGTAGACTCACTGAAATTAATGGACATAAGTTGGTCTTGTCTAGTCCAACACTGGATACAACCCAAAGTCTCTTATGCTAGAGGTCATATATAACCATCACATAAAGTTGCCAAGGATGGGACACAGGTGGTGCTGTGGTCTAAACCACAGAGCCTAGGGTCTGCCGATCAGAAGGTCAGCAGTTTGAATCCCTGCGAAAGGGTGAGCTGCCACTGCTTGGTCCCTGCTCCTGCCAACCTAGCAGTTCGAAAGCACGTCAAGTGCAAGTAGATAAATAGGTACCGCTCTGGCAGGAAGGTAAACGGCATTTCCGTGCGCTGCTCTGGTTCGCCAGAAGCGGCTTAGTCATGCTGGCTACATAACCTGGAAGCTATCTGCGGACAAACGCCGGCTCCCTTGGCCGGTAAAGCGAGATGAGCGCTGCAACCCCAGAGTTGTCCACAACGGGACCTAACTGTCGGGTCCCTTTACCTTTAAAGTTGCCAAGGATAGTTTTATCTTCTACAATTTTTCTTAAACCCTTTATAACAATATATTGAGTCCAAAAACACTACCCCTGTTGTGATGGTTTTGAATTTGCCTTTAACACAATGCCTTCAATTCTGGCAAATGATTAGAAGGGAGTTCTGGTGCAATCCAGACCCACAGTAGGGGTTCTGATGTGCAGAAGAAGTATTTGTAAAGCCTGAACCTGCCCCATCTTCTACATAGAACATTCTGTTGGAATTCTCTTACTTATAAAATGGAAAAGGGCTGTGTCTGTGCACATTGCACTTGTCTGTGCACTTTAGAATGCTGGAATGCTTCCATATTTATCTCCATTCTTTGCTTTAAAACTTGTCTTTTCCTGCTTCTGTCATTTAATGAACTACTTTCACCCATTGCTAAACAGCTGCTTCGCCAGTTTCTCTTCCCACAGTCCCATTTTTTTTAGTGTTGTAAATAATTGCATAAGGAGGAACTGGCAGGGTGCAGGGAGTGCTGGTGGCATCTAGCAAGTTTTAACCATTTTTGCTGTGAAAATTCAGTAAAGAGTTGGAAGAAGGAATGAAAATGCCATGTAGTCCAGCATTGTAACACAGGGCTGGAAAAGGGGCAATGAACCAGAACCACACTTCCTTTTGAAAAATACTGGTATTATCAATTGCACCTATCTGTTTTTAACCATTGTTTTATTTTGTTACTGATTATTTTTTCTTGTTCTACATTGCATTAGCGCTGCAAATGCAGTGGAAAGGTGGAATATATATATAGTTTAAATGATCTAAAATAAGTTTTTGTACAAATGGATCATTACACTTACACCTTTTCATTGGTGTTTTGACTTTTTCAGGTAAACATAGTCTTTAAACAACTTGGAAAGAGGCTAGAGCATCAAGGAATTAGAATTGAATTTGTAGGACAAATTGGTGAGTCTCTTAGAATTACCGTTTGGTGTGGATAACTTTGAGTGCTCATAACCCTGATATAGGAATCGTAATCTGGACTGGTCTCTAGGTAGTTGAATACAGTGTTCAAAATTAGCCAGGCTCATTTTGCACCAGGCTTTTGACCTGGGCCCCAGGATGTCACCTGACATCTCCACCATCTGGAGGCACATTCATGGGGATCATTGTATCTGAACTGTTTTCACACACTATTACCACATCCTGTAGAATTCTATCAGTTAATTTTTATCTGCAGAACCAGGAGCCAAAATTTTATTTCTATGCAGTCTGAGCAGGAGTGGTGAACAACATTATAGTGAGTTGTTGCTTGTCTTCATTTACCCCATCCCACTGCCCTGCTCACAGTTGTGAAGAATATGGTTACGATATGAATGGTCCATGTCACTATTAAGAAAAAGAGCTCAGAATAGGCCAGTATATATATATGTGGACTGTCCCTGGATCAAGTGACTTTTCTTCTTTAAGTTCTCAAAGCTCTTAACCTAGCTCAAGGCTGTCATCTGAACTAGGCAGATGTTTAACTGAGAATCAAACACAGTCAGTCCATCATTTGAAGAATAAGTCTTAAGAGCCATCTTGCCCCAAAATGGCAACCATTCTGTTTTGGCGACTATAACATTGGTTAAGGAGCCATTTGGTGCCTAGCTTATACATCTGAGTTTCCAACACTGGTTGTATAACAAGTATCCCAAAGATGTTTGTTTTGAAGTAAATAATGTTTGCTGTCTGTGATTCAAATAAATTGTATCTGTGATATGTTGCCAAGCAGCAGTTACACAAACAGCATGCATCTTAAAAATAGTAACTATATTCTAGCTAGATCATATGTGGATCTTGAAGATTAAGATGCAACAAGTAAAGATGACGTAATTTATTGAGGCCACATCTTTGTATGTTCTGCTTTTGTTTTTTCTTGAAGAGCTTTTTCTTAAAGTTTGTATATTCTGTTTCATAAACCAAAAGCTTACAATATGAGAATATAAAATAAAATGACACATTTTGGAAAACATTCTCCTAGCCTACCTTTTAAATTATTGAATTTACTCCATAAAGTCATTTGCTTGTTTGTATAGCTGACTGCTGATATTAAACAATGGTGGACTGTTCTGCAGTATAATTAACAAAACAGTTGTATTTTGTACTTGAATGAAGGATCTTTGCAATACAACTGACATACTGAAGGAGTTCTGAATTAGACCACACTGTAAAATAAAAATAAAAAATTAATTCACATGATTAAATGGAGATAGAAAGATATTAAAATATTGGCATTATTTCTATTTATTTTCTTCTTTTCTTCTTTGACACTTGCAGCAGTCCCAAGTGTCAAGCCATTGTATACTCCTTAAGGAGAGCTTCTGTTACATTTCCTCTCTGATTCTATTCATTACTTTCTTAGAGCTTTTCAGTGACAAGAGCAATACTCATGAATTTGTAAACCTAGTGAAAGAACTGGCCTTACCTGGTGAATTAACACAAAGTAGAAGTTATGACTTTGAGTTTATGCAAGTTGAGAAGCCATATGAATCCTACATCGGTGCCAATGTCAGATTGAGGTATGGAAACTGAAAAGTACTATTTCTGCAGTTATGGTTATAATAGTTTCTAACTTACAGCATTATATAGGTATGGGTAAAAATATATTATAAATTGGTTGCATCAAAAGGGCCCATCTGTGGAAGGAATTTTGATCTAGCAGAGACATCCATAAAGAGGGAAGGGGTTCTTTTGCCAAATCCCCCCTGCAGCCTCTCTCACCCCTTAAATTGAAGGAAGGTGGTATGAGGGTTATAAGGGGAAAATGGTATCTGAGAAAGTCACCTCCCTTCATTTCCATGCGTAGGAACCTTTGCTGAATTGAAAGCTGTTACATTGCTGAAAGAACTGTTTCCATTAATGGAAGCGTACTTTTGAATCTAACCCGTATGGATCCTTTTTCTCTCTGATCTGATAGCTTTGATGGAATTTTTTTCTTTTCTGGCCTTCAGAATCTAGATAAACTATCTTATGAATCAAACTCCCTATATGCCCCTGCAGGCTGGTAGGCTATTCATCTGAGTAGTCTCCAAAGCTGAGATTTTATGCAACCTGTGCTCCAAAGACAAAGTGAGCAGTCTTGTCTATCAAACGTCACTCTATACTAAGAAACTTGTATCACTTGCTTAGAATAATTTCTTCTAACAGAATCATTTTGCTCAAATCATTTTAAGTTGTTTAGAGTAATATCTGATTGTGGCAGGCCACTTTTACAACAGCTGTTTTGCTAGCCAGAGCCTTGTTTTGAGTGTAGCACAGCAGCTGAATCCAGTGAGAGAATTGTGCTTGTGAAACAAGTTGCAGAACTTCTCAGTGACAACTAAGCTTTTGCACCACTGCTTTCAGAACAATGTTAATTCTCAAACTTATTCCACTAATGTTATGTTGGATGTTGCCCTTGGTTAAATAGATTAATATGCAGCTTTTGAGAGATAATTGGAAGGTATTTGAGCCAAAAGGCATGCAGTGATGGAAGACTCTGAATTTCTGTTCTTTAGTCATTATTAAAATACTTGATTACAGCATTGTTAATTTTAAGAAATACAAAAATGAAAACAAGTTGCAATAAAATGAAAGAAATAAAAATTTCTACATAGAAAAAGTACCGTATTTTTCGCTCCATAGGACGCACTTTTCCCCCTCCAAAAATGAAGGGGAAATGTGTATGCGTCCTATGGAGCGAATGCAGGCTTTCGCTGAAGCCTGGAGAGCGAGAGGCATCGGTGCGCACCGACCCCTCTCGCTCTCCAGGCTTCAGGAAGCTATCCGCAAGCCTTGCAAGCCCGGTGGGAGTTCCCGCGGGCTCACAAGGCTTGCAGGCAGCAGCCTGCAGCCCCGGCGAGTGTCCGCAAGCCTTGCGCGCCCGGCAGGAGGTCCCGCCGAGCGCGCGAGGCTTGGGGCAGCAGCCTGTCGCCCGAAGCACGGGGAGCCCTCCGGAGGGCTCCCGTGCTCGGGCGAGTGTCTGCAAGCCTTGAGCGCCCGGCAGGAGGTCCCGCCGAGCGCGCGAGGCTTCGGGTGGCAGCTTGTCGCCCGAGCACGGGGAGCCCGTGCTCGGGCGAGTGTCTGCAGCCTTGCGCGCCCGGCAGGAGGTCCCGCCGCGCGCGAGGCTTGGGGCGGCAGCTGGTCGCCCGAAGCCCGGGGAGCCCTCCGGCGGGCCCCCCGTGCTTCGGGCGAGTGTCTGCAAGCCTTGCGCGCCCGGCAGGAGGTCCCGCCGAGCGCGCAAGGCTTGGGGCTGCAGCTTGTCGCCCGAAGCCCGGGGAGCCCTCCGGAGGGCTCCCCGTGCTTCGGGCGAGTGTCTGCAAGCCTTGCGCGCCCGGTGGGAGGTCCCGCCGAGCGCGCGAGGCTTGGGGCGGTAGCCTGCAGCCCGAAGCACGCGAGGCTTGGGGCGGCAGCCGCAGGGGGGGGAATAATTTTTTTTATTCATTTCCCCCCCCCCCCCAAAAAAACGAGGTGCGTCCTATGGGCCGGTGCGTCCTATAGAACGAAAAATACGGTAATTAGCCATATAATAAATATGATTATAATAATGATAACAGGAAACTATATGGAAACGGTAAAAAAAGCTTTAGCAAGCAATCTGAAACATGAAAGGCGTGAATTTGGATGTGCCTGCCTTAAAAATAATATGTAAACCTTAAATTGAAATGTAAGTGGGTCCTCAAAATACATTCCATCCTGTTTATAGAGATGTAAAGAAATACTGGATTGAATCCTTTCAGTTTGGAGAAGGGATTCTGGTTCAGCAGAGACTCATGCTAGATTGAAGGAATAGATTTCCTCTGCAGCATCCCACCACATCTCCCATGTTGTACCAGAAGGACCTTCAGTCCTCTCAAGCCAATCTTCATGGAGAGCTGCAGGGGAGTGGGAATGAATTGCCTTTTCTCTTCTACCTGCTGAAGCTTTAGAGTTCTGCTGCAGGCATGTCTGGTTCCAACCCATTGTGCTAATAAAAGTTGGAATCACCTTCTCTCTTGCTTTAGGGAACGCTCTTATTAAATTCTCATTTTGGCCTTGAAACAAAAGGAATTAGAATTGTGAGCAGATTGGTTTAATTCAGATTTAACTGCTAATGCAGTTTATGAATCTCAATATAGTCTATTTCTGATGTTAGCTAATTTGATAAAGTTGGCCACTTCATGTATGTAAAATATTCTGTGTATGCAATCTGTGCTAATTTCCTGTTTTGTAGGTATTTCCTTAAAGTTACGATAGTAAGAAGATTGTCAGACTTGGTAAAAGAGTATGACCTTATCGTTCACCAGCTTGCGACATACCCAGATGTTAACAACTCTATTAAAATGGAAGTCGGCATTGAAGATTGTCTGCATATAGAATTTGAATACAACAAATCCAAGTATGTATTATGAATAAGGGAATGTGTGACCTTGAAATGGGTAACCAGGGAAACTCCTTCAGGTTAAAAGTGTGGAACACATAGCAGTAATTAACTGATTGCTAATGGACCATATACAGTGGTGCCCCGCAAGACGAATGCCTCGCAAGACGGAAAAACCGCTAGACGAAAGGGTTTTCCGTTTTGAAGTTGCTTCGCAGGACGAATTCCCCTATGGGCTTGCTTCGCAAGACGAAAATACCTTGCGAGTCCTGAGATTTTTTTCGCTTTCCCCCTTTATCTAATCTGCTAAGCCTTTAATAGCCTTTAATAGCCTTTTAGCAGCTAATCCCTAAGCCTTTAAGCCTTTAATAGCCGCTAAACAGCTGATAGCGCTAATAGCGCTAATCCGTCAATGGGCTTGCTTCGCAAGACGAAAAAACCGCTAGACGAAGACTCTTGCGGAACGGATTAATTTCGTCTTGCGAGGCACCACTGTATAGGTATAGGTGGGTGAAAGCTGACCTTCCAAAGTTGTTATAATTCAGGAGTATTATATTACTCTGTTCTTGAACCAACTGTCCACATGGAAACTTCATCTGATACAAAATGCTGCAGCTAGAATTATGATTACTATACCAGCTAATGGTACTGTACTGTGATTTTGATTACTGTACTATATTGGCTCCACTGACACCCAGTCTGTTTGTGAGCTCAGGTAGTTGGAGGAGACGCCGCTCTATGTCCCATCAGTGTTTAAGATTGAGTTGCTGGGTATACATAAAAGGTCCTTTTTGAGAACTCTACCCAAACTTTGGAACTCCTTTCTCTCGGAGTCCAACTGGTGCCTCCTTGATGACATTTAGAAAGCAGGTGAAAACTATTCTGCTTTGGTGGCTTATGACGATTTCTTAGTCTTGCCGCCTTTAAAACTGTTTTGCTGGTGGCTGTTTTTCTGTGTTTCTTTTAATTTTGCTATTTTTTTAAAAATGTGCTCATTGTATGCCAATTGAGTGTTCTGTTACTATGAGTGGGATTCAAACTAAGTTAGTTGTACTTATCTAAAAGTTAGACATTACTGACTTTTCACATTGATTGCAGTAGACCTAAGTGCAAATAGCTTAGTCTGGATCCAATTCTACATGATGCAAAAGTAGGATACAATTTTTTAAAATGCTTAGACCAGACCTATGTATTCTGTTAGCATGGGGCTCTTTAGCACTAACTGCCTAAGCAACAGAGATCATTATTGCAATCTGATTTGTTATAGCATCAACATTTTGAAATCTCAACTTACCTTCAGTGCATATTGTGATAACTTGTAACAGTCTCTACTACTACTAGCACTTTCTGTTCATTGAGCTTTAAAGTGGCTTCTGAAAACATACTGCCTGATTGAGGAATAAAACTGGGTAGCAGCTACAAACTTGAGTGTGGGTCTGCTCTTTGGTAAAATGAGTAACCCTGTTCAATATAGACAGTTCTGTTTTCTTATCCTTTTTCAGCAATATGAATACAGAAAAGCATTGTAAAATGCTGTAAACTAGTTTAAAAATGTTAAATTCTGCAGTTTACAAGCCCCCTTCCTTTGTTTCTGTAAGGTATCATCTAAAGGATGTGATTGTTGGAAAAATTTACTTTCTCTTAGTAAGAATAAAAATTCAGCATATGGAATTACAGCTGATCAAAAAAGAGATTACTGGAATTGGTAAGATGAATTTTGAAACTCATGAATATTTTTACTTTTAATTTGATGTGTTCTAGAACTATCTTTTCTGATATTTCCAATTTATAATAGGCTGTTCTATTTTGCATATGTATGTGTAGCTAGTTAGCTTCTTTTAGCTGTACATAGTTACCAATACTGGTTTGCAGGTAACTAGTTTATGCTTCACAGTGAATGGGTTCCTGAAACCTCTGCCTTCAACTGTGTTTAGCAATATACATGGCAATCAGGCATTCTGTTCAGCTACTTTTCAACTTGAAAGACCTTCTTGTACAATTGCTTTGCACTTCTAAATGTAGTAATATTTTAGAATTGGCATGGTGGTTAGGCTTCAAGTGGCAGATATGATTCACATTAAACTGGGGTAACCTGTTCAGATATGAGACTTGGGTGACAGTTGTTTACTTTGACTAATTGGTATACAGAACTACTAATTATGTTGTTGGTCCTGATTAACAGCTGTAATCAGGGCTCAGAATTCCTCTGAGGTTCTGTTGTATTGGACTGAGCTGGGGAAGTGCAAATATTGGATATTACTAAGAGGAGCTGTGTCCTGAAGAGCTGAGAAGTAGTGATATTTTCTGATTACCCGTGTAATTCAATACCTATTCATGATCTGATAAGGTATAACTGCTAAGGGGCTTTAGTCCATAGAAATAAATAAATGTATTCAACTAAATATGCAAAATTGAATTAAAGGACTTTAAAATAAATATAATTGTTTAACCAGGACCCAGTACCACAACAGAAACAGAGACCATTGCAAAGTATGAAATAATGGATGGTGCACCAGTTAAAGGTGAGTTGGTGTTTGTTAACATTGTCAAAGCATTTTTATGTTAAGATATAGGTTGTTTCTCTAAATTGAGTGTTAATCCTATTATGGAGTACATAAAAATTATCTTGAAGCCTAGACTGGTACAAAAAGAAAATCTAAAGCACTAAATACCAACTTTGCCTTATGCATCATTTAAGTGCCTTAAATGAATAAGGGGCTCCTAATCTGGGGCCTTCACTCCTTAATACCAGTTGGATAGTATTAGTTGCTTTCATAAATTAGAAAACTGATTTCTGGGTTGTGGCAGGTCTATCATTACTTTTTCTTGTGTTCTTAAGAGTCAAGAAAAAGAGTAGGGAAAACATGGACAAATGTGCTACCCCTGAACATAAGAAGAGCTCTATTGGGTTGGACTAGTTTAGTGTAGCATCCTCTCTCCCACAGTAGTCAACCAGATGCTTATCTTCTGCTGCTGTTCCCCAGCAATTGGTATTCAATAGCAATTGGCTTGTCCCTTTAAAGCCATCTATTAATCACCCTGCATGTTGTGATAACAAATTCATATTTGAGCTTTGCGCTTTGTCTCTCCTGAATTGTGCTCCCCAGCTTGATTGGATGACAGAAATGGATGCAGAGCCATGCTCACATTTAAATATACAGCTGTTTTCCTTTTTAGAGGCTACTCCCGCCTAGATTAAAAGGCATGTTGAGATTTGGTGTGACTTGCTTAAGAAGAAATTCCCAGCCCCCTTCTTTTTAAATTGATGTCATGCCATTCCCTGTGACCCCAGATTATTCACTGTCAGGAACTATTCTAATCCTTTAAATGTTGAGGAAAGAAGCAAAACTAATCACAACTTCTTTTTATCTAAGGTGAATCTATTCCTATAAGACTCTTCTTGGCGGGCTATGATCCTACTCCTACAATGAGGGATGTGAATAAAAAGTTTTCAGTAAGATACTTCTTGAACCTAGTATTAGTTGATGAAGAGGACAGAAGGTACTTCAAGCAACAGGTATGACATTGTGCACTGAAGTATTGTAATGAGGTGGATTATTATTTATTTGTGTTGCCTTTTCTGTTAGAAAATATTCAGGGCAACTTTCAAAGTACTAAAGCCAGCACCCAATAAAACAATAATTGGGATACTTAAGCAGAAAAAATGCAGTCCATTAAAACATCAGTAATAAAAGCATAACAATGCTAATAAAAATCTTATCTCCCATTACCTGCTTAAAGGAAGGCTTTATGAAACAATGTTTTTATGTGCTGCCAAACTGTCTAGAGTGGGAGCAAAGGAGACCTCATGAAGAGAGCTGCACAACATGGGCACCACTCCATGCTTCAGCATAACTTTCTGAAAAGGATTGTGGCTTTCAGTATCTAGGTTTTTTCAGAAGTTTATATGGAAATGCTAAGGGGGGGGCACACAAGTATTCTAGGAGAGATGCTTCTATCTGCGACATCAATATGTTTAAAATTTGAAGCCTCTAAACTGTACATTTTCTTCCACCTTAAACAGGAGATCATTCTTTGGAGAAAAGCTCCTGAGAAACTGAGGAAACAACGAACCAACTTCCACCAGCGGTTTGAAAGTCCAGAACCACAGGCATCAGCAGAGCAGCCTGAAATGTGAACTGGGTGTTGGGAGTGAAAGAACTGTTGATAGATCAGCAGGTTAAAGGTGGCAACAGCCTGTAGGGAAGAAGGCCACAACACCCATTTCAACAGTCTTCCTCATCTTACAGTGCTGCATTTCCCACACTACTAAAACATTCTTTAAGTAAACATTCAAGTGTGTACATACATTTAAAATAAGCGCTTTCTCAAACACTGGAACTTTCTTAAGCTATTTTATACTGCACATTTTACTTTTTGTCTGGTGTGATGCACTCAGATATATGCATAAAGCTTAAAAAAGTTACGTTTTCCCATGCATGTAGGCTGGTGCATTTAAGTTTTGCTTATCATCGATGGTAGACTAAAGCATTTCCTCTTCCTATACCACAGTCATATCATACATCCTTCCTCATCGTCTACTGTCTGTATCCTTCGAAACTAATAAATATATTGTTCTAAAATGACAAATTCAGGGTTTATAATGGGATTTTGTCCATACACTTGGAATAGTTCTCATGCCAGAGTTTTCAGACTTTGTCTCTTTCTGAGGAATGTATATAATAAAGCAAGCTTCTCTCTCATACTAGCTTTATAAGAGGGGTGATGACTCTTCTAATTCTTTTCTTGGCACCTCCATCTTAATGATTCTATTATCAAATTGCAAAGCCCTTGAAGGCTTATATGCCCTAAGCGAAAATACAGAATTATCCCATTGAGCTGTGTTTCAGTGGCAAAGGTGTGTGAAAATGTAGCTTTTACTGATTACACTTTTGGAATTCGGGTCATAGGCACAAAATTCAGATCACTTTGCATTAAAATGCACACTTCATCTTACCACCTCAAACATTGGCTTGTAGGAAGGTCTGTGTATGTAAACCAAATTGAATTCTAAGTAGGCTTTGGAATTCTGTCTAGCAAAACACCCATTTTTAACTTTAGTGAATTTAGTCTTTGGACAACCCTTGTTAGCCTCCATCTATCCACAATTAAGCATGTAGTTTTCAGAAACGGAGTTTAACTATGGTCACAAAATGGAACCTGCTGAATTAGATGGCTACTCATATTTGTAGTTCACTTGGCCTATCTACCAAGAATGTTTCTAAACTTCACTGCAAGTGTTATTGGTTACCTTACTTTATGAGTAAGTGAAATTCTCAAATTATACTTCTGTAAGAACTGTTTTACTACCATGGCACTTTGATAAAGCAGTCAAAGATGCTGCGTGCTGGGATATTTCTCTTTAGCATGGATGCCTATGACTGAGAGAACTTAACTCCCTCATGTAAGTGCCTATTCAGAATTTCAAACAAAAAATGCCAAATATTTTCATGGACACTTGCATGTTGTAATCTGGAAACTATTCCAATAAATTTTTGAAAACTGATTGTATTTAACCAGCCTCAAATTGTGCAACTATGTATAATAGACATAATAAACTGCTCTTTGAATTATTAAAAATAGCTGTATTCTCACTAAAATATCTAGATTGTGTCTTCAATTTTACATTGTGCTGTAGTGAGTTTCACTTATAGAATTATTGAATATCTTAAAGTTAGACTTGGGATGTTCTTAAATAGCATTTAATGCATTGTTGGGGTGGAAGAAATTCTAGTTCATCTCAAGTTTTAGTGATCACGGACTACCAAAACAAAACTGAGATTCTCAATGGGTGGCATACTTTCCCTTTGAACCTGTTCATTTAGATATATTTCTTACACTGGCACAACAAATTCGGTTGAAGTGAATTGAACAGATCAGAGCGTTGTAGGCAGTACTCTGGGTAGAAGTACTGAAATTAAGGGACCTCGGTTAGTCATGCCTATTAATTTCAGCATAGGACCAATCCATTTCTTTCAGTTAGACATGTATTTTTGGAGATCAGCATTTAGTGCCATGGTGACTAATTATCTAGATAGAGACAATTTTCATATCTAAAACCAAGCCATTATCATTTGCAAATTTATAAAGGAATATGTTGCCATAGGATGTGGTTGATGCATTAAAAATAAGTGGCAGAATTTTTTTATGTGGTTTTTAATCTAATTTGACTACACTTAAGAATATGTTTGCAGTCCTGCTTTCTAACACCATTTTTTTGTTTGTTTCAGCTTCTTGAAATTGATAAGGGCTTTTCTTTTGTATATGGATTTATAAAGTGTTTTGAAGTGCAAAGCCCAGTCTCCTTCATTTTGTTGTTATCTTAAGGCTAGTTTAAGGTAGTACTTGGTCCCACCCACTCCTTAAAATTAGAATATGGCATACTAATTTAAGAAATAAATGAAAACCTGGCCTTTTCTGAAAATATACTTTAAAAACACCTCAAATGCATCTACTCTGAGGACTGGATGACAGTGCCAATATACAATAATAACCTAATTACTGCAGCTTTATTCATTTGCAGATTTCTTTATGACCGGTATCTATTTATGCAGACTGCTTTGATTATAAATGCTGGTGAAATGGGGTTTCCCAAGGCTGCGGGCACGTTTATCCAACGGAGAGGGCTCAAAAGGCAGCGTCTGCCCTTAAGCGAAGGTCTGGAAAAACTTCTAATTCTTGAGGTGGAGCTTAACAATGGGATGGGGTGGAGACTAGAGAGCAGGACAGGCATTATACAGAGCGGCTGATAAAATTTTGAGCTTGGCGTGGCGAGGTTCGAGCATAAGACGCTACTCGCATTGGCGGAGCGTTATCACCACCATCCCCTCACGTGCTTACTGCACTTGCATTCTCGCGTAAAGTCAATTCGCCCACGATCCTAGCAACCCAAGCCAATGCGCCTCACAGACACACCTCCGCCTAAACGCACGTGGCCGCCAGGGTGCTCGCTTGGCTGTCCTCCGTACTGCCTGCGAGGCTTCTCTTAGGGGCCCATGGCTTTGCGAGGAATGTGGCGGTGCGGACGGAACTCCGAGTCTTTCCGCCTTCTAATAATACCCCTCCTAAATTCACCTAGCCAACCACCGCCGTCTTAGGCAGCTTTCCACCACACTACTTTTCAGGCACTACGCCGGACTTCCCTGAAGACCTGGGCCGCTGTCGCGATGACGAAACAGGCGCGCGCCGGCGAGCTCAAGGCTCCCTCTTGCTCCGATGTCCGTGAGCCGGTGCGCGAGGCTGCTCTGTCGGCTGCCGGCTGCCCCGCTCCGCTATGGCGGCCTCTCTGCTCTCCGGAGCCGGCGCGGTGGGCCGAGCCGGGCAGCCCCAGCAGCGGGTTTCTTCTCCGACGGGGGAGGCAACGGCGCGGGCGCCAAAGCCCCGGACACTTCCTTGTTCGTGCCTCTGCCCGTGTCGCCTTCGTCGCCTGGCCCCGAGGGGGACGTGGGAGCCGAGCTCACGCGCCCGCTCAACAAGAGTAAGTGGCGGCGCCGGGGGTGGGGCGGAAGGACAGGCGGGCCCTGTGGGTTTAGAAAGCCAACCGTGCGCGTTCGGTTAGGGGGCAACGGGAGTGCCCTTTCCTGGCCCGTTTCTTGGATTTTTCTGTCATCCAAACAGGGGTGGGCAGCGGGCAACTTGCGAGTCGCACCTGTCCCACAAGGGCAATTTTACCTGTCCTTTAGTAGCCCTTCCAAATATACATTGAGGTAGTGCGTGAGGGGGAAGCTTCAACTTCCATAGTAAGCCCGTGAGAGTTGGTAAATAAGAATCTGTAGGAGTAGGTGTTAATGTGTGAAAGCCGAAGCAGGGAAGGAAGGAAGTCTGAGCGCGACAAAGCGCAGTGTAAATAAGAAAACACTAAGATGCTGGATGCAAGAGTTTATGTTTAAGTGGACTTTGTTTTTGGAAATTTGACTTAGGTTCTTCTTTGAGTTTGCTTTTGAAAACTTAATAAAAAGTATTAAAAAAGAAAAAAGTAAGCCCGTGAGAGTTACGTTCCAAGGATAGTGCCTAAAGCCAAAACTGCATATACAGTGGTACCTTGGGTTACATACGCTTCAGGTTACAGACTCTGCTAACCCAGAAATAGTACCTCAGGTTAAGAACTTTGCTTCAGGATGAGAACAGAAATTGTGCTCCAGCGGCAGCAGGAGGCCCCATTAGCTAAAGTGTTGCTTCAGGATAAGAACAGTTTCAGGTTAAGAACGGACCTCCAGAATGAGTTAAGTACTTAACCCGAGGTACCACTGTACAGTAGTCCAAACAGATTGGGGTGCACTTGTGGTGTTGGTGGGGGATTGCCAAAGGTTCCCCCCCCCCAACACCCGTCATTTTTTTTTTTTTTTTTTTGCCAAGCATGTAAAGCTGAGTGTGCACAAGTTAAATGGGCATATGTTGTGGGTGTACTGTGTAGAAAAGAAGCAATATTGGAGACCCCATGTTCATTTTGTCATATTATGGCCTCCGCTAGTTTCTGGGAAGTGAATGGGCCACAGATCTCTTGAGGGGATCGTTCAAGACACACGTTTATTCCACCCCTATGTCTGCGAACGACCTCTTAGATCATGCAGAATTTATTGTACAACCTGACCATCCATGAGGTATCAGGCCCTCCCCTCACTCGCCCATCACTGTTTGGAGAACAGAAATTGACCATCCCTGATCAGATGGCAATTGTAAAGTTACCATAAAGGTAACTGTTGTTAAGATTGTTAGTCTCCATAGCAGATTTATAGAAGGTGGATTTCACAATATGTTTTTGGTGACTACTTTTTCTTTTGGTGTATAACCCTTTCTTGATTAAATGCTTGAAGTGTATAAAGTATTTTTTTGCACAAGTAATTTGCCATTCCAGTTAGCCTGACAGTATCTGTATTTTGTCTTCTAGGTGAAGTCCTGAAAGTATTAAATAAATTTTACAAGAGAAAAGAAGTACAAAGACTGGGTGCAGAAAATGGACTAGATGGTATGCAATATGTGGTTCTAGGGATAATAGAATATTGTTGAATGTTTCTACATGCTTTACGAGAAGCTCATATCTGGACTTAATCTTTTTTTGACTCTTAAGTTTTTCTAATTCTACTTCTATAACTGACGGCTTAAGTCAGTGCTTAATAAAATAGTGTGGTGTTATTATGATTTTTTATTGAATTTATAACCTCTCAAAAGAGCCCGGGCAGCAAACACATTCACTTTTTGTAAAGCACTCCAAAACAGGTTTATAAATACAGTTACAATTAAAGCCTTTTAGAAACAGTTACAATTAAAAACTTTAGTTCATCCAGGAGTTCATGGAAGTAGAATAGGCAGATTTTAGCTGATCACCCCTTTTCCTTGTCCCATTGAACAGCTTCTGAAAGTTGGAGACATTCTAGAATAGTGTGGGAAGCATTGCAGGGTTACATGGGGATTGTCAGGTATCTTAACATGATTTGAAATGTCTTGAGTGTTTCAGTGGCCACATGCATGGGTATAATCCTACTGAAAACAAAGCACTCTTTAGTTTTCAAGCTAAAAATCTTGTTTTGTCATTAGATCTCTGGTCCAGTTTGTAGGAAGTGGAGTTTTGTGTGCAATACTGAACTTGCTTGTGTGTATTTTCCCCTCCCCTTTATAGCTCGTCTGTTTCATCAAGCATTTATAAGCTTTAGGAAATACATAATGGAATCAAGTTTTTTGGGTCCTGATGTGCACATTCTCCTAAATGATATATGCTGTGGTGCTGGTAAGTATATTCAACATTATTTCCCCTCCCCAATCATTCTTCTTAAAAAAGACACTTGCTTAAATGTTACGGGTGATAAACTTATGGGTAAATGAAATTTGCTTTACCCTTATAAATAAGGAACTTAGTGGGTTAGATTATAATATTTGCCCATGTATCATAATGGCTAGGAGTGAGAGATGGGAGTGAGTGCTGTGAACCAGTAAATGGCCTTAGGCAACCCTTTGTTGAATATGTGACAGAGGTGTTAAGTGCTGTTGTTTAAACATCAGATACTGGTACATTGCCAAGACAGAAGTGTGACTGCATTACTGTGTAGAACACAGATACAAACAAGTGAAAGATCCAAGAGTGGGTGTACCCAGTTCCCAGGTAATGATGAATCGACAAAGCAAAATAAAGAGTATGTGTTAAATCTTCAAATAAATTCCAACTGAGCAACTTCATGCTGAAGCCTCATTTTGAACCCTTTTCCTTGAAGTATGTCACCTTAGACTCCTTGCTGGCTTCTGACTGTTGACATTTTAACATCTGGTTTGTATCCATTTATTCAGCTTGTTTCTGTTTTAGAGCTTATATCTCTACTTAAATGAATGGGCACAAGTGTGTACTTGTGTCTGCTGTGCACATCAACAACCTTAATAAGTTAATACTGTAATGAGAATGTTAGAAGATTATAGTAGGGACAACAAAGAGTGAAAATTATACTTTGTATTTGCTCTTATTTCTGGTACCAGTTCACTACACTGAGTTCATTAGAGTTGACCCTAATACAGCAAATGGAAATGCCAAGAGTATAATCCTCCCCTTTACACAGAGGGCAAGGTGTGGATGCTCCTGATTAGCCTGCATTCAGCTGTTTCACAGGCCATGGCAAAGCAACCCAGGGGCCCTTTAGGACATTCAGATTTGCAGGTCCTGTACAGGGAACAGAGTACAACATGCTAATGGGAGCACCTTGGAGTCTCCCTGCTTCTTGCAAAGGAACAGAGACTAAGAAACTGGGCACCCAGAGAGCACTGAGAAGGGAGGCAGAGAGTCCTGCTCCAGGCTGCTCCTTCCTTCTGCTTCCCTCCTGGCTCTCTTCCATGTCCACATGGGACATGGAATCCCTCTGCATGGGGAGAGCAGGACTCCAACCCAAATCTCATGGAAACCTTTTGATGGGGCTTCTTAATTTAAAACAAGGCATATGAGCTTTTGATTCTTGAGGCCATGATTGAAGTTGTTTGTTTAGTGCGGTACTAGAGAAGAGCTGCTGCAAATGGGCCTGTAATACAGAAAAGTATGTGTAAATTCTCAAAGTATATTAGAAATTATTTAGTCCCCAAAAGACGATTAAAAAATTATATTGTGAAATGATGCCAAATGTCTTAAGTTTAATTCTGAGTACTTGGGTTTTCTTGTAATTTAGAAGTTATTCACAGTTAATAGGGTTCTTAGAATTGTCCACTGACATTATTTATATCACCAGACTTAGCAATATTATAATTATTCTGAATACTGTACATCACTGGGTGATGGTTTACTACTTGTTGGTTTTAATATACCTTTCTCCTTCCTTCTAGGGCACGTTGATGATCTGTTTCCATTTTTCATGAGACATGCTAAGCAGATTTTTCCTATGCTGGAGTGTATGGATGATCTGCGTAAAATCAGTGATTTGAGATTGCCACCCAACTGGTTAGCTTTTTAAAATCACTTATATGTCTTCCTTATGATAATAACAATGTCAGTGCTGGGACAATGTGCATTTTATGTCCCTATCATGGCAGTTATTCTCACTGAAGTTGTCATCAGCGTCTTGTGTTACTTTTGAGTGTTTTTCTTTAATTGAAAAAATGTTATCAAAAATCACAGAAATTGAGGTGTGAGATTACATGGTTTGAGATCAACATATCTAAAGGTGTATTTAGTTTTTAGTTTATGTATATACTACAAAGTGAGGTGGTGTTTAAACATACAGACTGCCAGGCTCAACTATGCATTTCTCTATGTGTCGTTCTAGGTATCAGGACGCCAGAGCTATCCAAAGAAAAATTGTATTTCATGCTGGTCCTACAAACAGTGGAAAAACCTACCATGCAATCCAGAGATACTTAGCAGCAAAATCAGGAATATACTGTGGCCCTTTGAAGCTTCTGGCACATGAGATCTTCCAGAAGAGTAACGATGCTGTCAGTATGTTAAATGTGTTTCCATGCTTCTGTGACTGTTACAGTCTGTGATGATGATTCATGATATAGTATTGTCAGTGTACACAATATTTTTCACAGTCGCATAAGCAAAAAACAAAACAAGTACACCAATAAGCGCATAATTATATTTTGACAGTGGGTGTGCATAGTAGTGGAAGGGGAGAGAAGAAAGGAAGAGGTAAAAGAAAGAATAAGTGCAAGTACAGCTATATTAGTAAAAGTAGCTATCTTGTGATCATTTTTGCTATGCTGCATTGACTACCCTTTTTTGCTTGAGGCATTAGTAACTTCTGGAGTTCTGTAGCTGTCAAATGAGTAAACAATATCTGTAGCCGAGACAGCAGAATCCAGATCTTGCGGCTGCTGAATGAGTACCTCTGTCATATTTGAGTATGTGCTTTCTGCAACAATATCAGTTAAAGGAAGCCAAAACAGTTATGAGCTATTCAAAGCCTGTATTGTAAGGCTCAGCACACCCTAAACCAAATGCATTGAAGGCAGCAGCATTCAGTCACACTGCCGCACCAGTTAACATTACAGGCTTACGATCATTGCAACCTTCTCCACCCATATAGATTTGTTTGCCATCATATTTATGTCTTTATCCATGATGGCTAGATAGGAAACTTTTTTTTTTTGTATTGTAGTTGTTTCTGAGACTGAAAGGGCTATAGCTCTTTGGTCAAGCACAAGGCTTGCTTGCAGAATACCCCAGGTTTGACCCCTGGCATCTCAAGGGAGGGCTGGGAAAGGCGGCCGTCTGCCACCCTCGTGACTTGCTGCCAATTGCTGTAGGCAGTTCTGAGCTTCTAGAACTTAAACAAATTAAATGCGTCTGCTAAAGCCACAGGGACTATCTCTTAGAATATACTCTCTTGAAAAGTATGTCTATTCCAAGCTGCCTGTGGAGAGTTTGCCTTTCTCTGAAGCAAACCTGGGAATGTTAAGCTGGCGGGGCACTGGCTGGAGAGTGACAATGTGGGAGGGGTGGTTAACTCTGGCTGCTAGAGGCCTCCTTCAAGAACTTCTGCTTGGTTCCTCCTTCCTTGCTTTGGAGGGACGCTCTTCCCATCTACCCTCTTCCTCTATTTGCATCCATTTTTTTAATAGCTCTTGTTTAAAACAAAAATGGGGGATTTGTTTTCTAAGATTTTGATTTCTGCGCAAGACGTTTTATTGGGCTGTATGTTGTCTGTTCTCATATTTCAGTGTAGTATCCTTTGGGAGCTTAGGTTGGATTTCTCTTCCTAGAAAAACCACCTGTATCTTCTCTCTCTTTAAACCTTATAGAACGTGCCATGTGACTTGGTAACCGGAGAAGAACGTGTTTGTGTTGATCCTGAAGGCAGGCAGGCTGCCCATGTTGCTTGCACTATTGAGATGTGCAGCGTCACGACACCCTGTATGTAAACCTCTTTCTTTTTTTGTGTATTCTTCAAGGGTATTGAAGCATATCATGTTCTAGTTTTATAAATTTGCCTCTGTAGTGTTCTGATATATTTCAATTTAGAATTTTTTCTCTGTTATAACAGATTAACAGGCCAGATAAATGACAATGTAGAAACCGTTCTTAAAACTGTTTGTAAAAACTGTTTAAAGAATTCATAATTGAAATTATTATTTTTCTTCTGTCTTTTACCTTTTGAAGTTTGTTTTTCTGGTCCCTTTTACCACATACCACCATTTTTTGTATTTTTAAGATGAAGTAGCTGTGATTGATGAAATCCAGATGATTAAAGATCCTTCCAGAGGTTGGGCCTGGACGCGAGCGCTCTTGGGTATGTTTTCTGCAGGTTTCATGTTAGTAAAACAAATTACCTTTAGCTACTGATATGCGACTTCTCTTTCATATGGACAGTGTAGTGCAGGGCTCCAGAACAGCCTTCCTTCCCCAAGCTGGTGCCCTCCAGTTCTGAACTGTTTCTCTGACCATTTGCCATGTTGGCTGGAGCTAGTGGAAGTTGTACTCCAATAATATATCCAGAGTACTTGGTGAGGAAGTCTGCTCAGGAATGTTAGTTGAACCTGTCCTATGTATGAGTATGGTGTACTGACACATTGAACTGTATCCAATTTTATTTAGATTTAAAATAAAAATAGCCAGTCTACTAAATTTGTAACGTGCATTTTGAATAGCTTTATTTCCATCCTGCGTGGTGGGATAGTGATGGCCGGGATCCAAAGAACCACTTAAGGCACACCCTTAGCAGACCATCATACAAAGCCAAGTCCCCTCTGTTTCAAAGTCAGTTCACTATGTGACTTGAGGGGTTGAAAAAAAGGGTGTGCAGAACCAGTTGCAATTGTTTTGATCCTAGCACTTGCTTCCATCTTGGGTAGTTGTCGGACAATGAAATACTGTCCAAATTTTGGCATGGTTTACTCAGAAGTAAATTCCACTGCCTTCCCAGCAAAGTGTGGATATTAGGGTGGGGTCAGTTATTCTCCTTGATATTATAGTTTTGAACAAGTGGCTCCACAGAACCTGCATAACAATTGAATGAGGTGGTTATTCAGATTCATGAACTGGGCAAGTCTTACTGGGCTTTGCTAGCTACAAACATCTGCAAGCAAAACATTTGATTATGATAGCCTTATAGTAGCAATGCAAACCATATGTCTGTTTTCAGTATTACAATAACAACAACAACAAATTTTATTTATACCCCGGCCAGAGCCAGGCTCAGGGCGGCTAACACCAATAAAATCACAGTAAAAACATAATGGGGGGGGTGCAATTTAAAATACAGGTTAAAATGCAATTTAAAATGCAGCCTCATTTTAAAAGTAGCTGATAGATCAAGACCATGTGTGATCCATGTAACCTGCTTTTACAGTCCTCCTTCCTTTTGTGCACTTTTTATTTAGGACTCTGTGCAGAAGAAATCCATGTTTGTGGTGAGGCTGCTGCTATTAACTTGGTGACAGAGCTCATGTATACTACAGGGGAGGAAGTTGAGGTAGGAATTGTCAGTATATAACTATAGCTACATACTCCGGTTTTTAAAGCTCCCTTTCTTAAAAATACTAGAGCCTGTGCATTAAAATCAGTGCATCAGTTGTGAAGCTGTTAATATGTTTCTGGCATTAGCAAGATTATCCACCAGGCCTCTTTTCCCTTAACTGTCTCAGTGGGAGAAATGAGAATCAGGGCTCATTCCATCAGCTTTGCCAAAAAACCCACCTCCATCAGACACCTCCTACTGATGAACTGCTTCTATGCCAGCTGGTCGTTATATATTATACTTCCACTGCAACCAACCCCTTGTGTGTGCCAGTGTAGTTTACCTGATTGCTACCCATGTCTCTTATTGACTGCAATTCTGTGATGGTTGCAAGGGTAAATGATGCTTTTTCTCTCCAGGTGAGAAACTACAAGAGACTCACCCCTCTAAAAGTCCTGGATCAGGCCCTTGAATCTCTAGATAACCTTCGCCCTGGAGACTGTATTGTCTGTTTCAGTAAGAATGATATTTATTCAGTGAGCCGGCAAATTGAAACCCGGGGCCTAGAATGTGCTGTCATATATGGGAGTCTGCCACCTGGTAATTACTCTTTGATATATGTTGGGGGAGTTGGGAGGCATGAATGCTATGTGAATAATTAGGAAATTTCTGTTTAATATTTGATTATTGAAGTACTTGCAACATCATACCCAAGAATTCTGAGAAACCCCAGGAAACAGTGCAGTTTTGGAATCAGTAGTTAAAATCAGTGCAGGTTCAGTCCTCTTACCTTGATTCAACATGGCATCCAATTGTATCCAAACAAAGGAAAAAACTGTTCCTTGATCTTGGGAACCATCATGCAAAATTTGGTTATGATGTTTTAAGAGGGGTCCAAATACATAGTGAACAAGCAGCTGTCCAGAATTTATAGTATGCTGTGTTTTTAAATGTGCATTTCTTTCTTTGGCACCTTGTCTTGGAAAATGTTAACTTGTTCATCTAGTACTTGTCTGGTTCACATATTCTTAGCAGGGATGGCCTTGATTACCATAAACTATACAGGGGATAGATCTGCCCATACGTCTTTAATAATACGCAGCTCAATCTAGTTTTTAATTCTGTACTGACTGCATTTCCATGTATGGTTTGCATTTCCTGAAGTCTCCCTTCTTCTCCATGGCCACTTATTATTTCTTTATTTCAAGAATTTCTAAACAGCCCTTTATCCTGACAGATTCCTAGCAGTGTACAGACACTTCACATTGGGTGTGGGCAGCATAAGTGAAAACTTGCAAGTTGCCTGACACACAGGAAGAGGGGAAAGCAGTGATGGTACTGTCTTAGGAGCTGGTTCAGTCATGTCAGAGGGGCCTACACAGTCATCTTGGAAGTAGGTAGAGTTGCCAGGGTGGGATGGAATGTGCATGGCACCAGAAGCTTGGGCAGTACTGGCAACTTAAGGTTCCGATGTCACCAGAAGCATATATGGCCACATATACGCTGCTCCACATGGAGATACCAGCTCATGCAAATAGTGCTTTCATGTGAGCCCATGCCTGCTTCCAAGGTAATCTCAGTGGGCCACTGACATATCTGAACTGCCGCTAAGTAGTTCAGAATATTAACATTTTTCACTGTCACCTGCAAAACACCATTGTGGAATGGTAACTTTAAAGTATTTACAATATTTGGTTTATTTCAAACCAAACTGAAAACCATAAATGTAAATTGCAACATAGTCTACACTTGTCATTGTTTCAGGGACAAAACTTACACAGGCGAGGAAATTCAACGATCCCGATGATCCGTGTAAAATCATGGTTGCTACGGATGCAATTGGAATGGGACTCAATTTGTAAGTATCCTGGGTGGATTGCAGATTCTATCAGAATGAGTTAAATGTGTTGGTGGTAGTTCTTGGCTTTTTCCAAAACCATATCTCAGTATTACATATCCCCTGTGACTCTTGTGTATAGGCAAGTACTGGTTTCTTAAATTAATCCGACTGGAGCAGGATTTCTAACCATTTTTATCCCATTACTCAATAGAGTGCTGCTTCCAGTGCAGAGACATTAGATGATGATCTAGATAACTAAGCTGTTCATAAGAGCCTGTCTGTGTGGCATTGAGCCTCATCATATCTCTTGTACCTTTCCAGCAATGTGGAAGATGGAACGCCATCAAAAGTTGGATAGGGTTGGAGCATTCACTGGGAGTTGCATTGCACTGGGCCTAGTGAGCTTAGATGTATAGGGGTAGAATGTTTGTTCCAGAATGGACATTGGACATCTAGCAGTCACCCACTACTATGTGGCAAACCTGAGACTGGAGATATCTGTGTTCGGAGTCATCTGTCAGACACCTTTATCTGACAAACCTTTGGGTTTGTGGTGAAATTCTGCATTGTATTGATAAGGTTCATGTTTTGAGAATTACAAATTATAGCTCTTTGTTCCGACTTCAGTGTTAATCCACTATCTATGCTTTTGTTCTAGGAGCATAAAAAGAATCATTTTTAACTCCCTCATTAAGCCTACTATCAATGAGAAGGGTGAGAAGGAAATGGATACAATTACAACATCTCAAGCTCTACAAATCTCAGGCAGAGCGGGAAGATTTAGCACTGTATTTGGAGAAGGGGAAGTCACCACCATGCATCGGGATGACCTTCCTTTGTTAAAGGAAATCTTGAATAAATCAGTGGATCCCATAGTGGTAGGATATTGTTATCAACAACATCATCATATTGTTGGTGCATTTTTCAGCTGCCTGATAGTAGAGCAGCATTGGAGCATCTTAAAACGAGTTGATCAGTCACAGGAAGCTTCTACCGGGTCAAAATGTTTTGTTTTTCTAGCTCAGTATCATATTAATCTGACTTGCAGCTATTCTCCAGAACCTCTGAGAGGGATCTTCCCATCATGTGTTGCATACAGCTTTTAACTGGGGAGTGAATCGGGGGCCTTTTACCACTGAGCCATCTCCCCCCACACCCTGCCAACTTATTTGTGCAAGTAGCAATTCAAGCAATTGACATGACCTGGAATATAAGTACTTGTATGAGCATTAGCAACATTTTTTTAAAATTAAATTTTATTGTTACCATTCACATTAACACACCATACAGAAAAAGAAAATAAATTTCCATCACTTTTGGTGGTGATCATTAGTAACATTTACTAGCAGAACACTTTCAGCCAGTGTGGTGTAGTGGTTAAGAGCAGTAGACTCATAATCTGGTGAACCGGGTTTGTGTCTCTGCTCTTCCACATGCAGCTGCTGGGTGACCTTGGGCTAGTCACACTTCTTTGAAGTCTCTCAGCCCCACTCACCTCATAGAGTGTTTGTTGTAGGGGAGGAAGGGAAAGGAGAATGTTAGCTGCTTTGAGAGACTCCTTCGGGTAGTAATAAAGCGGGATATCAAATCCAAACTCCTCTTCTTCTTCTTTGGAAATGAGGAAATCCCTGCTCATGGGACTTACTGCTGCTTAATCAAATGAAGATGATAATGTATGAGCTGGTTCTCTGGAACTTTTTAGCTAAGTAGCTCAGTTACATTAATATTAGTGCAGTAAATGTTGCATAGGGCATAAGCTGACTGGGCCACCTTGTTGTTTAGATGCTTGTTCTGATAGTCGGATAAATTTAGGAAAGTTTAATTCTTGTAATAATGAGACCCTTTTCTCCTCACCTCTTTTTTTCCACCCAGACTGCTGGCTTGCATCCTACCGCTGACCAGATTGAGATGTTTGCATATCATCTTCCAGATGCCACTCTATCAAATCTACTTGTAAGAATCAGGAAACCTGTTAAGTTTTAACATTTCTGTGTACAGCAGTTTAAGCTTCATTATCCTAGCTAGAGAATGCTAGTTAGGATTTTGAGGAGCTGTTTACCAGCGTCTAATATGCACAGCCAGGCTATCTTTGCAGTGTTTGCTTCTGCAGTTGATAGGTTTCCCTTTTCCTTTTCAAGTCTTAAGAAGGACTTACCTCATTGGCTGCAGAGATGCTGCAGGAAATTGCTAGTTTTCTTGTGTGAATATTGATAGATTTCCATGGGGATAGTCAGGGCTTCGTTTAACTAAGAGCATGTTTATCTTTATTTAAAACAGGATATTTTTGTGAGCCTCTCTCAAGTTGATGGCCTCTACTTTGTGTGCAATGTTGATGACTTCAAATTTCTAGCTGACATGATTCAGCACATTCCACTGAACTTGAGAGCCAGATATGTGTTCTGCACAGCACCCATCAACAAGAAGCAGCCTTACGTCTGCACTTCGCTGTTGAAGGTAAGTGACTTGCCTCTCCTGTGTGTGTGCATCAGCGTGCATTTTTGTGGGAGTAGTCCGTGTTGTACTAAGTTGGTGTCAGTCTCTTCATCCATTTGTGGGCATGATCAAAATTAGGTGACCCAAATGACAAGTTGAGATGGTGGTGATCAGAATGCTGTATGGATATTTGTCTGGTCTCCCAGCAGTGGTGCCACAGTTACATCCTGGGACAGTGAGGGGTTGGAGCAAGATGCTGGTAAATTTGGGTTGGCTTGGGCTCAGTGGTGGGTGCACCCGATTGCTTCTGCTGGTGTACCTGAACTGCCCCAGCCTTTACTTATGTTCCATAAAGCATGAGGAGTTACTGGACATTTCACAGGCCAGCAAAACTGTATCTTATTCATGATTACAGAAGCAGTACAACCTTCAACCTCTCCTTTTCCAGTGCCTGCTCTGAGACACATGGGGGGAAATTCGGGGGGGGGGGGGGTTGCATCCAAAGCATTGTAGAAAGTTTATATCATAAACTACTGTCATGGCTGGGTTTGGCAGGAAGAAAGTAGGCTGCTGCAAAGGGCATTTGGCAGTGTGAAAGATTTATGGTGGTATTATTCTTGGGGAAATATTCATTGCTTAATGCTTCTTCTTTTTCCTTTTCTAGTTTGCACGGCAGTTTAGCAGAAATGAACCTCTGACATTTGACTGGCTGTGCAGGCATATTAATTGGCCTCTAGTCCCGCCCCAGAATATAAAGGACCTTGTACACCTTGAAGCTGTTCATGATGTCCTCGATCTGTATCTGTGGCTGAGGTACTGGAGGCTTGGTTCCTTCTTCCTCCTCTTCCTTAATGTGGGCAGTTTGGGGGCATAAGGAGTCCTCCGCTTTGGGTAAAAGCATGGTTCAGTCCTCATGTGAGATGACACCAACGCAGAATGTTGGTGGGGAGCTCTTGGTCTTAAAGCTCCTCCTTGTCAAAATTTCTCTGCACGTGGAAAACACACAACAGGGAGATGGTGTCTAATGCAGCCTCTTCCAAGATGGGTTTGCTTTCCATGTTCAGGGAGATTTTGAAATAGAGGCACTTTGAAACAAGCCATTTCCTGCATGGGTCTGGGGAAGGAGCAGTCCTGGGAGAGAACTGTACCATATCAGAAACTGCATATTTGAAGTGTCATTAAGTTGGGACCGGAGAGGAGTTGTTTACTGTCAGCTCTGCTAAGACAGAGGCTGAACAACCAGTTCTTTCGACCTATTCAGTTAATGCAGAAGAGAAACAAGATCTTTTTTGGAGGTGGAGAACAGATGAGGGACAGGTGAGGGGTGGGGGTGGGGTGTAGAGCTCTGGACATAGATTAGGGATACTTGGATTTAAATCCATGCTCAGCCTAAGCTGTTGCACACGACTGATGCAAGTATAAAATGGGTAACCCACTGCGTGCTGCTGCCACGAACTTCTTGGAGAACTGTGGAATAAAACACAGCAATTTTATAGATGGTTTCAAACCAGAGTGGCTAACGGGTTGCTCTCCAAATCCTTCTGAACTGCAACTCCCATCATCCTTGGGGTAAACTGGCTAAGGCTGATGGGATTTGTAGTTCAGTGACACTTGGAGAGCCAGACACTGCCCTCCTTTCATTTAAAATATTCTATCTTGTCTACTAGGTTATGCATAAACTGTGTGTGATACTAGATTTTTATTGTAAGCCTTTTGGCTTAATGGTATTGCATATTACACTTAAACACCCCCCCCACACACCCCAGATTACGTGTTTTTGAGGTATAACAACTTGATCAGCGGTTTGCTCTAAATTGCTACATAGTTTCATTTGTATCTTAACCCCAGAAACTTGAAGTGCATAACAGATAATATGCTGATCACTTAATGCCCAGGACTACAGATGTCCAAAGTCGTTTGGGTTGAATCTAGCCAAGTTATTGCATGAGTGGAACGACTTCTACTTGCATAACAGAACTTTCTTTTTTTTCTTCACCCTCTTCGTCAGCACCCCAAAATGGGGTAGGGGGGAGCTCCAGAGCAGATCCAGAGAGCATGCAGGTGATGGGAGAAAAGGGAGAGGAAGTTCTATTGCATGTGCAGAAGTTCTGCTCACACAAGTAGCTGGGTTCAGCATTTTACTGAAGAGGTCCCAAAGTGCCTGTTGAAACAGTCCCTGCTGGGGGCTGTTAACCTTTCAAGAATTCTTGGTCTGAACTTATCATACATGCATGTTTCCTTGTAGCTACCGGTTTATGGACATGTTCCCGGATGCTGCTCTCGTCAGGGACATACAGAAGGAGCTGGACGACATTATACAAGTCGGGGTGCTTAACATTACGAGGCTGATCCGAGTATCGCAGGCCGCTTCTGGGTCTGTCACTTTACCAGACGACTTTCCTCTCCAGAGGGCTAGCATTGGCAATGGGATGTTGAATGCGGAAGACCTCCTAGAGGCTAACGGAGAGCTTTCCCCAAGGGACGTGAAGACCCAAGGGCACCGACGAGCAAGGGGATCCAAAGCGATGAACTACAGGCCTGCTGAAGCTCAGGGCGCTCTGGCTGCCAGACTAATACAGCAGGGACTCCTCACCCAAGATATGCTGAAACAGTTGGAACATGAGTGGCTGGCGCGTCGCAAGGGCGGTGCCACAGATGAAAACACAGGCCCAAACAAAGGGAAGAAGAGGAAATAGAATGTTGTGTCTTTGCAAAATAAAAATTATATTTAATAAGCTTTGGTCTTTTGATGGTATAGGTTAGGAAGTGGGGAACTTGTTGCCCTGCAGATGTTTTTGGACTACAGTGGTGCCTCGCAAGACGAAATTAATCCGTTCCACGAGTCTCTTCGTCTTGCGGTTTTTTCGTCTTGCGAAGCACGGCTATTAGCGGCTTAGCGGCTATTAGCGGCTTAGTGGCTATTAACGGCTTAGCGGCTATTAACGGCTTAGCGGCTTTAAGAAAAAGGAAACAAACTCGCAAGAACTCGCAAGACGTTTCGTCTTGCGAAGCAAGCCCATAGGGAAATTCGTCTTGTGGAACGACTCAAAAAACGCAAAACCCTTTCGTCTAGCGAGTTTTTCGTCTTGTGAGGCATTCGTCTTGCGGGGCACCACTGTACAGTCAGCCCCAGCCAGCATGGCCAGTGGTTAGAGAGGACAGAAGTTGTAGTCTTAACAGTATCTTGAGTGGCACATGTTTTCCATCCTGATGTAGGTATAGATTTTTAAAAATTCGTATTATAAACAGTAAAAGAATTTTCCATTTGTACATTGCCTTAAACGGTGCTTCACACCAGAAGCAAGAAACAAAATGGGGCACTTAGAGTCTTGGCTTCCAGTGATTGTGAACTGCATCTCCCATCAGCCTCAGTGAAGTTGATGGTCATGGACTGAGAGAACTGCAGTACAGCACACCATTCCTGATTGGGGCAGGTGGGTGAGAACAGGAGGAGAGGAAAACATAATACCACAAGAGATGAATGTGAGTAAATGCAGCTACATGAACTTTATTGGGCTTGGAGCTGAAGTTGTAGGCGTCATTATAAGTGTAAAGTTTGCAGCAAGCATATTCTGTGAATGTCGTGCTACCCCAAACCATAACGTTGATCCAAAGGGACCACACATCTTTGTTTAAACACTGAACCTCAGATAGCTCAATGCCAATGAGTCACATCACAAAGTTCATGCGTATTTTTCTAATAACGCAACCTACTTCTGCAGTTGGTCATCCATCTCATTCGACGAGGTACATAGTTCAGCAGATAAACAGATTAGTAGAAAGGTCTTTTGACTCGTAACACCCTCAGATAGGACACCCAACCCACACTTTTTAATTGTCCTTCACAGGAAGGAAATAGGTTGCATTCTTTGGAAGAGTGCTTTGGAGGAAAGGTCATGATTCTATCTCACGGTGTCTCTTTTTGAAAGTAATTTTCAGTACAGTGGTACCTCGGGTTACATACGCTTCAGGTTACGGATTCCGCTAACCCAGAAATAGTACCTCAGGTTAAGAACTTTGCTTAAGGATGAGAACAGAAATCATGCTCCAGCAGCGCGGCGGCAGCAGGAGGCCCCATTAGCTAAAGTGGTGCTTCAGGTTAAGAACAGATTCAGGTTAAGAACGGACCTCCAGAACGAATTACCGGTAAGTACTTAACCCGAGGTACCACTGTACTCTCGAATAAAGTACGAAGAAAATTTATACAATATTTCTCTGTGAAAGGGCAAAATATATTTAGTGGAAAGTGCCCTTAGAATTGAGCCTTTCATTCTCTGAACACTCGCACCCTAGCAGTTAAGAGGGGTTGATGCTGCCCATGTTGTAATACTTGCACAGAAGCAGACTTGGGAAGGGAGAACTTTGCTCCATGGAAGGGCACTGTGGCTACCTGAAGCTGATACCGTAGGCTTATCATTTATTGCTGTAGTATATATTTCAAGAATGAACTTTGTTGATTGCGGCAGTCAGAGTTGGCTGTGGCTCCCTTCCATGTGACCTTGAGATTATGGCTGTGTGACATTTGAATGACTCAGAACATCCCGTAGACAAGAAAGCGCTGGAGCTGTGCGCTTGCAAGTACAAAACGAAATCTTGGGTTTTGAGTAGTGAGCCTTTAAGGAGCAAAGCACTAACTGGGACATTCTTTTGAATTTTGCTGAGATTAGCACTTCCTTTAATTTGCTGCGTGTTCCCATAGTGTCTCCATAGTAACTGTTATAATCACTCTGAAGTTTGCTCAAGCGTTTCTAAGGCTGATTTGGACGAAAGTTTACTTCCACGCTAATGATGTGGATACAATTAGACTCGAAGAGTTAACTGGGTTCACATGATCTTCTAAATGAATAGGGTGTACTACTGCACTAATCCTCTGCTAACAAGTTCTGGAGCTAGCTAGCTCGGGACAGAATTCTCCACATGTTATTAACCTGAATGGCATTTTAGGATTTAATAGAATTGGGGTGTGTAGAATAGCACAGTAGGCAAATTTTGGAACCTTGATTTTGCTGTGGGGGAGATGAATGACTGCCAAGTATTTTGTGGAAAGGAGACTAGTAGTAAAGACTAAGCTCCTCTCCAAGGTTGACTGTGTAAGAAACAACAGCTCCCTCCTGAAATGATCTCCTGTTTTTAGTGCTAATACAGAAGGCTTGCATTTAACTAGTCTGATCCCCTGTGGTGAGTAAGAATTGCCACCAGGTGACCATATGTTTCAGGGCTGCCTCAGGTCTCAGCTCACAAAAGACCAACGCCAATCTCTTCTTATATACAAAAGTGTTTATTGGAGTTCATTGTTTGCTTCACATCCGAGGCGCGCAGCCCCACGTCTGTTACGCTTAGACCGTTGAAGTCTCCTCTGAGTCAGTCCCTCCCCTGCACCAGTTTAAGAGGCTTGCGCTGCTCCACCTCTTTCTCTCTTTCCTTTTCCGCAGGGTCTTCCTGCCCGCTGGGGTTTCGCCCCTCCTGGATTCCCCTGACGCGGAATCCCCCGACTGCTCTTCCCCCCTCCTGCGGGCTTTGGGACCTGGCTCTTCCTCCGGGCTCCCTGTACTTCCGCGCGCCTCTACATTTGAACTTGGCGCGCGCGCCCAACCTCTAACTTTCCTTTGGAATGTTACACTACTCCCTTCACTACTCCCCTCCCCTTCCGGGAGGGTGGCTTGCTCCGACCTCCCTCCCTTCTCTGCTGCCGGAGCTGCTTCCCCTGATACACTGGAACCTCCACCCCCTTCGCTGCACTCTGGCGGGGAGGCTGGTCCTGACGCCCAGCTGCCACTTTGGGATCCCCGGCTGGCCCCCTGTTCCTGACACGTCCCCCTGGGGCTCCCTGGCCTTGACCACTGGCGCCCCTTCTGGGAATCCTCTGATTCGCTGGAAAGACTCATGGAATCTCTTGAGTCATTGTCATCCTCTTCCTCGCTGTCCTGGGATTCATCCCCATCGCTCTCCATCTCCTGCCTACCCTGTGCCTCTGTCCCTGAACCCCTGACAATATGAATCACCATCCTCTCTTTTTGCTTTAAAGCAATCCTGTGGCCTCTTTGAGGTTATATAGGAGGTAAATGGGAGTGTCATGCACAGTCTCCTTATTATGTTCCTGTGGTCTGGAGGCTGTGTTTAAGATAGTTTATTAGCATGCTGCTGAGTGTTATTGTTGGCTTCCCATCCAAGTTCTCCCTGTCTTCAAAAGACTTTGGGACCACAGAATAAGAGATTGGATGATTGGAGAAGTGGCAAGAGAAGTACCAAGGAACCTGCCTGGTGCAGTGGAAAGAGAGGAGCAGGGCCTGAACTTTTATGTACAAAGCTGTGATAGATTCGTAAAGTGGTGTGTCAGGTGGGAAAGCAGCAACCTTGAGATGGTGGCAAGCTACAAAAGAAAACTCTGGAGAAACATATTTTTTGCAGTCTTAACTTTTACAGACTGAGAATTCTCCTTTAATGTAAATATGCATTAGGGGACCCGGGTCTTAATTTTTGACTGCTGTCATATCCACCTTCGGTCAGGCAGTAGTGGGTGCCGACTCGTCCGTTGAAGACCAGCATGTTTGGGAAACTTTTCTTGCATTCGTCTCCCCCACTGCCGTTTCCCCATCAGCCATTTTCCAGGAGGTCATCCGAATAACGATGACATCGCTGTGCTGCCATTGTTCAGCACTCTGTAGCTGCTGGCCTTTTAATTGAGGGTACAGGGGAACGGAGGATAATGATGCCACTGATGGACAATGAATCCATTGTTCTTTCTTTCTGTGTGCAATTGTGAAGAGGCTGAGAGCGGTTGCAGTGGAGTCTCTGGGTGTCAGTTGCTGGAAATCACAAGTGCAGAAAGTGCTGTGCTCCGCTTGCAGGCTTCCCAGAGGTATCTGGTAGGCCACTGTGAGAACCACCTTAGTAGCTCAGTCAGTAGAGCATAAGACTCTTAATCTCAGGGTTGTGGGTTCAAGCTCCACACTGGACAAAAAGATTCCTCCATTGCAGGGGGTTGGACTAGATGACCCTTGTGGTCCCTTCCAACTCTATGATTGTATGAACAGGATTCTGCGTTAGCTGGACCGCTGCTCTCTTCTTATGTTATAATGTTCTGTACCATTGCATATGCTAAGCATCAGCCTGAGGGGATGGTGTTTCACTTACTAAGCAGAGCTAATCTAGGGCTAGGAAAGCTTTCTCTTGGATACACCTTGTCTAGCAGCCACCTGCTAGAGACAGATCTAGTTCAGCTAGCAGCAAATTCTGGTAAACAAAACTCGCAAGCTGTACTGGCGCCATGCTTTTGGGGCTCTTCAATTTGTTGTGAAGTTATTTCAGCTTTGGAAACTTCACCAGCTATAGGAGGCTGGGGATCACTCATGTTGGAAGATGCAACTGAGGCTGCCACTCTCTGGATAGATCAACTTCCTTGGTTATGAACATTCAGCATTATAAGCCACAGGATAGGTTGGACCTAAAGTCGAGTGCCTGTGATGTTCATTATGCCTCTGTCAAAGTGCTACACAGCTCAGCTCTTTGTGTTTAGTGGACGATTTCCAGCAATAAGCAAGGCTCCTTTTGCATCTGTTGCTGTCCAAGATCTTAACAGCCATGTTACTTCACTCTGCTATGGCAGCTCCTAAGCATCAGTGCATGGTTGAAAAATACATATATATATATTTTGCACAGCTCTTCCTTTCTCAAACTCTTTGAGATCTTGGGGTTGTGTGGCAGACGACTGGCACTTGAGAGTCCACAGGCAAATTATTGCGAAGACTTGCCTAGATGAGACGAAAATGTAGCAGACTGGGAAAATGCACTTTGCAGTGCTGCAGAGAGCCAAGCGGCTGGGTGGCTGGGAAGGAAAGTGTCCTCTATTCCCATGCCGTTCCCAGCAATGTTTCTGAGCGATACAATGCCCATTGAAGTGGCTTGTTTTTACTACTTTTCCTCTACTGGAAGTGTGCCATGCTGTGGAAGATCGTGCTGGGTTTCAGTTAAGCAAAGAAGCACCCATAGCAACTGGTTTGTTCAGGGGTAAAACATTTCCAAATTGGGCCAGTAGCTAATTGTTTCCTTTTCTCTGCTCTTGGCAGTTAGCCACCTGTTCAGTATTAGACTATACCAAGTGGTGGGAGGGACTCTGTGTGTGTGAGGCGGGGGCGCGAGAGGGGAAGGAGGAGAGAGCAAGAGGCTGGAGATTAATCATTGAACCAACTAAACTGAATGGACTTGTTTAGGACTGGCTGCTCTGGGGTTTCTTATTAACATCTCTGCTGGCAAATGGCCCCGGCAAGTGAGTTTTGCTGGACTCATAGTATATGAATGAGATCTGGAGTTAGTTGCTCACAGCCGTTCCATCAATACTGAGGCATTAGAGAGAAATGTTTGCTGTACACTTAGTGTCGTTTTATTTCACAAAACTAAAAGAGGACCAGATCAAAAAGGTAAGAGTTGGCTGGGCTCACTGTTTTGACATCAGCTACTTTAAATAAGAGAATTGTTTTTTGACTTGTGGGTTGTCATTAAAAAAAGAAGAAAGTTTTGTGTATGTAGTTACAACATACACTTAGCAAAAATTGGCAGAAGATGAGTTTTTTTGGCTATTTTTAATTTAATTGCACTCTCATAGCTGGAAAAAATATCTAAGGAAAGGAATCTTGGTGCAAGCAAAGTTCAGAATCTGTGACAAGCACACCTAAGCTAGAATGATAATTTTTAGATTTAACAACAACGGACTGTCCCTATGACTGTGCAAGGCTAGAGCTGCTAATCGGGATTTGCAGTCACATTTTAATACTAACATTTTATATGAGGACAAAGCTGCAGTTTTCTTCCCATGGCTAAACAGGCAGCAATAAATAAATAGATCTTCTTTTTAGAAAACACACCCAGGAAAATTACTGCTACTACAATAATTCTTTTAATAATCAAATGGGCTATAACTTAAACCCAGAGGTTTAGTTAAACATAGCATTAGTTATCAATCTGGGAAAGGCTTTTAGATCTAGTTTCGTGATGTGTCTTTCTAAGGTCGTGTTATTAGCCTTCCATCATTTTCTGAGACCTCTGCTCTTCTCTCCTGTGCACCTTCCCCCCATGGTGGAAGAATGCCTTTTAGTCATTCTTCCACCATTGTAAAAGAATTCCTAGAATTGCGTGTAGGTTGTCACACAACATGTGCCCTAATCTCTTCAGACGATGGGTAAGTGAAGTAATTTCCCTATCTTGTAAATATGAGTCAACGGATTTGTTAAGAGAAAATGTGTACCTTAACATAAAATACGCTTTTTAAAAAACAAGATGCAGCCTTGATCAGTCCTGAATTTATTTTTTTATCATTGATGGTTTATTTTATTACATTTCTATTACACACATCGACTGCCTGTGTCCCCTGCCCTGCGGAGGAGGCTGTCCCATCACTGGTGTCAAAAAAGTTTCAACAACTAGTCTAAGCAGCTTTTGCATTGAAATGGAGGAAGCTTCACTTTGTCCTTTGCCTCAGACAGCAAAATGTATTGGGGTGGGCCTTTGTATCCCTTTTTCCAGCCAGAAAGCTACCTGAAAGACTTAAAAAAATGTAATTGATAAAGGCAGCCCCTTGCTCTCAGACCTACAATCTTAAAAGAAACGACACAAATGGAAAAAGGAGGAGGGAAAAAAGCGAATCTAGGCATTTGGTCTAAATTTGTAATGACCAGCTAGAATGGAAATATTTCAAGGAGAGGAGGAGCCAAAAATTGTGGGTCTGTCAGCAGAGCTGATGGAGAGGCTCTGTGGTCCCATCTTTCTCCTTGGCATTGTCTTATCACCTGATGGGACAGCTGCTGTAGATGACATTTAGGTCTGCCCCAATTCCACATAATGTGTGGTCTGGATATAATTTATAGAAAAAATGTGTATCTGCTATACCTCCCCTCCTTGACCACAGTCTACTCTTTCAGCTGCTTTTTCTCCTCAGCTGAACTCTGATCCTTGGCTCGGCAGAAAGATAATAATCTTGTGGGGAAGAGGCAGTGAGGAGGGTGCAGCCCCTGCAACCTTCATACCCTCTTCATGTGGTAAACATTAGACATTTCCCCCTGCTTGATATGCACTTCGGGGAAGGCCCAGTTTTCAACAAACAGCTCTGTTGCTGCCACGTGTTGTTTGGTCTTTAGGAGCAGTTGCTTGCTAAACTTACAGCACCACACTGGAGATTAGTGCTACCTTCAAGAACACACATCCCAACTTTTCCTTCTAGATAGCACAACAAAATAGTTAATGGGAACATGGCTAATTTGTAATCCCAGATATATCTTGTAATATATTAATTATTACCAGCTTTGGGCCCTGCCGCCATCAATAAATAAAGGCTGCTGAGGAGAAACCCCAGTCTGTTGGTGGGGTAGGCCTTAAACATTTCCTAAGCTTAAAGGTTGTCAAGTAACACTGCAAAAATGTTCTATATTTTTTTTCTTTCTTTCACTTTCTGTGGTGCATTAGCTCAGACCAACTTAAAAGATCTTGTGGGATTTTTATATTTAGAGACCGTTGGTCTAGTGTAGCAAAAACAGCAGTGCAGTCCTACACATATTTACACAGAAGCCCTGTTGAGTTCAGTGGGGCTTACTAAGTGGATATAGAAAACCCCCAGTTTGATGATGATGGTGATGGTGATAATAATACTATTATTAGTGCTGCCATCCACTCTGGGCAGCTTCCAACAAACTATGAAACCACAGTAAACCATCAAATATTAAAAATCTTGCTTCGTCCATAAACTCACTATGTAGCTTTAAGCAAACCACCTGACCTCAGTCGCTCCATCTGCAGTATGTGGTAAATGTGCTGACTTTTACAGCTACACAATGCATGTGAGTTACATTGAACACAAAATACTTTATAAAGGTTAAGTGTGACTATGATTAAATCTTCTATTTCCATGCAATATCTTCTGAATGATACCCAAACTCATGCCTAGCACAGAATATCAATTTTGGTTTCTCTTGGTTTCACCCAGTTTCTCATTTTTCTAGTTGTAAGTTCAGTTTGCCCCCCCCCCCTTTGTTAACAATGTGTTAAAACTCATCAGCATTTTATTGTAAATTTCTGCCAATTTACACATTTTTGTATGTAATCTATGTCCACACTATTTAGTTGGAGAAGCACTAAATTCAAAGAATAACCGTGTTTAGGTTCACATGTGGTTTTGGAAAGGGTCAATTAGAAAGGTTCATGTTAAAATCCTAGCTGAACCAAATTCCTTTCCCATCCCTACATAGTGAATAAACTGTGGGATCTGGATACAGACCACTTTCAGGCATCTCAAACAGCTCTGAAGTATAACACAGAAAGTGACCCCCATTGAGATGGCCCCCTTCTGGGCTCATCAATGCCATTTTTGGGTGGGATTCATACCAGCAATCTGAGGTTGCGGAATTGCACTTGTTTGGGAGACCTTGTGCAACAAACCCCCTTCCCCAAAATATCAGACTTTTTGCAAGAAGGAAAGTGATTGGGAAATGTACCGGAAAGTGCGCAACAGTACTTGCCTTGACACAACATCATCTAATTGCCTCACAAACAAATAAAAAAAAACCACTCGTTAGATAGCCAATGCTGTCAAATCAGGATTAATGCTCAAGAAACAGCTTATCTGGAAGCTCCCATAGCATGCAGCTGTGCACAGAGACAATATATCTCTTCTCCCCAATACTTCAGTGACAACATCACTGCCTTATCCAGGGTCCTCCCGACTCTTGGCAGTGTCAGATAGGTTTCCTGTGTTGACATGGAAGCCCGGGGAATCATTTCTGCTCATTTGGTTTCCAAAGGGAACGAGGAAGGGGCAATATGTCCTCAAATGTGCCCTAGCAGTAGTCACTGGCTGGCTGAGTACGGAACAGACCTATTTGTTCAACACCCTTGTAAATAGAATTCCCTTCCCATTAGGTCACTCACATGGCTAGTTTTACTCATGCACCAGACTACCGTCTCTCACATCCATTCTACCTCAATGGTACTTGTAGCCGTTAAAATATAATTTAATTTAGAATAGATTGTTGATAAGGATTATAAAGCTATCTTTTCGCTCTGACATGGTATGTTGGATGCTACACATTCCTAGTGCAAAGGAATTCATAAAATGGGCCTCTTTCAAGTCCTAACAAAGCAGCTGTGCTTACCTTTAGACCAAAGGAAACCCACAAGTCTGTGCCAACCTCTCTTGAATCAGACAGCACCAACAACGTCCTTAAATTTGGCTAAATCATGTCTCAGTGGCTTATTTTCACTTTGCTACCATAGCACCTCACCATCCCTGTTGTGCAGCCAGTCCCACAGTCTTCTAGGTTTATCACGTGTTCCCATTTTAATTCCCCATGGGCAGGACTTTTTCCCCAGCTGGAACTGTCCAGAACTCAGTTCCTGCGCTTCTCAGGAGGGCGCCATTGCCATTATAAGAGAACAAGGGAGAAGTTCATGGTGGGTTCTGGCACATCTTTTTTTAGAGGTGCAACCTTCCAACAGTTTGACTTCACTCCCAAAGGTACACTTCTCCATTGTCTCCTGAGACAGACGGATGCCAGCAACGGTCTCTGTAATTTCCATGGTTAGCACAGCCGTTTTGTCAGTGCTAATCCTCTGCTGCTAAGAGGAAAATGTTTCTAAGATCCTTCATTGGATCTCCCTCCCCACTGCCATGCCTACCAATAAGAACTGGATTTTCTGAATAAATATTTGGAAATGAATTTGGGAGGTTGGTTGAAGGGGGGAAGGGAAGACAAAGCATTCTCCCTGATCTGACCTCTGTTCATTGGATTGGCCTGGTTATTTACCCAAGGGTTCGGATGTCAACAACTCAGTAAAGTGAGAAGCAGGATTATTGTTGACACAGATAAAAGTGACAAGATAGCTCAGTCAATCCATTAATGGGGGGAACAACATGAGGGCAATAACCTCCAATAGGACCAACTGAACGGTCATGAAGAAGTAAGTTTCCAAGATAGTAAAAAATGTGATGCATAACAAAAATAAGAGGGAGGAATAGAGAAAGAAAAATATATTGTCAAGGAGGTGCAGGGCCAATGCCAAACTTCAGTGTGATCCCACCTTGGGCCCCTGAAGCCAATAAGTGCTCCTGCTCCTGCTGTTTGCCACTGCTACCAAGCCTCCCCTCTCCCTGCTTAGCCCCCAGACATGCTTTAGTGATGGCACTTTTAAATAGTTGCTAAGCTGCTGCTTGGCTCTTTGGAAGGAAAATGTGTTTGAAATCTAGGGTTTCTTTGCAGCCCTACATGGGTGGTGGGTGGGTTAAAAGCAGGCGGTGGGAGAATATATATAAAAAACAGCTTATAAGCATCACTGCTACAGTGCGGGATGGTAGCAAAGTCAGGGAACATGGACTTTGAAGAATGTCTAGTAACACTATATTGAACAAAAATATTGCAGGGTTTACACAGCTTGCTTGGTTCATGCTTTTTCTTTTCCAAAGCAAGGGCAGCTAGCATGAGGAATTTCTTGCCCTTTCTGTTCCTAGTAGCAACTTGCATTTGGAAGTTTCTTTGGGCATATATGGGTTGTTGATGGAGTGTACACCAATGAGATTGCAAGTTCAGGACTGTGTACATAGGATGTGTGCATATATTCTTGCATGTGTGTCGCTGCTAGTCAGTGCAAAAAAAAGAGAGGCCACCCTTCTGCAAGGGAAAACTGCTTTAAGGTGTTGTTTTTTTTTAAAAAAAAATACACAACCAAGCTGTGTATAAATTTTATGAAATAAACACATATTTATTCATAGTAACAATTAGTAAAAAATATCTTGAACCTCTTGCCCCAGGTTGATCGGTACTTGTACCACATGCGTCTCTCTGATGACGTTCTCCTTGATTTGATGGCCCGTTTCCAGGCAGAGATGGTGAAAGGCCTGGCAAGAGACACCAATCCAACAGCCACACTAAAAATGCTGCCAACTTTTGTGCGGTCCATTCCTGATGGCACAGGTAAGCAGCTGTTCTGCATTCCTCCTGCCATTATCAACGATAGCAATGAGGCTATCGATGGCTACTAGCCACAATGGCTATGATTTGTCTCCAGCGTCAGAAGGCAGAACGCCTCTGGATGCCTGTTGCTGTTAATCACAAGTGGGGAGACTCATGTCCTGCTTGAAGACATCTCATGAGCATCTGGTTGGAGGATGTTGGACCAGATGGACCTTGGGCCTGATCCAGCAGGGCTCTTCTTATTTTGTTAATTTTAAGAGGATGGTTCATGATAGCGGCGCTGAGATTCCCCAAGCCAAAAGCAGAGAGCAAGGAGGCAGTGTGAGGGGAGAATGAAGCTGCCTATCTTCCCCATCTCCCCTCAAAGAGATGAAATGAATTCCAGGATTCTATAAGTAGGCAGTTAAAGCACAATGAAGGAAAACCAAGATCCTGTGTCCTCTAAGTTTGGGCAGAAATTGCAATGCAGAAATTGCAATGTTGGAACAGGTACTTGCCTTCGGTTGCTGCATGCCAACCTGGAGATGGGAGTCCAGCAACATCTGAAGGGTCACTGATTCCCCATCTCTGCTCTAATATCAACCATATATTACAAATACATTAGACAATTTGTAGGAACCAGACAACACACAATTGTTTTTTACATTGAAATTCCTGCATTGCAGGGGGTTTGGACTAGATGACCCCCACGGTCCCTTCCAGCTCTACAATTCTATGATTCTATGTCTCTGATAATCTTTTGCCTGTGTGCATTTTGGACTGTCAGAGGCAGTATGTCTCTGAATGCCAGTCTTAGAGAACTGGGATTTTGGGGGAACCATTTCACTACTGCGACACATGGTATGCTACGTAGCATAATGCTAGATGCCTGGTGGAGATGCTTCTGGAGAAATCTTTTAAGAAGCATATATGCCTCATATGTACAACTGAGTTTCTAGAATATTTGGCTTTTAAACAATATAGTAAGAATGGCACCAATGCCCATGTCTGATCTCTCTACTGAGACCCCGTTTGGGCTCTGATGCAGAGTTACCTGAAATTTGGAAGACCCAATCATTTCTACCTGTTGTTTGTGTTACAGAAAAGGGCGAATTTCTTGCTTTAGACCTTGGGGGCTCCCGATTCAGAGTCCTAAAGGTCAAAGTGTCTGAAAATGGGAAGCAAAATGTTCAAATGGAGAGTCAATTCTATCCAACACCTAAAGAAATCATCCATGGGAGTGGGACAGATGTAAGTAGCGTATCTTCCTCTGAAACATGCTCTCTGTGAAGAATGTATCCTAAGACATAAAAAGATCATATTAGCCAATTTTAGTTTTAATATTTGCAAGCTCCCAAGGCATACAAATTCTTTGGGAATAGTTATTCAGAGCACCTCAACAGCTGCATCTGGAAATGAGCATGGCTTACTAAAAGTCAGCCAAACCATGGCTGCCACATGCTGAGAATATGCATTAATCTTTAGAAAACCAGTGACAATTTTGGGATGATAGATGCATAGGATACTGGGGGATAATAGATATAGGATACAGAGGCTATGGCTGCATTCAGACACATTATTGTGTTGGTTTTATGAGTTATAGCGCTAGCACTTCTGCCCCAAATTCTAACATTCCTTTCACACCACAATAGCCTGTTGTGTTTTGATCACTATACTGCCATGATGTACTAAATTTTAAATGGCAGGAAATGACAGTATACCAGGATATTGTCCCAAATTTCATCACATGGGTTTCAGTGAAAACAACAGGGAAGCTACAGAGCACAAATTTCCCGAGGTTCTCCTAGTTAATATGCAAACAGATTTTATTTTTCTGGAGAAAATTAAGAGGGAATTGAGTGCTAAACTTCTGCTAGATTCCACTAGATTTCCAAAAGTGGGTTTTACATTGTGTGAAAGATTACACAAAACAGGAAAACTGACAGGTAAGGAACTGTTGGGAAGATGAGATAAAGTACCCTCTGAATTAGGGTTGCCGTATTTCAATAAGAGAAAATCTGGAAGCAAAGGTTGTTGAGCTTTTTGGGGCAAAATTGGAACAACAACAAAAATGGATGTTTTTGAGCCTTTCCCCCCAGTAAAATTGCCAAAAACGCCACTGCTGACATGCGGTGCCCTATGACATTTCTGCTGATTTCAGCCCAGACACTGCTTCCAAGAGCAATATTCCAAGAAATTCTGGACATATGACAACCCTACTCTGAATGCAGCCTCGTTTATGCTGACCTTGTGATAATGTACCTTAGGCTTTTTTGTTATCATATTGCATAGAAAATATAACTATTGTTAATTATAGGCATTACTTTTTATCTCCTATTCCATTTGAGCCGTACAGAGCCTGCATTGTATTCTAGTAGGTAATATATAATAACTCACACTTCCCCCCTATTTTGATGCAGCTGTTTCAGTATGTAGCTGACTGTCTTGCAGACTTCATGGAGACAAAGAATATAAAGCATAAGAAATTTCCTCTTGGCTTTACCCTATCTTTTCCTTATATACAGAGAAAATTAGAGGAGGTAAGACCAACATTCTTTATGGCTTTGTAACCAGGGTGAATCTTCTCCCAAATTATTAACTAAGAGCTCCAGAGCTGAGAGGCTGCCATTAGCAAGCAGCAGGGGCTCTCGTGAAATGCCACTTTGCCCATGCTTGGAAGGTATAGAATTCGTTATGCAGAGAATATAGCTTTGCAAAAGTGTGCATTATATCTGCTGGTTGTGAAACTAAGTATATAAAATAGGTGTACAATTTTTGCTTCTAAAACTCAGGGGCTGAGAGTGTGATGGGATGGGAATAGCAGATGTGAAGAGACAAGAATACTTGGACAAGGCACTGCATTGGACTCGGAAAGCAGGAAATATGAGTCCTGCTGCCTTGGGAAAACCTGAAAGTGCATAGGGATAGACAAATTTGGCAATTTCAGTTTCCTTCAGCTTTTTGCTTTCCGAGTCAGTTCTCCTCATTTCCATTTTTTAAATCCTTTCGAAAATTCATCAGCATTATATATCTCCCGATGTACAAATTTTTGTATGCAGTTTTGATTAATGTTTTGATGAAGGGAGGCTTGCCTGGTGCCTTCATTATACATCTTTAGGTGCCAGGCAAAAGCATTCCTCTTCAACTAGGCCTTTGACTGATTAACACCCTATATCCTTCTTCAATGTGTTCCAGTTTTTATTGTGTATTTTGTGCTTCTATATTGTATTTTTATGCTGTGGGCCACCCTGAGATCTTTGGATGAAGGGCTGTTTACTAATAATAATAATAATAATAATAATAATAATAATAGACATATTTTTCAAGTGATTTCTCCAAAGATAATCAATTTCTGTATTTCCCCCAAAATATATGGATTTTATACTACTTCTGCCTCTTGGCATATCTGTCCAATCAAATATTTGATGCTTAAAAAATGTTTCAAGGTTTTATGCACTGTTAATTTTTTATTAATATTTAAAATTAGAGCAAAACAATGCATTAGATCATGAACTACTGGTAAATTATAGTAAATATGTTACACCAGCCCATGCATAAACTAGAGAAAGAAAAAATAACACACACACACACACACACACACCATAGGCTCTCTCTCTCTCCTTTATATGCCACTCTTTAAGCCATGCAGCACACATTGTTGATGAATAATTGCTTCTTCTTTTATTTCCAGGGTATACTGATTTCTTGGACAAAGCATTTTAAAGCCAGAGGAGTGCAGCAGACAGATGTGGTGAAATCTCTCCAGAAAGCCCTCAGAAAACACCAGGCAAGTTGAGATTTAAGATTTGTTTTTAATAATCTGATTGCATTTTAAAAAAGCTGACATTTCCTAGCAGTTCTGGTGTACAAGCTGGGACATTGGCACATACCGTATATAACGCTCTGCAGAAAAAGAAACTGCCCCATTGAAACCTACAAAATTGTTATGTCAGAGCTTTTTCCTTCCTTGAAGTAAATGAAAGGACTTGGATCAACTTGTGCATTTCATCAGAGTATAATGGTCTGTCTGTCTGAAACTCCTAGGTGGTGGTGATATGCACCACCACTTTGAAATCCCCATCCCTAGGTATTAAGCTGATTTTGTTTTTGAAAACACTGTGGTTCTTATTGATTGTAAGAATCTGAATATGTATTGCTTTGACTTTACTGGTATGTTGCATTTGCCTCATTAGGACATTGATGTAGATATCTTGGCTTTGGTAAATGACACAGTTGGAACGATGATGACCTGTGGATACGATGATCAGCGATGTGAAGTTGGTGTCATTATTGGTAATTCTATATCTTTTTTTTACCAGAGGCAGGGCCAATCTGGCTTAAGATAAAGTGAGTGTTCTGGCAGTGTAGAACAGTTGAGCCCATGTGGCATTGCACAAGGCACAAAAATTATTTTTTCTTAGAAAAATTCAATTCAATTTTTTTATTATTATGAAGTCTACACATCTCCATGTGTTTCTTCCCCCCTTCCCTTCCCCCAACAACCTCCAAAATGAATCCGCTGGACTCAGGAACAGGCACAAATGCTTGCTACATGGAGGAAATGAGCAATATTGACTTAGTGGAAGGTGATGAAGGAAGGATGTGCATCAATACTGAATGGGGAGCCTTTGGAGATGACGCATCACTGGATGACATCAGGACAGAGTTTGACAAGGAGATTGATTTGGGCTCTTTCAATCCTGGAAAACAATTGTAAGTTTAGTCATCAGCTTGGGATAAGGCGTCTTTCTAGTAATGTAGCTATTTAGGCATGTGCACCATCTCAAAACAACCATGAAATAACATTGGGACAGAAGTAGCCTTGAATATATTAAGTGGCAGGCAAGTACTGTGAAGCGCCATTGATACTATTTAGGAGGAGTGTTTTGGCCAAGAATCTGGTTAAATCCTAAATCCCCAGGGGTTTAGTATCCTTCCAGTGATTGTTTGGGGTAGGCGGGGGGACAGTGCCCTTCTCTCTGACCCCAAATACATTCCTAACTGTACTTTCACAGAAGGGTGCTGAATGGCCCACGTTAAATAAATTGTGTGTGGTGCAGTGTGTGTGTTCTGAGTTGGGAGTTTTTTCTGAGTCCTTCCCCCATTCCAGGGGGGTGTAAAAGAATAAAGAGTCCTTTGCTGCCATCTTTCTTTCCACAATCCTTTGTGGGTCTCCGTGTGCTGCGCTGGCTCACCAGATGCAGCTTGTCACGCTGGCCACGTGACCCGGAAGTGTCTGCGGACAGCGCTGGCTCCCGGCCTCTAGAGTGAGATGAGCGCACAACCCTAGAGTCTGGCAAGACTGGCCCGAACGGGCAGTGGTACCTTTACCTTTACCTTTTAGTAGCAGTAGTAGCAATAGGTAATCATGATAACAATAATGATTTTAATAGGGAGCGCTTCCAGACAGAGGATTAATATTACAAATGAGTCATTGGGAACAGTTTTTTCTCCTTTTTTGGGGGGGAAATTACTGGATTTCTTCCAAGAAATGTAAATGTAATTCTTTATTAGAAAGCATGAAATGCCCTTGATGCTTTCTGACAACAGCTTTCTGTTGAATTGCAGGTTTGAGAAGATGATTAGTGGTTTGTATTTAGGAGAACTCGTAAGAATTATCCTTCTGAAAATGACAAGGGAAGGTTTGCTTTTCAACGGGAAGTTGTCAACAGCTCTCTGCACCAAGGGCAAGATTGAGACAAAACACATTGCTGCCATGGAAAAGTAAGAGGCTTTAATCTGTCCCTCAGAGAGTTTTCTGTAAGTGCAGCTTCCGTTCTACAATTTGTGCAAGCATTGATTTTGGGCAGCTACTCTGCCTTCAAAGCTACTCTGCTTTGGTGAGGCCAAACGCTTGCAGATGTTATTTAGGGCAGCCTCTTCCTTCTTGCTCCATAGATCAGACCAGGTACGATGAGATTTCAGATAGAGTGGACAGTCAATCACACAAAAGCAGTACATGATGCTGCAAAAAATAGGACACAGCTTTGCATGTAATCTGCATGTACTAATTGGCATGTATAGATGCACCTTTAGAAATTACCATGATTTAAATAGAAACATAGTACATCTCAGGACAGTAGGGAAGATGGTGGCCAAGGGTCTGTTGACCAGGTAGAAACTGCTGGTGGGCAACTGCAAGGCCTCTGCTCTCTTTTCTTATGGTTTCTTGGCTGTGTACATTTAAAGCACATGACTTCCTCCAAAGAATTCTGGGAGCTGTAGTCTGTCAAGGGTGCTGAGAACTGTAATTCTATGTAGGGTAAGCTACAGCTCCCAGGATTCTTTGGGGGAAGCAACACACTTTAAATGTATAGTGTATATGCAGTCTTTATCTTTAATTCGATTTGGACCAGATAGCCCTTCTGATAGAAGATACCTTCAAATAGAGGACTGTCCTCTGCAAAGTAGGACACATGACCACCTACTTTCAGAAATTTCTGGCCTGCTTACTGGTTCCATACAGAAAGTGGTTCACCTCTGTCTCCCTCTCACTACTAAAAGCTGAAGTGGTTTCCTCAGGCATGTTTCTGATTCCTTTGTTCCGGGTTAGGTACAAAGAAGGCTTGAGCAATACTAAAGAAATTCTGACGGAACTGGGCCTGGCTCCATCGGAGGATGACTGCATTGCCGTTCAGCACGTCTGCACTGTTGTTTCATTTCGCTCAGCAAATCTCTGTGCTGCAGCTTTGGCAGCGATACTCACACGCCTCCGTGAAAATAAAAAGGTTGCAAGGCTCCGAACGACCGTGGGAGTTGATGGGACGCTGTATAAGATACACCCTCAGTAAGTCACACTGAAGTAGGTAGGGTGGTCATGCCTGGGAAAATTATCATTGCTCATCTGCATATGATAATTAATTTAAGGGTATGCAGTCATCTAGCAATCATGATGACTATGAGCCAAGTTGCCTTTGAAAAAGGGTCAGAAAAATTCATGAGCTGTCAACACTTACTGGCTGTGATAGCTGTACATAACTTTAATGTATCCCATAATGTTTGTCTACTGATGGAAGACTCTTTGATCTAGTGGAGGCTTCCATTGGCAGAATGGAGTTAGAGGGGCAATTTTTTTTGTTGATTTTCCTCTCCCTTCAGAAGCAACATGGAGGATGGTGTGGAGGCTGCAGTGAGGAACTGGCAAAAATGTGCCTCCTTTGCCATTATAGTGACATAAGCATCTGCTGGATCAAAGAACCTTCTATCAGTAGAAGGGCACCAGTAGAAGGGATACAACTTGATACAGTATTTCTCTGGTTACCAGATGCTGTAGTCAAACTTGAGCAAATGGCTATTGCTATTAATGCCTAACTGATGAGCTTTCCACAGATATTTGGCTGGCCACTGTTTGATATTCTGATCTAGCAAAGCTTTCTACTTGGTTCTTGATTAAAACTGCCCTCAGAGGCACCGCTTGGTCAGCAAAAAACTAGCCTAAATAAGATCTTATGGAACTTCAGAAGAATGGTCTGGCAGTGGTTATTGCCAGGGAAATCTGTGGACAGTTCTCTGCGATTCTGTTTCCTTCACACGTCCTGCTTTTGGCATGGATCTTGCACCCACCAAGCTGAGGGGGTGCAAAATTGAGATGATCCATAAGTGAGAAGAACCATTGATGGTGCCATATTTTGGCCTCACACAGGGCACAAATTTCTGAAAAATTATGGAAGTCTGCCCCTGCTTATGGCAGCCCTGTTTAGGGAAGCTTTTAATGTTTGATGTATTACAGTATTTTAATATTTTTTGGGAAGCCGCCTAGAGTGACTGGGGAAGCCCAGCCAGATGAACGGGGTATAAATAATAAATAATAATAATAATAAGAAGAAGAAGAAGTAGTAGTAGTAGTAGTAGTATTCCATTGGCATCTGGTTGGCCAATGAGGTAAACAGGATGCTGAGAGGAGGGAGCAGGTAGGCCTTTGACTTGATTAATCAGAGATCTTTTGTTCTGTGCTCATGAACTGTGTGGACTTGAATCAAAAGGATTTCCTTGATCTGTGAAAGTCCTAAGCGACATAAGGGAGAAAGCAATTTAGCGTAATGGTGTGTGCTCCCTTGTATTTTATTGTGCACACAATATTTGTAAGCATTTAAAAGACCTTTTTGGCTTTAGGTATGCTAAGCGTCTCCATAAAGTAGTCAGAAGGCTGGTGCCCAACTGTGACGTTCGATTTCTGCTGTCCGAGAGTGGCAGTGGGAAGGGGGCTGCGATGGTAACTGCTGTTGCGTGCAGACTCTTATCTCAGCGCAGACAGATCAACGAGGTCTTGAGCCTCTTCAAAATAACCAAAGAGAACCTCATAGGTGTGAAAAACAGAATGAGGGCAGAACTGGAGTATGGCCTGAAGAAAGAAACACATCCTACAGCCACTGTGAAAATGCTGCCCACATTTGTTTATGGAACACCAGATGGAACAGGTAAGAACACAGAAAGGCATATCTAAAACGAAGGGGAAGGTTGATGCAGATTGATTTCGCTTATTTGACTATATTGACAGGGGACCTTCCCATATCCCCCCAGCTTCTCATTCCTTGTTATGGTTATACCATCTGATATTCCAGGAACAAGATTGTAGTTTGGTGCACTGGTTTGCTGTTATTTTATTTCACAACTCTGTATTTTTCTCTGTTACTGACCTAGTTTTTCCGGTGTTTACATGTTCTTGTACGTAACAAAAAATTAAATAAAAAGCTTTTAAAAAGAGAGAGAGAGGAGGTAATAAAAACAACAGATAAGGTCACAGGCTCCCCAGAAAGCAGTGAACATGTTTGAAAAGTGATTTATAATTTTTTTGAACAAGAAGCTCAGAGCCAGCAAGTTTGATTTGGAAATTCCAGGAGCCTTTCTGTCCAACAGTTAGGAAGGAAGACTTCAGTCAGATTAAAATGCTGATTTTTCTGTTGCAGAAAATGGAAAATTTCTGGCCCTTGATCTTGGGGGAACAAATTTCAGAGTTTTGCTTGTAAAAATCAGAAGTGGAAGAAGCAAATCAGTCCGAATGTACAATAAGATCTTTGCCATTCCTTTGGAAATTATGCAGGGGACAGGTGAAGAGGTAAAGTAAAACAAGCCAGTTATTTATTTTTATTGAACCTGTGGAGGGAATGGGGTATTTTACTTGCTTACTCTGTAATAACAGAACCCAATTCCCACTCCAGTGGTTCTCCTAAACCCTTGCCACTGACAGCATTCAGTCTCACTTATTCCTTCTGAACACTTAAGGTAAAGGTAAAGGGACCCCTGACCATTAGGTCCAGTCGTGACCGACTCTGGGGTTGCGGCGCTCATCTCGCTTTATTGGCCAAGGGAGCCGGCGTACAGCTTCCGGGTCATGTGGCCAGCATGACTAAGCCGCTTCTGGCAAACCAGAGCAGCGCACGGAAATGCCGTTTACCTTCCCGCTGGAGTGGTACCTATCTATCTACTTGCACTTTGACGTGCTTTCGAACTGCTAGGTGGGCAGGAGCAGGGACCAAGCAACGGGAGCTCACCCCGTCATGGGGATTCGAACTGCCGACCTTCTGATCGGCAAGTCCTAGGCTCTGTGGTTTAACCCACAGCGCCACCTGCGTCCCTCTAAACTCTTAACTTACCAATAAACCAGTGACTATGGGGTACAGGCGTGATACAAAGCCAATCAGATATAGATATTAAATGTAAAGTATTTACGTTTATTCGCAACAAGATTATTAAGTGCACAAGCTTATCTGATTACTTTAAGATAGTATAGTATATTTAAATGTATACACTTTCTTGTCACTTTAAATACCAACAGCTTATCCCCAGCTACTTTGAGTTTGACCTCACCCCAAAGCTGCACTCCTGCATTGTCTCCTGAGACAGATAGATGCCAACAACAACAATATCCAGCTATTAATGTTAAATTAAGATAGATTTAAGGAAGCAGTTAGTTACCTTATGAAAGCGTTTAGCAAAACTGCCCTTTTACAGTGGTGCCCCGCAAGACGAATGCCTCGCAAGACGGAAAAACCGCTAGACGAAAGGGTTTTCCGTTTTGAAGTTGCTTCGCAGGACGAATTCCCCTATGGGCTTGCTTCGCAAGACGAAAATACCTTACGAGTCTAGAATTTTTTTTCGCTTTTCCCCCCCTTTATCTAATCTGCTAAGCCTTTAATAGCCTTTAATAGCCTTTTAGCAGCTAATCCCCTAAGCCTTTAAGCCTTTAATAGCCGCTAAACAGCTGATAGCGCTAATAGCGCTAATCCGTCAATGGGCTTGCTTCGCAAGACGAAAAAACCGCTAGACGAAGACTCTTGCGGAACGGATTAATTTCGTCTTGCGAGGCACCACTGTATTCTCTTCATCCCAGTTAAGTTCCATTAATGCTATAACAGAGGACTCCCCCCCCCCCCCAAAAAAAGCCCTTTACTGATTTACTGAAGTGCAGGTGTGTCTTGCTGTGTTGCTATTGAAATCTTCCCTCTGGTGATCCTGCCAGTCACCAGAAACCAACATGCCAAGCTGCTCCTCACTTCTCCCCGCCCCCCAGTGCAGATTGGTTCTTCCCTTGCCCCTTCAGCCGAAGCCAAACAATTAAGCTACCCCCAGCAAGTCTTTGGCCTCCAAGTCATTCCACCTGCCACTCAGACCTTCCTTCGACATTCCCCAGTCCTTGTCCTCCACTGCCTTCTTCTGACTCGACTCCACAAACATAAAGCACCAAGAACTCCAATAATATTCTCTTTCTTCCCTTCTAGCTGTTTGATCACATTGTCCAGTGCATTGCAGACTTTTTGGAGTACATGGGCATTAAAGGTGCCCGACTTCCTCTTGGCTTTACTTTTTCCTTCCCCTGCAGACAAGCATGTATTGATAAGGTAAGGAGGGGAGCTGAGATTTGACATGCTGTTTTGTTTCCTCTTTTAATCTGGCTTAATCTTTGCAGAATTTTCCATAGAAACATTTCATTATTGTTTTAATTCTTCCCTTCCCTTCCCTGTGGACTGACAAGAGTTTTATCACAGGTTTTACCAGACAGTGTATAAAATTGAATGTGTTAAACAAAAAACAATCTCATTCTTGCACGCACTTAGGCAGATTTACTTTGGATAAGGCATGCTTGACACAAGGCTGCTGATGCATACAGCAGCTCATGGAGAGTTAAAGCAAATTATTAAGGATGTGTGGAATACAAAACAACAATTCAGATCGAGTCCAAGGTATATGTTTTTTCTGCACTGAAAAACCACTTCTATATTTTCAGAGGCTTTGTGTTGCAACAATAACAGGAGTGGCAGTCAGTTTGAATTGCATGACCACTTCTGATACCGGTGTTGCACCTCCGTCAGGGATGCTGATACAGGAAGTAATCAAACCATCCAGCTTTCTGCTTCAGCCATGGCCAGCCAGTTACTTATGGCACCTGGCATACCGTGAAGTACCACTGATTTAAACTTCCCAATGCTATGTAACAGGCTGCCTTGGGAGTTGGCAAGCTCTCTTGCTAGAGAGTGTACATTTGGAAGGGATCTTAGAGATAATCTTGTCTGGACTCTTGCTTGATGCAGGAAACCCACAACGACAGAGTGTATAGCCCTCCTGCTCTGTTCCCTGAAGCATCCCCCTCTATCAGAAAGGGAGCACTTTGGTATTTTAATATTTCCCCAAAATGCAATATGTTGAACCAAGCTCCTCTTGAAAGTGTAATCCAACTTTTAAGTGTTCTACCTGTTTTTCTCCTCTTGGTGTAAGCATCTTTCATTTATTGATTGTATGACTTCCCCACTTTAGGGAACTCTTGTTGGGTGGACAAAAGGGTTCAAGGCAACAGACTGTGAAGGAGAGGATGTTGTTGATATGCTCAGGGAAGCTATCAAACGAAGGAATGTAAGTACCATTGTGGGGAAATCTCCCAAAGGTTCAAGCACCAGTCCCTTGCTATGACAGGAGTATAGAACTGAATCTCAGTTATCCAAATGTAGCTCTATCACTAGGTGCTGCAAATACTCTAAATGCTTTCAAAGGTGTTGGTTTCATTCTGTGGACTCCTTCGGATATCCTTTTTATTGTGCTTTCATGATGATAGATAGTATAAAACTAGTGCTTAGTGCACGATACATCAAAGGGTGTGTACAGTGGTACCTCGCAAGACGAATGCCTCGCAAGACGAAAAACGCGCAAGACGAAAGAGTTTTCCGTTTTTTGAGTCATTCCGCAAGATGAATTTCCCTATGGGCTTGCTTCGCAAGACGAAACGTCTTGCGAGTTCTTGCGAGTTTGTTTCCTTTTTCTTAAAGCCGCTAAGCCGTTAATAGCCGCTAAGCCACTAAGCCGTTAATAGCCGCTAAGCCGCTAATAGCCGTGCTTCGCAAGACGAAAAAACCGCAAGATGAAGAGACTCGCGGAACGGATTAATTTTGTCTTGCGACGCACCACTGTATGTGTTTGTTTGTTTTTCGCTCTTTGCCCATTCACAAAATCAGTTTTTTATTTCAGGAATTTGATCTGGATATTGTAGCAGTGGTAAATGATACAGTTGGGACAATGATGACATGTGGCTATGAAGACCCAAACTGCGAAATCGGCCTCATTGCAGGTAAAAAGCAATCCTGTAACACTTGTGTATGGATGTTCCAGGGTGTGACAGAATAAGATTTGTAACCAACAGTGAAATGATATGCTAAAATCTTTTGGGAGATGGAATCTTGGTCAACTTGCTGTTTCTGGGGATGGATTCTTGTGGGCAAGAAGGGGAGAACCTTTGGTCCTTCGGATGACATTGGACTCTTATTGGCCCCAGTCAGCATGGCCAATAGTCAGGGATGGTGGAAATTATAGATGATGGGAATTACAGTGAGCCTTGATGGGAATGATGGAAACTAATAATGTTATGAGCAATACAGATGAGGAGAGAAAGGGAACCTACAAAGTGTTGCATGCCACCTAGTGGTATGAGGTATACACTGCATCCCAAGTTATAATATGAACCTTAGTTACCTAGATATAGGGCATAAAATTGATTTAGTTCGCATTTAAAGGTAACCCTACCCAAGTCACAGGGACGCGGGTGGTGCTGTGGGTAAAACCTCAGTGCCTAGGACTTGCTGATCGCATGGTCGGCGGTTCGAATCCCTGCGGCAGGGTGAGCTCCCGTCTTTCGGTCCCAGCTCCTGCCCACCTAGCAGTTCGAAAGCACCCTTAAGTGCAAGTAGATAAATAGGTACCGCTTTATAGCGGGAAGGTAAACGGCGTTTCCGTGTGCTGCGCTGGTGCTGGCTCACCAGAGCAGCTTCGTCACGCTAGCCACGTGACCCGGAAGTGTCTCCGGACAGCGCTGGCCCCCGGCCTCTTAAGTGAGATGGGCGCACAACCCTAGAGTCGGACATGACTGGCCCGTACGGGCAGGGGTACCTTTACCTTTACCTTTACCCAAGTCACACTTTTTGAAACAATATACAAACTGAAAGCCGCTGTTTGAAATTCGCACAACTCAGAATTTTGCAAAGCCATGTAATGTGTACAGAAATGTATATATTGCAGTAAAGTGTGTGTTTACATGCATATAATATTGAAAAGAGAATACCAACATGCAAAACATAATGGAAAACTGCTTTGCAAAATTGTGTATATTAACATTGCTTACAAAGATATGTCTATTATGAGAAATTCACAGTGAAATGCTGCTGAATTTTCATAAGCGCTTAGTGTTGTTTTTTTAAAGTGGGGAATTGAACATAAGACTAGAAACATGAGAAGCTGAGTGAGTAAAACAGAAGTTGACAGATTTGCCTGCCCCTACTTTTAGCCCCTAAATTTTACCTCCCACTTAGAGAAAAAAATCAAACTTCTTCTAGGAAATGTTTTTTTCATTCCCCAGGTCTTTGTGCTTCTCCTGGTGGTTGCTTTAAAGGAATAAAATACACATGCCTCTTCCTTCATTCCAGGGACTGGCAGTAATGTTTGCTACATGGAAGACATGCGTAATATAGAAATTGTAGAAGGAGATGAGGGCAAAATGTGCATCAATACAGAATGGGGAGGATTTGGCGACAATGGCTGCATAGATAATCTCAGGACAAAATATGACAAAGAAGTGGATGAGGGGTCATTGAATCCTGGAGAACAGAGGTAACAGTCGGCGTTTTATTGCTATTGCAATGTCTTCAGGAAGTATGTAGGAATGGCAGATAATTCTATTAGAAAAGGAGGTGGAAATAGTAGTTTGCGTGTTCATGTGTAGTCAGGAATAGAAATCACTCAAGTGAACACAGTTGGTATTTGTTCACATCATCATCACAGCTGTTTTTATGTCCACAAACAGTACAACAGTAATAACCTTTTTACATTGTTTTGATGTTTCCTTGACATTGAAATGAATGTAAGTTACGTAAAGTATGTTAAGTAGCAGACAATGAGGTGAATGTTATTACATTTAGTGGAAACCAAAGTACAGTGCAATGGAAACTGTTGATTGTGATGAGCACAGCTTGGAATAGAAATCACAGTTTCTTCCATTCCTAGGCATATATGAACTTTGAGTAATCTTTCCACTTAAGAACACCCCCGCTATCCCACTTTAAAACACCTTACAAAGCATGAGTCTGTTGCTGTCATGTTTATTTCCATCCTAAGAGTCAATGCACATGTTCAGAAAAGGCATGTGGTATGCACAGACTATATCCCAGGCCCCATTTTTGCATAGGTAACTGAAAATGTGTTAAATGCTGTCCAAATCCTTTTTCTTTTTTCTATAAAAGGTATGAGAAAATGACGAGTGGAATGTATCTGGGTGAAATAGTGAGACAGATTTTGATAGACTTGACCAAGCAAGGACTTCTCTTCCGGGGTCAGATTTCAGAGCGGCTGAGAACAAGAGGAATATTTGAAACCAAATTCCTGTCCCAGATTGAAAGGTAAAACAATGTGTTGTACTAATAGAGTATTTTCCCCACCCACCGCCTGCCACTTTCACACATATCAGACTAGTGAGAAGCAGCTGAATGATTGCAGCTTTGTAAATATTTTATACATCATCAGAAAATAATACAGTTGGGAAAAAGAAGTGTTGGTTGACTGAGAAGCTGAACCCTGTTACTCAGGGCCATCTGCAGTTCTACAGTGAACAACTTTACTTGGGTTTTATTGGGTATGAATGAACCCAGTGTATTTCAAACATCAGTGTCACACTGCTTTCAGCAGTAAAGTATTTCGAGTCTGTACTGTTTGCACTGCTGCTTCATAAACTTTAAGTGATCCTTTCTGCTTTGTCCTCAGATTGGAGGGGGTGGAAATGAGCAGCTATTCCCTATGCCCTTGGATTGAGTGAGCATGGATGATGCTAATTTTGAAAAGTACATTTCACCCAGGAGAGCTAAAATAGTAGCATCCTGCTTTTAAACTAATGTCTGCATTCAGACATTTAAATCTTGACTGAATAAGCCAAAGTATCAAGAAATGTTTTTCCCATGCTCTTAGCCTTTTCTCTCCTCCCTTTGAGGCGCAAGCAAGGAAACAAGGAAATCTTTAGTTATTTATCATAATTCCCTGTTTAGTCTGAACAGGGTAATGATGATTGCCACTTCATAACATGACACAGGGCTGGCCCACCCATGAGGCAAAATGAGGTGACTGGTGGCTGTGTCCACAGGGGCAGCAGATCCTGAAATAGATCTTTATTCCCCCACCTTGTTCCTGTCTCAGATCTTCACTCACTGCTTCTTCATCTATCGACTTATTTAGAAAAAGTAGGGGCATGGTCACAGATGGGAGGGAGTAGTGCTGGAAAAGTGTGTCCCTGCAAAGGACTTTGTGTCTTCTTACACCAGTGCTGCCTTCCAGTACATTTGGCCCTAGCTCTGTGTCCTCCTAACCAGAAGTGCCTGTTGTGTTTTGGCTGAGTGCAGTGACCGGCTTGTCCTACTTCAAGTAAGAAGAATATTGCAGCAGCTTGGGCTTGACAGCACTTGTGATGACAGTATCATTGTAAAGGAAGTTTGTGGCTCCGTTTCCAAGAGAGCAGCCCAGCTGTGTGGGGCCGGGCTGGCCGCTATAGTGGAGAAGATACGGGACAACAGAAATCTTGAGCACTTAAAAACCACTGTAGGTGTGGATGGCACCTTATACAAACTACACCCACAGTGAGTACACAGCATCACTGTTGTTGTTTTGCCTTGCAGAATTGACCAATTTTTTAAAGATAATATTCTGCTTAGTTGATGGGGATTAAAAAGGTTGGGGAAAAGAGAAATTGCCACAATGCTGTATCAGTTAGCCCTATTACACTTGCTTGCATAAGATTGTAATAAAGAGCTGGGAAAAGTTCTGCTTTTAATGGGCTACAGTCCCCTCTAGAGAGATGGGTGATTTTCTGAAGGTCTTCCACAACATGTCATTGATGGGAAGGGCCATAGCTCAGTGGTAGAGCATTTGTCTTGCATGCAGAAGGTCTTAGGTTCAATCCCCAGCATGTCCGGTAAGGTTGGGAGAGAATCCTACCTGAAATCCTAGAGAGCCACCACCAGCTAGTGCAGACAATACTGAGCTAGATAGACCAATGGTCTGACTCGGTATAAGGCACCTTCCTATATTCCTGTGCAATATGGACGCATTAGTGGTGGATTTATACTGGACCATCCACACCACATTGTGCTTTATTAGCTGTTCTGCGCTGCTTCCTCAATGCTGCACCCCAGGGCACCCCTCTACTTCCCCTCCCACTTATATTAGTGAAAACTTTCCATGGAGAAAGCTAAAGAGCTGTACTTGCAGATACAGTTGAAGTGAGAGAAGAACCTGCCCTCTTGCCCCTGATGCTGGTTGACTTACATGTCGCTGGGAGCGGGATCTGCCAAGGGGTACAAAGTGTTTTGTGAGTGCAGACCATACAGAGAGAGAGACTGGATTACTGTCAATCCTTACAGTGTAAAAGCCCTCCCTCTGTATTCTCCTGTCCCTACCCATCAAAATGACAGGCATTTTACCAGTTAAGAAATAAACAGCAATGTGCAATCATTGCAATTTCTTTTTCTTTTTGCTTTGTTTTTCCTCTCTTTAGCTTTTCTAGAATCTTGCAAGAAACGGTAAAAGAACTGGCGCCTCAATGTGATGTGACATTCATGCTGTCTGAAGACGGAAGTGGAAAGGGAGCTGCCTTAATTACTGCTGTTGCAAAACGAGTGCATAATGTTGCTGAAAATTAAGTGGTCATGCAGGCATCTGTGTGTAGCAGTGATTTAAAAAAAAAATAATAATTGTGAAACCAACCGAAGCAGTAGTTCAAAAGTGGTGCACACTTCTGTGGCCCAGGGTTGGCCAATGTTGTGGCCTTGAGATGCTGTTGGAGTAAAACTCCCATCGTCCCTGGCTGTTGGGACTTGTCATTCAACAGTCTCTGGAAGGCACCAAGTTTAGCCACTCCTATTTGTATCCTGATGATTGGGCAGCTGTGCAAACAGAAAGCAGTTTTTCTTGCCAAAACTGAGGCAGGTGTTGGCGCATCTGAACATAGGTTTCCATAAGTTGTCTTATGTTTAGAGATACAACAATATACTTGACATTTCTGTGTTATGCTCATAATATAAAACAGCCAGGCCATATAAATGTAACTATTTTGTCAACTATTTTAAACATATTTATATGTTCTACTGCTCCCTTTCCCATCCATGTCCTTTCGCATTCACGTCTAAATATCCTTTGTACAACTCATAATTTGGAAGTAGATATTATGTCCTTGTATAGGTATCCTTGGATAGGCATGTGCTGAGAGCTGGCACTGTTGTTTTACTTTTTATTGTTTCTTTTAGAAAAGGAAATTAAAAAGGCTGATGTGCAAAAGGTAATCAATCCATGTTCTTTTTCAAACAAATTGTTGTGTTTAATGAGTTGCTCGCAGTTGGCGCTCCTTGGGATGGAAATCCAGGCCTTTGTAGAAGGAGAGAGGAGAGATGGTCGGTCTGCGCCATTCCACTTGGTAATCTGGAAATAATAATCTACTGACTGCCCACAGCAATATGCAGTGTGGCTCAAAGACTTTTTATGACCCCACTTTCCACTTTAAAATCAAGCTAAGGTGTTGGGCTTCGTGACTAGCTTTGGAGCATAAGTCTGTGCCCTTTAAAAATTAGCCTGTGGGTAGGGATGGGGGAGAGATTTGATTCAGTTTGCATTTAAAAGCGAATCTTACCAAATCTGCACTTTCAAAAAAAAATATGAGTACTGGCACACAGCTATCCTTCAAAATTCACACCTATCTGAATTTTGAGATGCAGTTCTCCAACCAATACTTTGTATTTTAATAAGAGTTGCTGAAAGTTGTGAGTGAAACAACACACAATACCACCTAAAGCAACATAAACATACTTAGACTATGTCCAGAGTCTAAAATGCACCACTATTTTTTGTTCATGATATTTTTGTTTCATACAGAATTGTAGGAGTTGTAAGGGACCACAAGGATCATCTAGTCCAACCCCCTGCAATGCAGGAATCTTTTGCCCAATATGGGGCTTGAACTCAGGCTCCTGAGCTGCAAAGGGTACCATCACTGCCTCCGCCAGTCACCTCAGGCAACTTGGGTTACAGTAGATTCCTTCTTGAAATGTGTCGGAAATGTTGCCACTTAAAACATTGCAAATATTCTTAATGGAACTGCTTGATGGGTGTTCAACCTGTCAAGAGGCGACCTGAAGTATTTGTTTAAAAGGGCCCTGTTTCCTGCTGCTGTCAATCCAACAAGAACTATTTCCATTTTTTTTACGAATGAGAATGTGCTTAGGGAAACACCTAAGGTGTTTGCAAATAGCATTGTCTTTTTGTATGTGGGAATCTGATTTCATATAATAAATATGGAATAAAAGGAGGACCTTGTATAATTGTTAATGACACGTAATTCCTTTAACACTTTAGAAGATGCTGCAACAAGCTGCTTTCAAACATATTTTGGTTCAATTTATGGAAATACGTTGTTGGATTAAGCTTTGTAGGAGGTGTATACATTACCAAATACCTAAAGCAAAGAAAGGAACGAGTGGACTTTAAAGATTTTCTGTTCTGTACAGATCCTGTTCTGTACATATTATTTATAAGAAATAAAAAAGCACATAGCTGGTGCAAAGTAAATTGGATTGTCAATGTATGCTTTCAATATGCTTTATCTGAGATTAGAGACGTGTTTCTTGTTTTAAACTCGGTGGTTTCCCTTTAAGATCAAACTTCACTTGTGCTTTCAGGCCGACTCTTTTGCAATTCACACTGTGTGGTCACCAGCCTCGCTACTGCATGCCAAAGCACAGCCACAGAACAATGGAAGGGCCTGCCACATGCCACATGCCAGCTGCAGCATGCAGTTTTGCTTAACTGGCTTTCTGAGCCATACTTACAGTGCAATCTTACACATGGCTACTCAAAATTAACTCCCCCCCCATTCAGTGGAACTTACTTCCAGGTAAGTTGGCATAAGGTCACAGCCTTGAAGTGCTACAAGCCATCATACACTTACGATCAAACAATTGCCAATGAATAAGAGAAACTAGCAAGGGTACATGCTTTCCAAAACTATAAAGGGGAAGATGTAGGATTTTATAACATACTGTTATGAGTTTGTGGGTTCCAGACCACTACAATCTCTGGATCAAGCAAGTGTCAGAATTTAACTGAGGCTTTGGGTGATGTGTGCTAGACACTTCTAATCCTGTGGAATCAGCAAGTGTTAAAAGCTAATTAACCCAGGCTGGTTTCCCACAAAGTTATAGCCCGGGTGATGGACCATTAGGAGAACAAAGCATCAAAGGGACTCCTGTAACATGGCAAATGGTTGGGGCCCCTCTCCCTCAACAGATAAGGGCACAGCTTAGGTTAGAATAGTTAGAGTTAGGAGTTACATGACCTAGAGGTGGGGAAAGTTTGCAGGTTGATAAAGGCTGGAGAGAGGGTCAGAGCACAATGGTTGATACCTGAATTAAAGGCTGCAGCTAGATGAGAAGCAAGATCCTCTTGGGGTGATTATGCTTGAGGTGATGGGTTCATCGTAGACACAGGTTGTATATACAGGGTGGGTCCTTTAATAGAGGCCCCGTGGATACAGAGTACACATGTTCCACGTGGCCTCTTTTAAAAGACTCACCCTGTATATAGAATAATAGACTTTTAGGCATTTGTGGGCAGGACACAAGATATCTTTATCAAGTTTATTCCCTACTGGCATTTCAGAAACTTTCCTGTTGCTTTCAAGTTTGTGTTTTCAGAGCAACATTGTGCTTCCAAAGCTCGGGCAGTTACTCTGAAATTTAAATAACTGCACGGTCATTAAATTTTATACAAAAAAGGAATTGACTCTAAAACCAGCTGCTATGTTATCATGATGAGAGCAATAGCAAAGCCTTCATTCATTGCGGCAAAGCTACATTGTTGGAGAACATAAATCACAGTTATTGTTATTATTTTTGTCCCTGGAAGATTAAGAAGAATTTGTTTTCGGACGCAGAGCTTTTAATTCAGCAAAGCAGATGGGAGCGTGCAGTAAGTAACACCCCCCACTTCACCCCAGACAAATGTTTAGCCTCTTTCATTGTGGCATGCATGTGACAGAGAAGCCAGGAACAATTTACAGCTAGATATTCTGCCCAGTCAAGGCTGCACTATACCATTCTAGAAGGTGATACCATATCATCTTGAGTGTCGTGACACAAATGAGGATTATTTACGTCTAGCATTCTTCAAGAAGGCATGTTCTTGCTCCACACTGTCTTGGCTGTCTCTCTTGCAGATACAACTAAATCTAAGGTTTGTGTGGCAATGCCTTTGTCAAGGATGCTTGAGGTTGACACGTTGGCCTACAGTAAAGTAGGTACTTCATTGTTGTTACTTCGTTTTACAGGATTGGTTTTGCTTCATCGACAGGAAGTTGCATTAGCCCAGGCTTCACCAACCTGGCCGGAGGCTGATGGGAATTGTAGTCTAAAACATCTGGAAGGTACCAGGTTGGCAAAATCTGCAATAGACAAGAGGCTGATAACTGTTGCTACGTGGCCAGTTGATTAAATTAAATTATATTAAAACAGATTAATTAAATGCATAATTGCTGATTTGCTTATTTTATGTGTATGTGCTAGTACTATTTTAGACATGGCCAACGGTCTTACCATTTAATATGCTTTACTGAGTGGAAAGTTTTTAAATGAAATTTGACTTTATCCATTCTTTACTTTTACAGACCTTTGGAATTATAATGTAAACCAGGAAGAGATGCTCCAGTGATGGCCACAGATGAGGAGCCTGACGGATCAGACTATGGTTCTTCAGAATACAAAGTAGGTGACTTAATTTAGATAAATAAAAGCATCAACATCACTCAATGGAAACTGGAAGGAGGCATGTCATTTTGTGTTGGGGCTTTTCTCCACGATCACTAAAAGCATGTCAAAAGACCCTTTTGGTTACTGTGTAAGAATCTAGTGTGTGTCTTTTTAAATGTCCCTTATCCATGTAGATTGTGCACAAGGGAAGGGAACACAATACCTATGCTACTCTTCACCACCTTTTTAAAAAGCTGAATATATTTGCATTCACCTGTAAGAGTAATATAGGGGTGATGAGTTCAGATAATAAAAATGAATGCAAACTAAAACAAAATGTTTATGTCGTAGACATTACTGGAAGACTGTGTTTATTTGCTTAAAAGTAATCTGTCTCAATATGCACTCCCACATTAGAGGTGTAGAATTTGGGAGTACAACAAAATTTTGCAAATAATAACTTTTAAAAGTCTCGGACAATGGGGGAGTTGTCCTACTTGTCATTAGTCACATTTTTTTAAAAAATATATCCAACAGCTGCTTGTGATACTTGTTCAACCATACTCCACAAAGTAACCACATAAACAGAGTGATTTGGGTGGGAGCAGTATAGCATTTTCCTTAGCATAAAATATTGTGGTGGAGTAGTGGTTCAAAGTTGAAAACTCCTTATTTCCTTACCAAACCTTTACACCTAGGGCACCCTCTTCCTTTTGCGAAGTTACCTTGGAAGAAGGGAAATATAAATCGGATAGAAGGAATTATCCTACCTAAACAGACCAACCCTAATCCACACCCATGCCAACGATGGGCTGATACTCATACATACAAAGGATCCTGGCCAGGGATCCTTTGTATCAAGCAAAAAATAGGAGCATGGTGAGACATGAGCTAAAGAGGTGCATGATGCAAACATATGTTGTCTCTTTTGGGGGTTTGCTATGTACCAGCACTGCTTTTATAGAGACATGGAATGGAGAGCAAAGTCCTGTGCTCTAGAATGCTTGAGTTGCAAAACTTTGCCAAAAGCTATACAGCATTCTAGGAATCGAGAAACGTCTCCATTTCTCCTCTTCTCATACTTGGGAGAATCCATTAGGTAGGCCCAGAGTAGCAAAGTCCGGTCCCAGGTTCAGCTTGATCTTCACACTTCACATCCGCTAGACCCGCCCTGCCCCTTTGTTCTCAGCCTCTGTAAGAATAAAACCATTCACACAAATGTAACCTTTCTGCTATGTGGTCGCTAAGCAGTTGCTAAAGACATTCTGGCTTGGTATCAAGATTACTGCTAGAACAATGCAAAGCTTCATTTATGCCAAGTTTCCAATCTGTCAGGGTTAGAGACGCTTAACTTTAAAATGAAAGGACAAGGGCTGAATTAAGAGGAATGAGAGATATTTTTAAAGCCTTATATGTAATAAAGAATTAACATATAATAAGCACCAATTGATTTACTACGTTGCCAAATGCACAAGTTGACCATGGTGCTTCTGCTTTATTAGGGCTTGACAACCGTGTTTGGAAGCATGCTTATATAATACAAGGGAAGGCTGCCCTAATTTATCCTTCTTTTTTTGTATGCATTTTTGGTTGAGGAAGTGCTTCACAAAGTTTGGAGACGCTTTGTTTTAGTTCAAATATTGGTTTGGGAACTGCAAATTAGGTAGGCTTGTATGAAAGTGCAAATGGAGAAAAGAATCTCCCTCTTTGGAGGATTTCTGTGGCATGTGCTTAGCTTTCTCCTTAAGAGATTAGCTTTCTACAGGAAGTGTGTGGTAATTCACCCACATAATTTTTATGAACCCACAGAACAGCATATACCGTATTTTCCGGCGTATAAGACGCCTGGTTGTATAAGACGACCTCCAACTTTTCCTGTTAAAATATAGAGTTTGGGATATACTGGCCGTATAAGACTACCCCCGCCTGCAGCAATTGCCGCAAGGGGCAGAGAGTGCACCCCTCTGCTGCCTCTGCTGTAGCAGCAGCAGCAGCAGCAGCAGCAGCAGCTGAGCACCGTGCTCGGAAGGACTTTCCGCGGTGAGGAGAGAGCGGGGACCTGAGGCAATGAGGCTGGCAGGCAGGCAGGCAGACGCACGTAGGTGCAGCCCACTCCGGCTGCAAGCTCTGTCCAGAATGCACATGGCGGCCAACGAACACGCGCTGTGCCGGTACGGAAGAGGCGGGGCCTCGCGCTGCGTCACAGGAGGCCAGGACATACGGTAATTCAGAATCCGCTTATTTGGAAGAACAATTGGCTCAAACCAGTGAAAGTTTTAAGACTGGCTTTTAAGAAAATTGGATGCAGAAGCTATTGGGATGGGATGGGGATGTACACTTCATGGTCCCTTTTTCTGCAAAACAAATTTGTGTTTTCTTCAAGTTTTCCTCCAATGTATTCTGTCTTAAAATTGTGACCTAATGATATTCCCCCCATGATCACTAGAGGGTGCTAGTGCATAAATACAGCTGTTGGATTCTTCACTACAAGTGGGCAAAAAACAGCTTGGCAGTTCCACTGTATAGTACGTACTTGTCTTTAAGCTTTCATGAATATACTTTCTTCTTCTTCTCTCAGTCTCCTGCCTCTTTTCCATGGCTTACTTAGTAATGAAATACTTTCATATGAAGGGCTTAAACTGTGGCCTATATACAAATGCAAACTTCACACCCTGAAAGATAAGAAGGGAGTGTCTTACTGATTCATTATGCTAGAATGAGAAGGTGGCTTGGCCAAGGTCAGACAAAGCAAAGAATTCTGACCATTTTACCTGATTTCACACTGATAGTTCTTCTGCTTTTCCTTTCCTGCGGTTGCAGTAACCAACACAGAAGTCCTCTTATTTACTTATGGTAACCAGAGAAACTCCTAACCACAGAACAAAGCCAATACAGACCTGCCTACAATCTTCCCCATACACACCTATGTGGGAGCATGACCCATTGAACTTAATCTCCTTTCTTCTGAGGAGGCACCCATAGGCCTACACTGTGGGGTACTTTTAATTGTATTTTACTAATGACAGATGTGCTGACACCAAGTTCAAAGGCTATTTTTTATGGATGCAACATTTCACTGATGAATTAAGTAATCAGTTAAGACACTTTTAATTGATTAAAATGTGCCCTCAATTAATTGGGAAGCATTAAAAAAATAAAAAAAGAGTATGTATTTAAAAAACCCCACAGAAAAGCTATCCAGCTTCCTCTCACTTTGTAGCACAGGAACAAATGCCTCTTTTCAGATGGAGCCAACCACGAAACATCTGTGCGTCATGCACAAATAAAGTTATACTTTTAGCTTCAGAACTAAAATTCTTACATGCAGATTTATTCAGATGGAATAAATTCATTGATCAATCAATTAAAATTCATGTACCGTAATTAACAAGCTAAGGCTAAAGCTATTTTTATTTATTTATACTAAACTTCACCAGCAGGGGTCTCCTTCTAAGAAGGGGTCACATACGTTTAAAATTCAGGGTGCTGCTAATTTGAATTTTAAATGGTTTCCTTAATCTGTAATGCAAACATATGGAAGGATGTGAATTTTATTACACATGTATTCGTTCTTCCAAGGAGGCCAGGAATACAATATGGTACCTCACAGGATTGTTGAAATATAATGAATGACCCAGAATTACCTGGCACATTTTCTAGCTGAGTCAAAATTTGAAATCAAGTGTTCCCAAGCCAAGCCCAACCTTCTGTGTGATTATACTGCGCTATCTCTCACATGCATACATAAATGCAAACACATCCCAGGTAAATACCATGCAAATTCAGAGATATATTCTATTGAATGAGGCTTGCCTCTAGGTAACCATGCACAGAACACTCAAAGTTGTTTTAAGTGTAATGTGTGCAAAAGGCTCTCAGTGTTTGTCTTTGCTATGAACTTTTAATGATCACACCTTCCTTTCACAAAGTTTTAGGAATTGTTTTCTGGAGGGTTTTTCATTCCCCCCCCCCCAACTGGGAGTTGTAGAGTTTTTGGGGGGAGAAGCAGTGGTATAGCATGGGGCAGGGGGCAAAGGGGCAGTTGCCCTGGGTGCAAAATTGTTAAAGGCGCAAAATTTCAACACCTGGTGCGGCCTCAATACAGCTGCGTGCGTCTGTCACTGGACTCTGTTGAAAACGGTTTCGCCATGCAAACCAGGACGTGACCTCTCCAGACAACTGAATGACTCTTACTTTCTTTCTTTTGCAGCTGCAGTCTCCTGGGTGACTCGGTCACCATTAGGCAGTTGAATGCACATGCGTATTCCATCTACAGTGGTGCCCCGCAAGACGAATGCCTCGCAAGACGGAAAACCCGCTAGACGAAAGGGTTTTCCGTTTTTCGATGCGCTTCGCAGGACGAATTTCCCTATGGGCTTGCTTCGCAAGACAAAAATGTCTTGCGAGTCTTGAGATTTTTTTTCGCTCCCCCCCCCTTTTTCTAAGCCGCTAAGCCGCTAATAGCCTTTTAGCAGCTAAGCCGCTAAGCCTTTAATAGCCGCTAAACCGCTAATAGCGCTAATCCGCTAAGCCGCTAATAGGGTTGCTTCGCAAGACGAAAAAACCGCTAGACGAAGACACTCGCGGAACGGATTAATTTCGTCTTGCGAGGCACCACTGTATTTCCTTCTTTCCCTCCCACCTACCCTCCATGCGGTCCTGGGTGCTGGTAACCCATGCCACACCAATGGGGAGAAGTTACTAGAGTTGGGGGGGGGTGGTAAATATGCACTCCTTCATTACTTTATAGACATGCTCTTAAACTTTCTGATAAGTTTCTGAGGTAAAGTAAATAATAAGAAAGTGATTTATAGCAGAAAGTATGGTGCGAACTGTTAACATTTATTTACTTCTAGTTTTCAAGCACAGCAGTAAAATGGAGAGTTGTATATTTGGGGAGACTGAGCAGAATACACTGCAGTCTGCTTTAGCGATAATCGTGGTATCTAGGCCATTTTAGTGCAGTCATTTTTTTCATCCTGACATGCATCAGCCTCATTCCCTCAAGTGGTGATGCAAGTGCTGCTTCAACATTAGGCAGCAGTGGGTTCTGCAGCTGACACTGTCTGATGTCGACTGTGTGTTGCCTTCATAAATCCAGTCTGCTTCTAGAGTAAAGCCTGAGTTCAATCTCTCTGTGTCTACAGCATCCAACTAACCCATCTTAGCCCCTAGTTTGTTTCTGAAAATTAAGCTTTATTTATTTTTAGATCAGCTTGATGTTTTAGCGACATGTCTGTTGGCCTCTCCTTAATGTTATATTTCCTAAGTTTGCTGTTCACTTTTGCCTTAAAAACTCTTGCACGACCACCAGCTGGCACGATCCTCTCCATCTTTGCTGGTGTCACGTTTCTCAGGAGAGCTACTTGCCCTTCACAAATGCACACTCCTGGTGTGTTATATGCCACAAAAATAGTTCCTCCAGTGAGCGCTGTTTTAAGCTGGCTAGTGTGTGACCTTTGTATGCGTTCAGAGAATCCCCTCAGGGCATTTACCCCTGATAAAATCTCCTAGTAGGGAACATGAGCATAGGCACCAAGGTCTTGCCGCACAGTGGTGTCTGTTTTTTCTCCCCTCTGCCCTTCAGTAAGGTGAAAATTGTGTCTAAATTCAAACCAGTATTTTCCTGCCATTTCCTGAGTTGTTCTCAGTTCACTGACATATATTACAAAGAGGTAAAGGCAAGAGAGAGTCATAAATCTGGCTCTTAGCTTCTTACTGCCTCAGTCCTTGGGCTTTACTAGTAGCCCAATGCAATTAAATTTACCACCACAGCTTTCCTCCACAGTAGGAGAAGATTCATCAGTGTTATCTTTCTGCTGGCCATGCCGTTGCTAAAGATACCGAAGCAGGGTGAAAAGCAAAGACGGACCCCCCCCCCAAAGAAAGGATTAACCAACAATTTAGTTTTTATTTTTATTTATTTGTTTATTGGGCTTATATCCCACCTTTCCTTCAAGGAGCCCAAGGTGGCGTACATAGCTTTCCTCCTCCCCATGGTATCCTCAGAACAACCCTCTGAGGTAGGTTCGGCTGAGAGTTAAGTCACCCAGTGAGCTTCATGGCAGAGGGAATGATTAAACATGCCAAGCAAGGAATACACAGTGACTCCGAAGAGGAATCCTACCAATATTATGACTGTATAATTATGTACTGATAAGCCTTAAACCTGTTGACCCTTTGGAGCCTTTTGTGGGTAGCCCACAAAGACCTTTCTGTAATTTGATTGTGGAAAATAAGAAATCACTCACTTTGTTGCTCAAAGATTAATGTTATGGCGAACAGAGTGTAGGGTGGCGGGATAAATGTTATATGGTTTGCAGGCTACTGAGGAACTACCTAATTTGCACTAATCCTCAATGATAGCATCTTAGTAGCTCTTGGGTAGTAGAGCTTTTGATGGCATAAAGGTAAATGTACCCCTGACCATTGTTAGGTCCAGTCGCGGATGACTTTGGGGTTGTGCACTCATCTCACTCTATAGGCTAAGGGAGCCGGCGTTTGTCTGCAGACAGCTTCTGGATCATGTGGCCAGCATGACGAAGCCGCTTCTGGCGATGCCATTTACCTTCCCGCTGGAGCGGTACCTATTTATCTACTTGCACTTGACGTGCTTTCAAATTGCTAGGTGGGCAGGAGCTGGGACCTAACAATGGGCACTCACCCCGTCGCGGGGATTCAAACTGCCGACCTTCTGATCGGCAAGCCCTAGGCTCTGTGGTTTAGACCACAGCGCCACCTGCGTCCCTGCGCCACCCGCGTTTTTTTGATGGCATAGTGAACAAGTAATAAGAAAATCTGTTGAGATCTGCCTCTTTTGTAGCTGTATAGTCTCTCTGGTAATGTAGCAACCCTATTTTACCCTCACGTTTGGCATTAACTTAAGTCTAGGACCATTCATCATATTGTTGTGATTTGGGTCATCATCTGGAGCTATTTATTCAAACGTTCCACTGATACTATATACCCATCTTTTCTCTGCTTCTGACATATTTAGGCCAGAACTGAGTAAAGAATATGGCTGTGTGTATGGTGCAGAGGATAGTTTTCTTATTCTGAAATTCAAGATGTGTGGAATGGAATCAAGGGTAATACATATGTTGTAGTCAGGGCTTTTTTTCAGCCGGAACTTTCTAGAACTCTGTTCTGGCAGGACCTCTCAGGTGGGTGCCATTGCCACTCTAAGAGAACAAGGAAGGCATTCATGGTGAGTTCCAGCACCATTTTGTTTAGAAAAATAGCACTTAAGCAACGTGAAATACAATGGAACCTCGGGTTGCAAACGTGATCCGTGCGGGAGGCACGTTTACAACCTGCAGTGTCGCCTGTACGCACGCGTGGGTTGTGATTCGGTGCTTCTGCGCATGCGCAAGTGCCATTAACCCAGAAGTAACCCATTCCAGTACTTCTAGGTTCAGCACGGTGCGCAACCTGAAATTGCGTAACCTGAAGCGTCTGTAACCCAAGGTACCACTGTAACGTATTTAAAAAATGATGTTGCTGTGGGTTATAACTTGAGTCTCACATTTAAAACTAATCTGTCCTGTAGCATCAATTATAAGGATTTCCCTTCTGCTACTTCTGTTCATTGCTGGCTTTGGGCTGCCATAATTGCAACCTGTCATCATTCTGTCTTCTGATTCAACGGGAGCAAGGCACACATGACTCAAGGCAGAGTTAGCCTTTGACAAAATGAAAGGTTCTCTCAATAGGCCTGTTCATCCTTTCCAAGAATGTTTGGGTTTTTTTTACTCACTACTATAATTAGAAGAATGAGCTTTTCCTAAACTTAAGCTTCTCCTTCTTCATTACAATGGAACATTAATATTTTTTAACACAACACACTATGGTGATGTGCTTTATTATATAATCGTGTTTTATTTCACTAGCTTTCCACATTTGGAACTGAAGGCTATTTACACATTTATATACAGCTTGTTAAGGTGAGTTCACAAGGCTTACAGTACTGTAATGAATACAAACACTGTTTTAAAAATAACAACCATTAAAAAACAATTTAGTAAAAGTAGTCTAACTATAATTACAGAAGCCAAGCAGCAGCAGTTAAAAATAAAACTTAGCAGCACTTTAATTAAAAAAGCAAAACTAAATTAAGATAAAACCAGCAGTACTGTAAGCGAGTAAAAACCCAGCTGAGCATATTAATTAAAAGTGGATTGCAATAGAAAAGATTCCAAGCCAATTTAAAGGATAAGAAGAAGGGGCCATGTGTATATTTCATGAGGTAAAGGTAAAGGGACCCCTGACCATTAGATCCAGTTGTGACCGACTCTGAGGTTGCAGCGCTCATCTCGCTTTATTGGCCGAGGGAGCCGGTGTACAGCTTCTGGGTCATGTGGCCAGCAGGACTAAGCCACTTCTGGCGAACCAGAGCAGCACACGGAAACGCCGTTTACCTTGCCGCCGGAGCGGTACCTATTTATCTACTTGCACTTTGACGTGCTTTCGAACTGCTAGGTTGGCAGGAGATATTTCATGAGAGGGAGCTCCAAATTTTAGGGCCACTACTGAAAAAGGCCTGTTTCTATTGCCTGTCAGGTTCACATGGGTCTGGGTGGTCCTAAATAAAATTTGGACTAGATTCTCTAGGAAGAGGGATTGGTTGTTAAAGCACTTTGGGAATTGTAACTCTCTGAGGAATAGGAGTTCCTTAATAACTCTCACCACCCTTAACAAATGATAGTTCCCAGAATTCTTTGGGGGTAGCCATGACTGTTAAAGTGTGTTAAATGTATGGTGTGGTTATGGCCTTGTATTCCTGTCTCAAGATTTTCTGGAAAATAATGTGGGCAGTGCAATCCTGTGCAGGTCTACTCAGAAGTAATTCCTACTGAGGTCAAAGGAACTTACTTCCAAGTAAGTGGGTACTATATCACAGCCTAGGTGTATCAGTTTGTCTAATGTAAAGGGAAGTTAGCTGAGGTGTTGGTTGTAGATTCCCCCACCCCCTCATGCTTAGCAAGATACTGTACTTCAAGTAAGATATCAACATCACTGCCCAAGCTATATTTAAGCTTGCAGTGTATTCCCAAATTTAGTAAGACCTTTTGTCATCCACTTAAGTGGATATGTGTGAATGTGCACGTAGCTTGTGAGGTCTGGTGAACCAAGAAATTGAGAATGGCTTAAGCCAGGGTTTCTCAGATTTTTTGAGCTTCAGTCCCAACCCCCTTTCTCACAACCATTTTATTTTTTTAAAAGCAATATAATGGGGGTATTTTTAAAGGGTTGAAGCATTAGCACTGGGAGAGAATTTCTTTTAACCCTTTCTCTGATCTAAATTGATCCACAAAGCTCATTAACCCCAGAGTGGCAGTGGAATAAGACTATGTGAGGCCAATAGAAGTTTCAGGCGGGTGGATTTAGATTGTGAAGCCAACATGGGAAGGAAATGGACCAAAAAGGCAATAAAATAAAAAAGAAACCATTGCCCTGTGCCACTGCTCCCAATTCAACTGAGAGCACTCTGCAGCTACTTTTAATCAACCAGAACAACAGTTGAGTTTGATCTGATCATGGATCTTTGATGTCACATGTAGTTTGTACTCAAAATGTACTGTATGTCCCGGCCTTCCCAACCGAGGCTGGGATCTAAAAGAGCCACATAAAGAGCTACAGATAGAAAAGGGGAATTCTTAAATTTTCAGTGAATTTGGATGAGAAGAGAGTACAAAACTTTCTGCATGCCACCTATAGATTTTCAGAATTTATTATAGATTGACCAGATAACCTTTTTGGCAGATATACCTGAAGAACAGTGCTAAGGCAAAGCTATGTTGATCATAAATTGTATGTGTGTGTGCATTGGTTTCTGCACACTGTACTCAGGATGCAGGGTAAGGCCTGCAGGCAAAGAGGAGCAATTCAAGGTGGGAACTTTAGTGGAAATTTCGATGTGAACACTGATGAAACATTAAAGAGCTTTGTTTGGCACAGTATAGCAAAGTATGAGCTGGGAATTCTTTCAATTCCTGCCTTGCACTCCTCTCCCTGCACAAGTCAAGGAAGGAACATTGTATTGTTGCCCAGATGAAGGACCTGATGTCCTCTATTTTATGGAGAAAAAATGTTTTATTTGCAGTATTAGACGGCAAATGAAAGAGCAAGAACATATTTTCCCCAACACAAAATTCTGTTGCCCCTTTTAGAACTGTTCAAGGCAAATTCTCAAGAATACTTAATTGCTGTGTGGTGTCCTCACTTCTACACAGCGTACACTTATCTCAGCTACACTGAAAACTGCAGCTGCAGATACAGGCATGCATTTTTCCCAGTCCCTTGTTTATCTGCTCAGGAAATCCTGTTAATTTCATGGTTTTGGCCAAGCCAAGTGTAGCCTGCTTCCTTTAACATTTGGGAAATGAACCAGGAGAGGACAGAGCAAAAAAGACATTTAAATATAATCAACATTAAAATGACCATCTTCTCTGTTTATTTCATGTACCTGGTGAAATGGGCTCTTGCCAATTAAAGCTCCTCATAATATTAGTCAAAAAGTAACCAGTAATATGTTATATATACCTGTATGTTTCTTTCCATAAGGAGGTGGGATTTAAAATTACAGTGGAACCTCGGAAGCCGAACATTTTGGAACCGAAACGCTGAAAACCTGGAAGTAATTGCTTCCGTTTTCGAAGGTGATTTTGCAGCCAGCCCATTGATCCTGAGTTTTCAAATGCTTCGAAAATTGAACGGTCTTCTGGAATAGATTACGTTCGAAAACTGAGGTTCTACTGTATCCAGAAAATAGTGCAGGGGGAAGGATTGATCTCTCCATCCTCCAATACTATGGTCCTGAGTTGATTTTCCCCTCCATCTTTCCATGTCATATTATTGTTGGGTCAGAAGATTTCTGATGCTATGGGCCCTTCCTAAGGTCATAATCCTGTGTCTGGGATGTACCCTGTCAAACTTCAGATGAGGGATCACATGAAAGAATGAATGGAGGGACGGAGAAGAATCCTGGCTTGTACACACATAAAACCAGAGGTCCAGGAAAAGCCTTTTAGCATGCCCTCTGACATCAAGTCTTTGAGGTGGAATGATGTTTTTCTATTTTGGGATGGAGTAACATTCCATCGCTTGAGCTTTGTCTTGTAATATGAAGGGGTACTGGCAGAACCACAAACTCATGTTTAAAGCACATCCTATACACATTTAAAGCACATGATTTCCTCCAAATCCTCCTGGGAACTGTAGTTTGTTGAGAGCACTGGAGATGGTAGCTCTGTGAGAGGTAAACTATACAGTTTCTAGGCTTTACAGGACAAATATGACAACTATCCTGTTCTCTGATGCTTAAGCTATGGCGAAACTGGCAGCTAGTGTGCCCTTGATCTATGAGGGACGGCAAAGGAATGTGGCCAGGCAACTATTTAGCATTAACTAAGCGGCTAGTAAAAATGTCCTACAAACCTGCCAAGACCTGCTTCTCCTTGGAAAAACTGGCATATTCCTCTTGGGACTTGCTTCCATGATCTTACAGATTTGGAGTCAGGATTTTATAACGAGAGCACATATATAGAAATGTACAGCTCCCAATTACTTATCCCACTCTTACAGCCGGATCCTATACGTGACTTAAAAAAATGCATATAGTTCTAAACCTTTGGGTACCGCTGTAAAATCTGCTGATAATGTTAATCTTACGCTTACGGTAATATATTACCGTAAAAAGTCTTCTTTTTGTTTGTTTTAAAGGTGCTTATTATCTCTCAGGCACATTATGCTTCCCTAATGCAGCAAGGTCAGGACACATAACGCTCTTTGATTTACCAGCTTCCAAACAAAGCAGGTCGAACAGCCCTTGTTGCAAATACCATTCCGAAGGGTGGGAGAGAGCCGAGAAAGAAAAAGCCGAGAGGATGCGGCATCATCGGAGTACTCGTCAGCAGGTCACATGACAGCGACTTGGGCAACGCCCACATTGCTCAGCAGACGGTCGAGTGTCTAGAAGTAGCGTGCGCGTGTCTGTCTCCTCCGTTCCGCTGCCTGTTTTCCTTTCGCTAATAATTGCAGAAGGCAAATTGCACCATCCAGAGCCTTAGCAAGCGCTTGGATCAAATATTGCGCGCTGCTTTCAAAATGCATGCGTTTCTTTTGCAGTGACACAGCAGTTCCGCTGTCTTTTTTTGTATAATTTATTTAAAGCCTGTTTGCTGCGTGCTTTCACAGTTCCGCCCTTGCGTGCTCAAGGAGGTGCGCCTTTCGGTGCAGAGATGTTCTGCCTTAGGAAAGCAATGAAAATGCATTGCCCATCTGTAGGGAGTTGACCCGAGCTTGGCGATGGTCTGGATCTCTTTCTCCCGGAAGGTGTTGAGAGCGGGTATAGGCCATTAAAATGCGTCTTGAGGATGTGTAGGGACGTGAGGAACGTGCACGGATGCATGCCCGTCCGGGGTGACCATGGCCATGCATCCTCCCCTTCCTGCACATAGAAGGCAGCGGAGGTTGTCCATCAAACCGGCGGCGGCGGGAGGAGGAGGGTGTGGAAAACGCTTCTTTCGCGACCGCTCCTTGAACAGCCAATCGCAAGGCAGGAAGTGGGCAGGTTTATAGTCGGTCGCTATCGCGTGGAGGGAAAGGAGGAGGGAAAAAGAGCGTTGCATTTTATATTTATATATTTTACCCTGTGAGGCTGAACCAAGGACCTCTAGAATCTTTCGCTTGTAAGAAGAAAGGGGAGGAGAGAAACGGATCGCTTTGCATCCTTGCAAATTTCAGCTGCCCTCCCCCGCCCCAATTGTGCTGGTTAGCAAAACCACCCTGGGAAAAAGCTCTTATTTAACCAGACAGAATGATAGCTGCTCAGCTTCTGGCCTATTACTTCACAGAATTAAAGGATGATCAGGTCAAAAAGGTAAGGTGCAAAGCGAACGTCCTTAAAAACCTGCAGGTTCAAGTTCTTCAGTCTTGATGAGGGGGGGAGGGATTTTTATTTATTTATTAAAAAAAACCTATGGGGTGCATAATTTGTGTTTATATATACACGTATGTACATGCATTTCTTAGCATCCAGAATATTAAACCGGCATCATTTATTTTATCTTTTAACCTCTGCCTTGATCGTATAGGGTTTTTGGGGTGTTTTTTTTAAAAAAAAAAGCTTGAAAGATCCGGCCCATTGCAAGGTTTCCGAACGGGCTGCAGTGTCCTTGAAGCAGGATGTAGATGTCAGAGCCGCGATGAGTAACGCAACAATCATGGTTTACTCCCCTTCTCTCTCTCTCCCACCCCTCTGAGTTGGATCCGTCTATCATGTGTTTATTACTATAAACGGCTGGTCATCCGCTAAGTGACTGTGGGAATTGTGGACTAGGTCTTTTATGAATGTGAGCATTCAGGGCCTACTGAAATCGTGTATACAGATGCGTGTTTAGGGCCGGGTAAAAACAGGTGCATTCTTTGTAACTCGCAATGATAAGCCTCTAGACACAAAAGAGAGCCTTGGGTTACCTGAATGACTAACAGGTTTCTTTTGTGGCACTGGTTTTTTGTGGACTAGAGCATAATCTGCGTCTTGAATCTTCCCTCTGGAATTTGTTACCAAGACAGGTGCTGGATTTACCTGTAGGTTGCTCTTCTGGGATTGGTAGCAATCGGAAGGAGATAGCAGGACCCAGCAAAAGGGACTGATAAGGCTAAGCTTGTTAATTAGATTACAAAGATGTAAATGGTTTGATAGGTAAAAAAGTAAAATTGGGCATTTTGCTGAGCTGGATTTATTATATTCACTTTGGTCTCATATTGCCCAGGAGGTCTCTTAAGGACACTGTCCCAGAAATATGGGGAAAATGTCTCCTTTTCAGGAGAGATGTATAGTAGGCCTCTACCTGGGCACTGGGCCAATATTTTAACATGTTAACTTGCCCAGTGCTGTAAGTTGAGCTAATGAGCATGTTTTGCAGCAATAATATTTTATTAGGCAGATTTTAGTGTGTCTGTATTTCGGAAATGCGTTGCTGATAAGAGAGGGATCTGATTATCATGGAGAGGAAATAATAAATAATCCAATATAAAATTACAAGAAAGAAATCATCATAGACATTTTCTACTTTGCTTCAGAAATGTAGTTTTCTACCCTATCATTGGTGTTTTCCTATGGAGGCCTGTCATGATGACTCTATTGTTGCTTGCATGTTAAACAAAACTGTGAACTCAAAACAAGCTTCATTACTTACCATCACCTTTCCATGTGTTGGTATTTTATCACTTTTGCAGCATGTGGAATTTTTCTGGGAAACTGATATTTGGCCTGTTTAGATTGATGAGGTTTTAAAAATAATGCCGATATCATCATCAAGCTCATAGTACTGAAGGCACACTTGAAAATGTGCTGGTCATTTTTTGCAAAAGCAGTAAAATAGTAATAATAGCTAAGACATATTACAGCCAGACTGTGGAGCTACTATGGCCTGTATGAATCCATTTCATGGTCTCTGTTCCTCTTCTCTTTTGCATCATCATTTCATTTTTACTCCTGCAATCACTTACAACCTGTTAAAAACTAACATTTTGCAAAACAGCCCAAAGGGGCTAAAAACTAATCATTCAAAATAGGAAGTAGTATGCGGACAAATCTTTGTTTCACTGAGTTATTCTGGATTTTATTTTGTGCAAAAACGAACATATCTACTAGTATCAAGCTTATTGTGCAGAAAAGGCTATTGGGGTTTTCTGGGAAGGATGTTCATGCATTAGATCCCGGTGATCTTTTGCCACCCTGTATTGGAAAGGAGAATACTAGCAGATGGGGAAGGGCCATATGATTAGCCCTAATCCCTTGATTGTGATACACATATTCCCCAATAGTGTAGACCTGAAGGAAGTGGCTCACTCATTGCTTTGGGTGTGGTGTGTATAAAGAGAGAGAGAAGGAAGGAAGCCAATTTAGTGGAGAAAGGATAGCCCTGGAGGCCTCTTGCTTATCTTAGATGGTGATGCTGAAGCACTGCCTTTAATGCTCCAGCAGTCTTCATGAGAGTTGCTGTTCACGCCATCCTTATATGTTTCTCCTTGTATTCAGAATCTTACGGATAGGCATTTACATTCATCCGCCTTACAGAAAATATGTACTCTGGTGTGTTCAGCAAACAAATGACTCCTGGCTTCTTAGATAAGCCACTTGGGGTCAGTAGCACAACTAGGGTGTGCCAGTATGGACTCTTACAACCATGCAGAGTGCCAGGCAAGATGGGATTGGGGCACTGCCCACTTCAAATGATTATAGGAAACAGTATATAGGAAAAATATTATAGGAAAAAGTTTGGGTTTGAGTAAGGCACAAGAACTGTTAGCTATGGCTTAGTTTTGGGGGTTTGGCATTTTCCCAACACTGCCAATAAGTAAATGCTAACTTGAAAAAAAAATGTTACCTGCCTCTTTAAAACCATACATTTTTGTTTTTGATTAGCATGAAAACTTTTCTTTCTTTCTCTCAGTAACTTTGTATGGATGTATCATTTTTATATGTAGCCTGTCTTTTTGTAATATTTTGTTTTAAGTTGTCTGTTGTTGCTTACGTTTTTTTGTACACCGCTTAGATACCTAAGGTTTAGGAATTCTTACAAGATTTAGAAGGGAACTAAAATAAAACGATTGACATGTGTGGGCCAAATGAGTGCTGCTGGGAAATAATGGAAATTATGTAAAGACCAATACATATTGTTAATGTCTGGCTTTATTCCTCAATTCTTGTAGCAGTATGTTCACCTAACTGGCACAGATTTCAAGGTGCTACATCTAGAATGGCTTTGTGATTCCCTTGGGTAAAATAAAACCCTGCAAGGCATGTTTTGCATCTTGGTATGTGATATGATGTGATCACTCACCTTGTGAATATCTCGTATGGTATTATTCTAGGCATGGGGGTGTGGTCTCACAGCATTCCACTGGTACATTAAAGAAATCCAGCATGATGTAGCTCAGTTGTAGCCAAGGTGGCCTTCTCCAGAAACTCGTAACACATGGGAGTCTGGCACCCACAAACTCCTTATAGTATCATAGAATCTTAGAATTGCAGAGTTGGAAGGCACCACGAAGACTCATCTATTCTCCACCCCCATCGTTCAGCCCGGACACAGATCCGGCGCCGAGGGCCCTCTGGCGGTTCCCTCATAGCGAGAAGTGAGGTTACAGGGAACCAGACAGAGGGCCTTCTCAGTAGTGGCACCCGCCCTGTGGAACGCCCTCCCATCAGATGTCAAGGAAATAAGTAGCTATCCTATTTTTAAAAGACATCTGAAGGCAGCCCTGTTTAGGGGAGTTTTTAATATTTAATGCTGTATGGTTTTTAACACTCGATTGGGAGCCGCCCAGAGTGGCTTGGGAAACTCAGCCAGATGGGCGGGGTATAAATAATAAATTATTATTATTATTATTAATTATTATTATTATTATTATTATTATTTATTACGCCCTGCAATGCAGGAATCTTTTACCCAGCGTGGGACTCGAACCTACAACCCTGAGATTAAGAGTCTCTTGCTGTACCAACCGAGCACGATAAGGACATATTTACCGTATTTTTCGCTCCATAGGACGCACTTTTTCCCCTCCAAAAATGAAGGGGAAATGTGTGTGCATCCTATGGGGTGAATGCAGGCTTTCGCTGAAGCCTGGAGAGCGAGAGACATCGGTGCGCACCGACCCCTCTCGCTCTCCAGGCTTCAGGAAGCTATCCGCAATCCTTGCAAGCCCGGTGGGAGTTCCCGCTGTCTCAGAAGGCTTGCAGGCATCAGCCTGCAGCCCCGGCGAGTGTCCGCAAGCCTTGCGCGCCCGGCAGGAGGTCCCGCCGAGCGCGCGAGGCTTGGGGCGGCAGCTTGTCGCCCGAAGCACGGGGAGCCCTCCAGAGGGCTCCCCGTGCTTTGGGCGAGTGTCTGCAAGCCTCGCGCGCCCGGTGGGAGGTCCCGCCGAGCGCGCGAGGCTTGGGGCGGTAGCCTGCAGCCCGAAGCACGCGGAGCCCTCCGGAGGGTGCCCCGTGCTTCTTGCAGGTGTGCACAAGGCTTGGGGCGGCAGCCGCGGCGGGGGGAGGAATAATTTTTTTTATTCATTCCCCCCCCCCAAAAAACGAGGTGCGTCCTATGGGCCGGTGCGCCCTATAGAACGAAAAATACGGTAACTAAGAAACTGAAAGACGCAACCCATTTATAAGGCATTTATAAGGCACCTTTTTGTGTAAAACCTTTTAGATTTCTCCAGAAAGAGAAACATTTGTGTTAGCTTGCCTGCTGAAAGTTTTAAGTTTTGATAGGCCAGTGGTCCCGGCCAGCCCACAAGGAGCATGTGTGCCAACGTCCTAGAATCATAGAGTACAACTCTATGGAAGGGACCCTGAGGATCATCTAGTCCAGCCCCCTGTGATGCAGGAATATGCAGCTGTCCCGTTGAACTTGCAACCTTGGCGTTACCAGCTCTGCTGTGGGAAACAGTATGATTGTGACCGACATGAGCCATTCCTAGTGCATTGGTTGCTGCCGTGGAGAGCAGGTCTGGTGATATTAGCCCTCCACATGTTGATCTGTGAGATTATTAAATTATTACATTTATATTCCACCTTTCCTCTAAAGAACTGAAAGTGGGATACATAGTTTCCCACCCCCCACCCTGTCTTCCTTTTATCCTCAGAACAACTCTGTGAGGTAGGTTAGGCTGAGAGACTGCGACTCTCTCAAGGCCGCACAAGGAGTTTCATGGCTGAGTAGGGATTGGACGAAGTGTTGTAGTTCAGGGGTGAAGCTGGCTCGTAGGTATTTAAGGCATTAAGCTCTTCCCACACCATTTGTCTGTGTAATATCTTTATTTTCGTTTTGTTGATGCGCTGTCTTAGACTTTGGGAAAGGTGGGTGTCCATGCAAAATGGCTGCTTCTTCTACAAACTTGTTCTTATATTTAGAAATTTGACCTAACATCACACAAGGAGGATGTTACAAGCTCAAGGATGTTGTATCCTTCAATGCTTGTTAAACTACATTTTTAAAGCCTGTTTGATTTCTAGATTATTTGAATTTGTCAAAGGCAAAGTTTATCATTTTTGGATTATTTGTCAGGGGAATGCTAGGGAAGAATGTTGCAGGGCGTGTTTCAGAAATGGCTGTAGATAATAATAGAATCCCAGCACGGGAAGGCCATCTAATTCATCCCCTTCTGAGCTCACCCATTCCCCATAGCTCCTAGAGGTGATTACTGTATAGACATCCCAGATCAAAGCAGAAATGAGATGACACAGGACAAAATGGTTCTAGAGGACTTGAGCAAGGAAGCTGAGTCTGAGCTTTGGTTTAAAAACACCTCGATACAGAGCAGCATCCTGTTCATTTGGAACTTCAAGAATACACAGCACTTCTGAGTGCTTTGCATTATCTCATAGATTTTAACAACAGCCCCGTGAGGTAGGCCAATGTTGTTGTCTTTATTGCAGGTGGGGGCCAAAGTAGGAAGATGGTAGCTTGCCTGGTACTGCTTGGTGAATTTGAGTTCTTAAAACTGGAGAACTTCTCAGTTCATACTTAGGCAGCCTAGTCCATTCAGGGTGGTTGCTGTGTAGAACAGCTATATGTGTGTTTACTCAGAAGTAAATTTCAAGGTGTTCAGTGGACTTACTCTAGGAGACATATGCTTGAGATTCCAGCACTACTTCTCCTTTCCCCTAGTGCTTTTGTGCAATTTCTGCCTTGTGGGTGAACCTTTTCAATTTGGGGGACTTGTCCCTTTTTGGGAACTGAAAAAGCTTGATTCCATGTGAATTTATGATGCCAAAAGTTGTAGTTGGTTCTTATGCTTGCTCTGCTGTATCCACCCAGATGCAACTTGCCTAGTGTTAGATTTCTCCTTGCATTCAGGCTGCTTAGCATCACATGACAGAGACACAGTTGGTAACATTATACCCTTCAAGCTGTCAGCAATCCTCATGCATAGAAGCTGCCAAAGTATTGCTTTATCCGGCCTGTGGTATCTGAGTCTAGGGGCAAGCCCAGGGATGTTGTTTTGTCAAAATAAGGAAGGAAAATAGAGAGTTAGCTTCTGTAATTTTATCCTCAAAACATTTAGTTAACTGTGGCTTCTCAGTCAGTCTGAACTGGGGGTTGTGGTTCATGCTAGCAATAGTCACCTTCAAAATAAGCCAACTCCAAACCATGGGTTATGATGCTGGCTTGTTTCAACTAAGCAGAGTTATTGCTAAATTATGACTTCTGGTTCAGTTAGTGAAAGTGGAAATAAAACCTTCTGGAGTTGTTTTCCTAGTCATGCAGGGTGTGGAAGGAGCACACGAGCCCAAGTTTTGCTGCCGCTTGTGTACATCCATGTGTCGCTCCTGCCAACTTAGCAGTTCGAAAGTACACCAGTGCAAGTAGACAAATAGGTACCGCTGTAGTGGGAAGGTAAATGGCATTTCCATGCACTCTGGCACTCGTCACGGTCCTCTGTGTGCCAGTAGCGGTTTAATCATGCTTTCCACGTGACCCGGAAAGCTGTCTGTGGACAAACACCAGCTCCCTTGACCTGAAGCGAGATGAGCGTCGCACCCCATAGTTGCCTTTGATTGGATTTAATTGTCCAGGGGTCCTTTGCATTTGCCTTACATCCATGTGTGAATGTGCTTGGGCCTTAATGACTAGAAACTAGAGCAAAGATGAAAAGCCTGTGCAGTTTTTGTGTGTGTTTGTGCTGGAGAGAGCTAGGGCAACAACCTGTCTTCTGTGTCCCATTCTAAAAGCCCAGATCCCAATCTCCTAATGCCTGGGTGAGTCTGAAACAGTAGCAAGGATATTTCTCTCTTTATGTCAGGTTGCAAATAGACCTTGTATGTCTTTTGCAGGACATGCCTGATTTGATTTGATTTGATTTCAGTATTGTGGCACAAGCCTTGGCTAAACCCGTGGATATGATTGAGGTGCACATTTGGATTCCAGCTGCTATATATTATCCTTAGGAGGTTACCTGCTTTTATGTGATACAGTATTAGGACACTGCAATCAGTGCATTGTAAAAGTCCTTAGAGTGCTAATGTACGGAATGGTTTCTTGTAATGATCAGTAATTTGCCTGAAAACTGTTCTAATCTGTGCTTGAGTAGCTTTCCAATTTTCTTCTATAAAGTTTTATAGCACTAGGAGTAGGTGGTTAGAAGGAGGAAAGAAAGATTATCTTTTATCAAGTTGGAAGGGTGTCAATGTGACCATGTCAGGCCTTTAGTAATAAAATATGGCTGCACTTTTCGTAGAATATTGCCCTCCCCCTGGCAACTTCTATTTGTTTGCTTTACAAGTCTTGCTGAATGTAATATTCAGTAAGATCATAATGTGTGTGTTGCATGCAAGGCAATAACAAACCACATCCTTTCGAGTTTGTTGGACTGTTTCATGATAGCAAATGTTGAGGATTGGGGACATGAACTTTGCAGGGGTCGCCAATGGGCACATTTGCATATCAGAGAAACTGTTGTTGGTAGTACATATACACCACAATAGAATGCTTCTTTCAAGTCTTAATTCCAACAAGTGGAGGTGACCCTGTGGGTGCCAGGAAAGGCCTTGTGGGTGCACAGACACTCATGGGCACTGTGTTGGTGACCCCTGATATACAGCTACAGAGTCTGGGATTGATGGTCATGTGAGAGGCCATGAGCCTTGGTTTATTAGGATTGTGCTGTGTTTTATCATATCAGAAGATTAAGCTGTACCTCATATCACATCAAAAGGGACAGTTGTGGAAAGTTATGCTTTAGGCAGAGTGGTTTTCCATATCCAAAAATGTTTATTGACATGGAGAGACTAGAAGTTGAATTAATGACATGGAGTTGAATTAATGACATGGGGAGACTAGAAGTTGCTTACAAAGCAGATTAAACAGCCATAACAGCTTCTGCACTTTCTAAAGATGCTGCAAAATTTAAAATGTAAAAAAATGTTTCCCTTTTTGAGGACCATAGGAAGCTGCCACATCCTAGATCAAACCATTGGTCCATCTAGCAACTCTTCAGGTTTTAAGATTCAGAATGTTTCTCCTCTTTACTTCTCGAAGCAAGTGGAATGCATATCCTCATTTTTTAATTGGTTTCATTGGCTCCTTGTCTACTTCCAAGCACAATTCAAGGGGCTGCCATTAATCTTTTAAAGCCCTAAATAACTTAGGATTCAAATATATCAAGGACCGGCTTCTCTCATATAAGCCTGCTTATGCATTTAGATCCATTTCCAAAGCGCTATTAAGGTAAGACGGGGAATATGCAGGAGAAATGATTTTGAGGAGATATGGAAGGTATTTGTAGAATTTGTCCTGTTAAAACAGAAAGGGGTCAAACCATCACAAGAGATGTTGAAATTTTGGGAGGTTGGATAGTTACAATGGAATAGTACAATACAATACAAATGGAATGCACATTTTTATTTATTTATTATTATTACTTTGCCAAAAAAGGAAAAAAAAGGAAAGATCCATTTCCAGAGCTATTCTTGGTGTCCCTTCCCTCCTCCATTGGATGAACAATAGGTGGGGGACTAGGCAATAGGGCATTTTGGGATCTATGTTTGTAGTTTTGTGGTTGTGAGCATGTCTGTCCACCCACATATAGGGCAGTTCCCAGAGTGGGTTGGGATGAAGCTTTAGGGGATGCTGTGTTGGTCACACCATTTGAGGACCACCTGCGCTCCTTTGGATCAAGGCCATGGATAGCTTTTGCTAGAGCAGAATACAGTGGTATCGCAGGTTAAGTACTTAATTTGTTCCGGAGGTCTGTTCTTAACCTGAAACTGTTCTTAACCTGAAGCACCAGTTTAGCTAATGAGGCCGCCGCGCCGCTAGAGCACAATTTCTGTTCTCATCCTGAAGCAAAGTTCTTAACCCGAGGTACTATTTCTGGGTTAGCGGAGTCTGTAACCTGAAGCGTCTGTAACCTGAATAGTATGTAACCCGAGGTACCACTGTAGTGAAGAGGCTGGGCATAGCAGAAAGCAATCTGAACAAGCTGTCTGTGCTTCAGGCGGGGAGCCTGTGCCTGTTGGAGAACATTCTTTTCCAAAACTTGAAACAGAACCCATGACTTCTCCATTTGCAGCTCTGCTGCTGGTAGCAAATAGCATTTAATAATACCCACTTGGAGAGCCCTGTCTCTCATCGCCTTCAGCAGCTGAGCCACACAGAATGTCACAATCTCCTGCTCTATTGGTAGTTACTAGGGTATATCCCCAACTGTGACCCACCAGAAATCAATCCATTGTTGTGTTAGCAGGAGCCAGCACAAAGACCCTAGCTAGCACAATGGGGTTTTCTTCTCCCTCCCCTGCATGCCCCCTGTGCCTCTCCCAGATCCACTCTGGAGGGTCAGCAGAACCCCGAGGACAGTATATTTTCCCTATGCATTTTTTCCTTTGTTATATTTTCCCTAATCTAATGCATTTTTCTATGTTGTTTTCACAAATGCATGCATTTTATGCAAACCTTGGCCATGTGTATGCATTTTTGTACACATAACTTGGCTGGAGAACATGATTTCAAAATTTGGAGAAGCATGAATTTCAGAAGATGGCTATATTTTAGTTCACCTGTTGTGTTGGAAAGTGTTCACTAGATAGGTTTACCTTTTAACGATAACTGAATCAAATGCTAAGTGGGCTTCTAAATAGAGAAGGACAAGAGGATGATGATAACATTGATGATAAAATAATTTCTTTGTGCACAATTTCTGCCTATTGCTTTCTGGGCTCCATTCAAGGTGCTGGTTCACCGAACCCTAAGAGACTTGGAGTCATTCTATCTCAGTAATGGCTTCCATCCATGTGTTTCATCATAACTTTTAAGATCAGCTGGAAACACCTCTTAACCTTGCCATTTATGCACCACCAGGACCACAAATACTTTTTGGTTGCTGCCTCTCGACTCGAGAATTGTCTTCCACGGAGGCCGAAGCCTAGGGGTCTTTTGGAAGCAGTGTAAGACCTTTTAATTGGCTTTTGGTGCCAGGGATAGGGTTGGGGGCAGGGAAAGATGGTGGTTAATTATTTTGTAATTGGGAGCTTTGCAGCTAAAATATTGTTACCTGCCCTAAGCACTTGGGATGGAGCCAGCTGGAAATCAAATGACACAAATTAAGAATGTAGGTAAGTTAACACAAAATGGTGCAAGGTCTGAAAGTTGTGTGCTTTTCTCTTATGTCCCCTCCAGATCGATAAATATCTGTACGCCATGCGGCTCTCTGATGAAACTCTGCTGGATATTATGGGACGCTTCAGGAGAGAGATGCGGAATGGACTTTCCAGGGACTTTAACCCAACAGCCTCTGTAAAGATGCTTCCTACATTTGTAAGGTCTATTCCTGATGGCTCAGGTAAGGATTATGTGCAGTTGTACTTCGTTAACAAACAGTTTTCTGAAACAAAACCAGAACAATCTCTTGTTCCTATTACGAGCACAATGAGAGCCATTAGTTACACATGTATGCATAAAGTGGTCCAAGTATGTAAAACTAAAAGAAACTCTCAGCAATGTTTGTACCAAAGAGAAACAGTGGTTTTTAAAAAGAAACAAACCTCAGCCTATTTCCCTATGGCCAGTAGCTTTGTTTTTTTTTTTTAAATGATATTTATTCCAAATTTAAAGTTACAAAAAAGAAAAAGAAAAACCATACAAAATACAAAAAAAAAAACTTTAACCATAACAAAATGAAAAATGAACAAGTAAAAATGAACAATAAAATAGAATAAAAGAAAAAGACTTAACAAAAAATATAAAAATACATTAAGTTAAAATAAAACGAAAACAAATTAAACCTTTACATAGCCTTTTCCCTTCACTTATTTCCATGACCTCCTCTCACCTCCCAATTTTGTATTCTAGTTCAGATCGTATTTCCCCTATGGCCAGTAGCTTTGGCTCCTGTTGTCTTGGGGTCAGGGTGTGTTGCTTGTACAAACTTAAGAAGAAGACAGTGTGTTTGAAACCCAAATCAAACAACAAGTTGCAGTCTATGCTCAATACCTAGACACAGTGGCTGCATTCAGATATAACACAGGCCCTTCCTTCTTTGGTGCTGCCCTGAGGAGGTAAGAAGCTTCTGCTTCTGCCTTTGACTAAACACAGTTTAGTTAGCTATCCAAACCCTAAACTGTGGTTAATCTTAAATTCAGTTTCTGAAAAGCGTAGAACAAAGAATCCCTGTATGCCCCCAGCTGCCAAAACATTCCATACATATGCGGTATAAAGTATTCAGTCAAATATTAAGCAGGTTTGCATAATAGTGTAAAACTGATTATACAAGTTACAGTTTTGAAGTGTCTTGTTGACTTGGATGTGAGTGTGCAGACAGGGTGTTAATTTGCAACATATCCCAGGGTGGACGTTTCTGAAGTGCTGCATTTGTCTGAAGTGTATTCCAGCGTTCAATTACTTTAGGGGGAAAAGGCCATCTGTTCTAGTGTGTGTTTTTCCTTTTTTTAAAAAAAGCTAATGGGGCTCAGTCTAAATTAGCGATGGACTACAGTGATAAAAGTCTGTTTGCACATTTTGCTTAATGCTCAGTACTTGTACAGAACAGTGATATTTAATTGGTTTTATCGACAGAATGGTTTAAAAATTACATTAGCTTCAAAATGATGCCGGTCCTGGATATTATGTTGCCCTAAGTCACTGAGATTGAAAAATGGAGTGCAGAGCTGCTTGCTAAATAAATAAAATGATAATACACAATTTGGAGAGCTTTGCTGCAAAGAGTATTGTGGGTGCCAGTATTGATGCACAATAGAGCATAATCAAAGAGCCATGGCGGTGCAAGGGATTCTGGGATGCAGCTCCCAGATTTCACGCTTCTTCATTGGCAGCCCTGAAAGTATTGCCTCTTGGATGCTTGTGTAGTTTGTTCTGCTATTTAGAAATGTCTTTTCCCAAACTGACAGATTTGGGTCTCCCTATTTTGGTGGCAAACAAGACGAGTCAATTTGTACACCCGATATGATTTGCATAACTTCGGGCAAAAACACTACTGTAACATCAGCATGCAAGAGACTCAGAGTTGCCCTAAGAATAGCAAACTGATTTACCTCCTGGCCTAATTTCAATTCTTCATTGATTTCTTACCCACATGAGTGGACAGGCCCAAAGAGAGGCAGGTGAGAGTAAGGAATTTGTTGCCATTTTTGCTGAGATGAGAACATTGTTGGAAGAAAACTTTCTTTGGAAAGAGTAATAGAACACCTAAAAAGGGAAAATCCATGCCTGACATTTTATGTGGGTATGATGTTAGTGCTGAAGACAGAAACAAGGCTGCTTTAGTGGGAAGGTACAGCTGTGTTGCAAGATTGTTGGATGGGTATGATGTCCAAGGCTTATTTGTATGGGTGAAATTGATTGTGTCCAGGTGGCCAATAATGCGTTGATGGTGATAAAGTAAGAATGATGTATTTAATGAGTCTCAAACTGAAAGTGAATGGTAAGCCAGCCAGTGTCATAAATGATCCAACATTGTATTTTGCTTATTACCCTTCCTGCTTTTTGCCACTTTTAAAGCTTAATGAAAATTCAGAAATCAATGAAGAATTGAAATTAGGCCAGGAAGTAAATCAGTTTGCTATTCTGAGGGCAACTCCGAGTCTCTTGTAGGCTGATGCAGAGCCTGTTTTGAGGGTTTGAACATCCTTTTAAAATAGAGTAGAGGGGGTGTGTGAGTGTGTGGATTTGCATCTGCATCCATGTACCTGAACTTCAGTGTTTGCCTGTGCTCTGTTTACACACACTGAGTTTTTCTTTAATCTCGTTCCATGGGTTGTTTTAATTGGTAATCTTAGTCTCCAAACAAATAAAGGATTGTGGTCTTTGCTTGTCTGATTAGATAGGATGAGGCTAATCACTTGGGTTGATCAGATATATTTGCAGTGTTAAAAGGTGAATGCTGATAGTTTAACTTTCAGTACCCAATGCATTATTTTATGTAATAGATGGCAAAGATTCATTGTGCACCCAGAGTGACTTGATGCTTAAGTGTTGATGTTCTGTTTCATCCAAAACAGAGAAAGGAGATTTCATTGCCCTGGATCTTGGTGGATCTTACTTTCGTATTTTGCGAGTGAAAGTGTCTCATGAGAAAAAGCAGACGGTGCAAATGGAAACGGAGATTTATAACACTCCCGAGGATATTATGCATGGCAGTGGAACACGGGTAAGATTGCTTCCTAGGAATGTTCTTGCAATATATGAGGGTTGTAAAACATTTTTTGAAAAAGCTTCCACATGGTATTGTTTGGATTTTCTGATACAGTTTTGAAGGATAAAATAAAAACTACTACCTTGTAATTTTAATTTTTAAAGGAAGTAAAAGACTTACCTTCAAAATCATTTGGTGGAAAGTTAGGATGTATATTTTGAGGCCAACCTCTCTGTTGAGAATAATGCAAAATGCTAGTTTTTTTTAATATTAGGAAATTGGATTCTTGTGATAATTTCTTCCAGTTTATTCATTGCAAACCAATGTTTCCTATACAATGATGACTTGTTAAATTGGAAGGCAGTTTAGAATCCTGATCCATAGGCATGAAAATGATGACCCAGTTGTGAGCTAAAATATGTATTGCTGCTTGGTTTTTTTGTTTATTTGTACACTTATTATACCCCTCTAACTTTGTGACCCAAGATTCATAATACATCAGTTCAGCTACAATCACAAACACCTTGCTGTTATCTTTCTTTCTCTTGCCCTTGCATATGCAAATTGGTCCAAGTATACATTTTGCAGCCAGCAACTCAGGCTGTAGAAGCTACATGGATGGTTGGTGAGACCAAGAAAGGCTGGAGGAGTTTCTCCTATTTCCCCCAGTAAAAGCTCCTGTGTAAGTTACAGGTATTGGAATCTGCTGTCACCAATGCTGCCATTTTTTAAAAAGCCTACCTTACCCAATCCATTGTCATTTCTTTATCTTGCTTCCCCTAGGATGAGACTTAATGCCTGGTTTCCTGTATGCTGGCAGCATGGCTGTTAAGCCTGAATGTCAGTAATTTGGCCGGTTAGGCAGAGGCACTCTGGGCATCTTCTTGCTGTTGCAGAAATTCCCACTTTGAGCCAGTAGATTCCAGGCTCGCCTGTGCTGTTCTTGCTATTTGGCTCTTGAAAACATCTGCGCATTCACTTCAGCATGCGAAAGTGGCTCTCCTAAATGTCCCAAATGGTCTTGTTGGTCATTACTGAATGAGAGAGGTCAGCATCAGTCATACAGTAGTCAAAGAACCAAATTTCTTCTGTTTTATGTTTTGGGGAAAGTCTGTTGCGTTCCTGCGGCCGACACCTTATTCTGCATGTGGTTCAATAATGATGACAGTGCAAATACTCTTTCATAGTTATTTAAAATGTACAGTGGTGCCTCGCAAGACGAAATTAATCCGTTCCGCGAGTCTCTTCGTCTTGCGGTTTTTTCGTCTTGCGAAGCACGGCTATTAGCGGCTATTAGCGGCTTAGCGGCTATTAACGGCTTAGCGGCTTTAAGAAAAAGGAAACAAACTCGTTTCGTCTTGCGAAGCAAGCCCATAGGGAAATTTGTCTTGCGGAACGACTCAAAAAACGCAAAACCCTTTCGTCTAGCGAGTTTTTCGTCTTGCGAGGCATTCGTCTTGCGGGGCACCACTGTATTTGTATGTTTTTCAAGATCCTGCCAATATCCCAGCTCCATGACATTCCAGTTTCTTAGGCACTAGAATCGATTTTTTTAAATGAACCAGTATCAAAATGCTAAGGTGCCTGGGATGCTGGCAAACCTTACATAATTTTGTCAGGTCTTTGGATTTCTGATGACATGTTCAGCAACTTGTTATTGGACTCCAACTCCCATGAGCCCCAGCCAGTATAGCAAATGGCTAGGGATGCTGGGAGTTGTAGTCCAGCAGCGTCTGAAGAGCTTAGGAACTTCCTCTGGCTTAAAAAGATGGCACAAGCTGCTGTTTCCACCGCCAAAAGTAAAGTAAAGGGTAGAGGTTGGGCCCTAAAGCTGCAGTGCTCTTGTCACTATTTACTGGCAGCTTGGTGATTTGAACCCCATGCCTCTTCCTAGAAGGGATTCTGAGGGTCATCTGGTCCACCCCGCTGCAGTGCAGGAAGGGATGCATTGGCCTGTTCAGTTTTGGAACATGCATGTTGTTGCCAGGACGTAAAAGTCAAATGGATGCCAACAACAGCTTTAAGGCTCACCGAGCTTTAGGCTTGCCCCCAAAAGATTTTGGAGATAAATGATGGGGCATTTTCTGTGACTTTGCAAGGAAGATAAATGGGGAGGGTATAATGTAAAAGGAAATGGCTTTATGTAAAAAAACAAACAAAACAAAAGCATGGAAGATTTTGGGATTTTACTTGATGAAGTAAAGGCTCAAGCATCCGAGGAGCCAATTCTCTTGTTCTGTATCTGGCCTTATTTGTGCTGTGCCACCATTTCCAGCTTCCCCATTGCAGCACTTGTCACACCTGTTCCATGGCATGGAAAGAGCTGCAGCACTGAAACTGTAATTGGAGCTCAAGAGCTCTGCATCGTTTGCCTGCATAGTGCTACGTTAAAAAAAAAAAAGTAAAAAACTCTACATAAATTAAATATGAAACCAGTTCCAGGCATATGCTTTTAAAGAATGAGAGAAGACATTTTCGCTCTGCATGGAATCGGCATTCTGGTTATGATTCATCAATGCATTTAGGAGCTGCCAATTGAAAATGCTTGCTTGGGATAGAGCTGGGGAAGGAGGACTGAGTGGAAGAGGCAAATCCTGACTAGCCCAAAACTGAAAGTTACTTTCCAATGTTGCAAACATTTCGTTCCAGAAAGCAATGGGCTATATTCAGATTTGCCACTCAGCTGATGGTAAAATGTCCATCAGTGGAATGGGGAGGGTGATTTTTCTTTACAGTTAGCTGAATGACACCATTGAATACAACTCAGTAGGTCTGTGACACCTGCAGCTCTGTAACTTTTAAAATCAATTGTTTAAAAAGGGGCAGTTGAGTGTTGGGCTCCTCGGAGGTGGGGGAAATCAAGGAGGAAGATTTTTCTAGCATTACAAAATCACCCCAGATTTAAATCAGGAATATTTGATTTAGATCATTATTTTTATTTGTGGTATATGAGTGTTGTTTAGCCTTGTAAATAATAACATACTTGCTCGTAGAGGTTTTTAACCTGCCAAATGGGCATTCCTACTCTAAACCCAGTTGCTGTGACATGAAATGCATTGGATAATGTCCATCGAGAGTGCCAGTCTAAACTTTATTACCCAGTGCAGAGGTAATATTTCTAATTTTGTAACTATGGTTAGGAGATCAGAAATGTGCTGCAGGCTCATGTTTCGTCCTTCCCTCTCCCTGCATAAGTTCCTCCCTGCCCTCCCTTTTCAGAGTTGACCATGGTTAGTATAATGTGTAGCAAACCATGGTTAATTCAAACCAGATTGTGTTATAACCACAACTGAAGTTAACACTCAGGCCATCAAAAGAGCACTTCTGGATCAGGTCAGTGGCCCATCTGGTCCAGCATCCTGTCCTCACAGTGGCCAACCAGAAGCCTATGGGCAACCCGCAAGAGACTTGAACCCAACAGTGCTCTTCCCGCTTGTTTCCCCCAGTAACTGCCATTGAGAAGAATACTGACTCTGACAGTGGAGGCAGAACATGCACATCGTAGCTATCAGGGTGTTTCACATAGTTAAAATGACAAAGAATTGGGGAAAGAGAGCTTTATGGAACAGGCTATTGGGGTTTTTATTATTATTATGGCATAAGCCATAACTGTCAGGGTGCTGTCGACAGCTTCTGGCTGATTGCCCAGGAAAGCAGAAAGACAGAGGAAAACACAGGCTTTATAGTCCTTTTTATTATGATTCCAGATGCCAAGGCAAGTCAGCCAAGCACCTTTCAGTATCTAACATTGCTCCGAGTGAAGCTCCACGCCTCCCCCTCCTCCGTACTTCCCTATTCATCAGACTCCTCCCCTCTTCTACGGTGGCTGTTAAGGGTCCCGCGCCTTTGAGCCCTTTGCTCTGCTATTCTTAGTGAACACCTGGTTTTAGGGCACAGGACGGGTTCTGGGAGACTCTCCAGTGACAGCGTATCAGTCAGCTGTTGCTCGGGCCCTGTCTGCTCAGTACTACTTAGCTCTTCATCTCCCATTATTTCTCAACTTCTTCCCTCTTCTTCCTCTGGGGTGTGCCCTGTGTCAAACCAGTCCTGTAGATCTATGCTATCTGCCCTTTCCTCCTCTGGGATGCTCCTGGGGAGGTGGTCTCCACCACTCCTCTTCATCTGCCCAGTCCCTGACAATACCCTAGCAATGACTAGGAGATCAGGAAGATGTATGCCTTCCTAGCATGACAACATTTTCCGTACCATGGATTTCACTCTGACCTGCTTCTAAGGAAGTGTGTTTATGGTTGCAGTGACAACCAATGAGAGTTGTTCGCAGAGAAGTCTGCTGAGCATTATGGCTTCAATGGAGGATTCTGCCCCCATGTATGAAATGCATACCAAAGGACCGGATTCAACAGTGTAGTCCTGCCAGAGGATGCTCGCACAAGGTGTTCTGCTGGTGCAGCAGGGCTTCTTTCCACTCCCCCTGCACACCCTAAAATTGGCCTAGGGAGGTTCAGAAAACCCCCAGAACCTCCCCAAGTGGGAGGAGAGAGCAGATCATTCCTTCAGGCAAGCAAAAACACTTGCACTGACTGAGTGATCTGCTTAACACTACGTTGAATTCCACCCCAAAGCCTTACTTTTCAAATGTTCCGGTTTTATAGGACTGCCACCAAAATAGTATTTATTGGTATGGGATCACCTAATTATTTTTCCAGTAGTGGTTATGAGGATGAAGATGCAATTATTATTTTTATCAGGCTTTTAAAATGTTGTCTTATTGTCCTTCCTTTCTCCTCAGCTATTTGACCACGTTGCTGAATGTTTAGGCGATTTCATGGAGAAGCAGGAAATCAAGAACAAGAAGTTGCCTGTTGGGTTCACATTTTCTTTTCCATGTAGGCAAACCAAGTTAGATGAGGTAAGAATGCAGGCGGCATCTGTGTTCATCTGAAGTTGCTTTTAGATATGTAATTGTCTGAATCTGTTTTTATATATGTAGCGGTTTTAAATTGCTTTTATACATGCACTTGTTTTATATATATGTTTTTATGGTATTGTGGAATGGCTTTGGGATGCTTCATGGGAAGTGATCCATAAATACACAAATAACACTGCACAACTTTATTACTGTGCAGAAGAAACGTAGGAACCTGCCTTACCCCAAAGCAGAATGCTAGGCCATTTAGCTCAGTATTCTGTCTATGCTGACTGGAAGCAGTGCTCCACGGTTTCAACTTCCCCAGCCCCATCTGGAGGTGGCAGAGATTGAACCAGGGACTTCTGGCAGGCAGAAAGAACATGTGCTGTGAATCTTCCCCAGCTAGATGGTACTAAAGTGCCCTTTGGCTGATATGACTTGGTTTGAGTCATCTTGCTTGGAATATTGTTCTCGTTGCAATATTGTGTGTGGAAACCGTTGGAAGACACTTGAATTAGAACTTCATTGCTCCCAGCACATGGCCAGGAAGCATGCAGTGTTTTTGGATTTTGGAAGTGAAGACCTGTTTAATGTTACGAAGAAGACCCCATATAAATCCATCGTATGGAAGAATTTAGCATGTGAACTGTATATGCATACTGTTAAGCATGATTCCCTGATTGTGGTACCTCCAAAATGGAGATGTATAATTGTAGCAAGGGTAGGTAATGGAGTATGTGGGTAGATTTGTTCACCTGTATTATGTCCTCTATGAGAACGTGAGCAAATTGATTCGTAGGAAATTCAGCAGTGTCACCACATATGAAAACTGATCTTCAACTCATTTTTTTTTTAAACTGAAAAAGTGAGTCTTGATTCAAAGAAACACTGGGCCTAATATCTTTAGGCCATTATTTTATTTTATTTTTCATTTTATTAGGGTGTTCTAATAACCTGGACAAAACGTTTCAAAGCAAGTGGTGTTGAGGGAGCAGATGTAGTGAAGTTGCTAAACAAAGCCATCAAGAAGCGTGGGGTAAGATTATCGTTTTAAATACATGTATAGCTAGCATTGATACATGAACTTGGCTGATAATGGAACATCTTTTGTTACTTGCAGATGTCAGGAATTGTGTCAATCTTTTTCAGTGTCATTGTAGAATGATTAGATGGTCGCTAATTTCACATTGCTTTTAACTCCTAGTAAAAGTATTGAGCCAAGAAGATGTTCGGACTAAGAAACCAATTTCTTGGGGAGGGGGCTATATAGCATTTCTTGTTCTAGATAATATTATATACCAAACAGACTTCCATAGACTCAACAGCCTTAGATTCAAACAATCCTCTCTTAATATCACAGTGAAGTTTTATTCATGTTAACTTGGAAGTTTGTCCAGCTGAGTCCCCCATTGAATGGGACTTGCAGCCAAGTCAATGGACCTAGAAGAGCAACCTAAGATAGTTTCAAAGTAGTGGAAAGTTCTGTGTCTGTAGCTGCATTTGACATGGATAGGATGGGTCTTTCGGTGGTCCAGATGTCAATGAGTCTTTTTTTTTGGGCTGATGGAGTTTTTGAGAAGAAAAGGATCTTGAGACTCAAGGGTAAGTAGTAAAAAGGGGACAAAATATGAAACCACGAACAGCAAGCAGACCTAAACAAAGTGCCCAGTAAATAATATTTACTGAGATTCTGTGTCACATTAGCAAGTAGAATATGCCTATCAAAAAGTGTTGGTAAAATTGCATATTAGAAATATTCCCTTTCATTTTGAAGGACTACGATGCAGACATCATGGCAGTTGTCAATGACACCGTAGGGACCATGATGACCTGCGGATTTGATGACCAGCGTTGCGAAGTTGGCTTGATCATTGGTATTGACATTTGATTCCTTTGCCAAGCATAATGCATGTTGACATTTTTGGTTTGCTCTTTTTTATATATATATAAAAAGCCTGTTGACTAATCCCACGGCCTTCTTTTAAGGTACCGGCACTAACGCCTGCTACATGGAAGAAATGAGACACATTGATCTGGTGGAAGGCGACGAAGGGCGGATGTGCATCAATACTGAATGGGGAGCGTTTGGAGACGATGGCTTGTTAGAAGACATCCGGACTGAATTTGACAGGGAGATCGATCGGGGTTCCGTTAACCCTGGGAAGCAATTGTAATTGAGCTTCCTTTCTTCTACTGTTCTTGTTTTAGACTTTCATGCCTGTCCCAAAGGTTTGTGGTTGGGAGTTACACCTTAAGGCTTGGAACCTTAGATCCACGAGCAGAGCCTCCTTCCATTCTTGCCTGCTTCCCTTTTGCTCACCACTCCCCAAGAAGACTTTTGGATGGTTTCAGGACTTTATAGAATGACCTGGGGAACTAGCATGGCAGAGGGGTTCTTGCAGCTGTGGGAAAATTTGTCAGAAATTGGGGACCCACCTTGAGTGAGTGGAAGTTCCCTGCATTTTTGCTACCCATCATTCTTTCCTAATTTTATTCTGTTGGCAAGTGTGTGTGTGTGTGTGTGTGTTTTAGGGTGGGTGGTCTTGGTTGAGTTCAGCTGAGAGGGAGAGTGATTTGCTCAGGATTTCCACACTGTAAGCATGATGGCTAAAGAAGGATTTGAACCCTAAGGATGCCTCCCATCGGCACCTACTGGGAATTGATCTTGGGTAACTATATGCAGGAGCGGGCCACACGCTTGTAAACCACTCGTGAGTGTGTCTGATTTGTGTTTCTGCCGTAATATCTTTCCAGGTTTGAGAAGATGGTCAGTGGCATGTACATGGGCGAGCTCGTCAGGCTGATCCTTGTCAAAATGGCCAAAGAAGGTCTTCTTTTCGAGGGGAGAATCACTCCCGAACTTTTAACCAAAGGGAAGCTAGAAACAAAGCACGTTTCTGCCATGGAGAAGTAAGTAACTTTGAAGCTTTCCTCCTACGCTTGCAACCTAGAATACTTGTGTAATGAATAGGGGAGTGGAATATATGCAGTTGGATTCTAAGAGCAACTCCTGGATGGGCTTTTAAAAATAGAGTTTTGTCATTATCTTAATAGGCAGCACTTTCCAGCTTCCAAATGACATTCAGTGTATGTATGTTTTCTGAAGCTGCAGCCTTTTGACCTGACGTTTTCTGGCTTTGCACCATGTGGCCTATTTTAAAGCAACGGCTTCCAGAATTTTACCCTTAACTGGTCCCACTGATTACAAGTGGTGCACAATACAGAGAACCCATCACCCAAATCCAGCACAGTGGAACTGAAAACCTCTTTGTGCTCCGTAGGGTCTTAATATCGCAGATTCTAATCTCAGCCTCCCCTCCCCTTCCTTTCCTCGCAAGATTTCCACGGGACTCTGCTGCACCCATTCTCAGACTCTCACAACACTCTCCCTCGGTGAGCAACCTGCCCATCCGTCAAGATTATGTTATCTTATCGTAACTTTTTTGTGGTTTCTGTTTTTAGGAGCAAGGAGGGTTTGCAAAAGGCCAAGGAGATACTTACCCGTCTTGGGGTTGAGCCCTCCCACGAAGACTGCGTCGCCGTCCACCACGTGTGCACAATCGTCTCCTTCCGCTCTGCCAACCTGGTGGCTGCCACTCTGGGTGCCATCCTTAACCAGCTGCGGGACAACAAGGGAGTGGGCCGCCTGCGCACCACCGTGGGGGTTGATGGCTCCCTTTACAAGATGCATCCGCAGTAAGAGCCTGCCAGGTTTCCATAATTACATCTTGGCACCTGTTAGGGACTGTCTCTTGCAAAAGGTCAGAGATGTAGCACATCCAGCTGACATTTGGCTGTGTGCTCTGGACTTGGGCTAAGTAAACAGAGCTCTCAAAGGAGGTGAAAGTGGGCTGTAAATATCACAGTCCAAAGGCAGCTCAGTAAGTTAGGCCGGAGGCAGTGCTTGCAATGCACATGGAATAATAGAAGTTGGAAGGGACCACAGGGATCATGTAGTCCAACCCCCTGCAATGCAGGAATCTTTCACCCAACGTGGGCTTGAACCCATGGCCCTGAGATTGAGAGTCTCAGGCTCTACCAGCCAAGCTATCCCTCAGGGCTAATACCAGGTAGCTGCTTGCAGCAGACAATCTTTGCAGCTAGTTTTCTGCACATTGCAGTGATGTGCCCATAACATGCAATAGTCTGTAGTTTATTTCCCCCCCCCCCCATGTTAACTTGTACCATACAGATGGAAGGGGGTACTTTGCAGTTACACACTCCAAACCACCCTGTGATTCTTGGGTGGTATAGAAATTTAATAAAGAGAACAAGCAAGTTGATGCCACACCATTGGAAAAGCAGCTGTGGAAGCTCTTCTTTTTGTTTTGTTTTGTTTTGGTGTTGCCTGGATATTACTCTTAACATATCTGCCTGTCTGTGGAAGATAACTTGTCTTGGAGAAACAGAGCAACAAAGGTTTATATTGCTGGGGCTGGGGAACCTGTGGCTCCCAGGGGCAAAATGTGGCCCTCCAAGCCTCTCTATATGTTTCAAAGCACATTCTGAGCCTAGGAGTTTGTTTTCAGTAGCAGAACTGAGCTGAGCTCACCATCTCTTTTTCACAAAAGTCACTCATAGCTAGCTTTTTTTCAGCAGGCTGATTTAAGCATTTTATTGTTGCCTAGCTCAGTTGGTAGAATATGAGACTCTTAATCTCAGGAACATGGGTTTGAACCCCTGCATTGCAGCGGGTAGGACTAGATGACCCTTCCTTGTGGACCCTTCCAGCCCTACAGTTCCATGATTCTACAAAATCACCCAGCCAGTAGACCCCAATGGCCGTTCTCCCACCCACCTCTGGTGTTGGCTGTGTATGCGTGCATATAAGCAGAGTGGGTGTGGGATCAGTATTTGTGTGCTAGGCAGGCACCCCATTCCCAGTGCCCCGTCCATTAGGCCTGCAATGCTGGAGCAGCGTGGGAGCTACTTCATGCGATTATTTCTTACTCTGCTCCTGTGATGTCTGCAGAGAGGAACCATATGCAAGAGCTGGACAATGTGGCTCCTTCCCAAGCTGGCTTTGTCACTCTCCTGGTGGTGGCATTGCCAGTTTTAGAAAGAACCATGTCCTTTAGTCTTCCCACAGCATTCTCCTGTATGGATATTTCTGGTCAGGTGTGGGACTATGACGCGGGAAAGTTCCATGCATCTCTCAGATGGCATCGACTCTCAGTTATTGTCTGGATTGCAGTTATATGTGCTGTTTTTGCATCATTAGGAGCTCTGCCTTGTATCTATAAAGCAAACTGCTATTACACTAGATCAGGATGGGGAACCTGTAGCCTTCCTGATGTACCTGGACTACAACTCCCATCATCCTGACCACTGATGGGAGTTGTAGTCCAGCCCATCAGATGGGTCTGATGGGAGTTGTAGTCCAACAAAATTAGCTGGGACACATGTTTCCTATTTATCCACTGTCTAGACAGCTCCTTGGCCTGACCCGTGATTTCCCCCCCCACCTTTAATTAAGGAAAAATTCCTATTGCTGAACCTACTGTTTCCCCCCCTCCTCAGGTATTCCCGACGGCTGCAGAAAACCGTACGCCGCTTAGTGCCCGACTCAGACGTGCGCTTTTTGCTGTCAGAGAGCGGCAGCGGCAAGGGTGCTGCGATGGTGACAGCGGTAGCATACCGGCTGTCAGAGCAGCACCGCCTGATAGACGAGACTCTGGCTGAATTCAAGCTCACTCACGAGCAGCTGCTGCAGGTGAAGAAGAGGATGCGGATGGAAATAGAAGCAGGCCTCAAGAAGAAATCGCACGATCACGCCAAAGTCAAAATGCTGCCCACCTTCGTCCGCAGCACACCTGATGGGACAGGTAGCTCTTTAGTCCTTGGGAAGGGACCTTTGGAAGAGGCAGCCTAGTTTCCTCATTGCAGAGTGAGGCAGCTAATAATCTAAGGCTGGGAGCCCCCAGATAGCGGGGGTGCATTCTTTCCATGCATTTCTGGTTTGCTTGTTTTTAAAATACTGAGGTGCTGCTTTCCCAGCATCAGTTCAAAGTGACTTAAGAACACAGAGAGAAAAATAGAGTTACAACCATATCAAGTTCACAGAATTAAAGAGTGGAATGCAATAACTTAAAAGCATATGGACCAGTGAGAAAAGTTGCTCTAGGGGGACATTTCAAATGAAAAAAGGAACGTTTTACAACCCCAGCCCCAAATGCAGCTAAGGAGACATTCCTCCATAACTGCCTCCCCACCCATTGTTCTTGTAGAATTTTGTGTTCAGGAAACTGAACACAAAATGCAGTTTCAGGTTGCTATCACTTTTCATTGGGGAAATGAAATAAAATAGATTATGTCCTCAGACTGATGTCCCCCTCCCCACTTTGGAAAGCTGCAAACTGCTTTGTAGAACCAGTCGATGTTGAAGAGCAGTTTGGAGAACCTGGTGGAAGCATTTTCTGAGGAGGCAAAGTGGTGCAGATGGCTGTTTAGATCTTGACCTGTATCTAAAAGTTGAACAGATTTTGAATTCATTAGATCTAATAAATATGTGCCATGCCATATTGATCCTTAATATCAGTCCTACAGATTTACTTAGTACGTTTACAGTACAGTTATGCATGTTTACTTGGAAGTAACACCTACTGTGCTCAATTGGGCTTACTCCCCAGTAAGTGTATTTAGGATTTTAGCCTTAATATACCACTTTTCAGCTGATGAGGTTATCATATGCTCTAGTCAACTCGATTCATCAGGAACAGAAAATCACAATTGTGGTCCAACTAAAATTTCCCATGCCTTTCTTCTATGAGGACGGCAATAAAAACATATCCCTGCTCCATGATGCGTTCAGATTCACAATTCCTAGGGACCACTTTTTTGTTAGTTTGCCAACACCTGCCTGATTTGATTTTTGGTATGTCAAATGAGTCAAACCGCGCCGCTGGAGCACGTTTTCTGTTCTCATCCTGAAGCAAAGTTCTTAACCCGAGGTACTATTTCTGTGTTAGCGGAGTCTGTAACCTGAAGCGTATGTAACCTGAGGTACTACTGTACAGGTTCTGGTCAGGTTCGGTATTCCAGAATCAAGTGGAGATAAAATCAGTTCAGCCTCATTTCACCACATAAAAAAATGCCATTGGCAACGGACAGGAGTCCTTGCTTTGTCATTTACTCATTAACTGAGTGGTCCTTTAGACTTCCAGGGGTTTTTTGATGTGGCACTCAGTTGGTTCTTGTATCTCTTCCTGATGGCTCTGTAAAACGAAAGCTTGCGTTTCTTTGAAAGAGCACACCTTTTAAATGAAGATGGAGAAACATCGCCATCTGCTGGCTAATGTTCCATGTATGTACTGTATAGTAATTCATCCGTTCCCAGCGAGCCAACTTCTCTTGCTTTTTTGAAGAGAATAATTGCATTGCAGTGTGTCCCCACCCTCCACCCTGTAGAGAAATCCTACTTGTTCAACCAAGGGTTTCCCCCAACACTGTCATCATGTAAATAAGTTTCCTATGTATAGGGCTTTCCTTTCCCACACTGCCAGCATGTAATGTTTTGTTATTCCAAGTTGTCAGCGTGAGAGAGAGACTAGTGAAGAATCCAAGCCTGCCCACTAGTACTGCCGCCACTCCTGTTGGTCCCCCCCCCCCATCCTTAGCCAAGGGAAATTCAATTTTTTTCTGGGTGTCCTTGGGATTCACATAGACAAGAATCAAACAGTTTATTCACTGTCTTTTAAGCCTCCAACCTACAAATCACTCAGCCAGGTACAAGATGCCGAGCCGAACTTACTCTAAGAAGCCACCCAAGGTTAAATGCACAAACGTTTGTAAAAATAAACATGAGAACCCAATACCATAGAAGGTGGTTAATAAAAGGCTTAGAATGTAAAGATACCATTGGGAATTCAAGTACAGATAAAAAATAACAAAGCTAGCTTGTCTCATTCTCTGTTAGGGTCGCAGACCCCACCAACAAGCTGAACCCAGGCATATGTGGTTGGTGTGATTCACAATCAACATCCGAATGGGGGCCATTAGACCCAGGCCAAAGACCAGTTTTTATCAGAAAGGCAGAAGGGTAGCTTTTTGCATTAACCAATCAGGGCCTAGGGGCATCTTTGCCCAGCACCAGGGGTGTATATGCTGAAAGACCATGTAGCGACTCAAGAGGATTTTTGCAGTCATTACGACCTTGATGTGATCTTGCATCAGGCAAGATGGACTAATTAAACGGGACTTCTCCCCTCAGTAAGATGGTTTTCAGAATCCTGAGCAGCAAGCCATTTAAAAATGAGCCAAAAAAGGGGAATACCCCTCTTTCAGTCCTCCTTTCTGCTCCTTCAGTTAACTGCATATGCTGTAAGTCATGTATTTTGAAGAAGTATGCTCTCACCTGGCTGCTTCTGTTTTGTAGTAAAAACATTCATGTTTGTGTGTCCAGATTAGGGTCCCATCCTGTTTTTAGTTGCTTGATTCTGAAAGTGTCCCTTTGGGGGTAAGTAGAATATGGGGTGGTTTTCAGCAGTAAACCAGCATTGGGCATTAAATTGCATTAGGCCGCTTTTTCACCAAAATAAAAGTAGCCAGGTTAAGCGTGTTTGTTTAAATGGATGAATAACTTGAGCTCAGTGTAAGGATGCGTTCTCGTTACCACCTCAGAGTGCCGTGAAGCCCCACCCACAAGTTTCACGTTGCCTTCGGCATGGCTTCATTAGTGTCAGATGGGTTTCTGTTTGTGTACACACCAGAGGGCATTGCCGAGGCAGGGATGTGATTACACCATGCAAAGGCGCACGTTAGTGTGTTGGCGTGTCACACGAACGCTCCGCCCACGCTCCTCCCGGGGCTGGAAAGGTTTAACTTTCTGTTTGTTAGTAAAACTGAACTACTGTGTTGCAAAATGATGCAAACCTTGAATTACTGTGTTGCAAAATGATGCATGTATAAAAAGTGTGTCACCAACATAAAAAGTTGGGAAAGCTCTGGCTTAGGGACTACTGTTGATGTGAAGCTGGGGTGAGGAACAATGCACCAGACGGATATGTATATATGCACACATTTGTACAGGATGCATATGCATTTTGGATAAAGTTGTGTAAACTCTTGATTAAAAACCCAGCACTGGAAACACAATGAGTTCACAGTAGATGAGAGAGCCTTTTCCTCCTGTAACATAAAAGCACTGGGGACTAAAAGTTCGGAAAATTTAGATGTGTTGTTCCTCACTTCCTACTTGGTCAAAATTATTTCATTGCAGAGAACGGAGATTTCCTGGCCCTGGATCTTGGAGGAACAAACTTCCGAGTTTTGCTTGTGAAGATCCGAAGCGGTAAAAGGCGCATGGTGGAGATGCACAATAAAATCTATGCCATTCCTATAGAGGTCATGCAAGGTACTGGAGAGGAGGTGAGCATGTAGTGCAGAGGATGTTATGTTGTTGCTATCTTTCAGAGACTGCACAGTGCTTGTGATACACACTACTTTATTTTGCTTTTTCCAGCTGTTTGATCACATTGTTTCCTGCATCTCGGATTTCCTGGACTACATGGGAATAAAAGGTGCACGACTCCCCCTGGGCTTTACGTTTTCTTTCCCTTGCAAACAGACAAGCTTAGATGCTGTAAGTTATTGTTCTTATTTCTGTAATGAAACTTTTCCATATGTGTTTTTTAAGAGTGGATTTTCAGCTGCAGTTTAGCGGTTGAGAAGAGGTATGCAGGCAGACAAGCGTGAGTGTGAGCTTTGCACATGCAAAGAATATTGACACAGTCAATATTCCTTATACTGAGTTAAGATCATTGGTCTATCTGGCTCAGGATAATCTACACAGAATGGGAGCCACCTCTCCAGTCTTTCCAAGGCCTTAATGAAGATGTTGAGGATTGAACCTGGGAGTTCTTGCCTGCAAGGCATGGGCTGTTATCACTGAGTTAAGCCCCACCGTACCTGCAGATTCTAGACTTAACTGCAGTGTGCCTTTAAAAGTGATGCCGAAACAAGATATTGCAGGGGCATGGCTGGTTGCCATCAGTCTTTGTTGTTAACCCATGTTCCCATGGTAACAGCTAATGAAAGGAGATGCATGATGTCATCTCACTTGTAGTTTGGCTATTCCCCCTGCTCTACTTCATTGGCTGTCATTTGTGCTCGGCTGGAAACTGAACACAATGACATCACACCGTGCATCATCTTTCAGAAGGTGTTACTCGGATAATGTTGACTAGTGGTAAATACCACCCCACAGTTTGGATCTCCAGGAACAACAGCTGCATATGTATTCATATGAGGAGCTCTTGATGCCATCGTGGGTTCATTAGCTGGTTGGGTCTGCTACTGCACCTGGATGCCCAGGTGGTGATTATTTCTGGTTTGTTCTGATACTGCAATGAACTGAGTTTCTTGTTCCTTTTCTTAGGGCATCCTTCTGAACTGGACCAAGGGCTTTAAGGCTACTGACTGCGAAGGGGAGGATGTTGTTAATTTGCTACGGGAAGGAATAAAAAGAAGAGAAGTAAGTTTCCCCCCCTGTGATTTCTTAAAATTAGCAGATGGTGTTGATCTTCTTAAAAATCATGTATTGTTTGTTTTATGAGTCACTGTTGTGTGTTCTTACTCTTCCTCTGGATTGCTTAAGATCCCCTGTTCTGGGGGTTCTCCTAACCTTCCTGAGCAGATATGTGGAGGGTGTGGTATTGGGAAAGGAAAGGGTGGTTTTCACGTTCTGCTGGCAGAACTCGTTGCTCTGGCTTCTGCCAGTGCAACAACTTAGTTGAATCCAGCCCTCCGGACATCGGAATTAAAATTAAATTGCTATTATTTAAAACAGACCTGTGTTTTCCTGATTATTACAATATTTGCAAATGACAGGCATGGGCTTGTTTCCCTGAACTTGTAACCATTGGTGAATACTACTCCGCCGTGTTTCAAGAGAAGCAATTGTAGTATATAATTTTGTTACTTCTTCCAAGGAATTTGACTTGGATGTTGTGGCCGTGGTGAATGATACAGTTGGGACTATGATGACTTGTGCCTATGAAGATCCCAATTGTGAAATTGGACTCATTGTGGGTAAGAATGGGACTTGCTATTTAGTTTGGTTCATTGGGTGCCTCATTATACTAAGACCCATTGCAGTAGGTCCTATAACTACTGGATGATTTTGTGTGTCCTTTTTTTTGTCTATTCTGGTATTGAATCTGATTCTTTCACTGTTCCAGGAACTGGCAGCAATGCATGTTACATGGAGGAAATGAGAAACATAGAGATGGTAGAAGGAGAGCAAGGAAGAATGTGTGTGAACATGGAATGGGGCGCGTTTGGAGACAACGGATGCCTAGATGACATCAGGACAATCTATGACAAAGCTGTTGATGACTACTCATTAAACAGCGGCAAGCAAAGGTATTTCCGGGTGAAATGTTGTTGGAAATGGGTGAAGGCTTGTGCTGCGGTGACTCAGCAGAGATGGTTTTCGTCACATGCACTACTGTGATCACCTGATTGGACTTCAAGACAAACGCACAGCCTTGGGCATGCTTTCTTCTGGGAGCCTGGGTGCACAGAGGCAGCAAGGCTGGTGGGTGTCTGAAAACTCGCAACATAAACAAGAGAGGAAATTGTGTGTTTCTGCTGTGTCCAGAACCAGAAATCAATTCAGCAAACATAGCTGCATATTAGTGCCTGCTGTTGCTTTCAGCCTGCAAACAAAATGTATTTGTATCTCTGCCCCCTCAAATATGCATTGTGTTCCCTTTGCATTGAAATGAATGGGGTGGAATAACGTAATTAGGCTTTTACTGATTAAGGATTAATCACCAGCAAAACTTTTCTCAGTTGACCTTAACACACACACACCCTTCTTTCTGAACCCCTCATCTGTCTATGATTTGCAGGTATGAGAAGATGATCAGTGGAATGTACTTGGGGGAAATTGTCCGGAACATTTTGATTGACTTCACGAAAAGAGGATTCCTCTTCAGAGGTCAAATTTCAGAGACACTGAAAACGAGGGGCATTTTTGAAACAAAGTTCCTTTCACAGATAGAGAGGTAAGTGAGCTTAGATGTATATGTCATTGTCAAGCTATTACTAACAATTACTTTTTCTCGGAAATCTTAGCTAATGATATCAGCATTACAATAATGCTCTACAATCTACTGTGAGTTTTTACACAATCCATATTTGTGGTTCTCTTTCATGGTTCTGCATTTTTTGAGTGGCACACTTGGGCAAATCTTTTTTTTATTGATTTTCATTTGTTTTCCCCAAATTGGTCACTAATTAAAACAAATTAAATTAAATTAAAACAAATCAACATTTTCCCAAATCTGAACAAATTTAACATTTTTCCAAATCTGACTTCCTGCATGCCCTCCTGGATGTGTGGATGGTTCTCCTTGATGCTGCATCATATTCCCCAGTTAACTTCAAACATTTCGAACAACCTTATATTACAATATACTTGCCACTTGAGTAGCAAATGTTAGGGCCTGCCTCCTAACGTTGCTGTAATACTGCAGCGGTGCTGCAATACTGCAGTCTGACACCAGCTGCCGCTGTAGTGCTTTTTTTTGCATCAGTATAGATGGAGACAGAAACGGCCCTAGAGCGGCAGACCACTGCGAAGAGCAGAGACAGATCAACTGGGCAAAGAATGGCTTCCAGAACAGCTGGAAGTGCAGCAGGGCAATGCTCCCCTGTTCTCTGGGACCAAAACCTATTACAGACCCTGAGAAAGTGAGGATAGTTTGAATGCAGTGAAAAGGGGCTGCTCAGAGTGTGATGGGAGGCGTTTTTAGCCATGTAGATTTCAGTACCAGTGTTGTATATAGGTGTCTGGAGATGACATAGGTGGTCTTAAATAGGGAAAGGGCAGGAGTGCACGCAGAAGTTTCCCTGGCTCCATTTGAGACTTTCCTGCATTCAGCATCAAAGAGGGTTTTTCTGTGGGGAGGACCTTTGCACTTAATGTGGACTGGTTTGAGGTTGAGCTGGCATTCCAGCGGGGAGGGGGATGTTGGGTACCTGCTCCTCCATTTATAGCCAATGTATAGCCTCCATTTATAGCCTGAATGCCAGAATAGACCTTCAATTGTACACTCAGTGATGCATGTGGTACCCAGGCCAACGGGAGTCTTTGACTGCATACACCTGTGGCCCTCCAGGTGTTGTTGGCCACATTCCACTGGCCATGTTTGCTGGGCTGATGGGAGTTGGAGTCCAACAGCATCTGGTGCCCTTATCCCTGGTGTCCACCGAAGCAAAGAATTTTGGAAATGAGTTCAAGCCTCTGTTTTCTCTCTCTTCCCCCTTCTCCCCTTGGGTCTTCTCAACAGTGACAGGTTAGCGCTGCTTCAGGTCCGTACAATCCTCCAGCAGCTTGGTCTGAACAGCACCTGTGATGACAGTATCATCGTCAAGACGGTGTGCGGCGCAGTATCAAGGAGGGCGGCTCAGCTGTGTGGAGCCGGGATGGCTGCCGTTGTAGACAAAATAAGGGAGAACAGAGGCTTGGACCACCTGGATGTAACGGTGGGCGTCGATGGTACGCTGTATAAGCTTCACCCACAGTAAGTACTGGGAAATTATGTGCTTTTGCTGTCTGGGCTCCGGGAAACAAAGATACCAAGTGTCTTAAAACTTTGTGAAAAGCAGTGCTTGGCTTGTGAGAGATTGGGGATGCTCTGATGAAATAGCCAAGGGAGCCTTTTCTCCTAGCCTGCATGTTTTGTGGCTTACTGTGTGCTTGCTTAATGAGTAGTCACTGTGTACTCCACCACTCTTTTGGGCTTGAGCTTATGTTTCACTGCAGACTCCATAGGCATAGGTTAAGGATAAGGGGTTTCTAATTCTCATTTCCATGAAAATGAATGGACTCAGATGCATATTTCAGGTGCATGCCTTATGGAAATGACTGCGGATGGGTGTGTGAAAACAGTGAGAAGGAATTCCCTTTATATCACAGCTGCTCCTTGCTTCCTTCTGCAATCTCCTGCCAGTTTCTTCTGTAAAGTCTGCATGTTGAGTGTCTGGCTCCGTTCACTGACATAAGGAAGGCTTCCGGTTTAACATGGAGAAGCATAAGAAGAGCCTGCTGGATCAGGCCAGTGGCCTATTTGGTCCAGCATCCTGTTCTCAGTGTCCAACCAGATGCCTGTGGGAAGCCTGAAGGCAGGACGTGAGCACAGAAGCTCTCTCCTTTCCTGCAATTTCATAGAATCGTAGAGTTGGAAGGGACCCTGAGGATCATCTAGTCCAACCCCCTATAATGCAGGAAGATGCACGGGGATCGAACCTGCAACCTTGGCATTATCAGCACCACGTTCTAACCAACTGAGCTATCCGTTTCCAGCAACTGGTATTGAGAAGCGTTGCTGCTGAAAAGAGAATGAAACCTGCTTGGTAATCTTGAGACCTTATCGTGATTATGGACTGGCAGAGAGAAGCCCTCCCTCACATTTCCCTCCTTTTGTTTGTTTTTTTCCACAGTTTTTCAAGGGTCATGCACCAAACGGTAAAGGACCTGGCCCCCAAGTGCGATGTGACATTCCTTCTCTCCGAAGATGGCAGTGGCAAAGGGGCTGCCCTCATCACTGCCGTGGGATGTAGACTGCGTGAGGCTGAGCATAACTGAACTCTGCACCACTGGCTCATTCTGCCTTCCGAGCACTTCCTTGCGAAAAGCAGCCGTTCCGTAGTCTGAACTGGCAAGAGGGGAAGCCCAGAGTCCCACTGCTGCTTTATGGAAGCGTTGGAGTTAAAAAATAAAAATAGGATACTGAATAGAGTTTGCTGCTGTTGCTGATAATATCTCCCCCCCTTGAACCCCTTGTCTGCATGTGTCTTTTTCTGCCCTATTTGGTACATTCCCCGTGTGTAAATCATTCAAAGGAGAAAAAAAGGAGGATCTATAATTTAAACAAATGTCAAAAATAGGTTTATTATTCGAGGTCTAAAATTACAGCCAAATAATGTCCAAGGATAAGAGCAGGTGGTTCTGTGTGTCAAGTGTATTATTTCCAGCTGCTACTACATCCGTGTTAAATACATATACCAACAACAGTGCTGAGTAGGAGACAAATGCTTATGCTAAGAGGGCTTAGCAGTTCTTTTCTGAATTTCTAGCCAAATGTTTGATTCCCCGCACCCTTTTCCTTTCAGACAACTTTGAAGTTTTCACATCTGCTGAGCTGCACTCCGTGCTCCTGTAGCAAGGTCTCCTTTAGCGGTCAGAATTGTCTTCTGCTCACTGTATTCAGTCACTAGGAAAGAAATAAGGGGCTCTCCCGACATGTCTTAATATCACTGGCTTTTCCCGCTGCTTTGGTGAATGATGTCATGTTTCCAAGTAAGATTTGTGCTGTTCCAAAAGGCAAGTCTGTGCTAGTCAAAACAAAACAAAACAAAACCAAGAGAAGGATTGACCCCAGAGATAATCCAAACCTCTGACCGTAGAGATATCCATAGCTTTCCATGTGCCCTTCCCTTGGTTTGGCTAGATTCTGGTGAGTTGAGGATGTTAATTTTTAAAAGGGGAATCCTGGTCTCCCTTCCTGCTCTGAGAGCCACTTCCAGTGTAATGAGCCGAGTTCACGGACTGCCTTTGTGTAGCAATTGTACGAGTGCTTGCAATGTGGGAGTGACATGGCTGCAGGTTATCTAGGGGAGTTCTGGCAAGTCCACGGCATGTATTTGCTTCTGAAAACGTTCTGCCACACTGCAAGGCCAATACCATTCCCAACACCTTTGTCCACCTGCCAAAGCTGGAGTTAACCTGGCTTTCTGGCCTGCCCAGGCCTTTGGCTGTGAGCCTTTGGCTGCTGTGACTGGGAAGCTGCCCTTTTAATTTTCCCACAATGCTCTTGTGCACCCAATGTAACATTGCCCCGGAAAGTGGCGGACAAATTAAAAGAGCAGGCAGCTTCCCAGACACAGCTGCTGCCTCCTGGTATGTCCATATGTATGGGATGGAATGGATGACCTGAGTGAGCAAAGTGGTGTTTGGGTGCTTTGCTAGGGAGCCCTCTAATCTGCATTAACGGCTAGTTTCCACATTTTAAAGCTCACACAAGTGCTTTAAAAATTTACACTCTGAGTCTAGCTAAATAATAGGGGAAGGGGTGGAATGAAATGCATCCTAATCGCCATTAACAGTGGGTCCTATGGAGGCCAAAACCACACTGATTTTTAATGGAGCTGAATAATGCCCCTGATGTTTGGAAGTATATACCTTTCCATGTGGATTTAAAAGTGACATTAACTTCAGAACCAGGCTTTTAAACAGTGTTGTTTTTCTAGAAAAAGGTGCTGGACTCACCATGAACGCCTCCCTTGTTCTCTTGGAATGGCAATGGCGGCCACCTGAGAGATTCTGGAGCTAAGTTCCTGCTGGAAAAAAACCCTGCTTTTAGATACATAGATAGCAGCAGCATCTAACGATTAGATGAGTAAAGTTTCAAGGAACTGTCCTTGTGTCAGTCCACATTGGGTGTGGGGCAAGGAACTCCAGGGTGCTTGTGAAAGCATTGTGGGCAAGTAACACCAAACTAGCCTGCTCCAAAGGTGCCTAAAGCAAGGAAATTTCCAGCATTGGGACTAGATTCAGCTAGACTTGCAAGTCAAGCCAGCCTGCCACTCAGCAAATAGAAAGGGCTGGCAAACAGTGATGTGGGATGCATCCTGCCCCCCCACTCCCCGGTTATTTACCTTTCCATGGATCCCCCTGGTTTGTTAAGATTCGTAGTAACAGATTCAAATCTTTTAGTTTTAAAAAAAAAATGCAAGTAAAATAAGCATGCCAGATTATAGCCTTGCGTGAAACTTTCTGGTGCACATTAATTTATGCAAACTTGCCTAATTTGCACAGAAAAAAATTGCCATCGCACGCAGACAACCCACATCACCTTTCCCTTCCTATTTGGAATTGCACAAATAAAAAATTAGCTAGCTTGTCTTTTAAGTTTGGTTAGCCTGCAGTTAGTTTTCTGAACAGCTGCCGCAGAAGCGACCCACTACCATTCTAGATCTTTCTGTTCTCTGAAATATGAATTGTTGTTTGTTCCAACTAAATACCACCATTGGCTAGAAGAAAAGAGATTTGCAGACTTACCGTATTTTTTGCTTTATAAGACTCACCTTTTCCCTCCTAAAAAGTAAGGGGAAATGTGTGTGCGTCTTATGGAGCAAATGCAGGCTGCGCAGCTATCCCAGAAGCGAGAACAGCAAGAGGGATTGCTGCTTTCACTGCGTAGCGATCCCACTTGCTGTTCTGGCTTCTGAGATTCAGAATATTTTTTTTCTTGTTTTCCTCCTCCAAAAACTAGGTGCGTCTTGTGGTCTGGTGCGTCTTATAGAGTGAAAAATACGGTATTTTTCTTCTCTGCTCCTCAAGATTTGGATTCCCCATGCTAATAAGCATTTCAATATGCATTTTGGTGCACTGTGATTGAATGTTGTGTGGTAACACGAGTCACAAGCAGTAAGCTCAGCTTTAAGTGTGTGCGTGTGTGTGTGTGTGTGTGTGCGTGTGTGTGTGTGTGTCTTCCTGAAGATCTGCATGATTCCCTGGATTTGCAATGCTAGAAAGTCTTTTTACATTGCACCACTAGTAGCAGCAGTACTTACTAGTGCAAAGTGAATATTTGTGACAATATTAAACTTTTTTTGACGTGTGTTGGTGTTTGGTGATTCTTTCTGGCAAAGGAATGATTGGTGCTTTGGAGAAGGGTGGGGAAGATCCCTGTGTGTTTTAAAAGCAATGGAAACAAACTGGGAATATTTAAAATAAAAACTTGATTCAATTATAGATTCCAGATATTTTCTGAGAAATGTTTTCCTCTAGCAAATGTATCTTTACACAACAGTGTTAAAATGTCCCACCAGATTTCAGCCTTGGGTTGAACACACTTGCACACCTCTTTGGCACAAGAACTGCTACATGTTGTGTCCTTGAGTTGAATCAGCACTGACTGATGGTTAATATTCTAGGACCAGGCTTTACTTCCACCCCACCTCCTTGCAGGTTCACCAGTTTTAGCATAAGGTATAATCTGATGGTGTTTGTGTAGCTTGTCCCTTCAATATTGAAGAGGAAGAGCACATGTGTTGCGTGGAAGAGTTCTAGGTTTCAAAGACTCCACTCAAATCCTGGAGGGCAGCTGTCATTATATAGACAATGTGGAGCTTAATGGGAGAACATAGTTTCCTGTGTTCTAAAAGGCAATCCAAGTGATACTGTAAAAACTACTACTGTTAAAGTATACACTACATATTTTGGTACAGTGGTATCTTGGTTCTCAAACGCTTTGGTTCCCAAACGCTGAAAACCTGAAAGTAAGTGTTCCGGTTTTCAATCGTTTTTCGGAAGCAGATCATCCAATGCATCTGTCATATATTGTTTCCAGGGCGCCTGCACCAATCAGAAACTGCGCCTTGGTTTTCGAACATTACAGAAGTCAAACAGACTTCTGGAGCAGATTGTTTGGTACTTATTTTTTTGCTATTTATTTTGCCTTTTCGTTTTTGAGGCTTTTTCGGTTTATTTGTTTTTGTGACTGTGGAACCCAGTTCAGCCAGATTGATTGATGGTGTGACTGCAGAAATGGATAAAAGCCCCCCATCCAAACAATATAATCAGTGTAGGTAAGGAAAAAATAATAATTTTAATTTTGATCATCTACAATACTGTCTTACTTGTTTTATAGTACAGTACATTGATTTTGCTTTTATGGGTCAATGGTCTCGTTAGATAGTAAAATTCATGTTAAATTGCTGTTTTATGGATTGTTTTTTAAAAGTCTGGAACGGATTAATCCGTTTTGTATTTCTATGGGAAAGCGTGTCTTGGTTTTGGAACGCTTTGGTTTTGGAACGGACTTCTGGAACGGATTACATTTGTGAACCCAAGTACCACCGTATTTGAATTTTTAATGCCAGCTGATGGACTGAAAAAAAATTAAGATTTGGTTTGGGGTTCCATACACAATATGGAAGATGAATTTGCACTTGTGAATCATGGGCTATAGCACAGTAATTAATAGCCATCATAAACATAATTCTTCGGTATGGTGAACTTCCACAAATCACAGTTGCTCGTAATTCTTACTTATCAGAAATGCGTTAACGATCAAACTATTTCGAAATATCTTAACTTCCACCTTGATTCAGATAACGAATGCATTTGTCAGTGTTTTACTCAAATGACTGAATATGGTAACAGTCTTTAATAAATTATAATAATAATAAATTTTATTTATATCCCGCCCTCCCCAGCCGAAGCCGGGCTCAGGGCGGCTAACAACAATAAAACAGTACAAAAGTACAGCATAAACAACATTCTAAAATCATTCATTCTAAAATTAATTAATTCAAGCCACTGTCAACCATTGGGCCAGAGCTCCGCGAAGATTGCCGAGGGAGGGAGTCAGGCTTTTTAAAGTATTTAAAAATAATAGGACAATGCTTTACATTTTCTGGGGAAATGTGTCATTTATGTATATGCCACAAGGAATGTAAGTCAGTGATGTTAAATGTGCATAACAACTGGCCGTTGTTCACCAGACCTGATGGAGACTGTGCACATAACCCTCCAACGAAGAGGGAATTGTGCAACAGGCCTTGGAGAATTGTGCATATTTTGGCTGAATTTTGTACATTCTCCAGGCAAGATGCACATTCTTCAGTCAGCATGTACAGTTGGAAAAAAACATGCCTTTTTTCTATTTGTTCTGAATGCAATCTGCTCTGTGTGCTCCACAGTCTATCTTGGACCCCCAAAACTGGTCTGTTGCCATCAGGTGCCATGATGGATGCTGTCCCATAGCCAGCATTGAAATAAGATTCAACAGCTAGTCCAGTTGGCTTCTGTACATGGAATAGGGAGGTGAGCCACCTTGTCCTTTGCCTCAGGCAGTAAAATGTCTTGGGTCGGCCCTGTGGCTTTCCATAATAGTATGAGCGTATGGCATTGAGATTATTTTCAGACACTAAGACATTCAAGCAATAACACTGATGGAGGAATTGATTGGTTGTGTTGCTGGTGTGAAACACTGCAAAGAATACTCCCAAATCTGTCACAAGCCTCTGTGATAATATTTTTAATCTGCAATGAAGAAACACGACAAGAAGCCATTAATCAAGCTATTGGCATAACAGTCAAACAATCAAATACATAGTACTTAATGGTACATTGTCCGTATTGGTTGTCTGTGTTCCTGTGCTTGTCAGGTTGTTAGATGCTTGATCTCTCCAGGTCTTCTTTAAAGGCAATCGGGGAGTAAGGTTAAGTCTGTCTCTTTCCGTTGCTTTGATGCAAGGGCAGCACTGGAAAGCTATCTTGAAACCAGAGCGGAACCTGTAAATGGGTGCAAACACAAGCTAAGTGTTACATGGTATAAATGAGGGATGGAGAATCTCAGACTTTAGGGATTCCTCAAGTGTTTTGTCTGGGTGGACTGTGTCTTTGTAGGGTGACACCTCTTGCTTGACAGGGTGGAGAGATAAATCTGTATAGAAATACATGACGTGTGTGGTCGATACCAAAGCATAAGTCACATTGGCTGTTCTGTCTACTTTTGCCTCTGACCCAGCAACCACTAGCATGTGACCCCCACCCCCAGTATGTAGTCAGAAAAAGCTCCCCATCCCTTGTACAGACTGAGAAGGTAGAAATTCTGCAAAACCCATTATCCATGAGGATCTTGCCATCGTGTATGCAAGAGTGCAGCCTCTCCCCCAAACTGGTAAGAATTAGTTTAGGAGGAACCTAATGGCCAATTGCTTGACAAAGGCACAAGGAAGTCTCCTCATGTACAGCAAAAAACTTGGGTTGAGTAAGTGTTTTCAAGGACTATGGTTGGGTGAGAGAAGGTGAGGTGCTGAGGTGGCAGAAGGTGGTTGGCTAGAGAATGAATGGTCAAGATGACGTATATTTCCTTATATAGGGTGTGTGCTCTCACAGATGCTTTTGTACTCTGCCCCGTAACAAATTATTGAATAAAGTCTGACGAATGAGGAATTTTGTGTGAGCCTCCGTATTGAACCCCCAAAGGAAATTTTCTCTTCAAAGAAAAATGGACTGTTTTCCTGATGGAATACAGAGGCTATCAAAGGAATGTGATGCACATTTAGAGAAAAGCGCTGTTTTTTGTGGAATTTAATAATGTGCCTGAGAGTAAGCACCATTGAACTCGGTGGTATTTGCTTCAGAGCGGGAATGTAAATGATTGCATTGTAAATGTTAGAGGTCAAGCTAAATATGATACAAGGATAAGCCCTGAGTGTAGGCCACACTGAGCAAAATGGGCCAATGATCTGAACTGGTATAAGACAGTTTCCTAGGTTCCTATATTTATATACGAGCATTTTTATCTTGCACTTCAGTGATACTCCCAAGGTGCTTGCATTCATTTAAGACATGCACTACTCACTTTTGATTAAGGCAGCAATAAATAATTGGGCTATACATCGCAGAGCTCATGGCAAGCAAAAACACCGCCAGGTATACTTGTTGAATGTACTTCTGCCTGTAAATGTCTTTCCGGATGTTCCCCAAGACGAAGTAGAGATGATAAGGGAACCAGCAGATGGCAAATGTGATCACGACTGCAACCATTGTCCTGACAAACTAGAAAAAGGAAAGAGAAATCTTTGAATGCTTTGTTATTCTTCTGGTCCTAGATTTGTGCCTGTGGTGTCAAAGTGGCTGCCACCCATTTCTCGTGAAATACAGGCTTAGGGTGGGTACTCAGCAAGTCTGTGATGCGTTTCTGTGCAACAATTTGTGCCTGGAGTTTCTTATGAACCAAACCAGACAATATGTTAAATGCATAGTTATATTAATGACATGTTTCCTCATCCCTGCAATATATAGTAGTAACTTGTTTATAAAGGCAACTGTGGCTGTGCAGAATGCTGCTGTGATAATGTTGCCGCAAATCCCAGAAACATGCACTTTTTAGGATTGGAAAGTGACAGGTGGTGACTATTCAAGTTGAACCCCCTTAGCTAGCAGTATCTTGCCCTACTTGTTTGCTGCCAATGTATATAATGTCGGTTATTGGGATGCAGGTGGCACTGTGGTCTAAACCACTGAGTCTCTTGCGCTTGCCGATCAGAAGGTCAGCAGTTTGAATCTGTGTGACGGTGGTGAGCTTCCCTTGCTCTGTCCCAGCTTCTGCCAACCTAGCAGTTTGAAAGCACACCACTGCAAGTTGATAAATAGCTACCGCTGTGATGGGAAGGTAAATGGCATTTCTGTGTGCTTTGGCTTCCATCATGGTGTTCTGTTGCACCAGAAGTGGTTTAGTCATGCTGGCCACATGATCCAGAAAGCTGTCTGTGGATAAACACTGGCTCCCTTGACCTGAAGCGAGATGAGCACTGCGGCCCATAGTCACCTTTGACTGGACTTAACCATTCAGGGGTCCTTTACCTTCACCTTTTATAATGTTGGTTACAGGCATCATGCTGTAGTACCTATCCAGGACAGCAGAGGGCATTTGCTAAAACTTAGGTGGTAATTTGAAAAATCAAGACTACACATTCCCACAAACTCTGCACCTAATGCGCTCCTACCATTGGTTTGGGAACAGGTATTTGTCATGATCTGTACCTATCCTGTTGTTTTTTAAAGAAATACTGCATACACAGTCTGAGTCTTAGCCGGAGGTGTGTCTGGTCTGTTGTTCTTGCTGATAATGAAACTATGCAGCAGTGAGATTTACCCCTGGGTTCATGTTACCACTGCGCTATAAGCAGCAATTATTAGCTCACGACAACTAACCTTTTTTTTGGCTGTAATCATATGCTGGTAGCTGAGCACATTAGTGTGATCTCCAGGAACAGCATTATTCCACAGAGCCTTTCCTATTGCACTGTATGTGATAAACATCACTAGGAGAGGCAGCAGGTACACTAAAACAATGACTGTAATGTGGTACCTGAAAAAAAGAGAAAAAGAGCTGAGCATGGATAGAGCTTGTTTCCCTTCCTTCAGTCCAAAAAGAACCTCCATGTATTGGGAAGATCAATAAATGCTTTTCTGCCTGAGTTTCCAAAACTTTCCGGGGGCCAGTGGTTTCCAGGGCAAGAGTGGCCAGAGCAGTGAATGTAAATGGTATCTTTGTACACTGGGGTAGTTTTTACACACACACACACACACACACACACACACACACACACACACCCTCTCTATTCTCCATCCAGGCAAGCAACAAGTCATTCTCAGAGTTCAATGGCATGTTCCAATCAGGCAAAAACACTCAAGGAGGATGTGAAGCAAGGCCGGTGAGGGGAAGCTATCAAAACACAATGTACCATTAATGGTCTTTCAAAAGTGATACTCTCAAAGTTATAAACTGCTGTTTAGGGTGACCATTTGCCCTACTTTACCGAGAACTTGCATGGGGTTGGATTAGATGACCCTTGGGGTCCCTTCTAACTCTTAAGGTTCTATAATTTCCGCTGTTTGGAAAGTGTCCTCTGTCAGAAGGCCTGACCAGATATGAAGGGAGAGTAAGAGCCTTGAAGTTGCCCATCAACAGTTAACATGGGGACAACAGACTGAGCAAACCATAGTCTTCTCCACTATGACAAAATGATAGTTAATTTATATTTGAATTATAGTGATTATTTCTAAATTTGCAACCATGCATATAAATTAGCATATCATGTATACAGTGTGAATTTGTGTAAAATTTTGTGTGTGCCCCCTCCCCCACCTTTTTTTGGTGATGTGACAGTGGCCTCAGTAAACCAGTGGCATGAAGACAGCTTGTCAGAAGGCTACTATTTGTAGAAGATGGTTGATGATAAATGTTCAAGGAGTGATGTTAACGCAATGCTTAAATAACCGTGCCTCCTTTCTGGAGGGAGATGAGAATTGTACCCAAAGCTCCATAAATGTTTGGCCTCCTGAATTCCAGAACCTCATAAACAGAACAAAGGACTCTATGTTTTAGCCTTGAGTGTGGTTTTCCCCGGACTAAAAGGGGAAGAGGTGAGCCAGACAGAGGAAGAGATAAGAACACATGGGGGAAATCCTTCCCTTTGCCACAAATAGCAAGGCTAATCACTGCAAGGCTAATCACTGCAAGGTCTCAAGATACCTCTCCATTTTTCCCGCACTCTTTTTATCTACTGGACCCAAGGCCTGCTTTTTGAGGTCACACCGCTTCCCCCTTCTTTTTGCGTCCACCACATTGCCATGTTTTGACTAAACATTTTTTTCACTATCGGTAATCAACTGTCAAAATTTGTCTTACAGATTTAATGGGACTTTTACTCTATAGAAGTGTTGCTTCATATCACAGTGAGGGCATCCCATTCAGTGCCAGATTTTGATTTGATATTTCTCAAACAGGAAGCATGGCGATTGTTCAAACAGATGCTCCTTGCTGTTCCTTGTTTCTGTGTGAATCTAGATTGGGCCAGAAGATTACATATCTGTGCCTTTCTCATCAATTTCTTGCAACAGGGAGAGTGCTGCTACTGAGGTAAGTGCTTCGCTTTTTGTGCTGGGACAAAGGCAACCCACCCTGCAACTTTAATTAGAAGCTTGCTCCCTGTGATCCCTTCCGCTAAGCATTTTCTGTTCAATATGATGTTTCATTAGGAATGAATTGCCCCATATTTGTGACACTATGCTATTTTTCAGTTAAAAGGAAAAAGAAATCTAGTAATGAAAGTGTAGAGCAGGCAGGACTAATTAAAGGACAATTACAGGCTAAAGCAATTAAAGTTGGCAGCTGCAAAGAGGAAGCTTTTAGGTAAAGATACAGTAGCTCTGAAAAGCCTCAGGAATATTTTGCTAGAAATTACATGGAAGCTAATGTTGCAATTGACTTTTAAAGACAAGATGAGAGGGTAACACAGGCACCCCAAAGCCCTCCAATGCTATGACATTGCCAGAATTGTCCAGCAAAGGCATCTAAACCAATTACTAGTATGGAAGGAATACTGGTATCCCTTTCCCCCCAAGGATTTAAAAGTCTTGGGATGGTCCTGCCATTCAGTTAACTCGGATATGTCTGAAGGATTTTTAATTGACGTATGAAGCCCTGTTTGAATTAAATTTGATCACCTTGAGTTCCTGGATCCAACCCTCATTCCCCCATCACAGAATGTCACAGCCGAATGTCATAGACTTCTTTCACTTTAGAAAACTGCAACTTCATTGAAATCTGTGGATCAAACACCCTAAATTGGCAGTATCCCTGATTACTGCATGAATATTAACATGGTCACCTGTTTGCCTCCACTCTCCTCCATCTATAAAGAAGACTTAGTAGTAACATAGATTCTGGCTGAAAACAGATGGTTAAGGCAAGATTTTCAGCAACATCATTCGCGTTCTCTCTTTCCCCCTTAAATCAAGAGTTCTCAGCTGCTAACATGTATTTTGGGGTTCAGGATTTGGGATGTTCTTACGTGATGAGATGTTTACGATGAACGTCATCTGGCCAGGCAACAACACATTTGGTCATTCCATAGTCGACACGAATTTGTGCATAAAAGAACTGTGGGAAAGCAAGTCCAAAAGCTACCAACCAGATTATTCCTATGACCACTTTGGTGTACCCAGCAGAGAGCTTTTGCCTGAAAGGGTAAACTATAGCCATATACCTGAAAAGAAGAGAGAAAGAATTAGGCCGCAGTTCAGCCTGCACAAAATTGCAATTCCTAGCAACCATTTGCAAACAGCAGCACCCAGAATTCTTTGTCGGGAAGACTGTGCTCTGTGCTTTGAAGGTATAGTGTGTACACAGCCATATTCACAATAAACAATTCAAACATTTGTAGAAGAGGCAAAGCATTATCCCCTCCACCCTACACTACTGTGTACATTTATGTGGAAAGAAATCCACAGATCTAAAGGACTGTGGGAAATGCTTGGTGTGTACAAATGAGTCTTCTGAGCATTCACTCCCAAGCCGATTCTGAAACTTGGGGAACTTCTGGAGTGACCTCTAATAAAAAGCTGTGGCGAGGGGAATATACAGCTCTACTTCAATATTTGCATGCCTCCAGATTTTATAATGGAGTTCTCTAGTTAAAGAATGCATACAAATATGCATAGATTGGTGTAAATAAGGCCAGACTAATTAGTGATTTGTATGAGCTTTGTGAGGGGCAATCATTTATTTTTTAAAGAAAAAGTCATGCTGCTGCCACAGGCCTGATTTGTTCACTGAGCAGTGGAAATGTTTTCCCCTCAGCCTCTCTCCAACCCTTGCGCCTTCCAGTTTAAATGACATGTTGTGCATTTTATCTCACACCTGTTCTGAACACTCATCTCGGGTTGCTGACTGACACATGACCAGGAAGCCAGTGTGGCCTGCTTGATAAATGTGCTCTGTGATCGTAGCACACACGTACTGTAGGACACACAGAAAATGACATTTTCGACAATAATTGATGTTGCATGGCCAGTGTGGCTGAGTTTTTCCAAAATTGGTAGCTTTTTCTAACGCCAAGGATAGGATTTATGATCCCAGGGTTTTGTATACCTAAGTAAGTGGCTCTGCTGAGAAGAATTATTTGTGCAATGATTAATTCCTGCCTCCTTGTAGTTTGTTTACTCTGAGATTGCAGGAAGTACAGTAATTCAGGGCAAGTTATTCCATGGAAGTGCCATAGCTATGGATGAATGAATGTCTCAGTTTTGGTTTCTCCAGGTTTCTATTTTTTTCCCATTCTTAAATTCATCTCTTCATATTTCCACAGCAATTTGTGATTTAATCTTTTTAATGCCTCATGCAAATTTGTCAGCAACTTTGGTGCCATTTTCTACATGGACCTTTGTCCATGTAGTCTTAACCAATATCCACATTTTTAAAATATACCTCCCCAATATAATGCATTTTGTATGTTATTTTCACTAACAAGCATTTTTATGCACACTTCCCCCCTAATATACCCATTTTTGAACATGCTAGTTGGAGAATAGCATTGCAAAATTCAGTGAAGTGCTACTTTTGAAGTGTTTCGGTTTACGTATTGGTTCAATAATGTTTCTCATTAATAAAATTTCTCCCCCATAGCTTAGTGATAGGGCACCTGCTTTGAACGCTAATAAGAATTTAATTATTTGTACCCCACCCATCTGACTGGATTGCCCCAGCCACTGAGTTGAAGGTTCCAGGTTCCAGGTTCAATGCCTGACAACTTCAGACAGTGCAAGGGAAGAGAGCAACTGCTAGTCAGTATGTATAGACAATAGAACACAAGAGTAGTCCTGCTGGATCAGGCCCCAGGCCCATCTAATCCAGGATCCTGTTCTCACAGTGGCCAACTAGATGCCTATGGGAAGCCTGCAAACAGGGCATGAGTGCAACAGAGCTTTTCCTGGCAATTGGTATACAGAGACATACTACCTCCAACAGCTGAGGGAGAACATGGCTCCTGTGGTTAGTAGCCATCGCTAGCCTCCATTTTCCTAACGCTCTTTTGGGGCCATCCAAGCTGGTGACCGGGATGCGGGTGGCGCTGTGGGTTAAACCACAGAGCCTAGGACTTGCCGATTAGAAGGTCGGCAGTTCGAATCCCCGTGACGGGGTGAGCTCCCGTTGTTTGGTCCCTGCTCCTGCCAACCTAGCAGTTCGAAAGCACGTCGAAGTGCAAGTAGATAAATAGGTACCGCTCCTGCGGGAAGGTAAGTGTGTGAGATAGACCAACAATCTGATTTGGTACAATGCAGCTTCCTATGTTCCTAACACAACTTGTGCAACAGTACTTGTCCTGTTCAATTGATATATTGTCTTGTCGATTCTTAACTTTTGCACCTTTGAGTGAATCAAAACCCAAACAAAAAATATTAGCTTCCAATTACTTACTGCCAAGTTACGACAGCCTCTTTGCTTGGAAGATCTGTCCGGAGCTTTTGCAGAATGTATAGAATAAATTTTAGGGGTGCCAACTTTTTCTGGCATGGCTTCTGTGTCTTAAAAAGCCACATGACAAGCAGAAGTTTAGCAGGCAAAGCTTCCCCACATTTTAGCCGTGTAGGGAGGAAGATAACTTCATCCATTTGTCACACATGGCGCAGGAAAATCTGGCACCCCTAATCCAAACAGCAAGAAATGATGGCTTGTTTTTGTAAACTTTTCCAAGGAAGATAAATGCAGCCTACCTGTTATCCTGAGAAATCTTTTATGACTAGCAGTAGTGTGAAGGGAAGAAAAACAGAAGAGGCAGCCTCCCAAGCAGGAAAAGGTGGCAATCCAAAAAGGCTGAGCTGAGGCTGGTGTAAGTCTCCGAAAGGGAGCATTCTGGGGCAGGACTGGGAGGGTGGGCCTTAGGCTGGATCCTAAGTAGATTCAGCATAGTTATGTGACCTGGCAACCCAGCACAGAACATTGTTTTAAAGACTTGTTTTTCCTCTGCCAGACTTAGGCAGGGCAGCAGCATCCGCCTAGCTGCTGAATGGGATTTGGATCAGGTGTAACTTTATGCCAACTTTATTTCGACTGGCTTTCTTTACACCAGCTTCTTGCACTTAGGGTAGCTCCCTAAAGAGTGGTGCAGTATAGTTATGACACAAACCTTGTGCTATATAAAAATGGAAGTTCAACTTTTCCTACGTAACTAATAAAAATAAAAAAGGCATTAGATTTATAAGTTCTTCCCCAAGAATCCCGAAGTGGGAGATGTAGAGAAAATAAACTGATCTGGAGGACTGTTTTTTTAAAATAAATTTGTGGTAAACTCCAGATTACACAATGTATCTGTTACCAGCAGCCCTTGACTTCGAAACGGAAAAAGCTACTTCTATTAAAGTCATTAATCTTTCCCAGAAACTGATTTATTTCTGTTTTCATGATCGACTACTACTGTCTACCCAACCAAGGAGTAGGCTTATCTGCGTAATAGCACATATTGCTTGCATTCTGCAAGTGTGGCTATATTTGGGTTGTACTGGCTGATTCAGGTTTGTGAAAAGGGAACCCCTACAAGCCTGCGTTTTGCCCCATGAGCAGTTTGGCTTGCTTTCTGAACAATGCTATGCCTGGCTGATTCCACATTTGATATTTGCTTATTCCTCACTCACCTCTGCCTCCTGAAACGAAATGTCTGCACAGTTCTCTTTTCTTCCTGTTTGGGTTTTTCTTTCTGTGGCTGACAGTGCAGCCCTATTAATATATACCCACTCTGAAGTAAGCCCCAGTTGAGTTTAGTGGGACTTACGGTACTCCCAAGTAAGTCTATATAGGCTGGGAGCCTCATATTGGTCCTCCCCTCCATTTCTTTCCACTTGTGCAAATCCAAGGGTTCACCAAAGCACACAGAGACCTCCTTATACAGTGGTACCTCGGGTTAAGAACTTAATTTGTTCTGGAGGTCTGTTCTTAACCTGAAACTGTTCTTAACCTGAGGTACAACTTTAGCTAATGGGGCCTCCTGCTGCCACTGCGTGATTTCTGTTCTATCCTGAAGCAACGTTCTTAACCCGAGGTACTATTTCTGGGTTAGCGGAGTCTGTAACCTGAAGCGTCTGTAACCCGAGGTACCACTGTATGCCATATCGACAATATGACAATTGTCTCACACCCTTGGACTTTATTGTTACTAGGAATATAGGAACCACGCAGACACTGAACATAATGGGGAAATACAGTGTTTTACATCTGGTTAAAACGTGGGAGTTTATGAATTCTAAATTAATTTGAACGCAGGAGCTACACTGACATACTTTTATATTCTTTGTATTTTATTATTACATAAATATTTGATGACTAGTACGTTGGGTGTTTCCCAGAGGTGACTTTTGTCCTGTTAACTCTAAAGATGTTTCTGAACTGGCAGGATCTTGCTAATTTGTCCTTTTTTTGACAAGAGGAAACGGAACCTAATTTGCATTGTCCTCCTCAGAAATAAGGCATTCAGATATTTCCTGTATTGTAGGTTATGAGTCACTGTCTGTAAATGATGTGTGAACAAGGACTCACTGTAACACTAGACACTAAAACAAAAACAGATAAATAAGAAGATCAAGTACTGGTATATTTGTAAGTCTTGCTGGAGATTAAAAAAAACCTAGGGAACAGAATGGGACTTTCAGAAAATGATCAAGGTAGTAGAAGCTATGTAGCAGCCCGCTGAAACTTCTGTAATATCGCCTTTTTGATTTGGTAGTGAGAAACAATTTCCATAAAGTTTAAATTATCATAAATAGGAATGGACGGTCTTTTGTGTCCTGCAGAGTGCTTCCCTGCTGAATTATAAGACTCAGCCAGACTCTGCTATGGTTGAAAATCACATTTAACCTTTGACTTAGGGATCTGCTTTTACTCTGTTATATAAGCTCTTTGATAGCATGAAGGGGCGGTACCTGGGTCTACTGGGTACCAGGCTGTGCAGATTTCAGCAACCTCAGAGTGTAGCCCCTGATGTAGGCATCTTAAAGGAACCAGATGGAGCTGTTTGGGAGCTGGTGGTGTGCATATGAGCAAGGAAAGGGAAGTGTTTTACCAGTGAACCCTTTAAATATTACATCTTTCAGTGCAAAATAATAATTCAGGATCAGAATATAATGTCCCCTTTGTTCATTATCCCATGTTCCAAATGCAAGTTCCAAGTCATAGTACGGCAACTTGATTCCGGCTGTATTTAGAAGTGCTGTGTGTGTGTGTGTGTGTGTGTGTGTGTGTGTGTGTGTTCGTTCCCAGGTATAGGCCTGTTCCCCTTGACTACAATCTTAAACATACTTACTAGAGAGTAAGGGTGCAATTCTATGCATGCTTACTTGGGAATAAGCCACCGTGAACACAAAGGGGCCTCCTTTTGAGTAAACATGCATAGGATTGTGCTGTAGAACTCAGTGAGATCTACTTTTAAGTAAATATGCCTAGATTTGTAAAAATTCAGCTGCTTTTCCAGTTTGGTTAGTATAACTTCTTTCAACACAGCTTTTACAAGTTAACCCTTTTAAAAAAAATAAGAATAGGATAACAAAATTTAGCTCAACTTCAAAACTCTTACCTCTCAGCAGCGAGAGCAGTCATAGAATAAATGCTCACAAACATTGCCGTAACAGGAATAAAGTTAAGAAACCGACAGAATCCCTCACCGAAATACCAGACGTTGTGGCTGGCATAAATAAAATTGAACACTGTGTTCAAGGCAGTCATTAGCAGGTCAGAAAAAGCCAAGTTAACAATAAAATAGTTGGTAACAGTCCTCATCCGTTGGTGAGACAGGATAATCCAAATGACAGTGCCATTGCCCACAACCGATACAATGACTATGAATAAATAAGTGATAGCCCAAAGTGCTATTTGCCAGCCAGGCTGAGAAAACGCGGTCTGGTTGACATGGTCTATGGAAATGTCATCCACTGAAATGTTGCTTATGTTTGAGGAGGAAATTGTCTTCATAACTTTCTTCAGTTCACTGTCGAAAACTGTGTGAAATGGGATTACTTTCTTACAGCAGTCCTAGCATTGTTGCTGTGAACTCGCAGTTTGGAGATCTTCAGAACATGACACACTGACTTTGATGTGCATCCCACATTCAGTTTAGAGATCTTCCATGCACCACACAATGGTTTTCCACAGGAAGCGATTACAGCTCTTCTATGCTCATATCCACCACAAATCCATTTGAATATCTGCTGGTGTTAATGACCAACAGAAATATGCAGAAGATCTGTGATAAGAAGAATCTTCCGAAGAATCGAAGTGTCAGGTTATGGTAACTCTATTAAAATGTGTTGTTTTTTTAAAAAAGAAGAGATCAAAAGATATCGCAGCATGGAGTTGCTGGACTTTAATTCTCCCTTCCTTTGTAACACTGAAACATTTTGGAAGCAGTCAAACAGGCAAAAAAAAATCTACAGGCTTAATGAGAATTGAAAAGAGGCGGAGAGGCTAGCATATACAATAGCTAACGAAATCCAATTTTGTGACGCTGGAGTTCCACCCCTTGCCCCACGTTTTTGTAGTAATCTTCATAGCTCTGTTCCTCTCAGGTTTAAAGCGAAGAGCGTCAGAGATTTTACCCTATTAGGGCCAATACATTTATCCTTTGCATATCCACAACTCACATTTAATTTGGTGAGAGTTTCACTAAGAACTTGGCCTGCAGTGTGCCATAAATATTATTAGGAGGGTTTGCGAGAACAGTTCCAAAGCAACTATACAGAAGACAGTAAAAATGTATTCAGGATTGTGAAATCCATCTCCTCCTGACTGCTGTGAGAGCTTCACAGAAGCTTACACATTGGACTGCGAACAGTGGCTGGGAGCTCAACTGCTGTGAACCATATTCTGCTCAGAGGTAGTCATTTTCATCCTATGAAAAGATCCCAATCTCAAGAACAGCCTTCCTGAGAAGGCTCTGTGAAGCACAAGGGAATGTCACAGGAAGGAAATACTGTTCCCCCCCACCCATGTAAGCATAAGGGCTTTCTGCCTATGCCCAGGAGTTGGTTGCTTGGATCCCATACATTATTTTCTCCTAATAAAATGGTATTTTATTGATGCAGTGAGTTGCCTTCAAAGTGTCTTAAAATATGCCTAACTTATTTATGACTACTATTTATTCTTATTACTAGGCCTGTATAGTCTAAAACAGTTTCCTGAGATGTGCCCATTTATTTTTTTCAAACTTTTAAGTAATTGCACCACACAGAAAACCATCTCTTTTACTGTGTATTTAAATCTTCAGTGGAAATTCTGAGATTATCCCATTGCTCTGAGACTACCCTTAAAATGTAGTTAGATTTCCACTATATTTAAACTGGATAATTCAAGTCTGTTGAGAAATTTCTGCAGAACAGTAGCTTATCCCATTTTTTAAAAAAAGCAACACAGGGAAAACCTCTGGTAATGAAATAGCTAGCATGCCATAGGTGTATAAGCACTATTTTAAGAATGTTTTGTTCACCATCTAAAATCATGTAGTCTACTACTTGAAAGCCAAAGTTATGAATCCAAGCTCTGACTAGTGTGCACCATTGCCAGAAGACTACGTCTAATGTAACCTGTAGCACAAGACTTTGTTTTAAACCAAACAGTGTCCAACCTTGAGTCAACATTGTTTCACCCCAACTTCCCCAGCTACTTATTCATATCAGTACATTTCCATATATCAGTTCACCTGTGCAAGTGTACCTATAAAAATTCCTGGCCTGCAAACATTTTACTAGCACATGAAGAAGTTACGTAGCCTTAGTTTCTATGGTGGCCACAGAGGAAAGGAAAGTTCTTCTTCAACCAGTATGGAAATGTAGGCTACTACTAAGCCATGTAGGCTAGCACCAACCAACCAATCACAACAACAGTCAATTGCCTTCTACCAAGGGGTCTGGCATAGGTACAGAATAGTTTGTTCTAATAGTCTGTTCACTCAGCTGCATGGAATTCCTGGTGGCCTATGGCGACCAGGCAAATGGTTAAATATAAGTTCTGCTATCATGTTTCTTATCATCAAATACTTTCTGCTAGAGACACTTGAACATCTCTCTAGACGCTACTTAAAGAAAAAGGGCCACTCTGTATACTGTAGAACAGAGGTAATTTAGTTAGTGCTCTCTGCAAAATCTCCTGTCTGCCAAATGTGCAATTATTAACAGGGACATTATATACCGTTACCCTGGGATGAGGTGAAAAAAGTACCGGACTATTTGAGATGTCCCAGCTTTATTGAAGATGCGCTTTAAACCTTGGATAGCTTCCAAAACACATTTAAATTGAAGAGGTTTAAAAGAGCATCAACTCAGAACTGACTTGTGTAAACAAGTCCTTAACGGATAAACCATTTTAAGAATGCAATATTTAAATGTTAATGCCTGGAATATTCATGTGGAAAATAATCATGTAAGCCATCTTTGAACCTTTTAATGCATCCTCACATATTCTTGCATAGTTGCATTAAAATTCTAGCACATGAAAAGGAGAAGGCTTAAACTATTGGACATTGTCTATGTGGACAAGGACAGTACTTCATTAGACCCAACATTACCAGTGACCAGTCAATTTAATGTTATACTGTACTTTATTTAAATTATTGTTTTGTAAAAAAACAACCATATAGCATTTCCAAGAGTACGCTGACAAGCTGAATATGTGCAATTACATTCTTTCTGTGTTAGTTTCACAAAGGGAGTTTGATTCTCTAGAAGATGAATAAATATTTACACTGAGTATATATATGAAAGAGATCTGTTCCATTTTACTGTTAGATCCTTATAAGGGGATATACTTCTCTCTGGCTAGCAGAAAGGTTCTGTTCTGTTCCAAAAGGAAAACATGCTGAAAGGTCACTTGTAGAAAGCCCAATAGACTTCCAGGGAAATCACTATGACTTTACACAGTGGAAAACACAGCATAATTTAGCTAGTGATCTTAACAGTTTTAAGATACTCTTCATAAGAGAGAGATATAACTAAGAGCAAAATCTACTTTTTTTATTAGAAAACACAGGGCTTTATCAAAGACAAAGCGTAAGATTACATTGAATGCTTGTTGCAGAAAGCAAGAAAACCTGAAAAACCATTGAAATGTTTTAATATCAGACACTTTCAGATTTCACAGCTTCTATAATGCAAATCATTTCTCCTCAATTCCTTCATTCATTCATTCGCTTGCTTGTTGGCAAGTGGGCAAGAACAAATTCAACAGTTGTTAGCAGTGTCAAAGAGCTATTCTTCCTCAAGAAAATAGCTTTCTTGTGTAGGGCTTAGAGTGAGGCATTTCTTTCTTTTTCTCAGCTAGCTTAATATCAATCACATATTCTCTTCATGTTTGCTCAATAATACAGCAAAACAATTCACATTTTTTTCTTGCTATTTGCCATTGGGAGAGTGCTTGAACTCACTTTGTGAGTCCTATAGCATCTTCATCCAATATGCCAACGTTAGATTCACAATGCTAGGAACAAAACCGGGACATCTGTATACAGTGGTACCTCGGTTTACGAACTTAATCCGTTCTGGAAGTCTGTTCTTAAACTGAGACACGCTTTCCCTAGTGAGGCCTCCCGCAGCCTGTGCACTTCCGCTGTTCTGGCTTCCATTCTTAGACCGAGGTAAAGTTTGCAAACCGGGACACTACTTCTGGTTTTGCGGAGTTTGTAAACTGAATCATTTGTAAACAGGGCTGTTCTTAAACCGAGGTACCACTGTACTACAATGGAACATTTTTTCTGTTGTTGGTGTGAATGGTTTTCAGCTTATTTGATTCTTGACAATCGCCCATTGTGTTTGTCAAGAGAAAGAGTGGCACCTTTGAAGGAACGCCCACTGATCACAGTCACACCAATTCTCCAGTAAACAAGACAAGCGGGGGGCCCTCCACCTGTTCTCCTCTTTTTTCTTCCTAATGTAACCCTAATGTCTCAACAAATGAAACTGACCTATGGAAAATGTAACTTGAAAAAAGAGACATTGCACATACCTTTGTAAATCAAGAAAACTTTAATATTATTTAAAAAACAACAAGACAAGTGGGGTGGGGCTTTTACAGCACATTCCCACACATGCTTATTCGGAAATTATTATTATTATTATTATTATTATTATTATTATTATTTATATCCCACCCATCTGGCTGGATTTCCCCAGTCACTCTGGGCAGCTCCCAACAAAATATTAATAGCACGGTAAAACATCAAACATTAAAAACTTCTCTAAACAGGGCTGCCAAATGAGGCTTATTCCCAAGAAAGTGGGATATCTAACGATATCTAGAAGGGTACTTGTGTTAAGGCTGCCACCGCACGTGAAAGACAAATTTATTATGACATCAGCGCTTGTGAATTAAACGTCTGCTTCATCCGATGCAATGGAGCATAGTAATCAAGTGTCAGAAACACACACACACACGTGTAGACGCTGGAGCTCGATGAGAACGCGCAGCCTGAGGCGATTCAATCAGAGCTTAAACAAGCGCAGCGGGAGCTTCTCCGAGGGCGCGAAAAATCCCCGGGGCTGCGGCTCGTTTTGAGGTGCGAAAGCGGCGCAGTCTCCGACTAGCTGCCGCTCCAGGAAGCCGGGGCGCCGTCGCTTTCTCGCCTCTCCCTTCCCGGCTGCCCTCGGGGACACAGGCAGGCTCCTCCCGCCGTCTGGCGCAGGCGAGCCGCTTTCGGAGAAGAGCAGAGCAGGCGCCGCCGCCGCCGTCGCTCGCGGCCTGGGGCTCCGCAGGTGGCTGGCGGGCGGGAGGAGCAGGAAGCGCGGCGGCAGCGGAGGGATTATTGGCGGAGGGGAGGCGCCCGGGCCGCGGCAGAAGCAGGCCGAGGGAGGAGGATGGCGCGGTCGACGGGAGACTCGGAGCAGGTCCGCTACTGCGCGCGCTTCAACTACCTGTGCCTCAAGTTCACGCTCATCACCTACTCCACGGTGTTTTGGGTGAGTGCGAGGGGCGGGCGGGCCGGACCTCCGTCAGGCGGCGGCAGCTCCCCTGTAGTAGGGTGTAGCCGCCGAGCTGGGGCAGCCAAGAAAGAAGGAAAGCGGAGCGACGAGCGAGGAGCTGCCATGGGGGGGGGGGGGGAGAGAAGAAATGCCCCTCCGTGCCCGCGCAGGGTTGCCCCAGGGATGCCCTCCTGCTGCCTTTTGTGTTTTTTCTCACAGAACCGGGGCGACCTGTTAGCAACAGGTGTGGTGCGATGTGGGTGAGGCTGCTGGAAAGAAGCACCAGGAAACGCGCCGGCCGGCCGCAGCGTTTGGGAATGAGGGGGGTTTTGTTGTTGTTGTTCAGGGAGTCGCGCACAGAAACCACACACACACACATGCCGCCTCCTCCTCCGAACACGCCGGGGCGGTCCGTCCAGTTGCAAAGGTTTCCAATCCCACCCAGTGACGGGAAAGCAAACAGCTCGCTCGATAAGCACGTGCTTTTATTTATTTATTATTTTGTTAGTGGGAGGCTATTCCGTGGTTTAAAATAACGCCGATTTCAAAGTATGTAACGGAGGAGACCCTTCAGGGGTGCGGTCAGAATAGCTGTAGCTTGACTTGTGCGGTGAATTTAGCTGTAGGCTTTTAACTTGGCAAACTAGTGCCCTGACTCAGTCGAGGAAGGAAAAAAAAGGCATTAAAGTGCTTGTGACACCTGCTGCCTTTCTCTAAAGCGATCATATGCTAGCAGTGGCTATTAGAAAAGGCAGGGTCATATTTCCTTGTCATCTCCTCCTGCCCTGAAATTTTCTTCTGGTTCTGTCGAACCATTAATAATAAAATAATTCATTTTTGCAGTAAAAATTGTTTAAATAGAAATAGTCTCTGAAAATTGTACATATGCTTAATTTTTTTGTGTTGTCACACACCTATCATTCTGCAACCAACATTGCAAACACACAGGTTTGTTAAGAAGTGCAGAAGAAGATAAAAACCATGCATTTATGTGGCCTGCATAGTTCTGAGTTCAAAGTCTCAATTTTTGCTTGTGGCACACCCCACATTAGTAGGGAGGCAAATTTTAACCTATAAGGAAATATTTAATGAATTAGTCACATGGATGAATTGATAAGAGCTTGCAGGTCTAATTCAAACAGACCATTTTGTTTACAATTGCCACCATTTCCTTCCCTTCCCTTTTCTCTCTTTACTGTGTTGAATATAGACTAAACACCTTGGGACAGGGATCTGTGTGTGCTTGTTCCTTGTAAAACACTTATTACACAGTAACAATGTAATATGACTGACTGACGGAATAATATTGCTCCCAATAAGACTTATTCCAGTAAAAACCCCAAGCTTTCATGCTATTTGAAAGACAGTTCAGCTGTCATTTTGGATTGTATTCATACTTATACTGGATTAATTAACCATTAACACATGAGGATCTGGACTGGACATAATGTTCCCTGTTACTATGAATAATAGTTTATGCGGAGTGTTAGATACACACACACTTCTCTCTTCTTCTGCACTGGCTTTGGTCTGGAGAGCCTGGTTTGTTTAAACTAGAGTTCCCTGTTTAAATGAAATAAGAGACTGTGGCTTAATGTTTGCTTACTAATCAGTACATTATTCCAGGGCCAGGAATTAACCTAAAGCTAAAGATGAAAAGAGGGGCTTTAGTTTAAACAAACCAAGTTATCTGCACTGAAGAGGACTTGCAATGGGAGGGGCAAAAGAGAAGCATAAAGTTTTGACACTTGTTCTTGGCTTCATGGTTTATGAAGCTAGGAATAATTAAGTCTGAACTGACTCTTACTTTGTTCATTATTGTATCTTCAGATCTGTGACTATCGCTCAATCAATACACAACACCACTTAACATGTAGCTCAGTTAACACACAATGCCCAACCATGATTTTGTGGCTGGGAGTACATTGCAAATTTGCACGTGCTCTTATTCCCTCCCCTCCTCCACTTCCTGAGGTTTTTCTAGTCACATTGCTGTGATGTCCAAATTGGCACCTTATGATTTTGCTAACCTCTGAATCATGGTTTGCAAACCATCTTCAACGTTTCAAATTCTGTTTAACATCATGGCAAACTATGGTTAGTAGATGGAAATAGATGGAGGAGGGTATTGGCCAATTTTGGGTGAACAACCTAGTTCAGTTGTGGGTAACATTTGTCCCTGCAGGTGTTGCTGCACTCCAACTCCCATCATGCTTGCCATTGGAGTTCAACCACATGTGGTAGCTCAGAGGTTAGCAACCCCTGATCTTACCTCCTTTAAGTTGTGTTGTTGGGTTTCTTGCAAAAAATGCTTGACTAAATGCATTTTGATCTCTTAAGAAAAGAGTGCACATTTTGAATCGGTTAACACCCGTTTGTTGTGCTTTCATTGTTTAGAGGACTTGCATTCTGGATATGAACTCTTGCTTTGTAAATATGAAATATTTTGGTGGACCCCTGGGCTTCTTAAGAAAAGTAAAACAAGACTTGTCTTGTGGGTATCGTTAGAGTCTTTCATTGGGCAATAATGGCTGCCTCAACAGTGAGTAAGCTGAATGAGATGAAAGGTTAGGTAGCAGTTGCTCTGTCAAAATATTGTTCTGTTTCATTGAAGTGAGTTGAAGAGGTTGTTGGGGTCATGGAACTACTGTAAACTTAAGAGCCAGTTAAAAGTGTGAATGTAGAGGCCTAATAATTGTGTTTGTGCATGCATTGTAGCTTTCTGTGTATTAATTATAGGAATCACTGCCGGATAATTCCAGTTTTCATCAGCATAATTCTACCTACATTGCGGGACGGAACTTACCAATCTGTTTTATTAATAATGCCAAAAATCATTTTAGAAATATTTTGGCTATATTTTTTGATGACTCAAGTTTAGCTGGAACTGTTTGGATCTTCAGAAGGTGTCTTAGAGGATCCCGGGCTGATATCATCTGAAGGATTACTCACTTTCTTCACTCTATTTAGGCATCACAGCTAATAGATCCTCGACTGAAATTCCACTGAAGGTTCATGCTGTTCTTTATCCTTATGGGGAAATTCCTTACTTTCGTGTGACGCTAGCTGATTTCCTATTTACAGTTCAAGTTATCTGTATTCCAGGCGGCAAGGATGTAGGTCCCTAGTTCCCAGTTCCTTATTATTAGTTCCCAGTTCAACAGAGAGCTGCATGAGCAGCCTAAATGAGGAACTGAATTTCATAACATCTTGGCACCCCAAAATGAGATTTGGGGCTACCTCATACCTTACATCTCCATGACTGGGAGGCTGTTTCCTTCAAGATACAGCAGAGACATGTAGGGGTATTTCCCTGAATGTGCAAGTATGGTACCTAAGTGTGGATGGGGGCAGGGACAAATGTTTGAACCCCTGATGCTTCTCAGGATGACGTGCATGAGGCTTTTGAAGCAGGGCTTGTTTGTGCACCCTGCCTCCCATCCACAGATACAGCGTTTGCATATTCTGAGAAATGCACAAACATGCCTCCTTATTCTCTCTGGTCAAAAGCTTTGCTTTTGCACAACACACGATTCCACCCTGGTCATTCAGTGTCACAGTGTCAAGACTTATGTTCTAACCAGCTCACATATGCCCAGGAAGGCTGGCACTTCTTTGTATAATGATGCACACATTCCTATTTATGGATGAAGGCTTCAACCAAAAGTCAGACTTTTCTAGAAAGAAGCGACTTAAGAACCTCAAATGGAGAGGCCTCTCCCAGCCAATACACTTTTGTCATAAAAGATTGGTGAGAGGATCACTCCTTCTTTCTCAGTTTATTTTAAACTGCCTTCTTTGGCAGTTTTTCTTCCTCAGAGGAATTTTTATTGAGGGAAAAGAGACCTTTTTAAAGCTATGCTTATTTTTAGCTTTGATAAATGCAATGGTTTATATTTCTTAGAAGTATATTTTGGCACTGCTTTTTTATATATATATAAAAAGGATTTCCCCTTAGTTCTCCGGCTCTCTTGGTTATTGATGGGAGAAATTTTGAAGCTGTGTGTTGAGATATGGGAGCTCTAAAAATACAATTCAGGATTGGTCACTCGGGCCATATGGAGACAGGACCTTTCACCCCAGAGCTAATAGCACTGTGGGGAATATTTCCACCAAGATCATGGTTGAGGGGAGGGAAGGCTTAAACATCCCCATGTGCTGCAGTCCTGACAAATTTAGATACTGTATTAATATTTATTAAATCAAAATCAATTTGCAGTGGATGATCATGTAGCAGGATAAACTGATTTTCTCTCTTCTAAAATGTTGGATAAGAAGGCTGCTGAAAATAAGTAGACACACAGTTTTAAACATTATTTTCGTTAGCTTGATTCAGGTAGAACAAGAACGGAAGAAATATTACCCTGGACCAAACCACTGCATCTAAATAGTCTTTAAACCTCTTTTGTTGACCAGCAGCATTACACTTTCCATTTTTAAGTTCAGAATAGAGTACAGTGGTACCTCGGGTTAAGTACTTAATTCATTCCGAAGGTCCGTTCTTAACCTGAAACTGTTCTTAACCTGAAGCACCACTTTAGCTAATGCGGCCTCCTGCTGCCGCCGTGCCGCCGGAGCACAATTTCTGTTCTCATCCTGAAGCAAAGTTCTTAACCCAAGGTACTATTTCTGGGTTAGTGGAGTCTGTAACCTGAAGTGTATGTAACCTGAAGCGTATGTAACCCGAGGTACCACTGTAGTTGCTTTGGAAGAAAATAATCAGGCATCCACACAACATGACCAGTCGAACGAAGTTGATGTTGAAGAATCATTGCTTAGACACTGGTGATCTTTGCTTCTTCCAGTACACTGGCATTAGTTCACCTGTCCCGGTTGAAATGCAGAGTGTTTGAGGACTGGGACATTCACAGGGAAACCAAAATGCTTGTTTACAAAGCTATTGTCCTACCAACCTTACTGTATGCTTGGGTGTCCCTATAAGGCCATTAAGACCAGCGTGTAAGACTACCTTGTGCACCACTATTATCAGTAAAAACAAACATTGAGTATTGTGGCACTTTAAAGATTAACACAATTATCCTTTTAATAAAATGATATTGTTTTATTAGTATGAATCTTTTATGAAAGTGGCACAAGACTCTTGGCTGAAGTGGACTTAACACGGTTAGTCTTCTGGAAATGTTATCGGTGGTATCAGTTCGGCTACAGAACAGTTCAATAATGTTTTGGTTGTGACATGGCCTGTTGGAAATACAATCTGCCCCTGATTTAGGGACCAGACAAAATAATGCTGTGTGCTTGATGCTTCCAGTTTGCTGTACCTGATTTAAGGGTTTTTGGGTTTTTTAAAAAAAAAAATCAATTCCACCTTTCAAGATTCCTGCTAGTTTGTACTTTTGTGAAATAAGCAGTCATTTGATTTTCTCTTTTTAATAAGTCAGTTTAAAATACAGCCATTGGTTTTGTTTGGAAAACAACAATAACAAACACCTTTTCTCTTTCTTTCTGTTACAGTTGCTAGGAGGGTTTGTCTTAGCCGTTGGCATTTATGCAGAAGTTGAAAGACAGAAATATAAAACCCTTGAAAGTGCCTTTTTAGCTCCAGCCATTCTTCTAATACTCCTAGGTATTATAATGTTCCTCGTTTCCTTCGTGGGTGTGTTGGCTTCCTTAAGGGACAACTTATACCTTCTTCAAGCTGTAAGTACTTTTATATAAGTAGGAGTCTACTTGTAACCTGAACTTGATGTTTATAAAACTTATTTTGATCTCTATTCTGTAAACAGCTTTAAGACAGCTTAGCTAATAACTTCCTTCTTTGGATAAATGGCAGAGAGAAAGGAAAGTGCAAGATGGATTCTAATATAACCAGTGTAAACGAAGTTGGCAAAGGCAAACGCTTTACTTTAGTGGCACTTAATCATGGTTTTAGAGAAAATGTGGGTGCAACTGAAAGAGCTTGCTTAAACAAAAGTAAGATTTATGTAAGAAAAATGCAATGTAAATTCAGGCATATAAAAAGCTTTTATATTTAACAAATATTTAACGTGTTTATATAGCTTGATGTTAAAAGCGGAGTCAGGATAAAATATTTTCATTCACAAAATGTATTTACTTATTATTTAAACTGAAGTCCATTGATTTACTGCCTCCAGGTTAGCAGAGCAGGTTTCTTTAACAGCATGCATGCTTGAACTTTGTCCATCTACATGGTGTTTTTTTAATGTGTCATATTTTTATATAACGTATTTATTAATGAAAAGAGCCCTTTGATCTAAAGTTGCACCATGATTCCTTTTGGGGTAGAACCAGTGATCGACATTTTCACATCAACAGTAAAACAGTCAATATGCCTGAATTTACAACAGTAAAACAATCAATATGCAAATTAAATTTAGAGCAAGGTTGAGAATGAAAAGTAAACAGCAAGAATTCATTAACACTACAGTGGTACCTCGGGTTAAGAACTTAATTCGTTCTGGAGGTCTGTTCTTAACCTGAAGCCTCCTGCTGCCGCCATGCCGCTGCTGCACAAGTTCTGTTCTCATCCTGAAGCAAAGTTATTAACCCGAGGTAATATTTCTGGGTTAGCGGAGTCTGTAACCTGAAGCGTATGTAACCTGAAGAGTATGTAACCCAAGGTACCACTGTATTGGCCTCTGGTGGGGTGTTCCTCTGCCAATCTCATGTATGCATGTGAATTGATGATTACAATATTAGAACAGCCCACTCGTTCTGCAACACTCAGGTGTTTATTAGAGTAAGCTGACCAAGGAGACGAAATGCAAAGTATAAAATACAAAACCACAGACTCCATGAAGCCAATGATTTTAAAATGACAAGCTCAGAACTAAGAATCATAGCAGGCCTATGAGACGTTACAACATTTGGAAGTCTTGCCACCTGCTTAATAATAAACGTATTGATCCCCTCAAGAAAGAAACTGGGAAAGTTCTCTGAAGATCAGTTAGGAAACAGTTTTGTAAGTGAATATATTGTGTGCAATCTTCTGATAAAACAACAGAAAAAGAACTGACGAGAGACCCTTTTGACCTCTGAGAGGTCACACAGAAAGCTTCTGCCTAAATGAAGGGAACTAAGTTTTGAAGTGAAACATTAAGATGGGCAAATCAAATAGCTGTTCTGTACTTTGGCGCCTAGCAACTATGTGCTTGCATGGTGCTGGCTGCAGTGGCCCCATGCCACAAGTGTCTCCTTGATGACCAAATGTAACAGGGAGAAGGCCCCTCCCCTTTCTATTTGCCAGATTGCGATGATTTGTGTTTCCCTTCTAGTGAGTTGCCCTCACCAGCCAGTGCTGCATGTTTCGATTTCAGAGCCTTGTAAATTTTTAAAGAAAAATGGGAGAAGAAAGAAAAATAACACCCCTCACATTAACCACTCAGTAAACTTCACTATATTCAAATGATTGAACAGGTATCCAAAAAAAATGTATTTTGTTTGTAAAAAATATGTTCAAATGTAGCAAGGGCATTAAGGTCTTTGGTCCATTGCGTAATAGAATCTAAAACATGAGTGCTGCACAGAACTCAAGAGAGGAGGATGAAGGCGGCTTGGGGACCTGACCGTGGTGCCACAGGTCTGCCTTCATCTCCTGTGCTGTGCTGCTGCTGCTGCCGCCTGCTGCTCATCCTTAGTAGTTGAGAGGCAAGATCACCCCCCCCCCCGAGGCACATGGGTCTCTGCAGAGTAGCAGCGGTAAGTGCTCCAGTGGCACTGCCTCATCTACAGCAGTTCTAAAAGTTGCTTAATTTCACTGGAAGTCGTGAGTCATGATTTCAGTGCTGAAGATTTTAGATTTTGTATGTTAATGTAATATTTTTGAAATTCTTTTGCAGTTCATGTACATCTTGGGTATTTGTTTGCTCATTGAATTAATTGGTGGAGTTATGGCCTTAATGTTCAGGAATCAGGTAAGAAAACTGAAATATTCAAGAAAATGCCTAGTTAAAAAAACTTATCCCCATTTGTTATGGAAAAATGGAACCATTACTCTCTTGTCCCAAAGCAAAATTACTGATTACCCTATTTTTCTGTCTATAAGACGCCCCCAACTTTGGGGACTCCGATTTAAGAAAATGGGGGAAATCTATCCATGTATAAGACGCCCCCAAATTTTGGACATTATTTTTAAGGGGGAAAACCTAGTATTATACACGGAAAAATACGGTATTATGGAAGAGTCACAGAAGATCATGTATTTGAGTGGCAAGATTGGAACAAAATCAGGGCTATGCAAACACTACTGTAATAAATAAATAAAATTGCATTCTGGCACTCCTGATTCTGTGCCCTAAGCTACTACGTAACTTACAGAAATCATGCAAATTTCCATAATTTCTCTTACTTTGTATAATTTATTCTGCAATATTCACTCTTACCAGCTATGCAAGCTCTTTTTATCCTTCTGGCTTTTCAGCAGGTGTTTTCCACAGTTCAAAGTGTATGTTTGTTACCTTAAAAGGCCAAAACTATTACCATTAAAAAAAATGAAATATGAGATTCTTAGGAAGTTAGATTCAGTGCCTAATACCGCATTATATGTTCAGTAGACTGTGAGTTTAGTTTATTTGTATGTATGTTGTTTTTCCGTAGTCAGCTGTGCCCAAAGCAACTCATTAAGTTATCAAAAATACAACATTTGGGGAAAATCCAGTTTGTAACCAAATATCAATGTCAGTGAATTCAAGTAAGGCAAAAACTTTTCAACCAGAATAGGATAAATTCAGTATTACAAAGAAACAATTAGACTTCAACAGTTAGACTTAAACAATATGTATGAATGAAGCTAATAACACACTTCAAGTGCTGCTCTTACAGCACTCCAAGAGCCCACACTGGTCTAAATACATTTGAGAGGGGGTTGGGGGCTGCTCATCACCAGATGGTTCACAATGGGCTCCCCTTTCTGTCTTCCAGAGGAGACTTTGACAGCAGCAAAAGGGAAGTTCCTGTTAAGGGCCAATTGGTTGAATTTTTCAGGCTATAAAGACTCTTGTGTGTTACTGTAGTAGGAAATGAAAGAAAGAAAGAAAGAAAGAAAGAAAGAAAGAAAGAAAGAAAGATGGTCTTTCCTTCCAAAAAAGAAGGAAATATGTATATGATGCCTTGCACTTCCTTCAGTATTTTCAAAAGACACCCATAATTGAGTATTGGCAAAATAAACATTAACAGAGGCTAAAAGCCTGGTAGCTAATCAACTAAAAATTCTGTAACTGGTTGGCAATTCTAACATTTTGTCATAAACTGGGAATAGCTTTGAGTGTTACCAGAATATAACTTCATAGTGCTTTAAGAAGATAAGGATCGACAAGTTGTCTTTGGCAGCCCGCTACCCCTCTGAAGCTTCCAACCTGCCTGCTGGCCTTGCATGTGTGCAGTAGCATAAATACGATAGAATGAGACAACTTGCCTCTGTGCAGCCTGGATACGAGCACAATATATAGGCATCAAATATCACTCAATACATTATTGCTTAGATTATGTTATGTGAAGTTTCTTTTCAGTATGGAGAAATGCAATAACATTTTCAAGATGTCAGATTACCTTGTTCGGAGATTTGCAAATCAGGCAGCATGGTACCACTGCAGCTTCACACAGGCTCTCTGCCTGTGGCCTAACACGATACAGGACATTTAGGCTGTAATCCTGCACACACTCACCTGGGAGTAAGTCCCACTGAAGTCAGGAGGGCCTACTTTCTTCTTAGAAGACATGTATCACATTGCTCCCATGCCTTGGGAAAAGACTTCAAACACAGTAAATTGGTGAAAAGGTTGTATATGTTAAAATATACCAATCAGAAGAACTGTGGAATAATAGCCAAATCAAACAAATGTGAGCAGAGGAAGTTAGCTCAGGTGTTGGAGGGCAACCTCGCTTCTCACATTCTGTGGCCCCCCAGCTAAAGATTGGAATAAACATCCCTCCTTGCTAGGTGAATCATGAGCTGTAGATGTGCCTCAAGCCCCAGTGTTCAGAAGCTTTCATCCAGGCATACAGCTCTAGTCCAGAGAGCACTCAGCAGCACCCCTAAAGCTTCTTGCTTTGGGTGATAACTTGTGGTTGTTCCCTGTCTAAAAATGCCTCATGGTACCAGTCAACTGTTGTTTTAATTTCCTTCATCAGCCTGCACAGAATGCTTCAGAGGAGATCGGTTTCTGCTTGTTTGCGTCCACCCACTCGCACACAACAGCTTGAAAATAGCTCTCGGCACTGGCAGATGGACCCCATTGACCCAGTGAGGGGCAGGAATATCATAACTGATTCTGGGGTGTGGAGTATAGCTCCCCCCCAAAAAAAAAACACAAGAGAAACTGATTGACCACGTGGGAGAACCCAACTCGAGTCTCAAAGTGAGAGGGATAGAGCAGACTTGTTAATTGGACAGCAGGTTTTTTGCAAAGAGCCAGAGCAATTCATTCTGCGTAGTGAGAACTTGGAATTTCAGCAGCATCATCCTTAAAAATCCACAACTATTTTTAACTTGCCTGAGCATCAGTTCCTCAAGGCATGGATAAAGACTTGAGAGCCTGCCCAGGCATAGAAATTCCTACCCGCAGCACTGTAATGTCCCTTCTTAACTTGTAATAATGAGGCATACACTCATTCTGGCTAGGCCCAAAGGGTGGAGATGTAAATTACTTCCTTCCCCCAAACTTCTCATTTTTACAGGTAGGTTTTGGTCAGCCTGTTCCAAGCGCTAGTAAGCAATTCTGAGCCATTAGTGTTTTGGAGAAGCGTGGAGCTTGGTGTTTCCTCTTGCAGCACAAGCTGGCCTGACAAGCCTGTTTTGTCTCTAAAGTTGACGTACAAGTCCTCTGATTTGCAAAGGCTTGTCTACCTTGAATGTCTAACTCGGGGAAACCGATCGCTTGCTAATAAAAGTGAAATGAATAAAAGTTTGAGATAATAGGGACCCCCTCACACACATAATAAATTTTCAGTTATGATGTTGTACCTTCAGATGCCTTTCCTCAAAGTAGTATTTCTGTAGTGTGAATATTGCATTTTCCCACCATTCAAACTGAATATTGTATCTGTTTGAAAAAGAATGGTGCACCAATGGAGACAGGATTCAGCCTGAGCAGACAGAGATCTTGGGCCTCGCAAGTTGATTTTTTTTTTGGAAGAACTTAGCCATTACGGGATGTATCCTGCTATTAGAATGATACTCATGTGGGAGATAGGTATTTTCTGGTTTGTTTTAAAGAACCATTTTATATTCCAGCATTAGATGTTGGGGACAACGGTGCTGATTTGGGCCCCACACTGTGGGTGCCCAGCATGACTTGCCCCCTGCCCACACTGTGACATTATGATGCACGTGCCATGACATCATGATGCACACTGTGGTGTCATGACATCATAGCACGGGGGAGGACACAAGCTCCAGCTGCACGGCAACTGGCCCCTCCTGCCAGAACTCTCTCTCTCTCTCTCCAACTCCACGCTCTCTCTTCCACCCCATGCTTGATCTCCCTGCTCTTTCTCCCACCCACCCTGCCTGAACTCTGTGCTCTCTTCCACCCCAACTCTACACTCTTTCACTCCCTAACTCAACACTCTCTCTTCCCCTCCTGCCCGAACTCCACACTCTCTCTCCCACCCCCCGTCTGAACTCAGCGCTCTTTCCATGCGGTGTGGAGCCTGCGTGCCAGCTCCTGCATTTTGCGGGTGCCCAGCCCCTATATGGGAAATTTTCTGGGTGCTTGGGCACGCAGGACCCCAGGGAGATAGTGCCTATGATAGGGGCGTATGCAATCTTCAAAAATTTTTGTGTGTGTGGACAAATTGGAGTAGAGGAGAGCTTGCTGGTATCCACCACTTGTTGAAGGGAGAGATTACAATCTCCAGGTTGGAATGGTATAGTGGGAGAGTTTTTATCTTCTAAAGCAGTAAAAATAAAGAAAAAAATCCAAATGCTACAAAATGGACATTGGAAGGATGTATTATTTGTTACTTATGATACATCGCAGGCATTGTCCAACAGTTAATAACCATATTCACGCAGCAATGTGAATGAGAGGAAAAATCACATTTTCCCATTGGCAAAATACTCCCGTTGGTATGCTGGGAAAATGCAAAAATCCTTTAACAAAGCCACTTTTTCATTAAGTTAGTTCTGTGGCTCCTACATAGTGGTCTAAGTAAGATGTTTCACATTTATTGCATGAAAACAACTATTAAACCATAAGCAAACATTTGCAGGAGTAGGTTCTTGTTTTCCTACAATTTTATATATTGACGGGGGCTAATACCAGACTAGTTCTTGCATATTGCTTATTTTTAGGGCTGTCAATCAGTTACACATTCTTGACCCATAATCTGCCTTTGATTCTTACATTAAATTGTAGATATTATCATCATCTTTCTAAGATACCAAAGGAAGTGTGAGAACTTACAGCATGTTAAAAATTTCTCTTTCATTTCCTTTTCTAGCAGCTTATCAGAACTAAGAGTCTAAAAAGCATTACAATCATTCTCAGCCCCACTGCTGAATAGACTTGTTAAAACTTGTTGCCGGTTATAGATGGTATGAGTGCATGCTTATACTTTTTTCTTTTCAAATTATGTGTGCTTGATCTTATTTGGTTGTTTTTCCCTTTAGACAATTGACTTTGTAAATGAGAACATCCGAAGAGGGATTGTGAATTACTACGATGACTTGGACTTCAAAAACATAATGGATTTTGTTCAAAAGGAGGTTGGTTTTTGGATGTCAAATTAATCAAACAGTAGTAGGCTATTCATTGATCCCATGTGCTACAATATAGCAGTAGCTTCCAGCTATTTGCTGTTCAGGTGGATGTGTTGGGGTGCTCAGTGCTGGGGTGGCTTCCTTGCTGACAGTGGAACCCCCCCCCCCCACTGGTGGAGGCTGGCAGAGCTGGGCAGGGGCATCTCTCCTCCATTCAGACCCCTCCATCATGGTGAGCTGGGGGTTTGGATGGCTCTGTTAATTGCTTACAATTTTTATGATTTAGTTTCCATACAAACATTTTTCAGGCACTAAGGTGTTTGTCGGAACTTGAAACCCTTGCTGAGGGAAATAGGCCATTGAGAGTTAGAAATTGTTTTGAACCACGGCTGTGTCTTATGCCATAGCATGCTTAATTGACTCATTGGTTTGTGTTGAAATACTTACTGGGTTGCTTTTGCCTTGAGCTACAGAGATGTTAAATGAAACGGAAAAGTTGGATATTTTTTAACATACCGAGAACAGCATGTGTATAGATATATAGATAAAAACTCCCAACATTTAAAAGACAACTTTGACTTTATGGTGAAGATTTTGGACACAAGCCAGAAGAGAGGTTCTTTTGGGCAAACTAAATTGAAATGAAGGGAGGTGTGCATAAACATAAATGCTCATTTCAATGAGGCTTGCTCAGAAGACCATTGTGGTGAATTGTGTTCCTTATAAGATATTTTTTAAAGGGGACAGCCTTCTTTTAAAAAAAGGTCAGGAACAAATTGTTTTAGGCGTGTACTAATTCATAGCTTTCCAAGTCGCCCTTTTGTTAAATGTATACACAAAGTTTTAGAGTTCTCGTAAGTATCTGGTTTATCCTTGTTTAGGTCCCTTCCAATGAGATGTTTAGTTAATGCATTAATGATTGATTAACAGTGTTTAGTTTTCTAGTTCTTGTTTTATAAATGAAATTACATTAGCTATTCTCTTTTACTCTGTAATGATACTCATAAAATCTGGGACAATTCTGTGGTGCATAGTCTGAGAAAATTTAGATGCAGCAAATGGAAGCTGAAGGTCACAAATGATGCAAAGGAAAGTTTAATCAATCATTTTATGATGCTTATTGTAAATAGCGCATCACAATCCAAATGTTTTTTGAGTTTGACCTTCAGGAGTGTAGTCGTCAGCAGATCTCCGCTTTTGGCTGTGGCTGTTTTGCCTGAAGGAAGATGCTACGTTCAAAATGTATGGGGATTTCATGATATTTTAGCCATTAAATTAAACACACACACACACAAATAAATTACACAGTATTCAGAACTTTGGCTAGATAGCTCCTGCCCTTTTTGTTCCTATTTCAACCCTACACATTCATTGCTTTAGTGCTTTTTCTTTCCTTTTTTGCAGTCAGACTAGACATCATATAGCATAAATTTAAAGCAATATATTGGTCAGCCTTTCCCAACTTGGTGTCTTCTGGATGTTTTGGACTATTAACTTACATCAGGTCCAGCCAGGGCACTGGGTTGGGAAGGCTCCCTTATACCTATAATTTGGGGTTCTAAAGTGAATAGGGATTGCTTTGGAATCTGGTAGGATCAGGCCTTGAGACTTCCTCACAGAGTTCTTTACAGGCTCTTCCTGCCCCAGAAAAGAGCTGCAAACAATATACATTTTGGTGGTTTTGTGTTCCATATGTTTAAATTGGTGATTTGTAAATTATGTTAGGCACCTCCACACATGCTAATAATAATAATAATAATAATAATAATAATAATAATGAGAAATTAGGACATGAAGCCTCTATAATAATCACAAGGTTTTATTCTTACTGATAATAAGGTTCTAAATTTCTGCAACAAGGATTTGTCTTTGTGTAACACCTTTTTCCCCCCTCTTCAAAGTTCAAGTGCTGTGGTGGTGAAGATTTTAAAGACTGGTCAGAAAACCAGTACCATGACTGCAGTGCCCCAGGACCACTAGCTTGTGGAGTTCCTTACTCTTGTTGTGTCACAAACAAGGTAAAAGTTACTTATTATTCCAGATTAATTTTGCAGTTACCTGTTGGTTCCTCACATTTCACCAAATGATTTTTTTTTCTATGAAAGAAAATCAGTCTGGCAAGCTAAAATTGCCACCAAGAATGGAGATCTGTACACGGAAGGGTTCGTTATGTGATTCATCTTGCTTGATATGATCTGTGCACACTTAGACTATGTGTAACAAATGGTAAGCAAGTGTACATTTTCCACACAAAAGCAGATCACCCAGAAACAACCTTGGTAAGGATAACAGGCTCTTTCAGTACAATTTCCCAAAAGGAAAAGTTCTAGGAATCCTTTTTAAAATAAATTGGTTTATTTGTGTTGGTTTTCTACAGATATTTTAAGTACTGGATTCCCCTCCCCCCCCCTAATATTTTTTGAAGCAAATGAAGAATTATATCCGTTTTCTTCTAGGCTGTTTGTGGAATTAAAGATTAATTATACCATGTCACCTTTTCCTGACCAATTAAAAATAACCATTAAGAAATGTTTCCAAAGAAAGCCTAGTAATAACATCATATCAGTATGATAGAATAAAAACCTCAACAACATTTGGATGAATTAAAAATTGACGCTCCATTGAGATTTTGTGACAGAGAGGGTGATAATAGAACGTTGTTTAGCAAAATATTTTTGCATCTCTTTTTTCATTATTACCAAATGAAACCAGTAATGTTCCTATAAATAGTATTGCCCTTTTTAGGTTATAAGAGAACATGTTACCACGTATATCACAGAACAGTCCTTGAAATCTTGCAGCACCATCTTGTTAACACTCATTTATCTGGAGGATGCCACACTGGCAGTCTTTAAAAAATAAATCAAGATGAATAAATCTTAGCCGCTTGACATGTTTCCAAAACCAACTTGGCTTTTGCACTGGAAATGTACAGATGTGAGCAATAATTAGTCATTTACTCTCTGGTCATGGAAAAGTACTGTTAATATGTGAGGGCAGCGTCTCTATCTTTGGACAAATTTCATGCAGTACATAAGATTCAGATACTGATACCCAGGTGTAAGTGGCTTCCTATCACAGCCAAGCTTGGGGGCAGCCCACAAATTTGCTTGCCAAGGAACTTTTTTGGGTCCAAGCGTGTTTATGTTCTGCCATCTCTGGCATGGCACTGCTCATAGAGCCTAGGAGGGGGTGCCTGGGCACAGTCTGCTCAATTTCTCCTTCCACAGGCTATCAGAGCTTGACAGGACTAACTCCCACCTGATGGGAAGGCAGGATTAGGAATGACCTGACTCAGTCCAGTGGCCTCCTCCCACATCTTAGCAGAACAGAGCCAAGGATCTTAAAATGAAAAGTTGGCAGCCCTATGTGCTACTCCCATATCCTGTAATTGCTTAGAGTGATTCTGCAGACGGACTGACCCTGATTAAAGAGCACACAGTCTTACCATTGCCAGAATGGCGGAGGCTGTTTTGCTGCCCTGCGAATGAACAGGCATAACTTTCCCTCCAACCCTCTTGCCTAGTTCTGCAGGTGTTCAGTGTGGTAGATCCTGAAAGGAGGAGATCTGCCTGTGGAAGATCCTAGCTGGCTGGCAGCTTTGATGTCCAAACTCTAGAGCAGTTTTATGGCTTCCTTTGAAATTTGTGATTATTATTATTTTTGCTTTAGGAGGCAAGTTAAATATACTTTATACGTGTGTGTGTTTGTGTGTTGCCACTTTGAACAAACCCCCAAAGGGTGGCAACCCACTTGACTCATGAAGGGAAAGACAAGAATTGGTGGTACACAGTATTCAGCTGTGTTCTGTGTACATTTGCAGTACTTGTGGAAATTGTACTGGCTGGGCATGAGCTGGGCTCAGCTGCAGTTGAAGAACAGACACTTCTGTTTGCGTGGAACATCTGTCACGACGCTCAGTCTCACGCCTGGAGGATGCTTTAGAGCAGTGTCCCTAGGGCAGCACCATCTTCAGAAAGATGACAGCCACCAAGAGTCACTGCTGAAGGAAGCCTGTATGTGGCATCATTCCCAGTGTTAGGACATAGTACCTAGGAAGCCACCTTCTACTGAGTCAGGCCATATATATATGTTCATCTAGCTAAATGCTGCCTGGCAATGTTTCCAGGGTTTCTGACAGGAGTCTTTCCTCGCCCTTCCTGAAGATCTTGGGGATAAAGGCTGGGACCTTCTGGGACAAAGCACAAACTCCATCACTGAGCTGCAATCTTTGTTGCTGAGAAAGCACTTTCTCCACTGCCACTCCTGCCATCAAGGAAGCATCTGAAGCAGCCTATTTTGTTGCCCTTAAAATGCACCTCATATTTGCTACCTATAAAACAAAAGGTGCTTTTTCTTCCACTATGCTCAGTAACATGCAAATGTAACTGTTTGCACTCTGAAGTGGCTTGGCAAAGCTGGAGATCTTAAAAAAAAAATAAAACTACCTGTAACTTAAATCATGACTAGTTTTACAGTATTCAAAGGTTTTCAACTTTGGCATTGCCAGTTGGTTTAGATGATAGAAAAACAATTTAACGATTCCTGTCATAGCTTCCGATGACTTTCTCTCTTTATCGGAGGTCCTTCATCTTGCTTATTGACCCTTTGCAGGTTTCTGGAGCATCCCAGGACACACCTCACAAGTAGTCAGTGCATTTATGTGTTATGTATTGTGAATAGTAACTAAGGGCACAAGGTGCTGGGAACTTCTCTGTAAGCCACACTGAAATATGCCTCACATGTGACTAATTTCTATTCCGATACCACCTTTTCAGTGGAAGAAGTGAATTCCATGCAAACTGTGTTTAGAGAGCTAAACTTGACAACTGCACACACACACACGTTTCGTTGCAAGTATAGGCACTTGGAAAGTACAATTGCTGTGCACATAAAACTTCCTATAGGAGAATATAGGATGTTGCTCAGCAGAGATGACTGGAAATTAATTGAACAGAAGCACAGATTTGTTGTGTTCTATTCTGTTTCCCCTTTGTATTTTGGTTTAAACTAATTCACAAACCAAGAACTGATATATTGAACCATATATTGCAGATATTGCTGCAAAATTATTGTGCTATTTTTTTGACATGAGAAGACTTGGCTTATTTATTTGTATCATTAAATACCCAAATGATCCTTGTTTATAAAACTCAATAATTTTTTTTAAAAAAAGCAGCAGCGGCACAAATTTGTTCTTAAGTGATTTCTTCATTTGTGCAAGAGATGTTCCCAGTGGACTTGGTCAACAGTAGCAGCAGTATCGCGTGGATATCCTTGTTCATGCCTGGTTTCATAGTAAGGAGAGTTGTGATTCGTAAGTGGCATTCATGGGCAAGATTCAAGGCTCAAGTGCCTTAACAGCCCTCAAGGTTGGCCATTCTTGTTCACAAGAGAAACTGTGGCCTTGTGAAACGTGAACACTGAATAAATTGGGATATTGTCAAGGGCTGGGTAACTGCAAACTGAATTGTGAAGCTTGTTGTAAGTCTTTTAGCTTTTGAAATTTGGGAGATTGTAGTAGTAATTGTGGCGGTAGGCAACTCATTTGTGCCAACTTCACACTTTTATGTGAAAGTACCTTCCAAATAGCATTGAAAATACTTTCCACAAGAAGCGTAACAGGGGCTTTTAATGCTTACAGTCACTGTTGTTTTCCAGTTTACTCACTGTACTGTTTCAGGCCTGGTAAAATGAAGACATCCAAATATATACTGATTATTTCATAGTTTGCATTATCCAAAAATTGAAAATAAGCTATATAAATATATTCATGTTGCACTATACTCATATTGTGAAATATGTTTTTCCCCCAGACAGCAGTTATCAATACCATGTGTGGATATAAAACTATGAATGAAGAGGTAGGAACATATATTCCCCCCCCCCCATATACAGTTAGCTTTAAGCCATTTGAAATGATCTACTGTTTGAGAGTACAACTTGCAGTCTTGTCTCTGCACCATCAAGCATTTCTGTTGCAGACCCAGAAAAGGAAAACTCTCCATATCTTATTTGTTCCTGTGCTGTTTTTTATGCCTTTGCAACCTACACATGCCAAGAAGAGCATGTGTATGATTTGTAAGGCTCCAGTTATCTTCATCACAAATAGATCTGTTTGTGGTCACACCACAATCTGCTGTTTAAGGCTGAGGTACACAGATCTACTTCTGAGTAAATGCCCAAGCAACAGGGTTGTGTTTTTTTTTTTTTTTAATAAACACATTTTCTGTGATTGTGGGTAATTCTGCAGTGAGGTTACTGCTGACTTCAGTGGAACAAAACATGGATGCGGGGAGCAAGATGAATTGGCTGTTCTTTAGACCTAGCATGTGAGTAACAGCTGGCACAGAAATACCAGTCTGTTGTTGAAGTTTCTTGCAATGCAAGAAAGCATTTTAGGCGGAATTAAATGTTCTGCTAAGGCGGCTGTTGCATTTGCAGTGTGCATTTCTGCTTGCCAGATGAAACCATTCCCCTCTTTTCCTCCCCTGTTTTGGGGGTTCTCCTGACCCAAGCAACTCTGAGGTAGGGGTCACTCGGGGGACAGTGCCATTGGGCTAGGGAGACTAGTTGTGTTGGCTCCCACTAGTGCCAACAACTGACTTAAACAGAGACCTATGTCTCAGGTTGTTGGTCTGGTAATGTTGGCCTGAAAATAGGAATGAATTGCTTGCCATCTCTCCCATCCCTTTGCAGCTTAAGATTGGGATAAGATGTAACCAATGGAACTGGAATGGCAGCTTGAACTCAAAAGTAATTTATTAAAAAATATGTACTCTTTCAAACAAGTCTCTAGGGATCTCTCAGGGCACCTAACGTTATATAAAAAATCATTTTAAAAATCCAATTAAATCATAATGCAACCAGTGTCATCTTATAAACAAATCATCGGCAGTAAACTGCCCTGGCTGGGGGGGCAGTCTCTTTTGAGAGGCGCTGCAGAAAAATCCCTGCTCTTTGGCATTAGTCTGGACTTTGACAAAGAGGGAATTGGAAGCAACACCCACTCAGACGATCTCAGTCCTAGTATCTGGGGAGGCGCAGTATATGGAGTAGACATTTTCAACCTGCCACGTAAAACCCACTGAGATCCCAGCAGTAAACTGGGAATTTCACTTTGTTGAAATTCAATGGGGCTGTTAGCATTGAATACAGGGCACATATTGTCTCAGTAGACAAATCAGGCTGCTTACTTAAAAGTCTCTGTTGTTACTTTACAGCGCCTGAGTGTTCAACACGTGATATATGTGAGAGGATGCACAAGTGCTGTACTGATTTGGTTTTTGGACAACTATGCCATCATGGCTGGCATTCTGCTTGGTATATTGCTGCCACAGGTAAGGCTGGCAAGACTCTAAAAGGAAATATTCAGGACAAGGCCTTGGCTCCTTCCTTCCTTGTTGGTTTGTGAGCCACAGTTTGCAGCTTTGATGCGTGGCATGGGGTCAGTTGTTTCCTATATGTGTTTTGGGCTGTCAGAGAAGGTGGCAAACTTCTCTGTTATTCATTGGTCAGTTTGCAGTAGAGCTGGACCCCTTTCAGTGTGGTCCGTAAAGACAAGCAGTAAGACCTGTGAAACTTAAGTGCTTGGGCATATATTTAAAAGACATACATATATATATATATTATATATAAAATTATATTTTGCTCTTAGAACTTTTGAAAATCCTTTATGAATGATACCATGGAAAACATTTTTACAACTGACTAAATTGCTTCATGAACCAGATTGGGCAATCAGGCTGTCTGTTGACCAGCCTTGGTGTTAATGATTCTGATGACTGCCTGGATGATTCCGATGCTGCTGGTCTTGGAAATACGTAGCCCTGGCAAGGATAACTAATATAAATGGTACGATATGTTGAAAGATTGCAGTTGGCAAGGGTGATCGTGTCCTGTTGAATTAGCGTTTCCGAACAAAATATTTGTAGAAATGGCAAACATTGCACATCAAACTATATATGTTACACAAACATTACCTCATTTAAACAAATTGGGAGGGAAAGGGTTTACAAGCCCTCCTGTTTTCCTCTCCTTTCTTACCAAAATGCTATTGCATATGTCCTCTGAGAAAGTATAACTCCCATGAGATTTCGGGGCTTTTCCCCATGGCATGCTAGCAGCACGCCAGAGAGGGAAGGGAGAAATCCAGGGGGATTCCAGACTGCGATTGAATCCCACCTGAAAATACTCAAACGAGTAATTTGGGTTGTACAACTGCAGTTGATTGGGAGGTTTTGTGCAACAAACTTGCTTCCCCCAGAACCAGACTTTTAAAGTGATGAGAAGATGCACTGGGAAGTATAGAGTAATGCTTGCTTTGGCATGTCTTCTGGAAGCAACCCCAATCTCTCTGCTTTCTCTTCTCGTGGCATTTGTAGCACTACTCCCACTTCCTCTGTGCCATCAAAGAAGTCTAAATTAAAGAGGAGGGGAGGAGGGCTTAGGAGGATTGTGATCCTGGCACCAATAATGTTTTGAGGATCGGAGTGGCTAGGAGGGAGGGAGATTTCTCAAAGTAGCTTGGAAAATGTCAGGCTGTTTTTGACCTTTTGGGAAATGCCTTGGCTTCCTTCAAAGTTGTTCCATTTTGGTTTGGGGAAGGCTTGCTCTTGTCTAATCTTTGTCAAGAATCTCAGTGATTGACTTCCTGGGGGATTATATTCAAGCATCCATCCTTTGGATGCTGTAGCGATTCATTGCTGTCAAGTCTTGCTTTTCCGAAAACACTTTGTTTTTCTGTGTGAAATTCCTTAGCTCAAGCAGCAATAGTCTGAGATCCATTTCTCATGTTTTTAGTACTTTGGGCACTGTGCAAATCATGTGTGAAGTGCACCAAAGTGCAAATTTCAGCACATTTAGAGTTATGGGTCCACACCTGCCTTTTCTGAAGGTTTTTAAGAGGACAAGTGCCAAATTTTAATATGCCTAGGTTATCCACACTTGTTGCTAGGTGCACGTTATAGAAGCATAGTTGTTATAGAATCGGAAGGGACCTTGAGGGCCATCTAGTCCAACCCCCTGCAGTGCAGGAATCTCAACTTGTGTCCTTTGATATCTATCTGAGTACAAACTTTAAAATGAGAATTGTTTCCCCCAAATGAGCAGGAATTGTAAACTGTTAGTGAATGGTGCTATTCTGATCATCCTCCTCACTTTATTTTGCAGTTCCTTGGGGTTTTGCTGTCTTTGCTTTACATCACCCGAGTAGAAGATATAATTGCAGAACACAAGCTTAACGAGACTCTGCTTGATGGAGGGAGACGGAAGGCGGACATTGAATTTACTAGCGCTGGGTGCTGTATGTGTTATCCTGAGTGATCCCCAGGTATTCCTTTAAGAAAGACAAATGACTAACATCCCTTTGCATTGTGCCTTGACTGTAGTCAGAACTTAGTGATTTGCAAACAATAGTCCTTAGGAAACAAACCTCCCAATTCTTTCCAGACCTTGATTAATTATTTTTTTGCTCTGAGCGTTCTTTACGGTTTCACTGGCTTTGAGCTTGAAATGTGTTGTCTCTTGTGGCATCTAAAAATCTAGCCAGTTTCCTGCTTTACGGTAAACAGTATAGCTAATCTGGGAGGGAAATGGTTGTGAAAATTAATACAATAATTATTGTAGCCAAACTGACTATGTACAAGGGCTGTTTACGTTCCCTGTGCAAGGATGTCGCTAAAAACATAAAATCATCTTTACTTCTTTCTATTTTTCTAGTCATTTTCAGAACATGGTAAGATTACCAATGCAGGGGGCACAATCTCAAGTTCACTCTAAAAGGATCTTTTGGTGACTTTCCCACCTCAGAACGATGGTTAGCTTGAAGTAGCCATTTCCTAATTTTTTCCAAAGGATATTTGCTACTTTGTTTTTTATTAGCTGACTGAATTCAGGCTTTTTAAAAACTTGAAAGTTTCGTGTAGGTTCTTTTAAAGACTTGGGTCCTACCACTAGGCAGATTTATTCACGGCAACTGCAGATCATACTATTTTGTGGGCATGTTCAGTTTTGGGTGGAAGCCTGTGTAAGTAATACTTACCTGTCCAAATTGGAACGTTTAAAATACTGTGCAATCATATTTTGATGCTGCTTCTTATGGGTTAGGGAAAGCACTCTGGAGGCCTTGATTAATCTTTTGTGCCTTTCTACTATAAACCACTATCTGGCTTAAGTCAGATAATGGCAGCTTGCTTTGATGCCAATTTAATTTCCTAATTTATATATTTTTGTATGATATTTGGTATCCCTGATTAATTTGAGTCCTGTATGTATTGTGATGTACTGTATTTTTCCTGCCTATTGACTGGAATTCTGGTGTGTACAGAGATGCAATTCTTTATATAGAAAATAAATTTAATGATTTTGTAAGAAAAGAAAAAGGAAAACTGTTTTTTAACTTCATAACCGAACAAAATAAGTTATTTTCATAATCATTGCTGCTAAGGTGAGGAACCAAATGCAAACCAGGACATGCATTTTTTAGTACCACTGAATGGTTTTTCAATCAACACGTCACATTGACAGCAGCGTGGCACTTTGTACATTTTTTTAAAATAAAAATTTTAAAGAGAAGGTACATTTCTGCTCTCTTACTCTTCAAGAGGAGCGTAAAAACATCTTAATTTGGCAGGCTATCACCAATTTTTAAAAAAACAAGTCCTAATTTCATAAGATAGAGGAGAGACTCCAGCAGGGTAGCTGTTCTCCTAATGGCTCATTATTTCCAACGGTTTACTCTCAAGAGCTGTATGTAAGCAAAAAAGAGGAAGATGCATGTCAAGCAGAAGAGGGCCAGCTCATTCTCCCAGAAACCCCAGGTGCTGTAGTCAATCTCTTGGTCCTTCATGTAATGCTCTCCAGGGACCCTGAAGGAAGAATATGGGAAGTAGGCTGCTGGTAAAAGCCCAGTGAACCCAGACCTTCTGAGCATTGCACAGTACCCCCCATAGCAAACAAGCAGGCAAACATTGTTGAGAAAAGCTTCTGGAATATTCCAGAAGCTTTTCTCCTCTTACTTTGCAAACCTGCATCTCATTTTTCAAAAAACCCCCACTGAATTGTCTTTTTATAAAAATTAAATTCATGGAAAACAGCTTGTAATGAGACCTATCAGCTGTGATAGCTAAAAGGTGCAACTTCAGAGGCAGAATTCACCTTCCCACTCAACCACAGGAAGAGGGGTTGGTATTATTTTTGATTCACTATTTCTTGCTCTCAGCCATAGGATGCTTGTGGTTCTTCATGAGTGCAATGGAGGTGGCCAGGGCCATTGGAGTTTTCTTGGAGCCATCCCTCCTTCCAATAGCAGAACGGGGGGGGGGGGGAATGCCAGGGTGGATGGAAAGCCCCTTGGGCTCCACAGTATCCCATGGCCTCATGTTTCTCCAACACACCACTGACAAGGGAGGGGAAATGCAAGCCCTGGAGGTGGAACACTTACTTTCCCATCCAGCTGCTCCCAGCCCCAGCTTTTGGTCCTGGCTGGTGTGAGACCAGCAGAGCTCTGGATTTGCCAGCTTTTCTCTGCTTCCCATCCCCCATTAGATTGCTCTCCCCAACAGGATGGTTTTTACCTGGTAGAGTTCAAGTAGAAGACTCTTCCTTTAAGTTCATTGATGGTTAGAGCCTGAAATTGAAACATGCATTATACAAATGCAAATTATTGGGGTGGGGGAGACATTTCTGACTGTCAGATCACCCAGTTTCTGGGTGCTTTCATATTGCAAACCAGTTCAGGTATCAATTTGTTTGCATCATGTTTTTTTAAAAAAAACTTGGGTAGATTTTCTGCAAAAAGTAAATCTGGATTAAATTGGGGTGGGTTAGACATTTTGATGCTGATGCCACAGCTCAGGCTAGAGTGGATGTTACAATAAACTTGCATGAGCATCAGAACCAGTTCCAGAATCACCCATTTGTGACACTTTTCTCCCCAAGTGCATTTTTGTCATTGTTATTTTTTGTAAAAGGAAAAGAAAATATAACTGGAGCTAGGTGTACAAACCAGTGTTTGTTGGCAGATGGGAAGTGTCTGAGCATTTAACCCAGTGTTTCTCAAACTTGGGTCTCCAGCTGTTGTTGGACTCCATCATCCCTGACCAGTGGTCCTGGTAGGTAGGGATGATGATGCTGCAGTTCAGCAACAGCTGAAAACCAAAGTTTGATAAACACTGATTTAATCATTTACCTACCCACTGATTCTCCTCCTGGGAGACTCTCATCAACCCCTTCCCAGCAGACTTCTTTCCAGACCTATAGGGCAGTTGGGGAAATAACCTTAAAAACATCTTGGGGAGGGAGCTGCAGTTGGAAAAAAGTCAGACCCTGTGACTCACATTCATGCCATATCTGTAGATACTAATCCATTTGATCCAGGACAGCCAGCTCAACATGGAATTGAGGTTTACAAGAAACCCACCAAAGACCTGCAGGATATAGGATGTCCAAACAAACAAGTAAATAATTAAAGACCACAGTAAGAACTTAACAAGTCCCAAGGGGTTCATTAAACAGTGACAAGCACTTTGAGTCATCCTCCAAGTTTGGAAGCATTAGCTTTCGCTTTTGGTTAACCACCAATTGTGGTGACATTAGGAGTACCAAATGGATTAATTTTCAACAAGCCGAACTTCAAACCACGGTTTCTGAAATTGGCTTGACTAACCATGACCAACATTAACCACAGTTCCAGACTGTATGGTATGCTGCAATTAGTGTAAGCTAAGGCTTCCAAACTCCTCCTTGGGATGGAGTGGGGAGCAAAAGAGCTCTTTAGGGGACTGGGCTCATTCACATCTTGCTTACCCATAGTTTGATGTGACATTTGGATCTAGCCATTCTATAGTTTGGCTCGAAGTCGCAGAAGCGAGCAAAGCAATACTTGGTGCTTTTGGGGCTACTGTTTGTATCTGATTTCAGTATCTTAGTTTTGTCTTTTGCTGTAACGTCTAACTATACCCTAGAAATTTCATACGCAGAGCTTAAACTCCGGCAGAAACTGTTTTGTAAGTAGCCATGCACGTTATTAAAAAAGGGTGCACCATCCATATTAATGTTTTGAAGAACTGAAAAACAGAACAGCTTACCATCATGAAGACGTATGGAAGGGCAATCAAGAGGTTGGCAATGGCAAATGCATTGACACTGGCGCTCACTAGGAAAGCCATGCTCACTGCTGCAAGGTTAGTCAGGCTAAGAGACAAAACGTGCAGGAAGAAAGATTCTGCATCATATTTGAGACCTGGAGGTGGGCAGAAAGAGAAAAAGTTGCATGGCACCCTTCAAACCCTTAGCTTAGGGTTGGGGAACCTTTGGTCCTCCAGAAACTGCTGGGACTCCAGCTCCCATCATTCCTGGTCACTTTGGCTAGGGTTGATGGGAGTCAGGAGTCCAAGAGCACTGGGTGGGCCACAAGTTCCCCATCACTGTCCTAGCTCATTTAGTGCTTCTATCCCTGCATCCATTCGGGTTCTCCTAAGTGGCCTTTGGTTGGTTGTTTCTCTTTGTAAGTTTCCTGCTTGAGGAAATGGATTTGTGTCTTACTTTGGGCAAATATTTATGTGTTACTGACTGCAGGGCTGACACTCCTAAGAGAACAAAAAAGCATAGCTGACGATGTACTATTCAAGGTTGTGAGGGGGTGGGGAACAGATCAGAGGCATATTTGTGTCCAAAGACTCCTGCTGAAGAGAGATTTCCAAGCTTTGTTCATGTCTGGCAAAGAACAAAAGGCTCACAAAGGAAGAAAGAGAACAGTAGCCGGCTGGATTCATGCAGCCCATCATTCTCTGCAAGAATCCCAGCAAAACCAGCAGATCACGGTCCACTCCTAGATGACCTGTTGGAAATTGGTCTAACAGTGAAACATGGCCTACTCTCGGCTCACACTGTCTTTGATGTGTTTGCTGACCTTTTGAATTGTGTGTGTGTTTAAAAATCCTTAATTTGTGTCTTATTTCCCCCCAGAAAAGATTTGGACTGGAAGAAATGTCACACTCCCCACCCCTTATGTCACCACTGCCACCACCAGTTGATGGTTCAGATCAAATAACATAACACTTTACTCACCCATCATGAAATAGGAAATGGAAGAGAACAGCAGGACAGGCAGGATTCGATTGGGAACGATATCAGCAAACACTTTGGCTAGAAAGTATGCAGATGTCCTATAGTAACCTCTGGCACTCTCATGGCTAGAAAAAGGAAAAGGAGGAAACTCAGGGTTGTATCTGGTTGTGTCTCCATACCGACAGAAAGCTCTTTAGTTCAGTTGACGTTGAAAGCAGGGAGAGGCTATTATAGCCGATTCCCCCTTCCCTCTTTCATGCAGCTGCATGAAAAATCTGCAGAGAACCCTCTAGGACAGCAAGGGAGGAGAAATGCAGGGAGGGAGGGCTGCAAGAGGTAAAAAAATGGATAATATTTTTCAACATCATCCACTTTCCTGGAACTCATCAGAGCCTTCGATCAGCAGAGGGACACAAAGATATAACAACTCTACATTAATGTATTTAATGTATTTAAAAAGCTGTGCCACCAACACAGGATTCAACAGGTGAACAAGGTTTTCAGGAAGGTGGATCAGAGACTGTTTTAGGGTAGTGTGCCATGTTGCAGGGGGTGCCAAAACATTGCTGAAGAATGGAATGGGAGAGGTGCTGAAATTTGAGAGCCCCAAGTCCACCACTGGGTGGATTTCCATTCCCGCCTATAAAGAACAGTGTCACAATGGAACCAAAGTTCCCCTTGAAGCAAGAGAGTGGAATCATCCCTCTTGGAGACATACATATTCAGGACCAAAATACTCTCGGGGCCAGTGGTTGGACCGATGGCCTTTCCAGTTCTACAATCCTATCTCGAGGTGCAAGGCTGGGGCATGGAAGGAAAAAAGAAGGGGAGTTGTTGTTTTTACAGCTGATGATTTCAACCTTGCTCCCACTTCTAATCCTGCAAGCAAAATTTGGAGAGGAAAACCTGCATTGGCTAGCTCCTTGATGCTATAATTACACCACTACACATCTAATTAAATTTGAGACTCTGCAGGCACAGTTTTCTGGAAAGGCCATGGCACTGGGCATGTCTATTACAGAATGGATTTTCTCGGAAGCAGGACTGCTGCTCACATGAAGAGCTTTCTGTCGTAGATGAAGAGCTCCACAGCTGACAAGTTCCCAAAGATCTGAGTGAGAACCATGAAAAAGAAAGCTCCTAGCCTGCAGCAAAAAAAGAACAGATGTACGAAAGAGGAATTACATATAACTCTGTGCATGCTGCAATTATGCAGGAGTGCAGACTGCGGTATTTAGTGCAGAATTCCACTGCCAGCCAGCCACCCACTTTATTTTTAAAAGGGCAGGTTTCTAGCCAGTATGAAAGTAACAGCTTGAAAATGCATGAGAAATGCCTACTGATACTGGAAATGTCAGAGAGGCAGTTGAGTAAGACGTCCAGTGGTTAGAAGGGTCCCTTTCCACAAGTCAAGTTAAAACTGCAACTGTGCAAATTAGCAGTAACAGCATAATTCTTCTTCATTAAGAAAAATTATGCCATTTCATTTCAATTCCCTCCCTTCATTTACTGCACTCACATATTGTATGGATTTTATATCAATTAGGGGGTGGACAAATCTGTCTACTTTGGGTTCTCTCTGTATCTCATTTTTCCAGTCTGCAATCCTGCACATTTCCACATCATCTTTTGTGATTCCTCCCCACCCCTCACTCAAATGCTCATAAGAATTTGTCAGCATTTTAATTCACATTCTTCCAAGATTTTTGCATGCATTTTCTTTATTATAATACATTTTGCATGTTATTTTCACTAATATTAGCATTTTTACGTACAACTGTCCCCCAATATACACACATTTATGTACACATCACTGCAGATGTGAATGTCAAAGGATAGCTGTGTTTTGGTTTGCAAATTGTTCCAAGAAGTGCAAATTATGCAGTTGTACATCAAAATGCGAACTGACCCTGATTTTGCCCCCATCTCTAATCCTGATGAGATACTCTATTCTCACAGGATTGCATCCAGAGGAAACTGCCAGGAGTCAGTCTGGAACTATAAATAGCTTCTGGATTCACCCAAGCTACAATTGCTGAGGAGGCCCATCAGGTTGCTCAAAAACATGTTAAGCTTCCCACTGGACATGCTAGAACATGGGAGAAAGAAAGATGGTGAAATGCTGTGCTCTAGGGCCGCCTGAGTAGGAATGAGCACCTTACCTGTTCTGTAGGGCTTCCGGCAGAGTGTCCGGGATTTGGTAGTAAATGAGCCCCACCAACAAGGAGAAGACCATGCCCAAAAGGATCTGGCCAATGGAGGTCTGAGGATTCCTCAGCAGATGCTTCACATTACGGCAGCTCACAACATACAACTAGAGAACAGTGTGGCATTAATAGCTTGACATGAGGGATCTCTCTCCCTACTTCTTGATAATTTCCCCCCTAAAGATGTTGCTATCTGTGAAAATATCCACCTTCCCAGCAAAGTGGCGTCCCATGTTTGGGACAATTATCTGGAAAAACCAAATCAAACCAAACCGAAACCTTTTATGTCATAAACAGACTAGATCCACTGAAATGGACAGTTCAGTTCATTAATTGTTATGGGTCTGCTCCGAGGAGGACTTTGTCGGGTACAATCCCGCGATTGCACTGCACACACAGCCTCATTGTTCAGGGCAGGCGTGTCGCCATCTACAATGAGCTTAATGATGTATCACATTCCTCATTCAAAGCGGCAGACATCACTCTTAGCAGTAGAACACAAATCAGAAGCACTGCCGCTGCCCATATGGCATATGTACAGTCACAGAGTTTGCTGCAAGCAGCAGAAGGCAAAACTATAGTAGCTGTTGATGCTGATGTGAGTTCTAAATACAATATTGGACACAGAGCTCCAGCTAACGAGAGTTGGGGGTGTTTTGGTCAATGATTTAGGAAAAGGAGGATAGCCCTTCCTTGGTAGTTGTATGGAGATTACTGTACAGAATCATGGAGTGGGAAGGGTCCTGCAGTCCAGCCCCCTGCAATGCAGGAATCTCAACTGAGAAATGGCCATCTTAAGAAGAAGAAAAAAGATTTTTAATGTCCCCACATTTGGTTAAATAGGTAGAGAAAACAAAACTGATCTATGCAGATTGTAGCCCAGTCTTATTACAGGTTTATTTGAATGGATCAAGGCAAATGTTGTGCTTATTAGCAGATCCGTCACCCTTTCTCTGTTCCTGCCCCTGTTGCCAGCCCTTTCCCCCTTCACCTGCTGGGCGAATGAGGTGGCATAAGTGGCTTTTGATGTGGTAGCATCGCAGCCTTGGTTCTGGAACGACTGTAGGTTTTTCAGATCCTCTTGCAGCTGCTCATAGTAGGAGGACTGGTGGTAATAACTGGAAAGCGCGTTCTTGTCAAGGGAACAATTGCTGGAGAAAAGGCCATCCTTCTTGTTGCCTGCTTCAAACAAAAGGTAGATTTTTTAAAAACAGACAGTTTATTCATCTTAAGATACAAGCGGTATGACCCAGTTCCTACCAGCCCAAGGCATTATATGTTGCCGGAGGCCAAGGACAAGATGGCAGCTCCACATTCCACATGCAAAAAAAGGACTGGACTGGCAGTGGAATCTTCCTTCAGCAACAGTGATGGGGCAGCACCCCACTTTGCACCCGTGTGTACAAGGCCCTGGGGGTAGGTGCAGACCAGACCACATCATACCTTCGGCCCTTTGATACCTTGCCACCACTTGTACACCGGTCCACTTGGCACCTAGTCAGCCATGGTGCCAGCATGCATCCCATGCGCTGAGCAACATAAGTGCATGTGTAATGCCTGCTGGAGGGCATGGCTGACCACCCCCTCCGGCCTGCTCGCTTAGTAAGGGACATTTCTGGCAGACTGCTTCCTCCCCACCCAGCCTCAGTTACCTGCTGTTTGAGGTGGCCGACTCACTTTGTCTAATGGTGGCACTTTCCCTGATCAATCCCAGTTAAAAACAAATGTGATTTCTGTTAGCTATCTTGGCATCAGGTCGCAATCTGTTTGTTCACATCAGCCACCCATGCCAGCTACCAACAGAGCGACACTTGCAAAACTGCCAGTGTAGATCCCCCTTATCCACCCGCCAAGCATGCAGGTGGCAGGTTCACCAGCAGGACGCCTCCTGGTGGAACCTTGCAGAAGGCTTCCAATTGTTCCAAGGGCAAAGCGGGTCTGGATCCCAAGCTACTCTTAAATCAGCGCTGGCTGGCAAAGGGTCTGAGTCAGGCCCAACTGCTGCAACAGCCTGAAATGGACGTAGGGATTGGGCCAAATTTGCTCCTGACCCACCACTTTTCACGGGTGCCACTGTGGCTAGCCAGAAAATCCACTGCTCTTCAGAACCTCAGCAGTGGCAGTGGCAAATTACAATTGCTTCTGCCCGAAACTTTTTGTTTTTGACAAGACATGACTGCAGCCAGACTCAGGGCAATTTGACCAGTGTGCCCTAAAAATAGCATTGTATAGGGCTAGTCTAATCTTCATTATACACTGGGAAGGCGTATCCAACGATCTTGAAAATTACCCATCATTTCAGTGTACAAAGCTCTCATTATGGCTCGTTTTCATGAGCCTGTATAGTTCCGGCTTGCGGGAGACCAGCAAAGGCTGATCTCAGTGCTATTATGGTGTTAGTGGAAAATTAAATTTCCCGAATGACTGTATGCCATCTTCTACTTCAAGCCTGATGCAGACACATTAGTTTCACTGTGGGCTGCATTGCTTCAGTCTCCATTTATTAAAGGCTGAGCATAAAAGGCACAGGACAGAGTACACAGAGGGGATGGTAGCTGATGATAATCTGGCACTGTTAATCATTTGTTGGGTGGCTGGTTCTTGGGCTCAGTGATGGGTGTTTTTTGTTCTTGTCCCTGATAATATGTAGAGTCTCCCAATCCCACCATTCTGTTAATGGTGGGATAATTATAATTCTCAACAAGGGTGCTCAAATAGTTTCATTTATCTCATTAATTGTTACACCACTCCGATATGGCAGGTCAGTATTAATACACCCATATTGCAGATGGAGGCCTGAGGCCAAGAGCATGTGGCTAGTCTGCAGCCAACAAGAACCTTTCAAAATGAGGGGAGATTTGATTTGAATCAGATTCACAGCTTACTCTTTCAGTCCCTCTCCTACCGTTGTTCTCGGGCTTACCTCCAAGCAAAGGTAGAGCAGCAGAGGCACTTGTGAGAATTTAAATGTTGCCATATCTAATGGATGGTCTCTGTCCTTGGGAAGGCAGGCCCTGCTGTCTGAAAGTCAGGCTTCCATAACCACAACTACAACCATTATAGTTTCTCAAACTAAATCAATTACTGGAGGGGGGAAAACACTCACCCAAGTCTTGTTGAGGCTGGGACTGTATCACCTCCCCACTGATTACATCCAGAAAGAAGTCCAAGGGATTGTTAAACTGCTCACACTGATAGCCTGAAATTGAAATTCATGTGAGAGGGAGACACACAAAGACAGTTCAGGGCATCTCCTGCCACAGCTCATGATGATTTACTGGACACAGAGAAGAAATCAGAATATTTTCACGAGCTGGCTTTAGAAGTTCCACCCTGTCTTTCTAAAGCTCCTCCAGAAGTCATAGGTGCTTTTTGTTTCTTTTCTGGGAGAGACACTTTTCTTCCTTACCAATGCTATTGAAATAAGTTGTGGCTTCATCTGCTGCTCCTGCAAATATTATTTCTCCCTTGCTCATCAAGGTCAGATGGTCAAAGAGCCTGAAGATGGAGTAGCGTGGCTGATGAATTGAGAAGATGACCGTTCTCCCTTTCCTGGAAAGTCTGCAAAGCAGATAATATAATGCTTAGTTGTTGGAGTGAAAGAGGTCCTTACAGCACATGGCTGCCACCAGAAAGCGCTCAGCAATTGCTGAGTTCTAGCCCTGGCAGTGTGTTCCAAGGACGATGTGCGACTGCTGCTATGCAGATAGGTATTCTTTCTGGTGGTGTGTTAAACGCCAATAAATAATGTGCATTCATAAAAGAAAAAACCGTATGCAGATGCTGCTTCACCTGCAGCAGATTTCTCTGCCATAGAGGCAAGCTGCTTCTTAAACTGGACGGTGGCTTGTCTCTTTAGCAATGGGGACTACTGCAGTAGAAACTGCATGTTAAGCTCTGGCTGTATGAACACTAGTTTCCCATGCATGCATATCACTCCGTTGCCTCATTAGCATTGGGGGGGGGGTTGAGTGAGTGTGTGAGAGATCTCTGAAGACCTATTTGGGTTAAGGCGTTTTTATTTCTAGCAGAGACAGAACGCACAGAAACTCACTGGTGCAAGAGCTGCATGATGGCGTTAGCTGTGTTGGCATCCAGCCCTGTGGTTGGCTCATCCAGAAAGATCAGGGAAGGTGAAGTGATCAATTCCATGCCAATGCTGCACCGTTTCTTCTCACCCCCTGAAACGCCACGCAGGAATTCAGTCCCAATCTGACGCCACAGAGAGAAGCAGGGAGCATGGGAAGAGAAAAGGATACAAAGGCTAAAAAAAAACTGAATTGACCTTCCACCAAAGACAAACCGTAACCCAGCCATTCTACCATTTCCTGTTTCATTAACATTCACCATTCTAAAGCAGATGCTGAGAAGCTTGGTTCTCTATGGAAATCAGGGACAAGACAAGGGGATGGGCTTCTTCTATTACCTTCCTATGTAAAGGGTCCTCATACAAGCACAGCCCTCATGCAAGAGCAGAGGAGGAAGTCAACCTGTGTCAGGGAATATGTAGCGTCTCCTCTTCACAAGGTAAGTGTGGAGCAGGGGCTCATGGGGCTGAATAGCCTCCAAAGAGGGAGACTCTGGCACAAAGAAATCTAGCAAGTTAGGGAGAAGAATAGGTTGGGACCCTTTTCTCCAACGCGCCAGTCTTCCATATACAGGAGAGTGTTTTATCATGCAAACTCCCACCTGCAGCCTGGAGCCCCTAAACAGGCTTTCCTGAATGTTTGTAAGAACTAGGCCTTCTCTAAGATGTACAACTCCAGATGTCCCGTAATCCCTGAACAAGGACCATGATGGCTGTGGCTGATGGTAACTGAACTCCAACCAGATCTGGAGGGCCACAAGTTGCTCTGTGGCTTACCTTGGTGTCTGCACAGTCCTGTAGGCCCAGCTCCTGTATCACAGCATCAACCTTGAGCTTCTTCTCTGTGTTGCTGTTCCTGTTCTGTGGCAGCCGCAGGTTGGCGGAGAACTGGAGGTTCTCCCGGATGCTGAGGGTTCCTGTCAGAATGTCCTCCTGCAGGCCAGGGAAATTTAGACGCCTTAGGAAGTGAAAGGATTTCCACAGGGGAAGGAGGACACATTGGATAAGAGCACTGACACCATGCTGAGCAACAGCAACTTTTCTTGGGGCAAGCACTTGCTGGGCATCAGGCAGGATTACACATCCAATGCCTTCGTTTGCATGGTGGATCTCTTCAGTGTAACAGAACCAAGGCACCAAAGTCCCACCGTTCTAACATGCTTACAACCACTGGCCAATAGGATTCAAGCAGAGCCTCTTCGTTTGAGCTGGTTGACATAAGGGAGCAAAGATTGTGAACCATACTGTGCAATAAGTTGCACTGCACTGCACTGCAATAAGCAGTGTTCACATTACTATACACTGAAATGCAACATAATATATGCAAATTGATTAACATTTAATTCAATTACAATAACCAATTGCAAAATAAAATAACCAACGAGCTACAATAACCAATGTTGTCTGCTTCCTCTGCCCCCTTTCTTTCCTTTGATGCAGCTGTGCGGGAGATTCAATTTCCATTAATCCCTGGTTTAGCATTATGCTTGACCCCTAAACTGTGGCTGATGTTAAGCATTGTTGGTTTAAACAAGCCAGCTTCATAACCCTGAAGTTGACTGGTTTCAGACAAGCCATAGTGAATACTAAGCTTCGTTTATCGGGTTCTGATGACACAACCAGCTGTGCCTATGCAAAAGCAGAAATAAAAGCTTCTAAAATCTGCCTTGCAGACATGCATTAGGAAGGGGGAAGAAGTGCATGAGCCTGAATCTTCCTGTGGCCTATCCCCATATGGTTTAGTGTGAATTGGGCCAGTATCCCTAGAGGCATTTTTACTGTATCAAGATGCATCTAGAATATAAATTCTGTCCCTGACCGTCACTGAGATGTTAGCTGGACATTACATACAAATAACATGGCCCTGACACCATCTCCTTTTCTTCTCCCCCCTCCAAAGAAGGAGCGTGGGGTGGGGGTGGGGCTTGCTCTAGGGAAGCAACAAGAAGAGAATTGACTCTTCCTTGATCTTTGCTTCTCTGCTCTGAAAGCAGAGATTTCAAATGGAAAAGCGGCTGGTCAGAAGAAAGTGAGTGTCTAGCTTCCTCTACATGGTGTTTCCATGCAAACTTCTTAAAGGGAATGCCTGAGGTGGGCCGTAATACCACTGTGATTTCATGAGGCTAAAACTCATTTCTTTTTCAGTTTCCTGAAATTATGTTCCGGTAAATCCAAGGGGTTAGTATATCCATATCCAGAGTACACTTGTTCAGATTATTGGTTAACTTCAATTAACTATAAACTATGTGAACAAATACAAAAAAAGTTGCACATAAAGAAGAGTTTACCTGGACTACATAGGCAGAACACTGATGAAAATTGGAGTCTACCAACTTTCCATCCATAAATATCTGCCCACCTGTAAGCCCTTTGGGGTCTTTCCATCCTGCTAGGACATCGAGGAGCCTAGAGATGGGGTGGAGGGGAAGGAAACAAGTCATGGTCAGCTCATCCCTCTGTTCCCAAGGGCTCTTGGAATAAAGAGGAAGGAGAAGAAAAAAGAAAGGGAGGATGTGAAAAGCCTACAAAATAAAGGAGGAGAAGGAAAAAACAGGGAAGAAGATTTTCAATGGAAAAAGCCAAGAATAAAGGAAGACAAGGGAAAAAGAGGGGTTTGGGTCTAAAAATAAAAAGAAGACCCCCCCCCTTAAAAAAGAATTGTAGAGGAGATAAGGGGAAAGATACTGTAGAAAAATGATGCCAAGTAAAGGTATTACAATCCTGATTGAAGAGTTGAAATGGAAATAAAAGGAGGAAGAGCAGAGAATGATGTGAATAAATGTTTAAAAATGTATATAGAAAGAGCAAAGGAAAAACAAGACGAATCACAGAGAAGAGTAAATTTTGAAGGACTTGTTTATCCATGTTCTGCTTATCTGGCTGCTTTCTCTTACAACCCCCTCCCCAGAATTAATATTAAAACTTCCTGTTCTCATAACATTTGAAGAAAGAAAGACAATGGAATTAAGAGACTACAGTGGTCTAGTGTAAGACTACATGTCTATACTGAGATGTAAGCCCCACTGAGTTCAATGTGGAGAACTGCACTCAACACACATGATCCCGCAGTGTGGAGCCTCCATTTTAATAAGCATCCCGCCCAGTTGCAGAAAACGCATCGGCTGCACCCAAATGCAAACAGTGACCAACAAGAACTGTGGCTGGTTGCAGAAGTGGATGGCTGAGCACCTTCCACTGGGAATGTGCAAGCACCGTTGTCTGTGGGTGGAAGAGCTGCCAAGAGAGAAGAGTAGGTGGGCTGGAGGCAGGAAACTATTGCATACAGAGGGAAAAGTGCAACTGGGGAATGAGTCATCCCCAGGACATGCAAAACACAGGTATGAAGGACAAAACTTACGAAGTTTTCCCACTTCCGGTTGGCCCCAAGATGGCATTCATCCCAGGCTTCATAATACCACTGCAGAAATAGAAATGGGTTGGTGCCAGTTCCCAGACCAGACATTTCTGAACTGTATTTTGCATGGAAGGAGCGTCTCCACCCCCATTGTTCAGTCCATACACTGAGGTCCAGCGTTGAGGTCCTTCTGCTGGTTCCCTCACTGCGAGAAGCAAAGTTACAGGGAACCAGGCAGAGGGCCTTCTCGGTAGTGGTGCCCGCCCTGTGGAACGCCCTCCCATCAGATGTCAAGAGAATAAATTTGATGTTTAGAAGACATCTGAAGGCAGCCATGTTTAGGGAAGTTTTTAATGACTGATGTTTTAATGTATTTTTAATCCTTTGTTGGAAGCCGCCCAGAGTGGCTGGGGAAACCCAGCCAGATGGACGGGGTATAAATAAATAATAATAATATTTTTTTAAATTATTATTATTATTATTATTATTATTATTATTATTATTTTCTAAAGTTACAAATTGCCATGGGATTTTTTTTTAAGCGCTGAAGATCTGCCATGTGTCAGCAACAGTGTGAAAAATACCATGTTGGTGTGGCAGTTTTTATTTTACTGCCATGCCAATATTACCTTTCTCCTCAGAAGACCTATCCTTCCAGCTTTTGTGATATACACACAACCGATTTCATCTTACAATTAGTGGCTGGAAAGATAAATCAGCAAGGATGATTTGGGCACTAGTTTGCCTGCTCCCACTAACTCCCAATCGCCACCAAATGCATCTAATAGCCCAGTGCTGGGAAACCTGTGGAACGCCTGATGACGCTGGACTATAATTCCCTTCAGCCCTGATCAGAGTGGCCAGTGACTGGGGGTGGGGGTTGCAGTCCAACAACATCTGGCAGGCCACACTTTCCCCATCCTTGCAATAGGCCAGCAATAGCACAATTCTTTCTGAGCAGACATGCATAGTCTCGCGGAGTCCAATGGCACTTACTCCCAGGTAAATGTGGAAAGTCATACATGGCCGGACTGCTCAGTTGATTAGAGCATGGTGCTGATAACACCAAGGTTCTAGGTTCAATTTCTGTATGGGACAGTTGCATATTCCTGCATTGCAGGGGGGTTGGACTAGATGATCCTCAGGGTCCCTTCCAACTCTACAGATCTATGATTCTATGATCTATGATTCCATGGAGTAAACCCATTGAAACTAATGGATCACTGATTTTAATGAGTCTGCTCTTTAATACTGGATATCACCCAATGTCACTGAGGCTGCGTGTACACCATATATTTAAAATTCATCCCTCCTTCCAAAGAATCCTGGGAATGTAGTTTAACCCGTACAATTGCAAGCAACCTTAAACTACAACTTCCACAATTCTTTGGTGTGTGTGTGTGCTTTAAATGTATGGTGGATATGCAGCCTAATCATTTGTGAAAAGGACAGTTTGTCACTACCAAAGGTCATCTTTGTTTGCTGTTGGCAAATTATGTTTGCATAGTTGCATGATTTCTAGCACAGGAAAGCAGCACGTGATTTGTGCTCTCCTGAGGAGGCTACATTATCTTCTGCAGCAAGTGAAAAAATCAGTCAGTTTTCTTGTTTTTGTTATTAAGAAAAGTGCATAATGTTATTCGAAAAAGAAACATCCCAGAAGCCAATTTTGCTTATTGTATGTGCAAAAACGTTTGTCGATACATTGCACTGTAACAAAGTGGTACAAGATTAATTTGCTGGTACAAATTTGCTTATTGAATTTCTGTCTCCAGTTGCCTGTTTCACCTCTTTGACTGGCTTGAGGCCCGGTCTCCAGCCCCATCCTGCAATCAACTTTTACTATCATTTTATCAGACTGCTGACAAGAGTTGTGCTATTGCATGCTCACAAAACAGTGGTGAAGAGGGGAAAGAAATAAACAGAAACCCAACAACCAGTCCCACCTGCATGTGAAAGGTCAGCATCCAATCTGTGGTACATCCACAATATTTTGATTGTGGATAAGTGCCCTTTTATAGTTCACTCAGATTCCCAATAAACCAAGCCTATGAGGAACAGTCGAGGGAGCTGGGGATGTTTAGCATGGATAAGAGCAGACTAAGAGGAGATATGATAACCCTATTCAAATATCTAAAGAGCTATCACATAGAGGATGGAGCCAGCTTGTTTTCTCCTGCTCTGGAGACTAGGAGCTGAAGCAATGGATTCAAGATACAAGAAAGGAGATTCCGACTAAACACCAGGAAGAACTTTCTGACAGTAAGAGCTGTTTGACAGTGGAACAGTCTTCCTTGGAAGGTGGTAGACCAGGCACCCCCAACCTTCGGCCCTCCAGATGTTTTGGACTGCAAGTCCCATCATCCCTGACCACTGGTCCTGTTAGCTAGGGATCATGGGAGTTGTAGGCCAAAACATCTGGAGGGCCGCAGGTTGGGGATGCTTGTGGTAGATTCTCCGTTCTTGGGGGATTTTCAGCAGAGGTTGGATGGTCATCTGTCATGGGTGCTTTAATTGAGATTCCTGCATTGCAGGGGGTTGGACTAGATGACTCTCAGGGTCCCTTCTACCTCTACAATTCTATGAATATTCAGCATTTATATAGGGCTTCAGAGTGTTAAAAGCATTCCACATAACTTTATTCATTTATGTCTTCCTTGTAAGAAGTTATAAACAACTCAAGATATAAAATACCAGAGGGGTGTGCATTTTAAAACTTGAAAAGAATATACAAAACAAAATAAGGATAAACAGTAAAGCATCTTCAGTAGTATGGACAACATGACTAGGTCAGACTACAGGGAAAGCTTGTGTGGATAACAAAGTTTTAACTCAGTATCTAAGCACCATGACCACCCAGAACAGGACACCCAACCAATATGTATGGCGTTATGCTTAGAGCAGTGATGGGGAACCTCTGGTCCTTCAAATGTTCCTGGACTCCAACTCCCATCAGCCCTAGACAGCATGGCCAATGGTCAAGGAGGATGAGACTTCTAGTTCAGCAATGTCTGGAGGGTCACAGGCTCTCTCCCCCTGCCCCGGTATAAGCGTAGCGCCACTTGTTGGATGTCCAAACTACATGAAGCCGTGCTAAAAGTTCTGCTCCGGGTGGTCATGGAGTGAGCGTTGGAGCAGGGTCAAAAGCGCCTCTCCTGTGGACTGCAGGGACCTGGGAGTGGCTCTTCAAATAGGCTGGCCTCATTCTAATTAGAGTTACACTTCCCAAGGCCTTAAACCTGGTCTTGTAGCATGCTGGCAGCCAATGCAATTTTTTTCCAGCCACAGGGCTCTATGCCGGTGATAGGCTGCTCAAGTCAGGAGACATCAGCTGCAGCTTCCAGACCAGCCTCATGGGTAGCCCCCTCCCCCTTATCTCAGTCCGTCTTAAAACAACTCTTCAAGGTAGGCCAGTGCTATCCCCATATTGCAGATGTGGCACCAAGGCTGGGAAAGCAGTTCCCATTGATTTGCGAAGGAACTGAATGGAACCAATTTAGTCCAGATCTAACCCCAGTGTCCAAGTACACATGTAATTGCCGTTTGAAATGGCAACTGGCTTACCTGACATCCCTGAGAACTTCCTTTTCTTCTTTTCCTTTGAAAGGTAAAGTCCAGCGTGTGGTGACCAGGTAACTAATGTTCTGGAAAGCCAATGTTGGGCCATGGACATTCAGCTGAGTAACAGCATCCTGAATATTTGCAAGCTCCATTCCAGGCAGCCCCTTCGCGTCAGAATGGTGGGAGAAGACACAAAGGCTTCCCTTTTAGTCAGTCACCTGAAGGGAACAGGACATGCAATGCTTTACTCTTTTCACTCTGTCTCGCTTTGCCTCAGCTCATCCACCTTTGCTATCTCAAAAGCAATCTTACTTTTATCTATTACACAGGCTCGAAAGTCATAATTCAGACAAAGTCCTTCTCAGTCAAGCCTTATGCAAGCAGAGTTTTATGAATAATGATCCAGTGCTATTTTTCCTAGAAAAGGAGGCGCTGGAACTCACCATGAACGTCTTCCTTGTTCTCTCGTAATGGCGCTGGCACCCTCCTGAGAGGTGCCAGAACTGAGTTCCGGCTGGAAATAAAGCTCCGGATAAAATAGATCTCCGTTGCCCCTTGAGGAAAAGTACATTCATAAAGGAACAATAATAGAACATGCCATAGCTGATCAATGAGCCATACAACTCAGCAGTCTACCTCTTGCCTAGGGTATGAAGGCAGCAGATCCACTTCCTGTTCTGAGTCCTTTGCATCTGGGACCTAGATTTGCACTATACTTGAGCGCTAGAGGTGTACTTTCGAATTTCATGGCTATTAGACATCTGCAGGTCGCTTTCCTGAAGTGTGGCTATCATTACGCAAATAGTGAAATGACATCAGGAAGTGAGTCATGCAGAAACGTTTACTCTTTGACATGTTGCTGTTTTTGTAAAAAACCAGCAACGATGGGGGAATCTACATGGAATGCTGGATCTTTCTGCTGCAGGTATCGCAGAAGATGTGGTCCTGGAGCAAAAATCACCTGTGGAGTGACTCCCAACTCACTTTTCCCTTTCATGTGAAACATTCAACATGAGTATGGCTCTAATGACAGCCAGCAAGATGAGCCCAAGATCTCTGTGTACATTAGGAGTTTAGGAGAAATTCATTTCAGCCTCTGTCCAAATGAAAACCTACGTAATTCACACCTCCCCAAACACTATATGAACGCAAACACAGCTATCCCCTAGAGCTCATACTTCCTCAAATTTTACAATGCACTTCTCTGATCAAATAACACATATATTAGGGGGCAACGGACCTAAAAGTACACGTGTTAGTGAACATATAAAAATGCATCGTTATGAAAAATTACTTTGCAGAAATGTGTGCATTAGGGGAAAATGCACTCAAGCGTCGGTGGATTTTCATGAAGGGTCTTTAAAAAAGTTATTATGCAGGTTCCCAACTCCTGCATTAAAGATTTTTGAGTGGCCATCTGCAATGAGATGCTCTATTGTTGAACTTTAATTCCTTATTTTTCTTTTCCAATACTTTTTAAAGTTGCAACTTGATAAAATACTCGAAGCAGCTAACAACTAATAAAAAGCAAAATATTGCGTTAAAATAACGGTACATTAAAATGACAGCAATAAGTAGAAACTCAAATCAAAAATCCTATAAGAATCACAAAACAGTGCCTTTAATATCACAGCAGATTCAGGAAATAGGAAGCAACTAAAACTTTGGGTTTCAGTGGGGAATAAATAAAAAATTAGACTTGGGATTTGAACTTCCCGTTCAAATTTGGATGTTTCATTTCCTGAGCCAAAGTGCCTTGCAGCACAATATTAGGCATTTTACTCAGTTCTCAACATGTTCAATGCAGCTTACTGCCCAGGAAGTTTTTTGGTTTTTTTTAAAGGGTCAGTAGCCCTAAATCACTGGAAGAAAACGAAGGTATGCCATTATTATACTTGGACAGCAGGTGGCAGTGTTTGCTCACAATTACCATTCTACAGGAAACTTCTCAAATCAGCAGTCAGCTTTGGAGAAAAGCATCTTACATAGTCGGAGCAGGAGGAGAATACATTTAAAAATAGTTTTCTGAATTTCAAACCCTAAGGTACCAAAGCTTGGAAGCTGGTATTCTACCATCCAAATAAGATACTTGTGGTTTTGGAGGCCATGTGCTTCCCCCTCCAGCCAAGGAGAAGGGAGGGTTAGCACAAAGGTGGCATTAAGGTGTCGAGGTGAGAAAACAAGGTACCTGGTTGGAAGGAAGGGAACTCCGTGTCCCTCTGCAGAGGGAGGGACCTTCTCCCATCATTATTCCCAGCTGGAGGCAAGCTCAAATATACATGCATTTGTTCATGTTTGTTCCTTACTTCTCTGTTCTCTTCTTCCCCTCAAGCTTTTGCTTTCCCCACTCCTCCAGGACAGTAAGCGGAGATTCATTTTTTTCTTTACACTTACAAAACTCTAAAGCAGGGATGGAGCACTTACTAGCATGGCCAATGGAAGCTGGAGTTTCCAGCAACACCTGGAGAACCACAGTTTACCCATTGCTGCACCATGAACACCATGGCTTGCTTTGCCCTAAGTTGACTTTGCAGTGAACTGGGGTGAAACTCACATGCAGTTATAACAATGGGGGACGGGACGTTGGTGTCTTTTGCAGCAAATCTGTCCAGTCTGCAAGTAGTGTGTGTCTGTTTAAACACCTGTGTGTACAAGTCTGAGAAACCTGGCCAGGCCAGGCGTCAGAGATGTGGGCGCCCAAGTGTATAAATTAAACAGCTGCAGAACTTGCCATTTCTTACTACCAGGGCGGTTGGAGAAAGACAACAACCCAGCACAAATCTACAGCTACCACTTTCTAGCAAAGCAATTCTCCTTCTCTTGAGGGGCTGAGTAACGGAAGGCATAAGTGGGAGCTGCGGCAAAATGCTGCAGTGACTAAGTGCTCCCACATTCTCAAATTCCTAGCCAGCAGGTCACGTCCAGGAGACTCCGTTCTGTTCCACTGTTCCAGAAAAGTCAACAGTGGCCCCCATTTTCATTGGGACTGTGGAATATGGGGAGTGGGGAGCTACATTAAGGGGTTCTGATCAGACCCAGAATATGTCTTGTTCCACCAGGGGTGGGGGGTTAGGGAGGAGTCCTCCCACTCGCTTTCCCCTGCATGATTACTTTTTTCTTTCTTCTCTACATCCCACTTCTCCAAGGTGGCATGCATGGATTCCCCACCCTTCCACTTTACCCTTACCACAACCCTGTAGTTAGGCTGAGAGACTAATGGCCCAAGATCTCCCAGCGAGTGTCATGGCCAAGTGGGGATTTGAACCCTGGTTTTCCAGGGCCCCAATCTAACATTCTTGCCACTACACTCTGCTGGCTACCAGTTTCTGACTTGGACAGAGGTGTGCCTGGAGTGAGCGTCTCTTCCGCAAGCTGACTTGACTGTGAGGGCAGAGAGTCTTGGGTGCCTTTTCAAGCCTCTGTTGCTACTTTTCCCTTTGACTATTTTTTCTCATTAAGCCTTCTAGTGCTGCTTTTTTGGGGGGGGGGGAGGGAAGACACCTTTCTTTGAGCCCACATTAATTAGTTTCAGCTGTCACCCGGATCCTGGTTCTTCAATTACTCTGTGCAGCTGCTTTCCCCAGAGGTTTAACCGCTTCCTAACTAGCACAACTCGTAGTTCGCAGAGTGACCACAAATGTCCACTTCTTTCAAAGGCAGACTTTATTCAGCACTCTGAATGTGTAGAAGCTGCCTCGTGAATAGCTCAGTGCTTGCAAATGTGACCTGAAAGACCACCTGCCCCTGCACTACTCCAAGATCACTTGGATCAGCCTCTGAGAACCTGCTGTCTCCTATCAGCCAGCACTGCCAGTCGTCAGGGATGATGAAAGTTGTGGTTCTAAACATCTGGAGGTTGCCAGGGTGGTGAATAATGACTGACATCATCTTGGGAAATACTATTCATGGTATCGCACCCTACAGAATGCCGTACAAGGGTGATCCTGCAATGGGCACCTTCTCTTATTGCCCCTATGTGATGGAATGACCTACCCTCTTGCCACAGGTGAAGCAGCAATCATCAGTTGCTTTGGGACATCTTGTAAAGACTCATCTTTTTGTCCAGGTGTTCCCTGACCCATAGGATTGGACTCTTGATTTTACTTGTATGGATTTCCTGAATTCCTGCTTTCATACTACTGCTTTATTGCTTTTACCTTTTGTTTCAATAATAGTGAAGACTGTTTTCATGTTTTTAATCTGTTTTGAGATCTAAAATAAAAATTAAATGGTTTACAAATGCGATAAATAATGTACATGTGTATATTGAGCCTACGTAGAAGCTCCTTGCAAATCAGAAAGGAGCCATTTCTCGTTGGCAGAGAGCATGATTTGCTTGCAAAAGGTTTCCTGCTGAATCACAGGCTTCTCCAGTCCTCAGGGATGGCTCAAACAGCAGGTCGGGTGAAAAACACTCTGCTCAAGACCCTGGGAAGCTGCTGCCATCTACTGCACTGTCAAATAAGCTGCTTACACAACATGCCTTTAAAGTGAATGCATTCCCCTCCCCCCCCAAAAAAAAATCACAGGACATGTAGTTTCTTATGGGTGCTGGGAATCATAGCTCTGTGAAGGGGTAACTACAGTTTCCAAGATTCTTGTTGCAGGGGTTAGGTGCTTTAAACGTACGATAGCGTGTATGCAGCCATAGTCTGACATCTTCTAATTTTCAATGCATGTTCTAATCACGATTTAAGAAAAATACTGAATCTCTTATAGGTGTGTATGTGTTCCAAAATGGTTCAGTTTCACTTAAAATGGTTCAACTTCCCCTTTTTCAGCATACATATATTAATTTTCAGTCTCTGGACTTGGGGCAACCTGGAAAAGTTGACTTGCATTGTCTTTCAAACATCAAATATAGCCATAAAAGCCCATCACCATCACCGTAGCCCAGTATGATTTAGGGATTCTAATGAAGCTAGAAAGCAATGGATCATAAGTAGTATAACATCTGGCACGTTGGAGATCAGTACTTTTTCCAGGTGTCCCAGTGTCTAATGCCCCCTTAGAATTATTAAGTTTCCCCAAGACAAATTGTCTAGGTATTGGGCTGCATTTCAGCTCAGTGAACTTCTAGTGGGGCACGTCCTCATCTCATCATTCACCAACATCAGACTAATTAGCCCTCACCCCATCTTACGGCACATTACACAGAAGCAAACCCAGCTTTGCCATCGAGGGCTTACTTATCAAGGAGTTGTGGCCAATCCTCCGCCCTGACAAGTATATCCACATGATTGCAGATGTTTGCAAACATGATGTTGTCACATTACGCTTTTTAGGCATGTGAAACCCCCTGAAACCTAATGTCTGAATGGGCCCTTACCATTCAAGTCATCCGAAAACTGCCATGTCCCTGCTCTTCCTCTTTCCTGTCCCTTCTCCCCCCGCCCCATCTGAAGCAACAGAAGAGAACAGCAGGCCAGCACCAAGTCACGTTTGTTGTTGGGTGTTGGCGAGAATAAATGGAAAGAAAGAGGGAGAGTTGTGAAGAGGTCATTTTAGAAGCTCTTTCATTGCTTTTCTAACTTCCTTCTCAGTGAGAGGGGGTGGCAGAGTCCTCAAAGCAACATTGAAAGCAAGGCAGGATAATGTGTGCCTGGCTGAGGCAAGGAATCCCTGAGTGCGAACTGCAGTGTCTTAATTATCAGTCAACAATTACTCCTTTCAGGGTGGAACATATGGTAGATGGTTTGCTTAAGAAAGAAAACAAAAATACTTTAGAAACTTAAATGATGTTGGGAAAATAGTTGAAATTGCTTTAAAGGGATTGCGAAGGGGCACGAGTCAGCTGGGCTAGGGTTTGTTTTGAAGGCGTTGCTCCCACAGCACGCGACCGGATTTGCTCGCTTGCTTCCTAAACAGGTCACTTCTGGGGGAATGTCCTGTCCTCGCAGCCAGACCTTTTGAAGCAATCACAGGAGCAGCTCCCAGGTGGACCTGTGAACAGAACCCTCCATTTCTGCTGTGTTTTTGCTTATGGAGTACACTGGTGCTTCTACTCCAAATAGCTATACTGGCATGAGGTAAAAAAAATGAGGAGCCAGGACAAGCCATGGAACAGGTTGGAATTTCAGACAATGGAACCCCACCATTTGTTTAAGCCAGCACTCATGCTCAAACCGTTTGGTTCTGCTAATATTAAAATAAGTTCGGCACACTTCATCTTTGGCAGAGTTCATATGAAGGAGGAGCAAAGGAGTGGCAGACCTCCTCACAGAGAGTATTCAGGAATTCCAGTGTAACAACTTCTACAGGTGTTTCCACCTGTTGCAGGAGGCAAAGTGTATCGTGACACCATAACAACTAATAAATCTGTTGTCTTTAAGGTGACGCAAGACTTAATGTTTTTTAGAGGAGCATGCAACTCCATTTCTGCTTCGTTCTGTCTGCAAACACATGAGAAGGGGCAGAGGTGAAATGATGCAATGCCTTTGGATTGTTCCTCATGGGAATGCAGTGTAGGCCAGAAAAATAACTGGCCAGTTTTGTGCCTTCCACAGCGGCTTCAGCTGCAGAAGTCAATGGGTGAAGGTTTTCACAACATGGAGAAAAAGGCTATCATCTTCTGCGCACAGGACTGGCTCTACTGTTAGGCAATATGAGGCATCTGCCTCAGGCAGCAGATGCTAGTGGGTGGTGAGAAGGAACAGTAACTGCAACACCTTAGCCATTTCTTCTTCATCCAGCACCAATGGTCACTCAAAAACTAGGGGGGGAACTACATGAGGGAACAAAAAAAGAACATAGCAGTAGCCCAACAAATTTATTTGCATGTCTGTCGCCTGGAACAGCTGATTTTAAGAAAAGGAAATGCCACAACTGAGCTAATGTCTGTTTGGAAGTTTTTGTCCCTCCTGTCCCAAATATATTGAGGCTAGAATTCTATGCACGTTTACTGGGTAGTAAGCCCCACTGAGGTGGCGCTGTGGTATAAACCTCTAAGCCTCTTGGGCTGGTCGATCAGAAGGTCAGCAGTTCGAATCCCCACGATGGGGTGAGCTCCCGTTGCTCAGTTCCTGCTCCTGCCAACCTAGCAGTTCAAAAGCATGCCAAAAAGTGCAAGCTGATAAATATGTACCGCTACGGCGGGAAGGTAAATGGCATTTCCGTGCACTGCTCTGGTTTTGGTGTTCCGTTGCGCCAGAAGCGGCTTAGTCATGCTAGCCACATGACCTGGAAAAACTGTCTGCGGACAAACGCCGGCTCCCTCAGCCTGTAAAGCAAGATGAGCAGTGCAGCCCCAGAGTCATCCGCGACTGGACTTAACTGTCAGGGGTCCCTTTACCTTTACGCCCCCCTGAACACAGAGGGGCTTGCTTCCTAATAAGCTCACACAGGATTGGTCTGAACGAGTGTGACTGGTTTCCTGAGGGTGGGGGAAGAGAGGGAGAAAAATGAGATTGTTCCTCTGAGCCAGTGGTTCTCAAAGGGTGTGGTGCACCACACTGGGGTGGCAGGAGAGGATGGCAAGTGTGGCAGGAAGATTCAAGGACAATTAAAGAAACATTTAAACATTTCAGTGTAGTATAAGATAGTATCAAAATAGTTTTTATATATAAAAGCAGAAACAGTATCCATGCCTCTCTTCAAGAGCATGAACTACTCTTCTACAGCTCTCCACAACATGCTGTGGTGAACAAGGATTCTCAACCGTGTCCAAGAGGAAAAATCAGGAAAGAGAAAGGCTTCTTTGTGTTAATGAGGAGATGAGAGTTCGTTTGTATCAAATAAGACCTAATGTAAATGAGATTACCCGGCAAAAGCCAAGCCTAAAATCCTCACCAATTATACACATAAAAGAGCAGATCCAATTCAACACCACCCCATTAAAAGAGAAGCAGAAAATTAAGGTCCAAAAGGCTTGAGCGAATAAAAATGCTTTTGCCAGGCATGCCTCCCTGGGGAGAGGATTCCGCAAGTGGGGAGTCACCACCGAGGAGTCTGTTCTTGTGTTGAAACCCTCCACGGCTGCCTCGGAAGGGGGCACACGGGGGCTGACTCTCAGGCCAGGCAAGCTCTGTAGACCTAGCATGGCCACCTGTCATAGAGGCTTTAGTTGAGATTCCGGCATTGCAGGGGGTTGGACTAGATGACCCCCGGGTCCCTTCCAACTCTACAATTCTGCGAGATTCTATTGAAGTGTTTTTTCAAAGCCTGCCTCTAATGGAAGACACACAAGCCACCACCTGAAGTAGCCTGATGCATGCTCTTACCTGAAGAGTTAGCCCCATGTACAGCCTCTTTCAAAACTGTGCTTCTCCCAGGACCTCACCAGAACGGTCTGTCAGCACCAAGCAGTTCCACCTACCAAATATAAATGCACACACATTAATGCCTAAGTCATGCTCTAGTCTATGTCTGTATTATATTCAGAAGCAAAATATTTCACCACTTAAATAAGGGCTGCATGCACCCCATGCATTTAAAGCACCCGAGTTCCACAAAGAATCCCAGGAACGGTAGTTTGTTAAGGGTGCTGGGAACTGCAGTTCTGTGAGGAGGGCAAACTATAGTTCCCAGGATTCTTTGGGGGGGAAGTCATGGGCTTTACATGTGCTTTGAATGTATAGGGTGTGCGCAGCTCGTGTACTTCCACTAGTCTCCTCAACCTGCTGTGGGGCAAAATGACTTTGGAGGGCTAATGGAATGCAGGAAACCAATGGAGCCGGAGGCACAGTGGTTCATTCAGAGCCTCGGCACATAAAAAGGTACTTGTTTTATGGATGTGCATCTGACATACCAATACTTGTGCCTGCTTGAGGCTTCACACACATCTGCTGATATCAAAGGTGGCTTCCAAACAACCATCATCATCTCTGTCAGCTGCTTGTTCCAAATTACCTCACTACTCTGCACAGGCTGGGAACTGGGTCAAGAGAGCAACTGCAGGCATGCAAAATCTGCCTGCATGCACCTTGGGAGAGGTTGACCTTTCGGTTCCAGTAGCAACCTCTCATGCACTGCTGTGGCACACATGTGTGGATGACCCCCATATTCCTACATGGATTCACTGCACCACAAACAACAACTGCTGTGACACTGCAGGCTGATTGCTGCTGCTGCAAATTGCAACCCAAAGCAACTGCAGGGTCCCAGGTTGGGGGAGGCTGGTATAACAGGAGAACCACGCCATGCACACTTCTGATATGCTCCCACGCCTCATGTGTGTGTGCCTGTAACTTAGCACAGGGTAGGGAGACTCTGGCCTTTCCAGTTGGACTTCCCTTAGCCCTAGGCAGCATGGTCAATGGCCAAGGATGCTGAGCATTGTGGTCCAGTGATATCTAGAGAGGCGCATGTTTCCCAATCCTGCTGCAATCAATTGAAAGAGTATCACCAAAAGGGTTAGGATTGGAGTTTCCAAACTATGGTGCACAGACCACCATTTATTCAGGTGGTCTGTGGAGAACAGTGGCCACAGAGCATTAGATGTTCATATTGATTTTAACTGTTTTTATTGCTTCTTTTATTCCTTATATTGCATTGTTATTATTGTTGTATTTTGTATCGTATTCTGTAGAATCCAAATGGTAATATGATAAAGTACGAATAATTGAAACAAAAGAAGCAATAAAAATACAATTAGAAACCAAACAGCATCTAGTACAGAGCAATACAGTTGCAACAGCAGGCAGAAAATTTGTTATGCAATTTTCAAGAAGTTGCTGTGTGGGTGAAAGGTCTGGGAACCACTGGGTTAGGATATTTGTGTAACTGCAAAGACAATTTCATATTTACATGTTACATCTTTTAGTGTAGGGTGTTTTTTAATGGCTTAAATCTTAAAGGTTACACACAATAAACTAAATCATTACTGGGTTTGACAACAGGCAAAAACTATGGTGTTCTTCATAGCTCAGTCGGTAGAGTCACACGTTGGGCAAAAGATTCCTGTCTTGCAGGGGGTTGGACTAGATGACCCTGCAGATCCCTTCCAACCATACAATCCTATGATTCTACGAAGATGCTCTTATGCTGGTGCAAGATGAGCTTGCAGTATCTCCAAATCTGGGAGAGTTGTGTACAGCTATTAACCAAATGAAAAACAACAAAGCCAGCGGACCTGATGGGATACCTGCCGAGGTACTGGAAGAAACAAAGATCTCCAGTGTCAAAGCAATGATTCTTCAACATCAACTTTGTTGGACTGGTCATGTTGTTTGGATGCCTGATTATTGTCTATCAAAGCAACTACTCTATTCCGAACTTAAAAATGGAAAGTAATGCTGGTTTAAAGAGGTTTAAAGACTCTCCCCAGACAAATCTAAAAAAATGTAGCATAAACACAGACAATTGGGGAACACTGGCCTGTGAGTGACCCAATTGGAGAACAGCCTTTACCAAAGGTGTCATGGACTTTGAAGACGCTCAGACTCAGGACAAAAGGGATAAACATGCTAAGAGGAAGGCATGTTTGGCAAACCCTCACCACAACCAACTCCCACCCAGAAACCTATGTCCCCACTGTTGAAGACAATGTGGATCCAGAACTGGCCTCCACAGTCACTTATGGACTCACTGTTAAGACCGTGTTCATGGAAGACAATCTTACTCGGCTACGAGTGATCGCCAAAGAAGAAGAACTCGATGACCCTGCTGGCCCCTTCCAACCATACAATCCTATGATTTTATGAAGATGCTCTTATGCAGGTGAGTTAAGGAAGGGGAAGAGAATTGGGGAAAGAGAAAAGGACAGTGGGGAGATCACATTTTAGGAAGTGGGGAACCTGTGGTTCTGCAGTTCCAACTGGACTACAACTCCCCTCCAACCTAGCCAATGCTCAGGGGTGCTGGGAGTGGCAGTCCAGCAACACCTGCGCCCCCAGATTGCACCTAATTTTAACAGTGGGGATGAAGCACGGGGGCAGATTCCCACGTAGCATAAGACAATGCAGAAAGAAAGCTTTGCGGTGGAACTCGTTTCCTCTCCCAAGCAAGCTCCCCGGTCTTCAGCGGTGCGCCCTCGCTAGCACTGCAGCCTGAAAGCAGCTCAGGCCTGGGGTGCGCGCACGTCGGGCGGGGAGAGGGGAAGGCAGCTCGCCGCGATGGTTTCGACGTGACTCACCGCGCTCGGGGTCCATGGCCAGGCGGGTCCGGGGCGCGGCCGAGCTCCTCTCGGGCCTGAAAGAAGCCTCTCCCGGCTGGGCTGCGGGGCTGCGGCTCCTCTCGCTTCCCGGGTTCCAGTCACGACGGGCCCGCCTGCTCCGCCCCAAGCCCCTGGCTTCGCGGGAAAGAAGCCTTTCCTCCCCTCGGCTGTAATACGAGCTCTTGCAACCCGCCCTCTCCGACCGCACGACTTGGTTTCCCCTCACGTGTCCGCCTTCGGGTTGCTGACACGGGACGCCGATCTATAATAGAGGGGCGAAGCGTCTGGGTTGCGTAGAGGCCTCCTGAAAGGCTCGGAATAGCAGCTGCGGAAGAGGACGCATGTGAAAAAAATGCCGAAAAAGATCCCGCCAGCACTTGGGGTTATCTCTGCCTCTTGACTGAACTGGGCCAAAGTTATAGGCAACAAAAACTTGCAAAACGGAGCAAAGACTTGGCAAGTGCGGGACAGGATGCTGGACTAGACGAGCCTTTGGTCTCTTGTGTTTTGTGCTAAGCAAACTTTAATGTTTTACTTATAATATTTAAAGCATGTTTTCCCAGCCTTAAAAAGGCCCCGGTGAGCACTAACAATATGGGAGGTTGCCTGCTCTGGATGGGGTTGCAGTCCCCCTGAAGGAGCAGGCACGCAACTTTTGGGGTACTTTTGGATCCTTTTGGCTGTCGCTTGAGGCTCAGGTGGACTCAGTGGCGCCCCTCTCTGGACAGGGATAGCCTAACTTCTGCCATCTATGCTCTGGTAACCTCTGGGGTGGAATCTAGACCAGGGGTCAGCAAACCTTTTCAGCAGGGGGCTGGTCCACTGTCCCTCAGACCTTGTGGGGGGCCGGACTATATTTTTTTTAGGGGGTGAACGAATTCCTATGCCCCACAAACAACCCAGAGATGCATTTTAAATAAAAGGACACATTCTACAGTACTCATGTAGAAGGCAGGCCCCACAAATAACCCAGAGATGCGTTTTAAATAAAAGGACACATTCTACTCATGTAAAAACAAGCTGATTTCCGGACCATCTGCGGGCCGGATTTAGAAGGCAATTGGACCGGATCCGGCCCCTGGGCCTTAGTTTGCCTACCCATGATCTGTTCTAGACACACACAAAAACGCTGTGAAATATTTTTTTTTAAAGTGTTTTGAAATATATATTGAATTTGTCATGAGCTCACCATCGCCATCTAGTGTCACACTTGTATAATGCACCTAAAACATATTTGCAGCTGTATAGCTGAGTCTTAGGGTAAGATTACTGCAATGGGTTATATGTAGGGCTGCCTCTGAAAACAATTCAGAAACTTCAGCTGTGCAAGCTCTGACAAGCAGCAGACCAATTTAGAGCTTTGATCGATAAGAACAACCAAGAATCTTGTGGCATCTTAAAGAATAGCAGACTTACTATGTCATAAGCTTTTGTGAACTAGAATGCTCTTCCTCCAGCTGAAACGAAACCATGAAATCTTATGCCATAATAAATCTGCCTTTAACATGCCACAAAGCTATGTTGCTTATGGTGTGACACAAGCACAGGTACCTTGCCTAATATTCTCTAACACCTTTAGTGTGGAACCTCTGAAACATGCAGCTAGTACAGAATATTTTTTTAAAAAATCCATTACAGAGGGTTGAGTCGCAAAGAGCACCTGAACACCTGTATTCTAGGATATGCACACTGGAAGACCATTGAAATTCCAAGACACTTAATCTAGAGCAGGGATCGGCAACGTGCAGCCCATGGGCCGGATGCGGCCCACGAAGACCATCTTACTGGCCCACGAACCGCCTCCAAATTGAGCCGCCCGCGCGCTGCGCTAAACCAGCGTGGCACGGGCACTCACCGAGTGGCGCCACAAATGGCATCTTGCACGCACAGATACCAGAAATCATGTCTGCGCATGTCCAGACGCTGAAAATCACTTCTGCGCAGGCATGATTTTCAGCGTCTGGGCATGCGCAGAAGCGATTTCCGGCACTGCGGACATGTGTAGATGCAATTTCTGGCATCGCGCTGCTCCAGTCCGGCCCATGGACGATCTCCGTGAGAAAAAGTTTACCATGGCCGGTAAACTTTGCCGACCCCTGAGCTAGAGCTATGCAAGTCCCTTAATGTCACTGGAAGCCCCTCTCACCTATTAGGCCTTGCTCTCTTAAACAGCAGATGAGGGATAAACTCGTGTCTGAACTGCTTCTCTGCTGACTGCAAGTGGGAGTTTGCATGATGGAATTAAGAATAAAATAAAATCCATCCACTTAGAAAACTAGCCTACCAGTCAGGGAGAATAGTACATTAGAGCCTTTCCGCTCTGTGTACAGGGATTTTTTTGGTACTCATGTGAGCCAACATCTGTCGCATGAAGTGAATTAATCCTGCCCAGGAGTTGCTTGTGAACAAGTGTTATGTTCAGCTGCCTCGTGTGGTGATCTGGGAGAACTGCAGCATAAAACTCCTTGCAGTGGCATATTTTTCTCAGGACATGGGCATGGGGGGGGGGCTACATACGGTCCCTTTGCAGGAATGGAAACCGTAGTCAACCCTTGTTTACAACTCCTTGGAGGGAGCTTCATGTTCACTTTTCAGGCCAACACTAGTCATGCATTATCCAGGAGTGTGAGTGAATGCATGTCTGTATCTAGGGGGTGGGTCAAGCTAGGAGCATTCTCAGAAGCTCCTTGAAACATTTAGTACTCATGCATACCAAATAACTGAACAGGACTCATGTCTCTTTTATTCTGGAAAATCCAGAGCACATCACTGCCAAACTGCTGCATGCACCTGTCTTCCTGAAGGAGCATCTCCACCCCCATCATTCAGCCCGGACACTGAGGTCCAGCTCCGGGGGCCTTCTGGCGGTTCCCTCGCTGCGAGAAGTGAGGTTACAGGGAACCAGACAGAGGGCCTTCTCGGTAGTGGCGCCCACCCTGTGGAACACCCTCCCACAAGATGTCAGGGAAATAAGCAACTATCTGACTTTTAGAAGACATCTGAAGGCAGCCCTGTTTAGGGAAGTTTATAATGTTTGATGTTTTATTGTGTTTTTAATATTCTGTTGGGAGCTGCCCAGAGTGGCAGGGGAAACCCAGCCAGATGGGCGGGGTATAAACAACAACAACAACAACAACAACAACAACAAGATATTATTATTCCAAGTTGCTTACCCATCTTTATCTCTCTCTCTCCCCACCCCTGACTTAAATGCAATTGCAGCACTAGCCTATCCAATATGGACCAGTGAAGCACCAATGATGCAACTGGTGGGAGTAATGGTCTATATAGCATAGTTGCCTTTCTGTATTGTGCTCCCTAACTGCATCACCATTGCAATGTCTTGCTACATGGTCCATTCCCTCACAGGCTGCATTCTGTGCCTTAAACACTATCATATAAACAATTCATTACTCCCCAAATGTCAGAGAGGTTGTGAAGCTCTTGGGTCATTCAGGCATATGTGATGGGGCTGTATCCCTCTTGAAGCTTTTTGGGAAACAGAATTGCCCCCCGCCCATGTGATTGTCAGCATCTTAATTTAGACCCAGTGATACCTCTCTTGTCCCTAGAGAGTCATAGCAATCCAAATATTGTGCATAAAGAATTAGTGGCATTATCGACCGCTCAAATGAAAATTTCTGCTAACTGGAAAATGGGCTGGTCTCAGGGTTGGCTAAACAGAAATCATCTCACTTATAAAGGGGAGAAAAAGAAATGGAACACAATAAAAGCGCAAGGAAAAACAAAACCTGGCAGTACATTAACAAAATAATAAACATCAACACATCCATTAAGCATTCAGATTGATACATGCCATCCAAGTGTCCAAATAGGTGTTCAGGCAAAGTTGGGGTTTTTAAAGAGTACATTCAAATGTAGTGAGAGTATTAAGAATGTCAGATCATTGCAAAATAGATAGTGGATATTTCATCCTGGAGAGCTGCTGCAAGTCACTGTTGACAATACTCAGCTAGATGGACCAACTGTCTAACTTGGTTTAAGGCAGATTCCTATGTTCCTATGATACCTCCAGCTTGCAGTACAAGTCTCTTAAAGGCTCTTAAAAAATTCTTATGTGCCATTGCCTCTCAAGCTGCTGAAATTGCAGGCGATATATGGTCCTGCTCTTTTTACATACCTAGATCCTCAACACCTCCCATTCAAAAAGGGGTGTTTATGTAAGCCATATCTAAAACTAACCCATGTTGGGGGTATTTCTAGAAAAAAGACTTGCTGATTGTTTCTGCATGCTAAAAGATATGTCTTATGAAATTCTCGTTCCAGCATAGGGAACTGCATTCTTTTATGAGGGTCAATGAGGTAGAGTATCACCCCAAATAAACTTCTGAAATAGCACACTGATCTTTTGAAGATATGCTTAAGGAACAGGTAGGAAATTATCATGCAGCACACATATTATTCATGGCAGAATATTCATTTTAAGTGCGCTAACCTTAGCCCTGAATACCAAGTCTGGGTAGTGCCCATCTTTCCAAATCACTGGAGATTTCCATTATCAGCCTGTTCGTATCCATTTTTGTCATTTGAGAAATGTAGAAACCAAAATCCCTAGACGTGTTTATGACTTCTGGACACCAACAAAACCACTAGCTGGCATACAAAGTAGCTGATTTACACTTGCTCATGGGCAGTAGTAGGGACGCGGGTGGCACTGTGGGTTAAACCACAGAGCCTAGGACTTGCCGATCGGAAGGTCGGCGGTTCGAATCCCTGCGACGGGGTGAGCTCCCATTGCTCGGTCCCAGCTCCTGCCAACCTAGCAGTTCGAAAGCACGTCAAAGTGCAAGTAGATAAATAGGTAAGGTAAGGTAAACGGCGTTTCCGTGTGCTGCTCTGGTTCGCCAGAAGCGACTTAGTCATGCTGGCCACATGACCCGGAAGCTGTACACCAGCTCCCTCGGCCAATAAAGCGAGATGAGCTCCGCAACCCCAGAGTCAGCCACGACTGGACCTAATGGTCAGGGGTCCCTTTACCTTTACGGGCAGTAGTAATTTAGTAACTTTTTCACCCCATGCACTCTGTGGCACTATCTTTCTCTGTACCACCGCTGGGCTATTTGACACTCTTCGGTCACAGCACTTATTTCCCATTTGCCTACTGCACAGGTCTCTACAATCCATCCTTTCCTCTCTACAAACCACACTCTGATACTGTCTTCCATCTGCAATATCACAGTTTCATCCACGCTTCCTTCTAGATCCCCACTTTCCCCAGGTCACTCTGCACACCCTGTTCTTTTCTTCTTCCTTTAGACCACAGATAGGGAATCTGTACACTCCAGATGTTTTTGCACTGCGATTCCTATCAGCACCAGACAGCATAGCCAATGGTCAGGGATGATTCAAGTTGCAGTCCAGCAAAATCTG